AGTCTTGTCGTCATTAATCTCTAAGATTAAAGGCAAATAAGCCTCGTGTCAGGACGGTGAGCAGAGATAAACCACACACCCCCCAAGCTGAGCCATCCCCCTCCGCCGCCGCCACTTCTCTCGCGCAACTCCTCGTTCAAACTCACAACACCGCGCCGTGTAAGCGCGCCGCATTCAATAGATCCGTCGTCGACGTCGCATTTCCCTTTCCCACCCCCACCTTCTCCCTCCTCCGAGATGCTGCCACGAGGCCCGAGGGCTGAAGAGGCTGCCGCATGTCTCGGAGCGGAAGAAACCAAAGGTCCCTCCTGGGTTTGGCTGGTTCTCTCAGAGGCGGTCCAATCGCTCTTCCTCTAACGATGCTGTCATGATCCTCGCCCCCGGGAGCTGACCGAGATATGGCGGTCTGCCACGTACAGCCAGCACTTCCCCAGCACGTCAATGGTTCAAGAGACACGGCCAACCGGAAAGAGTGTACGTGGTAACGCACGGAGACGACCCAGGGCTGAGGGATTGGGGGTATCGAACGGAAAGTATGGAAGAGGACGAGAGTTGTGTCAACGCGATCTACAGAACCTTCGGCGACAAAGTCCTTGAACCTTGAGTTTAAGCCGCCCGATGTTTCTTCTAGCTCCGTCCCTCCCCAAGTGGAGGCCCCTGCCGGCATAGAGGTGCGCAAAAAAGGGGACGAGAATAGCTCGTGGCTACAAGCAAAACCCCAGCCCAGGCTGGTGTGGACTACCATAGTATCGAGTTAGCGACCGCCATCTCCATCTGCCGGGGCAGAGCCAAGCTACGCAGTAGTGTGTAGTATGTGTTTTCCCTTGCTTATCCTACAATGCCCCCATCCTTGAGCCCCAGCCTGCTGGGCACGGCGGCGCCTTACCATATGGAATATATGGAAATCTCCGCCCAAAAAATACCACAAATCAGATCATGTTGGGAAAAGCTCCAACAAACGCACCTCGGCGGGGTGTACCAGGGGGCTGGGGTGTGGTCCAGTTAGTGTGGTCTGTAAACCTACATACAGACAATAGAAATAAGTTGCAAAGTACCGTCCAGGTACCTCTCATCAATGGCACCCCGGTTCATCATCAATTCATCATAAACCTTTGAGGGATCGCCGAATTGGCCGGCAAACTCTTCTTCACCTTCGTGGAGCGTCGCAAGCAACCCCCTCTCGATGCGACTTTACCGTCTCAAAATCACTCACGATGCGGCGTCTGTCACGACAGGCTGATCTCACATGGACGAAAACTCAATGGCACCAAGACGAGAGAAGGGGGGTCGCCCAAGACTGTCCCGCGTAGGCCATCGTAGTAGTAAAGGTGGTAAGCGGGACGTCATGGCAGCGTCAAAAGGTGCTATAATGGCACCTTGCTATCGTCGTCCATTTGCCCTTGTTCCCTGGCACGACAGGCTGTTAACAGAACCTGGGCCTTGATCTTTGTCCACACTTTTTTAGTTAGACGGTGCTTCCTGGTCCTATAATTTTGCGTGATATTGGACAAGGTCTAGTAACCACCAGCGCGCCAAACGCCAAACGAGCTGCCAATTCCGCTCGGCCCCAACCGATTCGACTTGAGCGCACTTCCAAACTCTCTCTCTCTCGTCCGTCTCATATCCGCTTGCGAAAGTCATTAAGGTATCTGTTACCCTTGCAGGGATGCCGTTTTCCCCCGCACTCAGCTTCGCCCATTCGTCGTCGCAGATACATTGGAGCAAATTATCGTGAGATTCAGCGAGCCATGGATCTAGTGGTTTACGGACCTTTAAGCGCCGCATAAGTTTCAGATATTGATGACGTCCGAGTCAAGGTGATCTCGTTCCTCCAAACAGTGCAGTGCTCCAAGAGTAGAGCAAGAAGCAGAGTCCCCCCCCCCCCCCCCCCTCAGACCTTGGTTTAGCCCTCCGCACCAGCGCTCCAGATTTGCGACTTTGACAGCACCACCGCCACAACTCTGTTCCTGGCTACTCGCTCGCTCAGACATTGACAGAGAGGTTGGGGGGCAAAGGGGAGAGAGAGAGCCACCGTAAGGCCCATGCCCCCCACAAATCCGGCGCAAAGGTTACGCGTGGCTGGACTCACTTACACGCGCATCTCAGACGTATGCGTCTTTGCGTAAGGTCTTTGCTGGGTTTCCGCGTACCTTGGAGACGACACTTGTGGGTTTCGACCACCGGCCGGAGTGGCGCAAAGCAGTCTCGAGCTGTCAAAAAGGGGGATCCTTTTTGCGCCAACCTCGTCGGTAATAACCAGATAGCACTAATAGAGCTTGATGCAGGGCGCTCGCACGCACATGTTTGACGCATTGCTGACTGGCGCCATTCGGGACCCCTGCGAAACATTGCTGGGCCGTGCGATATCAGCGTGAGAAAGGCAGACTCGGGGGGAATGGGATTTGGTTTTACTGGTGATGCCCGCTTGGTGTTTTCCAATGCTCGGGATTAACCCCTGGCCTAGAGTGTGATATATTTGTCTGGCATGGCAAAAATGAGACCATTAGGCAAGCCGCTTACTCGCACACCATACTCTTTGGACTAAGCTGTCAGTCATTCGCGAGAAGTCACACGGCGCCGATATCCCCTCCTCATCTCCTGTGCCCGGATCCAGCATCGCGGTCCCGGTCCCTCGCTAACACGCCCGCATCCTCGCGTGGGAGACGTGGGCGGTGTGTCCAGATTCGGTAGCTACAAGAGCTTCTAACTCACGTAGCAACAACAAAAGAGCCAACCAGCCAGGCTCCCCCACTACCCTGCCGCGGGAAAAGAAGCTCATGTGAGCTAAAGACCGACAGGGTATTATTGACTTGCAGAAAACAGACCGGGAGCACCAGCCAATGGAGTGGTGCGTGATGGCTTGGGGTGTAGGAGAGCAGCCATTCCATAAGCAGAAAAAAGGCAATTCACAGTAATGGCCTTGCATCGCGGAGCTTGCTTCACTGGATGGCAACGTTCTCGATTCTCGGCCGTCCTATCTGATTCCAGATAGGCCAAAAGCGAGGTGGTATCGGACCCAACTCAAGTTAGGTAGTGGTGGAGATGGGTTCGGTGAGGATCTGACGCCTGTACCAGCGTTACATCTTTCAACAATGCACCATGCATACTCCCCACCGACCCAGAAAAGTGCGAATAGCTTCGCTTTTTTGCCTCAACCCTCAGGAGGGGGGAGGCCTGAGCCGAGATGCCGGGACAACTCAATCACACAAAAAATCTTGGTTTTTTTTTTTTTGCTAAATGTCCCGTTTCGGTCTGACTAGGGCGAAAACCTGCATGTCATGCATCTGGCTTGTCCCAAAACATCACCATCCGCCGAAGAGCTTAGTCCTGTTTTTTTTTTCCTTCTCTTCTGGAACATGGAAAACTTGATTTCCGAGAACCATAGACTAAAAGTCGGCATATGGTAGCACGCTTGGACTTTTCGACCGGTTTCCAAGGCCTAAAGCAAGCTTAAAGTATCGTTCTAACCTAACCCTGGGAAACACACATATGCACGCTAGGGAGAGGGGGGAATGACTATCTCCCGGGTCCCCCAGCAGAGCCTCCTGGCGGGTTTGGAATTCTCGCGCGCGAGAGATATGAACAGACCGCCGATGGCCCATTTAGAACCCGATCTCTTCAACCACATCATGCCCACTCCGGCGCTGTTTGGAGAAAAAAGAGCCCCCCCGGGTATCCGCTTATGCAAAAAGCATGGTGCCCCGGTAACATCTTTTCGGTCCTGAGCCGAAAAGGCACCCCCTGGCTGGCATATTGGGCCTTTTTTTTTTTTCTTCTCTCCCCCCTTCTTCTTCGTTCTGTTCCTAGCGGCAACTCTATCTCGAAATGAAATGGAACTTCTTGGAATGGGACAAGAAGCAAAATGGCACGATACTTGCAGCAATGAGGTGGCAGCGGGATTATTCACCCCCTCCCCCAAAAGGTGGTACCATGCCGTCCTCTTTCGGCCGGCCCTCGAGCTCCGGCGGGCGTTTGTGGGTTCAAATGTAGCTCCGTGATGCCCCCTTACTAAACAACCCTGTGTCGCTCCGGTCTGGGAATGACCCCCTTCCTTCGGTGGATTTCTGGTTATCAATCAATTTTCATCACTTACCGATCGGATTCTCCTTACGATGCTTCAACTTCCAGATCCATCCACCTCCGGAGGAAATCCTCCTAAAGCACCCATGCTCATAAGCTACTCGCAGGACATTGATGTCTCAACTATCGTCCGTTGTATCCGGCAGACCACACGATACAATCTTTCCGTCTGGTTCCGTTGTCGCAACACTATTGAGTAAGAATACCGACGACTTGACAAACACAAGGGCCGAGTCGGTGGAGTGCTTCTGTCAGCGGTCGAAAATGTACCGTATCGTTGTAGCTGTCATCGTCAAAGCTTCACCCACCGCACGCAGGGCGTGGTCGTAAGCTCCGAAGGCTGACAATGACCAATAAGCGAGAGGGGCCCTTCGAAGACACGCCGTACCCTTACGCGACATCCGAATGGCTCATTGTACGCGGCGTCTAGCTTACATGCAGGTCGGCGACTTGAAGTCGGGCATGTAGAGAAAAATGTCGTCTTGTACTTTCGCCTCCCGAGTCACCATTTGAGTCACCTTGTATCTCAAGTATCGTAGTAATCGCGCCATGGGGGAAATAACCAAAGTTCGCCGAAGGTGGTGTACAGCCCTCCCAACCGGACTCAATCCCATTGTCTATTCGAGTTCTTAGCAGATGTGCAGCCATCACAGTGAGGCAGATATTAGAGACCCATGACAGGATCGTCGCAGTCAGCCCGTTGGCGAGAGTGCGCGATTCATTGGCTCACGGAGTCTACTTCACCCAACAAAGTTCTAGACCATTCTTGCCCTGCGGCCCAACATCTCAGGTCCCCCCGCCGTCCAATCCATGACAAGCTCACAAGTCTCCAGTCCATTGGATCCAGCGTCCATCACATGCTTCCCACACCTCTAAGGTCTGTCAGGTTCCAGACTCATCCACTCCGCAAGCTCAAGTTTTCAGCCGTCGCATGTCCGAAACACCTTGCCTTCCTCCGCCTCGTTCCGTGAGGTAGCCAACGGCCCCTTCTCCAGACTCTTCAGCCACATGGTCCCCACAATCCGGTCCCGGTGTCCGTTCGGCGGGAGGCTGACGGCGACTTTGTGGGCCAGTGCCTCCGGAACCTGGCGGAAGACGTTGGTTACAACTGATAACCAAAAGCGCTCGTAGAAAACGTCGCTATCTAGCCAAAGGTTCACAGATTCCAGCGCTGGCGTGTCAATCAGACGGAGGATCGTGGTCCAGGACTCAACCCATCGTTCGAAGCTGCTGCCCTCATCAACACGTCGTCTGAAAGAAAGGTTCACGCGCCGAAAGGGGTGAGAGGCCGGAGCCATGTACCGAAGTGAGAAGAGGCTCCGGGCTGTAGGTATGTCGGTAATCGTAAAGGTGACGGATTTATAAATTGAAGCCGTGCACTCAAAGTACCTATTAATGGTGTTACGACCAGTTCGTGTTTGACTGAGCATACTTCGCTTCGAAACAACTCACATTCGCTTGCAGGTTAACATGGATGGCAGAAACGCCGTCCAAGTATTGAGGTAACCGACACGGCCCGTCCTCCCTCTCGAAACATCTCTCCATATCTCTTTCTCCTCTCGCGCCTCCTCGCATTTCCAGTGATCACACCAGGTTGACATCTCCCGCCTGTACCACAAGGGGACTGTCCCGCGGACGTCTGGGACCATCCACATGGACTCCCAAGGATCTTCGTCATCAATATGCTCACCGGGAATACCTAGCTGATGAAGTAAACAACGGGAGTGGGCATAACCGGCCTCTGTTCGGATGATATGCTGGCTCAGTCCGGCATCGCGCCAAAGCTCCTGATAGATCATCTCCCGTATCTCTTCGGGAAGCTTGCCGAAGAGGTTCGTTTGGAGCTGACAATTCGTCGCACATTCTGGCTGTTTAACACTGCGATGCAGTTCGATACCGCTCCACAGCTCTTCAAAAGACGCGCTATAGGCATTGGGCGAGGGAAGTTTGTCGGAGGAATCGCTTTTACAGACCAGTTTGGGTGAGGTTCCGCTACCCCAGGCTTCGGAATCAGTTTGAGAATGGTTCGTTTGTCCTGTGAATTTCCGGGTAAGGTTGGCCGTTTTCTTGGCTAGAGACCACACGCCGAGACGGCCGGCACCACGTCCGTCCTCCTTCATCTCGGTAAGGAATTGGCGACGTAACGCAAAGAGGGTTAAAAGTCAAGTTTCTAGCCTTGGAGACGGGAGGTCAAACAGCTTTTAAGAGGGGATGGGAACTTTTGTCAAGCCAGCGCAGCAAACGGGCGCGGCAATCAGCAAGGCATAGCATCCGCCAACCAGGGCTACATAGAGCAAACGGCGTCGATCAAGGCTCGTCGACATGGCCATGGTAGCTTAATCAGCGCAGGGCCATGTCCAAGCATTGGGTCAGTGTTTACCTTCAGACATTGTTTGAGCGGGACACGATGAGATGGTGAACGGGATTCCAAAATGTCAAATTCAGCGACCATTTGTGGGTATTATAGACAATGCTAATCAACGGTCCTAAAAAAACCAACGCCTGCCTTAACCAAAGAAATAGACATGTAAGATGTGCATAACCCTCATCCTGCATGTATAATGTGACGTGAAGGCTTAAGGAGCCACTACACAAGCGGCATCACGACGATGCTGCAATACGCTCACTTCTGCTCCTCCTTCTTACCACCACCAAAGAGACCACCAACATAGTTGCCGGCACCCTTGACGCCCTCGGTGGTCTTGCCGGCAACGGCCTTGCCGCCATCAGCAACGCCACCGACGGTGGTGTTGACGGCACCAGAGCCAGGAACAGCGGTAGGGACGTAACCGCCCTCGTCGTCCTTGCCCTGGCGCTCGGCACGGTTGATGCCCTCCTTCGACGCGAGGTCTCCAACAGGTTGCAGAAGACCGCCCTGGCCGACCTGGCTGGCGGCGAGGTTGTGAACGCCGTCTTGGAGGGTATCGACCTGTTCGATGCCGGTCACCTTGCTCTTGTCCAAGGTGTCTAGAGATGATGGATTAGCGGGATTGTTCAAATGCGACACAGTGATGACGTATTTGAACGCGATGGAAGATTTAGAAATCCGATACTACTTACCCTTGGTGGTATAGCTAGCCTTGTTGTCCTTGGTGAACCATCGCAGGTAGACGTCCTCGAGCCAGGGGACCCATTTCTCGTACTGCTGGTTGTATGTCTGCTTTGTCCACTCCATTTTGATATGTTTTAGACTCTTGAAAGAGGATTTGAAGGTATATTTGCTTTTGGGGTATGATAAATCGATGAAAGTCTAGAATAGATCAACGAGATGAACGCCTCAAACGGACGACGAATGTGACGAGCACCCTACGGCCTAATATAACAACCTCCAGGACCCAGCTCGGCCCAGACACATACGCAAATACACTTCGTCAGAGTCGTCACTTAACCCATCCATCTCGTCAGCCCGTGTGTGCGCATGTGGCTGATGATACTCAGAAATACGTCATATGGGTCTGTGATGGAGGCTTCGATATGGGATGTTATAGGCTGCTGTGCCGTCAGGCAACCGGGGAGGACCCCCGTCGGGACTCAGAGCTGACCCCTGCGCGAGCATCATCGGCGCAGTGACATAAATCCTGAAAGTTGGCAGCCACACATCAAAATTGTTTGCACGCCACAAGCAGAAGAACCCAGTTAGTTACCCTGAATAACCCCCTGAACCTCGGCGATGTTTGATCCAACCTTGCAAGCCTTGGTAATCGAGTGGTGGAAAAATTACAAATGTGAAAGAGCTAATCGTTGGATTTAAGTTAATGCCACCGAGAGTGCAATTTTCGTGCTCACATACAGGGACTCGAGTGTGAGACGGGGGTGACGAGACCCCCAAAAAGTTGGTAGCATCTCGATTTCGGGTTGCGACGTCATCCCGCTGCCATGTGGGGCCCGTGCGTGACGGCAAGTGGAGACTGGCGGGCGGCCTGCAACGGGCCGGTGGGGCCCGGCGCTGAGCCGTTTGACCGGCGAAGGAGTCCAGGCGGCCAGAAATGCGGCTTCGTATGAGACGGATAGTCTAGAAGAGACATGGCTGACCACATGGACCTGTTGTTTAGTGTAGACAGTATCGATCAGTCTCTTATACTCAACGACTGGATGTGATCCTATCTTTCTACTCACCTTAACTAAGTTGTTGGCATTGAAACATCATCGGAGGCAGACGTGTTTCTTAAAGGCATCCGTAACAGATAAATTAGTCTGTACTGGAATCAATTGAAAACTTTTCATTTCTAAATGAGTATTTACCGCTGAGCATCATAAATGTCAAGTCGTTATCGGTGGCACCCATCCCAGCTCCTCCATCGGCCACTGTATCCACAGCTTGTGATCCTGGTCAAGCAACGCCCATGCCTGCGAAATCAAATGCATCGCCCAGCCCTGCAGCCACCACTGGCTCTCTAGTCTCTTCAAAACGATGCAGAAATGCGCATATATAACCACCGCCTCCTGGTTCACCTCCGGCATCTTGAGTAACGGCAGGAACTTGTCCGAAACGAAATACTTCCAGATGAACATGTCCAAAATGTCCATGCCATGCCCGTCGCTGCGCAAAGCAAGTGATAAGGGATGCCGCAGTTCATCTATAGCATAATTGTAAATGCGTAACAGATTCTGGTCTTTGCAATTGGCGTTGATTAGCTTTCTGAGACTATCGAGGGCCTCTGGGTGCGTTGATGAGTCGTCTCGGGCGGTGAAGAACCGTTCTGTCGCGTAGGTGATGATGGGCTTCAGGGGCCCGTTGTACTTCCTCTCGTTGAGGAGTTTGATGAGCGAACACGCGCCGGAAAGTAGAAAGGTCCAATCTGGAAATGCGGATTCCCAGACAACCACAGACTCTTTGAGGTACCGACCAGACGCAAGAGCTATGCAGCTGTTAGTTACTATCCTCCTTGACCACAAAATAGTATGTTGAAGTATGAGAACGGAAGGGAAACGCGATCACTGACCGAAAAATATTGTTAACAGAGAGAACAAGAATAGATTCTCGGCATTACGCTCATCCAAGTTGCTCATCAGCTTCATTGCCTCACGGCTTGCGGTCCGATGGTACAACAAGGCCTTGGAAACCAATGCCTCCTTCCGCTCAGGCCGCTGATGGGCAAGATGCAGTGCCGAGATGGAGAGTAACGTGCGCATAACGTACTCGCATTTCAGAGCGAGGCCCACGACGGACACCTTCCACATCTGACGGACGAGCGGGTCCGTCGAAAGCGTCATGTAAACCGAGTTAGTGAAGTTGTGAATCAGCTCCAGGTCGACAAAGTTGAGCTCCTGGTCCGCTGGCGGCACCGGTACTTGTGACGGTAAATGAGACGGCGACGATGCTGTACTGTCCCCTGCGGTTGGCTGAAGTGAGATGTGCAAGCCAATTGTCCGAAGCGGCGGCGAAGGGGGATGGCTTTTCATAAAGTCGCAAGCGACGAGGTGCCTGACGCAGTTTTGACACGCCGGCTTTCGTTCATCGCACTTGGCAGCACATATATGTTAGTATCTGAACATTGATGTGTGTTGTATGAGATCTAATCATCGGGTGTCCTCGAAATTCGGATGAGTGATTGGAGGGAAAGTAGACACAGGGGGTACCAGCGACCCTTAACAATAGACGAAATCATAAATAACAGACTTAAGTCAGGTTAAGGACGAACCTTTATCTTTCGTTTCTTGCATGTCTGGCAACCTAGTTTAGACTTTCGATGCGGCCGCTTCTTGACTTTCAAAGGGCTGCTCTCTGCGATGACCTCCATCGCGTCGGCAGCAGTGATTTTCCATTCATCAGAACCCCGTAAACTGGCGAGGGTCCAAATTGCGGATTGGCCGGGAAAAGATCTGAGCAACCGCAGCAGGGACTAGATCGGAGCTGCGGGAAGATCTAAGATTCCGAATATCCTCGGGTGCCGTCCCGCGTCGAACGCAACGTCAATGCTGATGTTGGCGTTTGAATGAGCAATAATGATTCGTACGCTCACATTGGCGCGGCGTTTAGCTACGGTGCTGCGGAGCACCCCCTAGGCATAAACTCCGCCGTGTTGGCAGTGCTCGTATCGCTCGGTTAGCAAATGAGATCTCGGGAACCAGGCCGAATGCGGAGTTGACGCAGGCCAACCTCACTAACATCTTGGCTTGGAGAGAGAATGCGAGATATCTCGGTTTGCTAAGGCTGATTTCTCGGGTTTTTGAATTATTAATGATGACTGCATTTCATGTCTTGGAGTTGACGTGTATACATAAGCTTAGGGCATTTGTGCGTGGCTGATTGATCATTTCATCGCTGTTGGTCCGCTCTACTAACACTATCATTCATTTATTACGACATTCTGATTTCAACACTTTCTTTCAGAGGGTCTTGGTTCTTCTCATTTATTATCTTAAGTTTTCAAATACTAAAAGATCAAGGCTATTTTTTCATTTCGCAATGAGTGCCAACATTACCGAACGACCCTCTTACAGCAATTGTAACGAAATATCTCCCCAGTGTCCAGTCGAAGCAACCTTATACGGCGACTATTTCAACCTTGGCGCCTGCGTGTTCTTCACAGTAGCCTATTCGATAGCATTCATCGCACAAGTTTATCTGGGATGGCGCTCGAAAGCGTGGTCGTTCGTGAGCTACCTCGCCGTCGGGACGATCTTTGAACTCTCAGGTTACGCCGCTAGGATAGCTCTCTCCTCTAACCCCTGGATTTACGGTGCCTTTGTGATCCAGCTTCTGTTCCTCATCTTGGCGCCAACTCTCGTCGCTGCCGCGATATCCGTCACCTTCAAGCACCTCGTCCTCCACTACGGCCCTGAATGGTCCGTGTTGCGCCCGAGGTTGTACCCTTGGGTCTTTGTCGGCACGGACTTCATCTCGATTGTTATACAGGCGGTAGGAGCTGCGGTGGCTGCGTTCGCGACTTCGGGTGCGGAAGAGAACCAGTCTCTGAGCGATGTCAGCTCGGCCCTTCTGGTTACGGGTGTCGTCTTCCAGGTTGCGAATATGGTCATTTGCGGTGGCCTGATGTTGATCTATGTTTGGCGTTACCGCAAAGGGCATTCAAGACGCACCGGGCCTGGAAACGAGGGAAACTCTGGCTTTAGGGTTATTCCTCCGGGGACTAAGTCTGACCGCCCAGATGAGGAAAAAAAGTTGAAGATCTTCATCATCTCGATTACCATTGCGTATATTGCCATTGTGATACGCTGTATCTACCGGTGAGGACTTGAACTTAGCACAGTTAGATGAATGTGTACTGACTGCGTGTTTAGTGTCCCTGAAATGGCAGAGGGCTGGGGGAGTGATTTGATGCAAGACGAGATCACGTTTCTTGTCCTAGATGGCGCCATGATACTAGTGGCCGTCTTGCTGTTGACGATTTTCCATCCTGCGGTATACTTTCCCTCACTGGGGAAGAAGAACGATAAGGTACTAGAACGGAGGACTGGGTCAAATGATTATGAGATGCAGTGAACCTGGTAACACTGGGAGCTTGTTCACTATGCGTTTGTGAAAGTAGGATAGATGCAGTTTAGATGTTGACGGTACTAGACGGACTTATATGTTCTGGCTTGGTGGCGACGGATTAAGTCTTATTTTTCTAGCGTGTTGGTGATTGCAAATGTGAGAATTGAAGATATACTTGAAGCAAACTTGAAATACGCGATATGGCTCATTCAAAAGCTTAAGGACTGATTTAGAAATTTCAAGGAAGGTATCTTGTTTACTTAACACCAGACAGTTATCCTGACGGCATTCCACAATATCCTTCAAATCAACCGAAAATTATTGCTATTTCAACTTATTTCGACGTGATTTGTTCCAATGGCGAAAACTGACTGACTCAAAGAAGAAATAGCTCACACTAATTCGATATTTGTGAAGGTTTGAGGAAATAGATACAAACCCATTGATATTCAGAAGAGATGAACAGCAAAGCAAACTTTTCATCGAAGCTAAGACTTCACCCACATAAGTAAACGCAACAATACAAAGCAAATAGGCGAGGGAACAGTGGTCTAGACATTCTTCGCTTTTCCTCCTCCCGATAGAACAGAAAAAACCAAAAGACACCGTCTTGAGACGACTAGCAATTTCCCAGTCCCATCCCAATCCCACATGTTAGAATGCCCCCATTCAGTTATCATTACGGCGACAAAGAACAGACCCTAGTGGAACCGCCCGCTTGGTTCCGTTCCTGCGGAGCCAGGGCAAGTCTTAGATGCGCAGTGGAGAAAGCAGCGCGGAGGAGCACATTGAAACCCCCACCAATTCCGAGGCTAACTAACGTGCGTGCAAAATTTTTGACAAAATTTTAACCAACTCATTGACCAGCCTGGGGGTCGAACCCAGAATCTCCTGATTGCACGATGGAATCGTAGTCAGACGCCTTGCCATTGGGCCAACCGGCCATTGTCCTGAAGACTCGAGCTTGTTGCTTGGCGACGAAGGGCTGGGGGGTGGATATGAAGCTGGGCTGGATTGCCCTAGGCCACTCCCAGAGCAATTCAAAACTGGAGACTTCTCACGGGGTGCCTGGAAGGTGGCTTGTAAATGACTGATGAGTGAGACATCACTGGACGTTCGTCTGGATGGGTTCGTTGTCAGGTTAATCTTAAGACTATCCGATGTGCTGTGGTGCATGCATGCTCCAGGGTGTAAGTGTTGCTGATGCAGGGTCGTCTAGAGTACTGCCGGACATATGATACCTTTAGTAGTTCATTATGCGGTATCAGAACCATCCCAAGCACTTGCCATAGCGTGAAATTTCGTACCTGAACAATGGCCCCATCTTGTTTATGAGACACTTTTGAAGGGGCTCATGATAGACCACAGCTTCCAAAGGACGTTCCTATAACGAGGAAATTTGTGACTGATTCAAAAAGTGTTGAATTGCTTCTCGATTCTCAGACACCAAACGCTACAAATCATCGCCTCAAAAAAACTCCAAAATCACCGGGTTAATCAGAGAACCCTCAATAATACAACCCGTCATGGATCCCCCTCCCGTACAACATGATATCCTCAAAGGGATTGCTCATCTCCAACACCCTGGGCCTCGGCCTCCCCTGGTCGATACTGCTGACCCAACCGCACGAGGTCTCGTTGAACCGCTGCCGGCCCCTCGCGACAACCTTGAACCGCGGCTCAAACGCCTCGACCGTCTTGGCCTCGCTCGCGGGGCTGCCGCACTGCGGCTTCATCTTCACCTGCCCCCACGCCCAGAAGCCGTCGTGCGCGTCGCAGGGGAAGTCGATGGTCAGCTTCGGCGTGATGGACGCCGGGATGGTCGTGTACAGCTCGCGGAACTCGGGCAGCAGGCGGCGGGTGAGGGGACACTCGGCGTCGAGCCACAGGTACACGTTGCTCGCCTTGATCTCGGGCTCGGAGAAGATGTGCCAGATGGAGACGCCGTTGAGGTACAGCCAATTGCCGCTGTCCTCGCGGAGGGAGATGTTGATGGTGCGAGCTTCGGTGAGGTACTTTGGGCGGGGGTATTTGATGATTCGCTGTAGCGTGCGGCCGCTTGTGATGTTGAGGACCTTGGAGTCTTGAAAGGAATCTATGCTCTCTTCGTATCTGGGGTGGGGGAGTTAGGACTTGTTGGTGGCTTGAGGAGGCGGAAGAGCGGAGGGGGGGAATAGGAAGACGGTCGACTTACATTCGTTTACAGGATAGTAACAAAGCCATGAAAGCTTGGGTCCTGCCCACGTTCAAATCTACCGTGCGGCCGTCTTGTACATCTTTCCACAGGTTTTCGCATCTCCAATGGTTACACCATGTCGATGTCATCCTGTTAAACCACTGAGGATGGTGCTGTAACGCGGGCGACGGGTCCCATTCTCTCGCGAGACCAAGTTGTCTCTCATCTGGCGCGCGGTGGTTCGTGACACATGCAGAATATTGAAGCTTTCTAGACATCAAAAAAGCGTGGCGTTCAACCCCACAAGCAACCCAATACTCTCTGTATATTTGCTGACGAATCTCAGGCGGCAGTCTTGCGAAAAAGTGCGACCGGTGTTGCGAATGCGGCGAGTCTTCTTTCTCAGGGTCTTCGGGTATGGGTTCATCCAGGGGCATGTACTCATCCTCTTCTACTGTTGTCGTTGTGAACAGCGATGAGCTTGAAAACGACGACCGCTGTGATCTCTGGCTGATGCTTGAGCGGTCGTCTTTGGATGCACTTTCTCTTGAGAGCTTTCTCTTCAGCCCGTTCAAACATCTACGAGATGCCCGGCGTATGAGGCTAGGCTCAGTCATGATCAAACTCATCTTGGACACAGTCAATTTGGAGATGTGTGCCGTTCGAGGGTAACCGAGTTCACTGTAGCAAAGAGGCAACGCGTTGATCTTGGGATGGGAGCAAAGAGGCAGATATCTATGTAAAAGCAGGGTCTAGCAAGGGAACCAAGGCATAGAAAAGAGAGAAAACCAACAAGAACCGAAGGACGGGACAAGCAAGGGTGTCTCACAGGAAGAGGGGAACAAGAAGCTGCTGGACCTGATATAAACGGATGTTTGCTCCTGTGTCTCGGATACCTCTTCTGCCCCCAAGTCAAGCTACACGGGGCCAATCAAGGGTATAGAACATTTTCCCGTCCCGACAGTTTGGTAAAGGATGCAGTTGCTGGCCAACCAAGTTTGCAGTTCAGCCAACCGACCTGCAAGGTATGGGGATGTTCAGTGTGCGCCCACCTTGTACATCGGGGGAGTAGATGGCCGAGCCGGGCCGGCAAGGTCACGATGTCAGAGGTGTAGTTCGCACTCCTTCCCATGGCAAGCGAGACATCCACACACACACACACCCTGTGTAACGGAGTAAACACCCACCCTCCCCCCTTGCTTCTGGCTGAGCTGGACGAGGCGGGCGGGGAACAGCACATGGCGCCATTTTGCTGCCTCATTACTGTTCCAGGATGGAAGTGATGGCCAACGCAAGATTGACAAGTCATGTTTTGCTTCTTGCGTGTTGGGGAAAAAGCAAAGTTGGAAGCATAATGCTAGCCACTGGACAGCAACAACGTTGTATCTCCTGTTTGCCACAAGATGGACACGAAAGGGAGAGGCGTCGGGACCCCTGCAGATCGTCTCCCGTGGTAAGACAAGAAATATCTGTAGTGGTTCCTCGTGAACTCGTGGCTGGTGCCTACTGGGGCGGTCATCGGCGTCGGGCAAAAGCTCCAACGAGAGACCTCCACAAAAAAGTTAATACAGGGCCCTCCGCCAACATAAATTAAGCCTGCAAGGTCCAGCGAGCCAAGTCTCGGCTACTGTGTTGGGTTGGTGGGAAAACGGTAAACTGCCCTGCTGCCCTTCTCTGTTTAAAAAAATAATGAAGACGGCGCTGCTAACTCCACAAGTTGATACTAGATAGATGTGTTAAATGATTGGATATTCCTCCCCTGGATAGTGTGTCAGGACAGGAACAACAGCCCGTCCGATGGTGGCGAGATATGTCTTGGTCCGAGTAACGGGATTACCGCAGCATATCTCGTCTAGCGGGCGAATCAACGGCAATATCCAAGCCTGAGAGATTCCTTATCCAGGGATCTTGGTTATTGAGAGGAGGTGGAACCAATTTGAAAGACCGCACCAGAACAAAAGCTGAGCAGAACCAACAGCGACGGTCGAGCACCAACAACAAGTTAGGCGTCAAGCTCTTTATTGCCACGTCCCTGTTCGCCTGCGGCACAGAAAGTGGTGCCAAAGTCGTTGGAGGTGCTATTAAACAGTCATTAAGAGACGAAAAAGGATCCGCTTTACGAGGCTTACATCGTAGTTGGAAACGCGCGGCGGTAGGCGATTGGCTCTCTTCCATCGACGCCGTTCTTTTCTCCTCGTTTAGGCTGTTTTCCCCTCTCTCCACGCATCGTGGGACCGTTCGATAAGGCCAAGTCGAGAAGGCGTACGGAGTACACTACTAATCCTAGTTTCCGGGGGACGGGGGTTACCACCGGCCGGTCGACGGACTGCCCGATGGAGTGAAGTGCGTCTCCATGTGGACGAAGTTGTGGAGGGTTCTCCGCTCGGCTGCGTCGACAGCCGTGGAGAAGTAGAGTTGGATTCCAGTTGTAAGCAAAAAGAAATAGGCCTCAAGACCGAGAAGAGATGGTGCATAAAGCAAAAAGGACTGTCAGCCCGTTTCTCGCGGCCAACAGAGGCAAATCACGGTTGAGTGTTGGATCCTATGTAAGCCAAGGGTCGGGGGTCTCGATTGCAAGTGGCAGGGATCGTGCGTTGAGGGGAGGTTTCCTTTACCTCTTGCACCAACAGCATTTAGCCATTCCCAGAAAGGCAACCGTATGCAGGATTGTGGGCGCGTATCTGTGTGAATATGTGGTTATGAACTTGCATGGGGCCATTCAGGAGACATGACTCCGGTCCAGGGCCACAGCTGATGGATGAAATAGGATCCTTGTTAACCCAGCTGTTATTCTGGTTGGTGCTGATGTTGGTTTGGCGGCACAGTCACATTTGGCGAGACCAATGCTGAGATGTAAGTGACAGTGACGAGATTGAGCCAAGATGTAATACGGCTGTGATGAACGATTGAATATCCGTAAGGGATCACGACGAGACAGAGTTGGGCTGTGAATCATGAGGAGAGCTTCTCGGCAGGGGATGCCGGATGTGGTATTTCCAGCCCATGGGTTGCTCAATATAGCGAATTACTCCGACGATGATTTTCTCTGTTGATGGAAAGAGATCAAGAAAATAATGTCTTTCAGACAGGCCGCGGAGCTCAACATTGGAAGAGTTTGGATAAGACAGGGAGGAAGGGAGGAAGGCAGGTCGACGAGTTGAGAAGAAAGCGTCGAAACAGAAATCCATCGTGTTTCCCCCAAAAAAGAAAGTTGCCGATCCCGGAAAACATCCGAGCTGACATAATCGAGAGCATTGACCGCTAACCGCCTCCCGCCCAGCCCTACCGCTGAAATGGTGTGAAACGACTGAAGATAAGGACCGGATGACGCCTGGGATGCCATTGTATAGCGAGTTTCCAGCGACAACCTCCACCAACAGGACGGAAACAGCGCTGAAAGATGTGTCGTATTTCGGCGTCATCAGCTGCAGTTCAGGAGGGGAAAACTCGCCATTTACTGGCTTCAGATAACGATAAGAACGGGGCAATGAGAAAATCCAGATGCAATAAAGGTGGGGCGCTTGGCTCGTAAGAGAAGCTTGGCGAAAAGAAGCGAACTGTTTGTCCATGCGCACCTCTGAAAAAAAACAACAATTTTCCTACGCGAAACGGAGGGGAGCTGAAGCCAAGACCCGATCGACTTTGGAGCACAGGCTTTTTTGTGTTTTTGGTTGCATTTTACTACTGCTGAGCATTTCTGAACTGTCACAACTTCTCACCATCCCAACAAAAAAAAACAAGCTGAGCAGACAGGGTACGGTTCTGATATCAACACACAAACAGGGGGGGTTCATGGCGTCCAGTCGCCTGTTCCTTAGGAGAACCGCTGTTTAAGCAGTGCCACGCTGCGCCGCACAAACGCGCGCTGCTACGTCATGAAGTTCGCAAAGGAGCTCGAGCAGGACCTCGTACCAGGTGCGACAACCCCGAGACACGCATGAGATCTTTGTCAATTGCTTGTTTTTTTTTTTGGTTCTTCTCTTGCTGACGAATAACTTTGTACGCCTTCAGAATGGCGCATCAAGTACCTTAATTATAAGGCGGGGAAGAAGTACATCAAGGCCGTTTCCCGCGCCATCAATCGCGCCAACGGTAGCCCTCAGGGTCAGGCGAACAAGAACAACAATCACCTAAGTTCCGGCTTCTTTCACGTTCAATCCCCTTTCAATAGCCAGAGACATGGCAACGATTCGAACCGGGGACACCTCGACGAGCGCACGTCGCTGCGTGACAGCCCGGCACCAGTTGGGTCAGCACGCCAAAAGACTGCGACACCTTCACGAGCGATACCGGCACCGACAAATAACGAGCGCAATGGCCTGACGAACAGCTCAAACGATATGCAGTATGGGAGCTTTGTTCATACCCCGCCTCATCAGGAAACCGGAGCTCCTTTACATCGGAAGACGACGTTCGAACTGCCTGGCCCTGCCATACGAGTGCCGTCTAATGCGAGTGAACCAAGCCCCCAGCCTGCGCCGCTGCTGGACAACAACCTGGCGGCGAGAAGGGAATTGAAAAGGAGCAAGACTACGGCTGAGGATGCTCATCTTTCCGCTCCGCCACCAGCACCAGAGCCAACCCGTACCCCGTCAACCCTGAGGCTTCCTCACTCTGCGACGATAGGGCCGGGGTCAGGTACTTCACCACGGGCTGGTCTGCGGAGGTTGTTTTCTGCCTCACCCCTCAACCGGGCTGGCACGAACCCGGAATATGGTCTTCAAGGCCTGGCAATGGACATTGTCAGACAGAAAGAGAAGGAGTTTTATGAGTTTCTGGATTCAGAGTTGGACAAGGTGGAGACATTCTACAAGATGAAGGAAGACCAGGCTGGTGAGCGTCTCGCCGTGCTTAAAGAACAGCTGCACGAGATGAGGAACCGGCGGACGCAGGAACTGCAAGCTCAGAAGAGACAGGCCGAGACCGAGTACTTGAACGGAGGCAACGGCGACATGGACGACTCGAAGAAAGGTCCCCTTGGCTGGATGGATCCTGTAAAGTCCAAGATATTCAGGCCTGGTCCCAACTCCCGCGCTCTTCAAAAGATGGCCCAGACCCCCGTCATGGCACCGAGGGAGGGACACGACGCCAGACGGGACTACATCCGCAGACCCCCCGAGCACGAGGTGCCCTATCGGTCTGCGAAACGCAAGCTGAAGCTCGCATTGCAGGAGTTCTACCGAGGTCTCGAGCTGCTTAAGTCGTACGCCCTCCTCAACCGGACGGCATTCCGAAAGCTCAACAAAAAGTACGACAAGGCCGTCAACGCCCGCCCGCAGTATCGATACATGAACGAAAAGGTCAACAAGTCGTGGTTCGTCAACAGCGATGTCCTGGACGGACACATCAAGGCGGTCGAGGACCTCTACGCGCGCTACTTTGAGCGTGGTAACCACAAGATCGCGGCCGGCAAGCTGCGCAGCATGGCCCGCAGGCCCGGCGACGAGTCCGGCAGTGCTTTCAGGAGCGGAATTCTCATCGGCACGGGTGCTGTGTTTGCCATTCAGGGAGCCGTCTTTGGAGTGCAACTCCTGTGGGACGATGACGCCAGGGTACGCGAACAGACGAGCTACCTGTTGCAGATTTACGGCGGTTATTTCCTCATGCTCCTGCTGTTCTGCATGTTCTGCATCAATTGTGCCATCTGGACCAGGAACAAGATCAACTACCCGTTCATCTTTGAATTCGACACCCGAAACAACCTCGACTGGCGTCAGCTGGCCGAGTTCCCGAGCTTGTTCGCCTTGATATTTGGTCTCTTCTTATGGCTCAACTTTAGCGAATACGGCACCGAAGACATGTACGAGTACTACCCGGTAGCCTTAATCGCCATCTCGGCGGCCATCATCCTCTTGCCCGCGCCTGTGCTCATGCCTAGGAGCCGGAGATGGTTTGCTTATGCTCATGTAAGTCGTTTTCGTGTGCTAGCGTTTCCCAAATACTAACAACCTCCAAGTGGCGTCTCCTGCTAGCAGGCCTATACCCCGTCGAGTTCAGAGACTTCTTCCTCGGCGACATTTACTGTTCTTTGACATACGCCATGTGTGTAAGTAAACATTTATCCTCTGTCGTCCCCGTCGTAGCTAACTCCCTCGAAGAACGTCGAGCTGTTCTTTTGTATATATGCCAACGCCTGGGTGAACCCGGTGCAGTGCAACTCGAGCCACTCACGGGTCCTCGGTTTCCTCGGCGCCCTCCCGCCCATCTGGCGTTTCCTCCAGTGTCTTCGTCGATATAGAGATACCCGCAACATATTCCCCCATCTAGTGAACGGCGGTAAATACACCATGTCTATCCTGGCCGCCATGTCGCTCTCCATCTACCGGATCGACGGCACGAGGGGCAATCTAGCCATGTTCATCACCTTTTCCACCATCAACGCCGTCTACACATGTGAGTCCCCCTTACATCCCTTTTTATGTGCACAAACTAACAGAAACAAAGCAATCTGGGATCTGTTCATGGACTTTTCCCTGATGCAGCCGCAATACCATCTCCTCCGAGAAATCACAGCCTTGAAAAAGCGCTGGCCGTACTACCTAGTCATGGTCCTCGACCCCATCCTCCGCTTCGCGTGGATCTTTTACGCCATCTTCACTCACGACGCCCAACACTCCACCATTGTCTCCTTCCTCGTTGCACTAGCCGAGGTCAGTCGTCGCGGCATGTGGACGCTCTTCCGCGTCGAGAACGAGCACTGCGCGAACGTCAAAGTATACAAGGCGTCTCGCGACGTGCCGCTGCCGTACCGAATGGAACCTCTCGTCTCGCCGTCGCCGACGGTCTCTAGCGCTTTCAAGGATACCAACATCACGGAGACGAACGGCACCGCGCAGGCGGTGGAGGCGGCGACGTCGGGCACTACCACGGCGGCAGCGGCGTCGCAGCGCGCCGAGCAGGGCACGGTCAGACGGCGCAGGCCCAGCTTTGCCGCGCCGCCGCAGCGCAGTTTCTCCAAGATCTTGGCCGAGGCGCACAGGCAGGACTTTGAGAAGAGGAGGAAGCCGATCGAGGTCGACGAGCCGCAGTTGGAGGAGGCAGGGGGCATGGCTAGCGACGACGACGACGATGACGATGAGGGGTCCGTGTCGGATGAGGATCCGGAGGACATGAATATGCTCTCGCCGGACGCGGATTCGATGGAGATTAGACAGGCGGCGGCTTATGCTGACGATGGTATGGCGGAGCGTGGCGGGGTGAGGTGATTGTAATTTGGAAAATACCTAATGGGACGATTCAACGAAACATGCAAAAACCACCGGTTTGACTTTTTACTTAAAAAGTCCAGATTGAACGTGGACGTATCTATTGATGCGTCTAGTTTGTGCTAGTACATAATCTACAGGCAAAAATCATAAATCATAGTCTCTCTCTCTCTCCCCCGTCCACATGCCCACATCTGCTGTATATGTCACCACCACCACCACCCCCGCTCCCGCTCCCGCTGATATATATAACTCCTACGTCAATGTACGCCTCTCTGTCCCATGACGCCCGGCCATCTGAATGCTTGTGCTCCGACTTAAGAAGAAGAAGAAAAAAAAAAGGGCCTCTTCAACACCTTAGTGCCACTCGCCATCAACCTTCTCCCAAAGATCCAGGAAAGCCTTGAAAAACTTCACACCCAGACCGGGATCGAGCGAACCGGTAGTGGCGCGGATGGAGTGCATGCTAAGCTGCGGCAGACCGGCGTCGGCGGCCCTGACGCCCATGGCACTGCTGAGGGCCGGGCCGACGGTGCCGCCGCTGCGGGTGTCGTTGCGGATCTGGAAGGTCTGGGTAGGGGTACCGCTGAGCTCGCCGACGCGCTGGAGGATGGCGGTGGAGACGGCGTCGGTGGTCATGTGGCCGTTGCTGTCGCCGCAGATGGCGATGCCGACGTTGAGGCGGGGGACGTGCTCGTCCAAGTAGAGTCCGAGGAAGTTGGGGTTGCCGGCGTGAGTGACGTCCGCGGAGAGGAGGAACGACGAGGCAAATGTCTGGCCGAGGACGTTTGAGCCGAAGGCGACGTCCGTCTTTGCACTTTCCGTGAGAGCTTCGACGGCGCGCTCGATGGTGAAGGGGAGGAAGTTGGAACGGGCACCCTGGCGGAGCAGCGAGCCGATCTCCTCGTCGTCGAAGAGTGCGACGAGCTTGATCACGCCGTCAGAAGGGTCCGACTCGGCAGCCAGGAGACCGGTGAAGGCGGCCCAGGAGCAGAGCTTATCGTCAATGCGTCCGCCAAAGATGAATTCGCGATCGAGACCGCCGGTCTGCGCGGGCTGAGAGTCGTAGAGCTCGAGTTCCCAGTTGACGATCTGAGTAGGCGAGGCGAGGCCGAGCTCCTTGGAGATGAGCTTGACGAGCTTGGGAGGCTGGGTGTTGACGAAGGAGCCCTTGGGGCCGAGGAGCTCGGGGGAGGCGGTGGAGGAGTCGGAGCTGTCGAGGCCGATGATTGGCACGGCTTGGGTCTCGGGGTTGTTCTGGCCCATCATGCCTACGCCAAAGTGCGGCGCAAGGGTGGGGATGCGGGCAATGGGCCAGTCAAGGCGGACGAGCTTGATGGAGGTCTTGGAGGAGTCCTCATCGCGGACAATGACACGGCCACCGATGGAGAGGTCGCGATCCCACCATGTCTGGTTCAGAGAGCCGGCGTAGGGGGCGACGCCGAGTTGGAGGTATCCGGCGCGGGTGGGCTTGGTGCTGACGGGCTTGAGCTTGGCGGTGAGGGCGTCGATGTGACCGGCGATCATAGCGACACCGTTGCCGGGCTTGTAGGCCTCGCCGACGGTGAAGGCGATGAGACCGGAGCCGTTACGGGTGGTCCAGTACTTCCCGCCGGGTTGGACTTTGGAGGCCCAGCTATCACGGGCCGGAAGCTCTGTGAAACCGGCGGCGGCGAGCTTCTCCTTGAAGTAGGAGACGGCATGGAAGATGGTGGGGTTCTCGGTAAGGAAGTCGATGAAGGGTTGAGTGTAGGCTTCGGGCTTGCCAGCGGCGACGGCACACAGCTTGCAGGCGGCCGGGGTAGACGCTCTGACGGTCTGCTTGACCTCGCTGTAGCGAAGAGTGTTCCAGCAGGACTCGCAGATGGGGTTGGAGGAGGCCGGACGACCATCCATATCGGCGAGAACGAAGGCCTTCGTGGCAGAGGCGGCGGGGAGAGATGTCGAGGCGGCCATGGAGGGCGCAGGGGATTGGGAGCGTGAGAGAGCTTCGGCGGCTTCCATTGCTTGTAGGCGTAGGGAGAGCGAGGAGACTCGAGAGCGGATGGAATCAGGTGTGTGCCTGGTCATTGCTATCGAGGTCGAAGAGGGAGCTGTTGTGGGGGAGGAAGTACGGTGTTTTGAGAGAAACACCAAGGGGTTGAGGAAGAAGATATGGGGATTGCGTAATATAAAAGACGCAGAGTATATATTGGAGCGGTGTGTTTGAGGATAGAAACAACCGAGGGGGGGTCTGAGAGAGGGGAGGTGGTTGATGTGGAAGAAGACGAAAAAAAGACAGCTGTAGCTTCGGATGGATGTGCGACTCAAGCTGGCCGGAAGCTTCAATGCGAATACCAATCGACTCCCAATGGGGGGGAAGCATGACTGACTCTGCGCCGACACGGGCCCGGTGGTTTGTTGTCTCCACTTAAATTGCTTATCTTATCGCGGCCTCGGTTGCTATGGGGGGGAGGTTGGTTGCCCTCTAGCTGGGGCCTACAGAGGGGGTCACTTGACCAAATTTAGAAGGTCACTGGTGCTGAGAGGGCCGAAGGAGCAAGACACTTGTCGCTGATACCCTGAAAAAAGTACCTGCCGTAATTTGGTAGACGATGGTGTCATTTAGTTGTTTACGCGATGGTCGCTTAGCTGCCGACGATAGGTATGTAATTACATAAGCAAACATCACCCGCTATTTTCGCTGTGGCTTGATTTATATACTTCATCACGAATATTTGTCACGAATACTCGGATTCAACTAAAAGAATGTTGTCATCATTGCTGTATAAAACATATTGTTGTGAGTAGATACCCGCTGTTAATAGTATGTTATCCTGTAATGGTTTTTGCTTATCTAATTATGGTTGTCATTAATAAGAGCACTGAACTGACTCGAGGGAACTCGTTCGGTGTTGGTCGATACTGTAGCTCTACTCTATCAATTTAATTACCTACCTCTCTCACATCGGACTTCTGGTATTTCAAATAAACGTCATCTAACTGTATCATTTCTACGTCTTGAAATCACACAGCCTGCCAGCGCTTTTTGGAAGTTTGCGACTGTTCATTTTCACCCTGTATGATGGCCACAAGTCGCCAGGAGGCCTTAATAATTGTGTTTTGGCTTGAGATGTGGTCCGTGAGAGAGAAGAAGTGTTGATTTGTTACAATAGCTTTATCAATACATATGTCGAATAGTCTATAGAATGTCCGCACTCGTACATGACCATGCTTTAGAACTGCTTTGAGCCGCCACTCGAGTTTCGCGCTTCCTTAATTCTTTATTTACTCAGTTTACCATGTTGGCCTATTCACAAGGGCTGGGGCATCTGAAGCAGGAGTCTTGATGTCATAGTACAACCGGATCAGAACCTCTACATGGGTCTGATCAGTTTGTGAATGAATGTTTGCGGTTTTCTTTTTCAACTTGGCGGCAGATGTGACTCTTCATAAGATTCTAGCAGCTCTCTTCTGATGCTGAATATAACTAACCAGACGCGCCAGAATGAAAGATATGCACGGAAAGTAGGCGTAGCTGTTCTCAAACACTTTCGAAAGCCCTGTTTTCACTGTGCTCATAGAGCCTTACTTACTAACGCGGACCACTGCCAGAGACTCTGACCAAGGCGGTGATCTGTGGTCGTGGTTGACTTTATGTCGTTCGACGGCTGTGAGTGTGCATGCTGAATCTTCTCATACTTATTCACCAAGTCTTTTCATGTTGGTAAGCGGCCCCCCTCGAACAAGCTAGTCTTGCTGTTGCTGCTCAAGGTGCCCGATATAATCTTGTTAGATGTTTGATGAGTCGGAGAAAAAGTGTATGTCAAGGTTTCAAGGAATCAAATTTGTAAAAAAAAGCTAGATGGTTTCTGGAAGAAATATGACAAGTCGAAAGGGGTTTCTGTTAGTTATTTTTGGTATATAAAGAGAGGAAATGCCGCAGTAGGCCTGCTGAACATGCATGTTTCATACGTATCGTCGGATATCGGATACAGAAAAGAATATACCGTATTCAAATGGTTTATATAGAGGCGCATCGATTGGGTGGTTTGCCGTAAATATCAAAGTGTTCTTGTGGCTGGGAATCAAAAGACCAGTCAAGCTGTCAAAACTAGGTAGTTTAGTAGCCGTAGGCTTCTCTGATCAACTAAACACTTGACAGCGTTTAAGCTTTATGGCATGGAAGCGGGATACGACTCGACTGGGTCCTTCAGAAAGCAATCGAAGCTTCTTCACACCAGTCAGCCCATCATGCCACCGACAGTTGGGCAATGCCTGAGCTAAGAGCTAAGCTAAGGCAAGCAGTGGTTATCAGATGCAATCAGTACCCTCGCGTCGGTTACGTGTTAGTGCAACGGCTCTAAATCTATCCAATGTGAGGTGATTCTTCAACTTGGCAGACCTCGCATAATGCAACCACTATGCGTGAGCTGTCAATGCATGCGGCTCCACAAAGAGTCTGGGGTTTCTGTGCCTATTCCGGGATTAAAACACTAGCGAAGTCACATGCTAACCATTTCAAGCAGGATTTTCATGGTTTCAACGGTTGCTTCGGGGGTCTAGGGCGGCCGGCCTATCAGGGTTCATCAACATATTTGCTGATACTACGCAGTGCTGGTGTGTTCCACCGCAGACAACGACTCCAGCCATAGGCTATATTCCGCGCATTCCGTCTCTTCATGTCGATGGTTGACGTCGCCCGTGGTTTTTGAGCCAATCTTTGAAGATATGGTGGGCCAGGATTCACACGCTAACATGTTTAATCCTTGAGAAGACGGCCCCTGAACGATAACCACCCACATCAGTGGAGTCTCGGAGGGCAAATATCTTATTCATCAGTGAGGGGTCGCTCGTGGCTCTCTGTAGAAATAAAATCTCCGTGGTTTCCAGGGTTTGAAAAGTGCTCCTCAAAATCACAGGTCAAGTCACTATCGCCATGGTTAATATCTTCTTGTGAGTGGTCCTCCTCGTGGCGTCCGCAATAACCAGCATGACTTAAGCAATACTTGTAGTGTCGGTGCCACTGGCCACATTGGCGGTGCCGTGCTTGATCAGCTGCTCCAGAAGCATGCCGACGCGAAGGTAAAGGCCTTGGTGCGGGATGAGGGCAAGGCTGCGCGTCTGGCCGCCAAGTATCCGCAGGTTGAATGTGTCGTTGGTGACACGGGCAATCTCGAGGTTCTTGAGAACTGCAGCAAGGCAGCCGACATTGTCATCAACACATCTCCTGATATCACACACGACGCAGGGATCAAAGCCATTCTCACTGGTCTGAAGGCCCGAGACGGTGTCAAGCCGTACTACATCCACACATCGGGGGCGTCTCTCATCTGGGACGAGCCCACCGGCTCCAAGGACGCCCGCTGGTGGGACGATATCGCCGATATTGGAGACATCTGCGCGTTCAAGGGCGAGGCTCACACGCACGCCGTGACCGATAAGATCGTACGAGATGCGGCTCCGAATGTCAACGTCGCCATCGTCTCGCCGGGATTTGTCGGCGGCATGAGCCCCTCTATTGAGCACTCGACACCGATCACGATGCCCGCCATCTTCCTTACCGCTCGTGCTTTCAAGTCGGGCTGGCATATCGCCGAGGGAGAAAACACCCATGCCTGGATCGACGTCTCTGACCTCGCAAGAATGTACCTGGTCCTCGTCGGAAAGGCCATCGACGGTGCCTCGGAGTCTGAACCATTCGATATCTGGGGACCGGACGCCTACTACTTTGGAACTAGCGAGGATATCTCATTCGGAAAGTTCATGAAGCATCTCGTACCTGTCCTTAAGGAGAACAATGTCATTGAGACCACGGACATCAAGTCGGTCAGCGTGATCGAGGCAGCGAGAGCCAGCATCGCTGGGAGCGACTACGACCCTGATGCTCCGCCGCCGCCGCCGGACACCTGGGCCATGCACATTGCCATCATGTACGGAATCAACATGCGTGTTCGTGCGTCAAGGATGGAGAAGCTTGGCTGGAAGGCAGAGAAGGGTTCCATTGTCGACACCTTTCCCCAGGTGGTTGCTGAGTACCTGAAGCGGGAGAAGTTGGACAACAAGGAATAGGCGTATGTGCTTACAGTACTATACCCTTGCCATGGCCGACATGGTCAACCTACCTCGATGTGTAACAGATACTGTACATCTCGTCAATATCATACCTAATCAAGTGATGTAATCGTGGAAGCGCGCATCTGACCAAAGTTGAGCTACCAAAGCTGGGGAAATTTAATATCTAAAGATTAATCAAGAAGAGCCCATTCATCATAAAGCTGGCATGCTTTCAAGAAGCATTCCTCTTTGCAACGAAAACGTCGGAGTGGACCAAGATATAGTCGCAGTTCTTCACACCAACTACTAAGCCACCGAGAGTTGAAGTCTCGTACTCGGCGCTCCAATTCTCACTCCCCACTTCCCTTCAAACTCCTTTCTCGCCTTCAAAAAGAGAGGCACCGGCTCAGCAGGCGAGGGCAGAGCCGAGAACCCCTTGGCTGCCTGTGGCTTCTTCCATGCCCTGCCGCTCGATTCATCCACCTTCCAGTCTTCCTCAACATCAAAGTCGAATCTCAAGACCATCATCGCAATCATTGCCAGAATGCCCCCCGTCGCGTACCATCTTGCAGGACAAACATGTGGCGCGAGACCCCATACTGAGAACGCATTCGGCGGCAACTCATTGGCTGCAGCCACCCCGGGCGTACCAGGCGTTCTCTTCATCTTGATGAAGCGGTACGGATCATACTCGGCCGCATTAGGCCCCCACGTCTCCTCGCTTTGCAACATCGTGATGCCGTTGACCTGCAAGAAGTTTCCCTTCTTCAGAAGAACCTCCTTGTCGTCGATGGTGACGTTTGTGTCGCGGAGGATCTCGCGGATAGCCATCTGCACGGAGTTCAGCCGCTGAGTCTCCTGGACGGAAGACAGAAGAAGCGGGCACGCTCTTTTGATGATGGACAGGTCGAGAGTAAAGTCAGCGTCCTCGCCGTCGGTGACAACGGCGTTGCGGACTTCCTCGCGGATCTCCGCGACCAGACTTGGGCGAGAAAGAACTTCGTAGAGCGCCCAGAATGCCGTCGGGGCGTAGTTGGCTAACATTGCAATGTCGAAACCGATGTGGATACGGGCTATCTCGTCGTCTGTTGCACCGTTTGCTTTGAGGACGCGGTATCTGGCCTTGACTAGGCCCGAGGAGTCATCGACGCCGCCCCGGCGAACGTACTCTTCGTAGCGTTTGCCGTTGCGTTCTCTGGCCCGTACTGCGCTTCTTGCGAACAACTTTGGCGTCAGTCCTCCTATCATCATGAGGTGAGATGCGTCTGCGAATGTCCTATTTCCTTGTATCAGCGTTGACAATTTTGGGATCAGCCAGCCAGATTCTACATACCAAAAGTCTGCCTCATGTACAGGGTCATTGAATGGGTTCATTGGCCCGAACATCCCTTCCGATGCCGATACGCTGATAAGGTGCCTCACCCATTCGTACAGCTCAATTCGCGCTCCGGATGTCTTGGATGCATTGGCGAAAAGGTTGTCGACGTGCTTCATCTGCACTTTGGTCGCGACGAGAGTCATGGCATCCAAATCTGTACCAGCCGAAAGAGCCGCTCGCTGGACCCTGTCGTACTCCTTGGCTTCGGGCGGGCCCTCGAGGTGATTGTGCATCTTGAGGGCAATCTCACCAACGCCACTGAGCTTGCTCGCGACTTTGGCCGCAAATGGCGTGAATGATAGGGTTTTCGCATGGCGCTGGATGGCGCCGACGAGTCTGCGCTCCACGATGACATAGAGCTTGAGAGTGAAGACGGGCAGGACGAAGATGCCCGACTTTTGCGTGGAGCTGAGAAACTTCAGTCACGTCGGATTATCAGACTACAGAAGATGAAGACTCACGCAATCTGGGTGAAATACGGTCCTGTGGTGTGTTTGGAGATGCCGATGAGGTGACCGATGAGCGGGACGCGGGGACGGACGTATTTGGGCTCTTTCGTGCCTTTGGAGAGGATGATGGCTGATTCCACGGCATACAAGCCGATGACGACCGCGAGGATCGTCCCCGCAAGGACTGAGAGTTCCATTTCGACTTATTAATCAGTGGATGAAGAGGCCGAAACGAAGTCACATCGCAGGCAGGCAGAGCATCATTTCTTTATATTAGCGGTCGAGTTCATTCCATGGAATGACATTTTGTACCAAGAGAAAACCCAAGGCAAGGCTCCCTTGGTAGCTTTTAGGGCTGCGCGGCTTTCTTCTTCTGTTACGCACTGCCATTCTCGTGCTAGGTAGGGATCTTAAAGTCAGCACTTGTCCCAGGGCGTCTTTAGCCTGTAATATTCGAGCCAATGGTGAGCTTATCGCAAAGCATGCCATAATATTGGCTGCCTTAAGAGACATTTGGCATAGAAATGCTAACCAGATGCGGCCGCACAAAGGCACATAATGTATCGTTTGATTGGTTTAAGCTTTCAGTTCGTTAATCTGGAGAGGACATTGGCACAACGATCCAGGTACCCGGCTCAGCGATTACTAGGCCGGAAGCCTGGCGTACGAGATACCATAATTGCACACTCAAAGTTGTACTAGAACACGTCAACGGTTGTAATACGCTGTAAAGACTTTTGAAAAGAAACATAGCACAGTGGCTGCTGATGCAAGTTGGTTCTTTGAGATGTAGGGAATGTCAAAACACTTCCATATTCATAGCCACTGAGAAATATCGAACGATCCCGTTACTTCACTGTCCACTGTCGCCCATTGTGAAGCATCACATGTTTGGAAAACAGCACTCTTCCGCCCAGAACCAATATTATAAAAATAAGCCCGCTTGTCAAGGTTGAAGCACAGATCTATCATGTTCGATGTATGCCGTGCTAAAAGACTCAACATATGGTGATTAACCTTTTTATAAGTACCTGGAGCTTAAATCTGCTAGGAGTGTCAGAGGTGGTGGTGCTGCGATAATGTTTAGTTACGTTAGAAGAGTGGGTGTGATGTTGTATAGATATGAGGTCGCCAGGGACTCGTAATATGAAAACAACTTGGATCTGGTAGGTTGTATGCCAGTACATTTATTGATAAAGCCAAGGTACCTACAATGACCTACTTTAAGTCGATATGTTTGAGATACATCTACTAGATATAGTTGCGAGCCCACTGCAGATCCATAGACAGCGCATGACACATTGAAGTGTTCTCCATGTGCTAGAAATGTATTTAACAGGCTAGATTGTTGCTTATTTCTCACCATCGTCAGAAACTGTAGATTCCAATAATCGTGTGATTGATCGAGTTAGACTGCACGTGCTCCATCATCATACCTGGCTAGCTCAAAGAACAAGTCAAGCTGCAAGCTTTGTTAGTAACGGTCGACACTTAGCTGCTTTGAGCTGAATCTAGTGGCGGTTATGTTCGGTCTTCTTAGGCGCAACTATCACCTAGTGTCAGACTACTGGTGAGGTGGCTGTTTCCTAGCCACCTCAATTGCCAACTTATAAATGTTCCTTGTGATGTTAAACCCTCAATTAGCCGACTTCACCTCTTTTCTCTCTCGAACATCTACTGATCTGCCGAGCATCTTCCTTAAATAAATTGAAGTGTACTATTGCACCCAAATATTGCCGCTCGTCGACAACACACTTACGATGGTCGAGAATTGCTGGACTAGACCGGCAATGGGATTCAACCGGCCCAAGGAGACCGACACATATCTTCCGGGCGAATCAATACCGATGGAAGTATGGCCTGGAAAGACATACGACTCCTGGAAGGATCTAAAATTGAATTTATGGTTCCAACACCACCAGGATCCGTCGTCTTTCACGAACATAAACATCACTATCTGGGGTATGTCCGACTAACAGCACTTGCACCGGTGCACCATTCGGGCTTTTCTTGAAACTAACACTTCAATCATCTAGACGGCGAAATATTTCCCTACGGCGAACCTAAAAATAATTGCCAAAGCTCATTCTTCACACCGGGATGGACTATCCCCGCCGACCTAAACACCGACGGAGAGTCATATTTTATAATCGCCGCCCGGGTATGGAACGATAGTTGGAGCGAGTCATTCGAGAGCCCAAGTTTCAAGGTTCTGTCGTCCGATCTGCCCCCGTCGTCGAACTCGAAAGACCAGAACACACGTTCAACGACTAGGTCGATAGCGGCAACTGAAACTTCCACAACGTCTCATTTGTCCAACGTGCACCTCGCGAGCGCCGCCATAGGTGGAGCAATTGCCGCCTCAGTCTTCGTCGCTCTGGTCCTGCTTTTGCTCGTGTGCTTTCTTTGGAGGAGACAAGGGCGGCGGAGAACCGCTGCTCAGAGGGATAACCCGGATGAGCGTGAAGGGCTCGATAATGCAGGGCTTTATGGCGCGACGGCGGCGACGAGGAGAAGTACCGCCCGGGCGATTGTTAGAACCACTTGTAAAGTTCGGCCTTGGCGTCCGTTGAGTTGCTCGTGCGGTTTGTCTGTGGCTAAACCGGATGATACACCGCCCCGTGGGCGAGATAGGACTCCGAGGCCAGTTTTGAGTTCTTACTACTAGCGTTATGAAAGTTATGATGCGCTGCGAGATTTCACTAGACGGATGAAAGAACTTAAGGCGAGATACCTCGGGATATCAAGTGAGATCAACATGAACATTAGCTAGAATTGACTTGCAAACTTCAATACCACCAATGCTTGACAATGGATTCTGCTGAGTGCCAAGTGTGAGATATCATCCATTCATCATGGGACTAACACTGGAGAATTTCATTAATGTATGGAGCTTCGGTTATCATAGCATGCCATGACCATTTCCTTGAAGAACTGGCGTGGTTTACTCGAATTGCAGTAGCAGGATTTGCACAATAAATTTCCCATACTAGAAAGAATACCACCTCCATGATTACTACAGGGGACAGAATTCATCGCAGTCTAACCGTCTTTATGCGGCAGCTGGTGGGCAGCATTCAATCACTACGGTACATCGTCGCAGTGTTACAGTACGAATGCTGTGTACAAAGTAGTAGGGCTGACTCGCTACGATTTCGTCTATGCGTCTTTACGACCGCCTTTAGAAAAAATAAACACAAAAATATAGCTTTAGAACACGACTTTTTGCAGCTAGCCCGGCTGCAAGGCGATACCGAGAGGAGCAATATTTTCAGCGTCGATCCCAATTACGTTGATGTAACGCAAGCCCGTTGGCTTGGGGTAGCGATTAGCAAAAAAAAGCGGCATTTGAGTAAGTTCATACTAGCCCTCGCAACGATACTGTATCTGCAGATCTTATCGCTTTCGAATGGGTGTTGGCTTTTACGGTCACAGCAAGCTTCCAGTATGCGAAGTCGTGGTACTCCATAACCGAACAGTAGTGTATTCGAATTTTACCATAGTTTTACTGAACGAACGCCTAGTACACTACTCAGCCTGGCAATTTAGTCTTAAGACAATGGGCTTAATCACTCCTCCTGAGCAGGCTCATCGGGCCAGAAGAACCAGGAGAGAACAATGATAAACTTCATCACGGCCGCAGTCCAAAGAGCCCCAGCAATGCCAACAGAAGTGTGCGCAAACAGCCCGCCAAAAATGGCTCCGATGAGAAGTAGCACCGGCGCGCCGACCCTACGGTTCCGCTCGGCGTTGCGCACGGCAAACAGCTCGGCATCAGAGAAGAGGTCGCAGTAGATGCTCGTCAACACGACACTGGTGAGCGCGTTGTACTTGAGCGCGCGGCTCGTGACGGCCTGGCCGCAGCTCTGGAAGGCAATGAGCGCGATGGGAACCAGCACATTCCAGGCGATCTCATCTTTGCCCGCCGTGGGGCCGAAGGTGAGAATGACGGCGGCGGCGGTGCAGAGCAAAGTCTGCAGGATAAAGGACGCACAGAGCACCCAGCGACGCTTCGGCGAGAAGAAGCGATGGAAGCCGCTGAAGACGAAAGAACCCAGGCAGAACGAACCCAGGGATGTGGCGGACTTGATCCAGCGGGTTGATTCGGTGGGGGCGGCGAGTCCGAGGCCAATATAGACCGTGTTTCCTGGTTCGTGTCTGTCAGTCGAAACGTCGGAGAAACGTTGGTGGAGAAGTGCAATGAAAAAGATAGGGATAGGTTACCTGTTTGCATCGACACAAAGGAGCCCCAGATGGATATCGAGGAGCTGTCAAGCAGGCCGGTGATGATGTAGCACGCCAAGAGGACGAGGTCAGCCCAGTCGCGTTGCACGTCGGTCGTCAGCTTCTTCCGCAGCGATTGCGCTGGCGGTTTTCTGCTGTTGCTGCCGCCTCCAAGGAGGGGCTGCTCTTCGTCTCCATGGGTGTGTGAATCGCCGTTCACCACCGGCGCCGAGTGGGCGACGGAGCCGTACGTGCCTCCGGTTGAACTCATGTTAAAATGGGACTGCAAGTGCCAAGCTAGGTTATCTTTTGAGAGGTTCAACGACGGCAAATTGGTAAAAAAATGGACGGGAAACGGGCCTGGATACGCGGGGTTAAACAAGATCTTGTTCCTAAGCTATGACCTAAATACGGAAGCTTTACCCACTGTAGAGTAGAGCTCTGACCGGGTGACAGAGTTACGGTTATAAATAAAATAAGGTCGATGTAACGATCCGGCTTGGTGAGACGCGCAATAACCAGTGCCGTGTCTGCCGTTGGTCCACAAATGCCGATGAAAGGTTTCCAGGTTTTCCAGCCTGGTTTATATGGGCCAAGAAAGAAAGCCGAGAGTCGACGAGACAAGGCGCGGATAGCAATGCCGAAGAAAAGCCAAGAATTTACACCCCGCCTTGGAGGGACTCGAGCGTCTTTTGGTGCCTTGTGTTTCTTTGAAGAGGGGGGAAAGGCACATGGGGAATCTATCATTGGAGAAACTCAATGTAGCCTGGGCTAGATTGGATGAGATGTGCAATGGTCACTGCAATGAAACCTGTGATCCTAGGCCTGGGCCGGGCCAGCTTCTTCTTCAAGACTTCGGGCCTATTTCCCCGTCCAATTGCATCGCCTTGTGGGCTTTGGAGTTAAGCTCAATCCGCAGGAACCTGCGTCATGAGCACTACCGAGTTGTCCCCGGGCTGCGCGGACGAGGGGGGGCCATGTCCTCTCTCTGTCTCTCATTCTCATACAGAGTACACTACACATTAAATACAGAGAAACAAGCAACAGACCAGTGGGAATCGATGAGCAGTAGCATTGAGCAAGGCTGGAGCTATACCGATTCCGTTAGTCAGTTACTCATGCCCCCCCCTGTTCCCGTCATATTGCCTCCCCTTAGCCGCCTCGTAGCTAAAAGGGACAAACCTGACTGGTTCATCCCGCACGATGAGCGCCGGCCTTTCTGCCGCGTTTCACTCAGTGGGGGAACGCAGTTCAGCTTGGCCAGTAATACCTGTAGGGTAGCATGCTGGAGTGTGCCTCGAAAGCTCATACCTTGCCATGCTGCTGTAGCTGCGGGGGAGCTTGGGCTTCGGGGGTTCGGCATGCGAGTCGTCGAATTGGTTGGTGTGGTAAACAGGCATGCCTCCACAGGTTGTAGAGTGTGTGTTGACCTTGCAGCGATAGGCGGATGAGGTGATGCACCGATGACTACGAGGTTGACCTTTGTAAGCTCCGGGTTTACGTACCACAGGTCTCCCCTGTCTGCGACATGAGCAAGCTCAAGGGAGAGAGGTCAAGGCAAGGTACATTTACACTGCACAGGTATGGCATGACATGACATGGAGTTGTGACGAGAAGAGCGATGGCAAGGTAGAAGAAGGGGGGGTATAAAATCTTCATGCCTCCCCCATTGTCATAGGCAAAGCGTGGTGTACAGAACTTTCTGCATCTGTAGTTTCTCTTTTCCTGTTCTTTACTTTCTCTTCGAGAAGTTCTTCATTGACTTTTCTCCCCCTGCCCTGAGCTTGCTTTCTTGGCAGAGTGATCGGATCCGCCTCAGCGTCACATTCCCATCTCAAAAGCTCTGTAGACTCCGTTCTCACGCAGCCATGCAGCTCACCCAACCCACGGCAGCCAAGCTGCTGATGCTCTGGGCATCTCTGTGCTCGGCGGCGCCTCACTTTGACAGCCCGCGGGAGCGTCTGCTTAGGGGCATGGACATACCCGCGAGCTACCGCAAGAAGAGTGTTTTCGCCGACTCCTCCAACACGAAGAACCCGTACACGCCTGGGTTCCGTGACCCCAACGATGGCGCCGTCGACTCGGTCGGCGAAGGCCTTGACCCGCTCCCATACCGCAACGGACTGGGCGCTTCAGTCCTGGGTCCCTGGAACCAGGAGCGCTCGCGCCAGAACCCGGACCTGGTGCGCCCGCCGTCGACGGACCACGGTAACATGCCCAACATGCGATGGAGCTTTGCCGATTCGCATATTCGTATTGAGGTGAGTTTCTGTGCGGTCAATTGGCTTTCCTACTTTCAATTGAGCATATAGAGAGGCTCTATAGTCTGTATGGTAGTATAGCTGTGACTGACGTATCGTTATCGTCATAGGAAGGCGGATGGACGCGCCAAACAACCGTCCGCGAGCTGTCTACCAGCGTCGAGCTTGCTGGCGTTAACATGCGTCTCGGTGAGGGCGTTATCCGCGAGCTTCACTGGCACAAGGAGGCCGAGTGGGCATACGTGCTCGACGGCGAGGTCCGCGTGACGGCGCTCGACTACGAGGGCGGCAACTTCATTGCGGATGTTGGCAAAGGTGATTTGTGGTATTTCCCAAGCGGTGTGCCTCATTCGCTGCAAGGCCTGAGTCCCAATGGCACCGAGTTCCTCCTCATCTTTGACGACGGCAGCTTCTCCGAGGAGTCGACCTTTATTCTGACTGACTGGCTAGGTGAGTGGTACTTTTGCAATTTGTCTTAGGCTATGGCTCCCTAAAATACCCCTGTCATTTGCGTTGTACGCACGCACTATAGCGTCTTGTCTCCCCTGTCCCTCTAGTAAACGCACTATTTGGTCTTACATGAACATTGACTAACATCACTCAGCTCACACGCCCAAGTCCGTCATCGCAGAGAACTTCCACCTCGAGCCCGAAATCTTCAAGCACCTCCCCGAGGGCGAAAAATACATCTTCCAGGGCACCCTTCCCGGCTCCATCGAGGATGAGAGACCGACCGGCAAACACGCCAAGAAGTCCAAGTACAACTTCGTGCACAAGATGCTGGCCCAGGAGCCTGAAAAGACCTCCGGCGGCGAGGTGCGCATCACCGATTCCAAGAACTTCCCCATCTCCAAGACGGTGGCTGCTGCCCACCTCACCATCCAGCCGGGTGCCCTCCGCGAGATGCACTGGCACCCGAATGCTGATGAGTGGTCCTTCTTCATCAAGGGCCGCGCCCGTGTTACCATTTTCGCTGCCGAGGGTACTGCCCGTACCTTTGACTACGTCCCTGGTGACGTTGGTATTGTGCCCAAGAACATGGGTCACTTTGTTGAGAACATTGGCGATGAGCCTATTGAGATGCTTGAGATTTTCAGGGCGGACGAGTTCCGTGACTTCTCCCTGTTCCAGTGGATGGGCGAGACGCCGAAGAAGCTTGTCATTGACCATCTGTTCAAGGATGACAAGGAGAATGGCGAGAAGTTCTGGAATGAGGTTAAGGAGGCGCAGAAGGATCCCGTCACCAAGTACGAGAAGACTAACGTCAAGGCTGGAGGCTCGGTGCTCGATGGAGCTAGCGACGAGTTGTAAGGGATGCATGAGTGTATCTTAACATGTAAAATACCAGCGATTACTATAATTTGGATCAAGACATTGACACATTTCGAGTCTATCCCATGTTGGATGGAGCTGATTAAGGATAAATGACGAACAAGCCTGTTTACTTGGTCACTATAGAGTACGGGAAATACACCCATATGTAATACTACAAGTCCAGTATATCCCATCGTTTAGTTAAGCTCGTGGGCAGACTTGATCGCCTTTGACTTTCCAGTGTCCAACACCACGGCTGGATCGTCTGGGTCTCCGTTGCGCGATACCTCGTTCCCGCGTTTCGTCTCAATAGTTGTCCTAAAGGATTGTTAGCAATTCCCACCCACTTCTCCATGACGGAGTCACTCACTTCTCTTCCTTCACGTCAAGCACCTTTCCTTCGGGTTGTCCGTTCCCCCAGTTCCAGCTGACGGTGTCGCCCTTCTTGGGGCCTTTCTTGGTTTTGCCGCCATCCTCGCCGCCGTCCTCCATTTCCTCGTCATCCTCTTCAGCGCCATCCACCTCCTCTTCGTTCTCGTCTCCATCCTCGTCCGCTTTGGTAGTCTCACCCTCGCCCTGGCGAGTCTGTCGCTTCTTATTCGACCCGTTCTCCTCGCCAGTCTTCTTTCGCTTGTCACCCGTCTTTTCCTCTGTCTCGTCCTCTGCTACCTCCTCTTGCTCCTTACTCTCATCGGCCTGTTCGTCGTTCTCCGCCTCCTCCTTCTTGCCATTCTTCTTGGATCCATTGGATTCAGCCTTCTCCTCATCGCCATTCTTGCTGTCCGAAGACTTTCCGTTCTTCTTGCCGGTGTCCTCCTTGCCCTGGGCCTTGAGGAAATCGTGGCCCCAGTTCTTGAGCGACGCATACGACTTCGTCTTCTTCACCTCCTCGGGCGACTTTTCACTGTTCGTCTTGGTCTCTTGCGCTAGGTGACGCTTGCTGTTCCATGTGTAAGCTTTCGTCTCACAAGTCCAGTGCAGCCGGGGATCGCGTACCAATACGCCACAACCTTGCGCATGTGCTCGACCTGCTCATCCGTGTACTCATCCTCCTTCTTCTCCGGGTTCGCGCTGAGAATCTCCACAATCTTGCGCCCGCTGTCGTGTCCAACCGTCTCACCCTCTCCGTCGGCATCGTCTTTGGGCCATCCGGCGCTGTTGGAGTCGTCCGACTTGAGCCACGACTCGAGCTCTTCTGCCGTCATGTTGACATACTCGTTGAACTCGGCGATGACCTCTTCCTTGCCCTTCATGTTGACGGTTTGCGGAATGTAATTTCTGGTAGTAGTTTGCGATGGACGAGGGTTTTAATCGGTTACTAGGTGTATCACGCGGAGTAATCACGGTTGCAGCAATGACAGGATAGTCAACATGGCAGCCCCTTGCGGGGGGATCCAAGAGCTATTTGAGGGAAACCCAATTGACTTTTTTTTGCTTTGCCTTTTTCTCCCCTTCTTCTTCCCCGGTCTTTGTGTCACTGTTGGATGTCTGACCCCAACCCCCTCCACAAGAGGAGAAGGGTGCCCACAGATGCGTTCACATTATGGACCAGCCGCACACGGACAGTTCGTCATGATGTTTCGGGTGAAATGGTGTCGTCATAGAAACACCATCGATCCCCCTTGCATATGGTGGTGGCTGGGTCGGTTTGTAACTGGTGAAAGCTTATGTGTGTTACCACCAAAAGTCTAAAAAAGCAATGAAAAGCTCAGCTTGGAGCTCCTTTCGGCACATCAATTGGCCAATCATGGGCTGTAACCCATAGAAGCTCCGTGAGCTTGCTTTGCTTCACTTGCGGGGTCTGAGCCCGTCAAGGTTGTGTGAGTGAACCTGGTTGTCATCGGCCGCCAATAACGGCGCTATGGAATTTAGAGCATTCTTTTACGTCTGCGGTTCATTACGATGGTATTAGGTTTACGGAATGTATCTAGATGCCGTCCTTCTGCTGCTTGGACCCTTCCGGGGTCTGTCTCACGGAATATTTCCCCACAGGTTCAAACGCCAGGCACGGATTTTTAGTAACCTAGGTGTTTTTGTTCATCTTGATGCTGCTTCTTCCCCATGTCTCATGTGAACAGGCAACCGGTTTGGTCCGTCTTTACAACGTCGCCGAGGTTGGAACCCAGCTGGCCGGCACGCGCGATCCATGCCTGTGGTTTGTTTGTGGTTAGCAACGGTGTTTACTGCCGGGGAGGGGGGGGGGGGGGGGGATGCGTTAGGTCTGTGACTTACATCGAGAACCTCGTCTTCGGGGTTCTGCTGGCGACTGAGGACGAACAGCGTCGTGAAGTTGTTGGATTGGACGAGGGCAAAGTCGGGGGTATAATCTGTGAGATGATAGTCAGTCGCTTGCCTCAAAATAGACGCCTGACGCTATTCTATCGGCGTTTGTGACAGGTCACATACCTTGAACAATGTAGTTCGGGCCCGCACAGTCGGGGCCGGGCTGTCCGGGAAACTGCACACGAAGAACACCCTTGGCTCCGTAGGAGGGGTCGGCGGGCGCGGCGGTGCCCAGGATGTTGACCGCGCGGTCTCCGGCCTGACAGGTGTTGTTCACCTGCACGGTGCCGTTATCCTGTTTGATTCAGCAATTGTCTCTCCCTCCTTAGCGTCACCAGGACTCACGTTCAAAGAGTACTGCGCAAATATGCACTTGCAGCCGGCGGTGAAGGGCGCGATAGTACCGGCGACCTGGTACCAGCGGCCAAGATAGGACTCAAGGTCAAAGGCAGAGTCCGGGGCGGGATAGAAGCATTTGCCGTCCCAGACGGAGGGGACGACATTCGGGATGGTCGGCTCGGCGGTCTCGTTGGTGGTTGCGGCCGCGGTTGCGATGGCGGCTCCGGAGAGGAGGGTGGACAGGGTCGAGGGTCTCATGGTGATGGCTGCAAGTCTGATAGCTTAATCCCAACTATTCAGCAAGTCTAATAACTCTTATTGACACGTTCTCAGGTAGGAAGATCTACTGTTCGTCTGAATTGAGCTTAGATCACTGGAAGACACGAATTCAATTGTACGACCATCCCATCATTCCCTTTTAACTATTTACCCTTCATACGCCTCCATCGTATAGTCGTCCCATGGCGGTGCTATTTCCTGTAATGATGAACACGCCAATGCTTACCTCGCAACTCTCAAGTGTCCGAGGTCCGAAGTCAGCAGATATTGTTGGTCTTGAGAATGTTGTTGAGCTTCGAAATGGTGACGACATTGATACCTCTTTGGGCTATGAATTCGCTGCCAAGTCGGCTGGCTGCGTGGCCCTGCAGCGCTGTGGTTCTTGTGGTCCCTGTTTGCCCTACTATACGCCATTCAGCGCTCCAAGAGACCCTTGAAGTCCCTGGTTTAGTGGGCTTCTGGCGTGTGCTGTGCCGATCGTCATGACCCTGTCAGTTGTTCGTTTTGTTTCTCCGCACACAAAATGCCTTGCCAATCGGCGATTTCAATACAAGATCTGAGATGGTTGGTTTCGTCATTAAACACGCAGGTCCACGAGTGCCAAGCAGGCATTTCGTGGACTAATTAAAGGTGAAGATGTGTATAAGGGATTCATAATTTTGTTTAATGCATTTAGGGTCTTGGAGGAGTGCCGCCGTTCAACGAAAGACAAAGAGGCGCTCAGAATGGCGATCTGACTCTGCCTCGATCAGTAAACGGTTTTATTGTAGCACCAATTCGAGAGATTGGGGGAAACTGTTCAAAGACGATTACTCTCGATAAAAGAAGCATTCAAGTAGATAGGCACCAAGGCTGGATTATGCAGGTCACTTTGTGGTTGCAACCTTTAGCAATGCCGAGCCCATCCTAGTCGTACAGGGTGAACGCATATCCAAATTTCGCTGCCAACACCTAAGCTGTTTCGCTACAATAGTCTATTTCTAATCATTGATTTACATCCGAAATAGACGGCGCTGCGCTGCGTGAGTTTCCCGTCCGAGTGGGGCCGTCCCCGGGAATCTTGACTCGATAACCACGGCCAGGTCATCGCCGGACAAGGTCGTCTGAGGTCCGGCGGCCATTATTCAATCGACCGAGGAATGGGTTTACATCTCGGGATAGATTATCATGCCACCAGTGCCGCTCACAAAATGCTCTTGAGGATAGCCTAGAAGATCACAGGAGTAGCCTGCTCGAAGCTTGAATTTGGCACAAACTTTACGTCCTAACATTCTTGAGAATGCAAGAATAGGCTTCTCAAGTTTGTTACGAATTCAGTTCATAGCCTCGCTAGAATTCATTTCATTCTACGAGACTGATTTCACAGAAGGACACTATTATGTTGCGGTAGAAGTCAGGCAAAGGTAGCTCTGTGGTGTCATCTCAATATTTAGACATTTACGCGATATCCTTGCTCTGGACGATGGTTCCGAAAGCATCTCCAATCTCGCTCAATGCAACCTTGGTGAGCTGGGCAGCATCAACACCAGGAATGTCACGGTCACCGACAGCATCCTCCGCCACGAGAACATCAAATCCACGCTGAGCAGCTTGTCTCGCGGTAGTGGAAACACAGACATGTGCCTATCACCTGTCAGTCTCTTGCATCGTTCATTCTTGAGAAAATGGCTCACCATGTATCCGGTCAGCACGACCTTCTTTCCCTTCTCACCCTGGCTCTCGAGATACTCCTGCAAGTCCGTTCCGGCGAATGAGCCAGGGAAGTTCTTGTGGACAACCTTTTCGCCGTCCTTGGGCGCCAACTCCTCAAACTCCTCGGCAAGCCGCGTCTGGGGGGTGAAGACGGGAGCGCCCTCGGGCGTGTCGTGGACGACGTGCACAATGCTGCCGTTGGCGTCTCGGTACTTCTTCAGCAAGGATGCGATCGCCTGGCGGGAGACGGACACATTGGAGACGGCGAGCTTGCCCTCGGCGTACTCGTTCTGAGCGTCGATGATGACGAGGGTGCTGTCAGTGGGGGTGGCCGTCGAAGGCGGGGCACCAATGATCTGGCGGAATGAGGTTGCTGAGGCCATTGTTGCAAGGTGATGAGCGTCCAAATTCTGATATGTACTCTGGGGTATGATCAAGGATCAATAAGCTTAATCTTAAAAGAGTGAAGATTTCTTATCTTAAGTCTGTGAGGCACTTACTATGTGGCCAGGTAATCGACCTGGCGTCTCCGCACTTTGTTTGTCATTGAGTTAGCTGCATTTGTCATCGATCCCGTCATCCAACCCTGACGCGAGAAATGAGACACCTAGCCCCGCCCGGATGCCGAGGTTGTTCTCCGAGACCCCTGGTGATAACTAGCTGTGCCTTGCTTTCTTTAATGCATTATATCAATTGAAATGACAACACGTCAGTATAGGTATTATGTAGGATTAACCTAAACCTTTTACCATGTATAGCTGTGAAGCTATCAATGTAGAGGTCATAGTGGTCACCAGTCGTGATATCTCGATGAAAGTTGCTTCCTGTATCATTAGAAACTACGCACGTTACCCAAAGGCAAATCAACTTTTTGACTCATAAAACGCACGACAATTGATATCCTGATTTGCAATCATTCTGTTGCAGTCGTCGGAATTCCGGTATGGAATGGCTCCGTACAAACACTGAAAAGTAGACTTGTTTTTTATTTCTCTGTCAGAACCATTTACATAATCCCTTTGATCAAGTCAGCAACCGGCAGAGGATGTCCATAAAAAGGCACTGCATTCGTCAGCTCTTGCTCAGTTTCGTCTCCATCACGACATGGCACACTCCTTCGCACGTTAATGTCGTACCAACCTATACATGCTAGACTGTTGAGGTGCTTGAGGAACTCCCCAGTATCAACATTCATAATTCGAACGGGAGATCTCAGACTCAAACCCTTGTAGTCCTCTTGGATACTGCGCGACCAATCGTAGAGGTTATGGGTGAGAGAATCGAAGGCTTGCAGCGCAGGGAATGAATCAATTGCGTTACCCGTTCATAGTGTGTATGATCTAGCGAACCCCAATCAGATCCGACTTTAGGAAACCGAACAAAATCCTTTTGCGGTTGTTCATGATTAATCGGCTCTCCGACTGAAGAGTTTCGTGGTCGAAGCTCAACCATATGCAGCAGGGCGACGGGCTTGGGGCATTTCGAGATGGCCTCCTATAGCTAGAAGAGTTTCGAAATTCGTAGCATACCTCAACAGCAGCAGGAACGGGGTGGGTGAAATCCATATGAGCATTGGCTATTAGGCTGCCGGACCACCAAGATTTGGGGTTCAAATGCGAGTTTCCAAATCTTGATGCGAAACTCGGCCGGCATATCAGCTCTCCTAAGCGGGGGGGGGGGCGGCTTGTACACCATATCTTCGCATATCTTGGCGGCTCGGCCGTGACGATCAAAGCCTCCTACCAGAACCATATCCACCCTGTCGCCGGTTTCGCTTCTGACGATCGTGATGACGTATCGTAACAAGGCGTACGCCAGTCGAAGCATCTCGGATTTCTGTGGTGTAGCAAGAAGTCATTTAAAGATAAATCGTGAAGCTTATTGATGAAGATTTATAGGAAGTCTTCGAGCTCTAGGCTCGAATCCTGATCTCTATATTACTGGGAGTGTCTTAGGACCGATATCATCTTATCCGTCCTGTACCTGATTGGTCCTAGGACAACCCCTTCTACACACAGTTCCTCCTGTCCGATTGTACCTCCGTTTGGCTATTTCTTGTGTTTACTGAGCGGCTATCCTGTTTTGCCGTGTGGGGCAGGCTTCAGGCTGCACTTGTTTACCAACAGATTTCGGGTCCAAACACTAGGGCAGTCTGTTAGTTATAGTCTACATAATCCATGTATTATTAACAACCTTCTCGGAGCTAAGCATTCTGGCTGCGGTATCCGTATATTTGGGGAAACGGAAGCCTAATTGTACACTGGTCTCCAGCATTAAGCCAGAAGCAGGCCTCGACAGCTCTTTTTGGTGCGCCTTCAACACAGATAATTTGGCGATGGTCACGGCTATTGACCAACCTCAAAACCCCGTATCTTGTTCCCTTGGAAGGCCTGGAATAGTAAAACATATGTGGAGAGTGGTAATCGGTGTCGTATTGTCCGTCAAAATTTATTATGCCACTCGTACCAGCTGCTGCAACAACCGACTTTGCAGGTGCACAGTCTATAGCTGTAACGTGACAAATCGTGGCAGTCAGAGCAAGAAGACTAGAGAACCTCATTGTGCGAGAACCTAGAGAAGGAGTCAAAGAGTAAGAGACAGATGCTTGGAGACCGCGGTGGGATGAGCTTGAACGCATGGAAACCTAGGCTGCAGGAGCCTCTTATAAATACCTTTTATGACCTGGCCATTGCGGTGCTGGACGACGTGACTTAATGCAGAACAGGACGTAATTAGACAGAGTTTTGATTTCTACACTTTTACTTCGTAGTGTGATTGGTTGTCAAGACATCCTCTGGAGGAAGGACGTAGGAGAGATAGCCATATGAGGGTTTGGAGGCGTAGAAGGCCCACTGCTGTGGAGGCAGGGGTAGCACGCGGGAACCAGTCTTCAGGACCGGCGGAGGAGAAATTGTAAATAGCATCGTTATCGCTCATGTACACTCGCTTTAGATTTTCAGCAATTCAGAAGCCAACACGTAAGCTTTTCGTTCGTTTCGTTCGTTTGGGTCTGTAAGTACCGACAGCTATCGAATAAAACTATTTCCTTTGTTCCTTGGCCTGTGGTTACGAGTTGGCAAGTTGCCCCATACATATGCTACCTTACTCACAAGATGGGTGGTTTTTGTGGGCTGGGTGTGTTGTTGTTTGTGAGCGGCCTTGGGCCAAGAACCTGTCTCACAGCGATATTAGTGGGTGACTGGATTGAGACTTGGTAGGTTGGTTTTCGATGTCGCCTCTTCCTAATGGACTTTAGAACACCGCCAGCCGCTTAGTAAACAGTTTCTTAGGATGCGTTCATGACTCAAACCCGACGTTACGATAGACTCGCATATCTTATTTAATTACAAACAATATATGCCTCAATCCACGGGGCTTCGGTCTTACCGTTGCTAGCATTGTGTTCGTCACTAGTCTTTATGACATGGGTATCATCATCGTCTTCGGCATCCCGGTGTGCCTTCATCTTTTGCGTTGTCCCTGCAAGCACAGTTGTCTTCGTGTCGGGAAAGAAGTAACACGTTACATACTTAATGTACTGTGCTATAACGGTAGTGTCTATTGAAATATTTACTAAGTCTACAGTTGTGGCTGATCTGTATACTAACTAGCATTAGTGATAGGAAAACAAAAGACTTTATATCATTGTAACAACAATACTTACTAAACACTTCTTTTTTCGAGCACATGACTGTTTCGATGCTACCAAAAGGTATGATGAATACTTAATTACCCTTAGACTATTGATCTCGGAAACGGTAGAGTCAAATGTGCCGGATAGGAAGGATGGTAATCCGAGACAGGGGTAATTAACACACCATCTGGAGGCACTGGCCCGTAGCGGGCTCTCAAACCCTCACAGCAATCTTATCCGACGCTCATGCCAGCTCCGTGTCGTTACCCGATCAGGCTGCCTGTAGTATGTAAGTACCTGTCTAGCATCTGCAGAAATGCAGTCCACTTATCTTCCATACTAGGTTATAAAGTATGTTAATTGATGGTAGGGCACCCCATGTTCCGTGTATACGTATGTTGATAAAATCCTCTTATCTGCTGACTGGCATTTTCTCAGGCGGTACATGAACTTATCATTGAGTTTCCCACATTTGCCTGGCAAAATCCGTCCCAAGAGTACATCCGCCATCGTGCGGGTTACCTTACTTCCGTCCATCTCGGACTGTTTGCCCACTTCTACATAGACTTGTTCTAGGACTATCCCCCACCACATATCAATCTATGATAGTTCAGCTAATTTCACGCATGGATATCAGCTCATACAATCATTTTTGGCAAAGCCATCTCTTGAAGCAATTCGCAAGGCTAACTAAGCTTCCGTTCGTTCCGGAAGACACAGGTGGGTGAAATTTCTGCAACGTGTATATATACTCAGAACGGAGAACATACCACCTTTCTTAGACCACTATCGAAATCTACGAGCAGTAAGTAGAAACATTGGAAACCATACGGCTATGTGCTAATACCAAACAAAGGAGTACAAGTTTCTCGATAGTTAGACCAACGATAATCAACATGCATATTATCACTTCTTCTGTTGTGACATTGGCCTTGCTAGCTGGCCAAGCTCTTGCTGTTTGTGGCGAAGGCACATTCAACGGAAACACCAACAACATTAAGAGAGTATCCAACTGTTCTCTAAACAAGAACAACGTCTATTTCTGCGGAAGCTCCGGGACCTCGGTTGTTCACAAACAGAGCCAGCTCATGCTTCGCGCTGGAAAGGTTGACTCTACGGTTCTCGTCAACTGCGGCGGCTACGGATTTTTCTACCATTGTTCTGCGGGGGAAGAAGCCAGATTCAGGGAGCCTACGTGCAAGGGTGCAGTATGGGAAGTGGAAAATATCAAGGAGCTCTGAAGTAGTTAAGAAGTGCCTGATGGCACGCGGCCGGTACTTGGCAAACAGATTGAAGAGTCTATCACGCTCGCTGGCTCATAATCGGGCGTGCCGTAATTTCTACAGCAAGAGGCATCATCTTTGGAGTTATCAGGGTTAGAAAGGAGCAGGGACTAGATTAGACGCTTTAACATATCTAAGCGAGGGTTGGCCAGTAGCTCAGGGAGAGAGCATATTTCAGCGTTAGCATATATCCATACCTACCGGTTCAATTTGAACCAGTCGTTCTTCACTCTGTTTAAATTACTATGACAACTAGCCACTGAAACTAAACAACCGCTAGGCGTAGCACGAACACAGGGCACAAAGACAGACTAGGTTTCCATCAAAAAAAGGCTTTGAACGAATCGACACTCTCAAAACAAGCCAGGGCAGAAAGTGAAGATAGGTATAGACTCGTTTCGATCACAAAGATCCCTTGGGAATGTGTAATCCTCAGCGTAATAGCCTCTAGTTGATATATTGATCTATTTTTTTTGATAGTTACTATTAGCCGTTGTAGACACGCAGCAGCTGCTGCTGTGTCAGTCGCTAGGCTTTTCTACCACTCGGGTTATACGTCAATTGTTGCCTATTGTTATCGAATCTTATGAGCCGTCTGGTTTCTCTTAAACTCTACGCATCGAAACCTTGCATTCCCATCGGGAATCGTGTAGCCCAATTACACTTACTACAGATGTAGGCCACAGCGAAAAACAGCTCTTTAGACTTTCTCAAGGCACTTGTGTGGTAACTCAGATATCGGTCCAGTACGCGGCTGTTCAAAAAGTTGTTATATACCTTAAGGCGGGAGATTCTTTGTTACTCATGTCACTAGGAAACACAGTTTTGTGTAACAAATCCTTGATCTGGCACTAAGCATAGCAACAATTCAAAGCAGTGCCTTTGAAACTACAAAATTCAAGGCAAGCCAAACTGCGTCAACAGAGCCTGAGGCGGCCACTCCCCCTTCACCTCTTCATCAAGATCGCTTTCAAAAGTGTAAGTTCCAGACCCGACTGTCTTATCCTCGCTTCCATCGGGCAACGAGACAACGGCAGACGCATTCGGTGGCACCGTCAGCTCCAGATTCAACTTGCCACCCGAATTAATCTCCCATCGACTGCGAACCTGACCGCTCGGGCTCAGAAACTCTACTTCCGCATGCTTCAAGTCGCCACCCGGCCGCGGCTTGACCGAGAACTTCTTCCACCCAGGTTCCAGCGGCGACAGTCCTCCGATGCTCGCATGCATCCAGTTCGCCACGCTGCCGAGGGCGTAGTGGTTGAAGCTGGTCATCTCGCCCGGGTTGATCGTGCCGTCTTCCAGCATGCTGTCCCATCTCTCCCAGACTGTCGTGGCGCCCATGCGTACGGGGTATAGCCACGAAGGACACCCTGTTTCGAGCAGCATGCGGTATGCGTGCTGGATGTAGCCCATCTCGGAGAGCGCGTGCAGGATGACGGGCGTGCCCGCGAATCCCGTCGAGACTCTGAACTTGGAGTACTTTACCAATCTCGACAGCCTCTCCGCGGCTGCTTTCCGTTGAGCGGCAGTGTCATGCAGGTTGAATAACAAAGCCAGGGCCAGCGCGGTCTGAGAGTCGGCAACGATGAAGCCTGATTTGGCGATGTACTTGTCCTGGAAGAGCTGCTTGAGGCGCTTGTGTTCAGACGCGAACCTCTCGGCGTCGTCGGCGTTGTTGAGAATGCCCGCAATCTGCGAGATGACGCCTGTGACGTGTACGAGGTAGGCGTCTGCAACGAGAGTGCCGTCAGTTCTAGCAAGACCTGGCTCGGCAGGCGGAGCGTTGGGGTCCAGCCAGTCGCCAAGCTGCCATAGAGCGGGGTCCCAAAGACCGTCTTCTCCCCTTTGGATGGATTTCAAATAGTCTATCATTCCAGAGTACGTCTCTTGGAGAACTCCAACGTCACCAAACCACTTGTACAGTGTCCAAGGCACCAAGATGATCACATCATCCCAGATAGCCTGCGGTAGCGGTGGGAACGGGCCATCTTTCATGACATTGGGGACCACAAGCGGCACGACGCCATTCGCATCCTTTTGGTCCAGGACCACATCCCGCATCCAGTTACTCAGCATACCGGCGCAATCATAGAGGAAAGAAGCGGTTGGGCTGAAGACTTGGATGTCGCCAGTCCAGCCAAGACGCTCGTCACGCTGGGGGCAGTCGGTCGGGATGGAGACAAAGTTTCCCCGCATACTCCAAGTGACGTTGCGGTGGAGCGCGTTGATATCGTCGTTGGAACAGGAGAAGAAGCCGGTCCTCTTCATGTCGGTGTGCATGACCACCGCCGAGACGGAATCGAGCGTTACCTCGTCTGCTGCCCAGCCGTCGAGCTCGACGTAGCGGAAGCCGTGGTAGGTGAAGTGCGGAGACCAGTTTTCCAACGAGTACCCGTTGCCAAAGATGATGGTGTCTATCTGCTTTGCTCTCCGCAGAGGACGAATGCCGAGGAAGCCATTCTCAAGGACTTCGGCGTGGCGGATGCTGAGGCGATGGTTATCGGGCTTTTGGAGGGAGTGGACGACGAGTTTGCCGACTAGGTTCTGGCCGAAATCCACCAGGGTCTTTCCAGATGGATCTGTAAAGATTTTGACGGGCTTGACTGTCTCTGTAATGCGAACCGGTGGGGAGGAGGAGGCGACGAGGGAGACTTTGGGAAAGGGGAGGGTCTCTACGGACGTCCACTTGGACTTGTCGTGGTGCCAGTCAGGTACTTCGAGATTGAGGTCATATGCCTCGCCGTCGTAGATTTCACTTCCTACTATGGGCGAAGGATGGCATTCCCAGGTTTCATCGGTGGTGAGACGGAAGCCCGGAGCCGAAGACGCATCGTCGAGAACATCTAGTTGAGCTAGAACACCGATCCGGTCGCCGTAGAAACAGGTCAGCCCATCTCCCCAAAGCACACGGCCCGCGTACCATCCCTCGCTCACTTCAACCGAGAGTACATTGGTTTGCCCCGGCTTTAGAAGTTGGCCGATGTCAAAGACCTGGTACTGGATACGGTGTTGGTACGCCGTCCAACCTGGGGCTAGCCACTCATCTCCGATCCTCTTGCCGTTGAGGTAAGCCTCGTATATTCCCAGAGATGTGATGTAAAGTCTTGCCCGTCGGCCGTTGAGCTCTGGAATATCGAACGTCTTGCGGAATCGTACTGGACGGATACCTCGCTCGTCGGGGTGACGTTCGGATCGCGGAGGTGCTGTGATGGGCTTGGCGGCCCAGGAATCATGAGATAGTAAGGCAGCCTCAACAGTTGCTGGCTGGGACCATTCTGTGTCTTGTTGGCCGTTGTCAAAAGTGCCGTTAGACTTGACCCGGACGGTGGCAGCCTCTGCTGAAGACAATGGGGTGTCGGGCCACGCCACGAGAGCGGTTGAGGTGCCTTTTACATGAAACGTCTTGGGCTCTTTCCCATGACGAGTGATTTCAATGTCGTAGGAATCTTGGTTCCAATTGTTGGGTATGGCGGTGGATGAGATTCTCCAAGACATGCGAGGAGTAGAAGATGGGACACCGAGCCCATTCGGGAGGTGCTCGAAGCGGAGGTCCGTAATCTGTAAAGAAGACATGATGTGGCACCATACACGTTCTCGGTGCACCAGAGTGAAGACAGATGCTGTTTATGAAACCTGGGGAAGCAGACTAGATATCCACCAGGGGTCCTCAGGGTCCTTGCAGGTTCAGATACGATCAGGTTTGATCTATATCCACTTTCCGATCGGCAACTGCTCTCGGCTTCAATATTTGAATCACGGTTGGGCGAGCCCCGCGGCCGGTGACATCAGCACCGAAAGGCCGAGCTGCAGGACTCGCGGTTCCGGAGGAGTTGTAACCGAAGCTTGAAAGTCAGAACGGTGACATTCTCACAACTCTGCTGTCTTGGCAAACCTTTTTACTATTTGACTTTACATATTTTGTATCAGAACACCTATAAGTTTTCCACTTTTCCTAGTATTGTACCGTTATAGGGTTCGGTTTTGGTACCCATCTCCATAGCACCACATGAAGCTAATTCTCGCAACAGATCTAAAGGGGCTTGTAGAAGAGAAAATAAACAGTTAAAGACATTATTTAAATCATCAATATATCCTCCTATCACCAAGACTTTACCGAAACTCACCGAGACTCACCGAGCATACCTCGGTAACCCCTTTCTTACCCTCACTGGCCAGAACCAGCTGAGACCCGCATAATAGTGGAAATGTATCCACAATGGGTCTATAAAAGTCCAATCGGAGCAAAGCGACTAAGCGACGACCCAATCACAGGTCTAAAGCTTCCCCGCAATATCCGCTATCGTGGGTTCCCCGCAGCACTAGTGGCTTTAATGCGGGTGCTTGTTACTGACCGAGACCGGCTACCTCGACATTTTGGCCCAAAGGCCCTGGTGCGAGATCCATTCTTTTTTCTCCTCCCGCATGACCTTCCGAAACCTTTCATATTGTGTAAAGAAAAAGGAACTTGTAAACGACTGCATCGGGCTACAATAACGGATGTGTCGATCATTGCATATTCTATAGACCAATTTTGGGTTTGGCATATATGTTCCATCTAGGCTAGCAGAATGCTCTCACCAACCACGATAAACGATAACGACTCAACCACAGCTCCCCTCGACCGAGTCGACAGCATCGACTCCCAAGTCAGACCCCAGTCTCGGTCCCAGTCTCATTCTCACTCTCAAGTCCACTCGCATTCCCACGGCCCCTCTCACTTTGGTGGTGCTGCCACTCCCGCCGCCTCATCAACATGGGGCCTTGGTGACCCGACTCCCTCACAGCATCTGTCTTCCGAGGCCTCAACATCGCCTGCCGAGTCATGGCGGCTAGATGAGTTTGTTACCGACCCTGGATATCTCGCCTATCAAGAGGAACTGAGATGTCTCATCTTCAACACTGCCCAAACAGCTGCTCCCACCCGCGAGGGTACACCTGAGGCTGCCGATGGTGGGTTCGCTGCAGGAGGATTTGCTGCTCCGGGTTCCATTCTGGGAGATGACTCTGCGGCAAGACGGCACGCCGGCCAGATTTTAGGGACGGGGAGGAGACTGGAATACTTGAAGAACTATGTAGGCGAAGTTGCGCCATGGGTAAGTTTGAGGGTCCTTGGAAATATGACCTACACATATGCTCACACACCATATAGCTCGACATGTTTGACAGCGACCGTGCCTTTGGAATTCAGGTACCAGTGCTGGCGCGCAGCTCTCCGGCACTCTTGTATGCTGTATTAGCGTTATCAGCCCGCCAGATGGAGCGCAAAGAGGGAAAGCAAACATCCTTTGACAGTCTGGAGCTGTATCAGGAGGCCATCCGCTTGCTGACGCCTCTCTTGCAATCCCGGGACCAGAAGATCATCCCAATCTGCACGATACTGTGCTGTTTGGAGATGATGTCCGCCAGTGCCCAAGACTGGCGGAAGCATCTCGAAGGGTGTGCTGCCCTGTTTGACTCATTCTATGTGCACGGGTTCAGCGGCGGTCTGTTGCAGGCCGTCTTCTGGTGTTACGCCAGAATGGGTACGATCTTTGTCCATCAATGTTATCCGTCCATTTACTGACTCTACAGATCTTTGCGGCGCTCTCATCTCTGACGGCACAGAGAGCACTCTCCTAACCCCATCGAAATGGCTACCCAGCGGCGCCTCTCACAGCGAAGCACGCGAGCTCTTCCACCAGTCCGGAACCCCCGACATGCACGCCAACTACGCAGTCTACTTGTGCGCCAAGGTATGCGAGCTGGTGGCGGACAGAACGAGATACTTCGAGCTCGGCGACGCCAACGGCTGCAACCCTGACGAATTGACCGACAGATGGGTTCGTCTATGGGAGGACCTCCAAGCATGGACAAGGGACCGCCCACCAGAGCTTCTACCGGTCCAAAGCATTCAGAGCAGCCCCTTTCCTCAAATCCTGTTCCTGCACTGGGCAGCCATTTCTTCCAATCAATTATACCACACGGCTTGCACACTGCTCCTCGGATCAATGCCCAGGCCGCTCAACATCAAACTGGGCGTGACGGGATCGGCAATATGGCATGCCAAGTGTATTTGCGGCATCTCGTTGGCAAACCCGCACCAAGGATGCCTGAATAATGCCATACAGCCGTTATGGGTCGCCGGCCGGCTTCTCAGCCACAAGTCCGAGCATGCACTGCTGGTCAAACTGATCCGCAGCATCGAAGCAGTCACCGGATGGGGCACGTGCTGGCGAATCGACGACCTCGAGACCGCCTGGGGCTACAAAGTTCGCAAAGAGCTTAGGGTTGCCGACATGGCAAGATGATCATCGTCATGGCATAACTTTGCTAAGAGAAAACATTACTGCTATCGGAGGTATGGTATGGTTTGGTCCCAAGAAACGGCACTGCCATCATCGCCTTGATTTTTTTTACAAACACCAACCAACCAACCAAACCTTACATAAAACCCCAGTCCTCACGGACTTTACTCGAGAACCCATCTACATCCCAGCCCGTCAGCGACTTGACGCGCTCGAGGCACTCCAGAATCGCCCTCTGCTGGGGCTCATACGTCATGCGCTGTGCCGCCAAATACAACGACGCCACCAGGCAAAGATCCCAGCTGTCCCTGCGGTCGTTGTTCAAGGCTATGCCGCAGACGCGCTGGGCATGCCACAGCGGCGACATGGAAGACGACTTCTTCCCAGCCGCCTGCAGCGTCCGCGGCTTATTCTGCAGTAATAACAGCATGGCGGTGTGGTATAGCTGGTTCGCGAATACGGCGGCGCCGTTGGTGAAGAGGATGATGTGGAACAGGTTGTCGTCGCCGCCGCCGTCGATCTCGACCATCGGCCGGAACTCCTGGGCTCGGTTGGTGTACCAGACGCCGAGGGCGTCGCTGAGCATGGTCCAGCGGTGGACGGGCGTGAGCGGCACGCCGAGATCCGGGGTCTGCGGCGGGAAGCTGCCGGCGCAGAAGTTGACCACTTTGGCGCAGAGGAGGAGCGGCTCGATTGTGTATTGGAATATCGTCTCTGCCACGGCGGAGGAGTTGTTCCATTGTTGAGATAATGGGTTGTAGTTTAATTGCTCAGGGACGGATATCGGAGCGCCGGTTACGAGGGCGGCTGCGAGTTCTGCGACCGAGTCAGCATCCGGGAGAGTATTACACTAGCCCATCCATTGTAAGAGTTGCATACCAAGCCTTATCAAAACAGAGAGAATTGTTATCGTTTTCGGGCCTGCGTCTGCAAGTGCCATGCTCCAAAAGGTGTCGCTGATGACGGGCAGTTCGTGCCAGCCGTTTGGTATGTTTGAGATGAAGCGGCAAGCTGTTGACAGTGTCAAGTGAGCTAGATCGCCGTCGTTAATGTTGTTAACACCGTTTTGTTTCATCGGTCCTGTTTCAGCAAGAGATTTGAGGTATTCCATGTCGTTTGGTGTCGCTCGTAAATCGCCTTGCTGAGCAATGGCTGATACCGCCAGGAGAGCATGTAGAACCGCCTCGGATTCAATCGCAAGGCGCGGGACATAGAGACCGAATGTCTGGCTCATGTCGCATAAATCGAGCTGGCAGAGGGTCAATCAACTTTCTGATAAAACCAAATACCTGTGAGGCGTCAGGTAAACTCACCCAAGGCGCAACCTGATATCGAAAGTGGCGCAACAGCTGGAGCAACCTGTCCTGCGAAATGCTGGCGGAGGCCGGAGCGCGCGCCACGCTCGAATCTCTCCTCTCCCTGGTCGAATTCGGCGAGACGGACATCAAGTCCTTTGGACTCATCCCCATGCCATCGGCACCGATCGCGAACGGCCCCGAGTTATGGCCGGGAGACTGGCCCATGCCGGTCGCGCCCTCGCTGCCGAGAGACAGCAGGACGTTAAGCGCAGTCTCATACGCGGCGTCGTTGTTCGGTGACGTGCCGGGTACCTTGCCCGTAATGTCGAGATTCCGCACGGGGGACGACAAGCTCTCATGCCCGAGACTCTGCGCGCGCCAATGCGCCGGCGGAGGATGGTGATTCTGCGCAATGCTCGGCTCGACGGGAAGCGGTTTCGGCGTCGGGGGTTCCGGCGGCTGCAGATTCGCCTGGAACGTCATGACCGTCGGCGTATGCGCGTGAGCCGTCAGCGGTGGCGACGGCGCCGCCGCGGTGCCGGTTACAGCTACATCGTGAGCCTTTTGCGATTGAGGCGAACCCGGCGCTTCTTTGGCGCCTTGCTTCGCGGCTCCCGGACTGACGAACTGGCTGGGTTGTGAGCTTCGATGAAGGAAGTGGGTGAGATCAGGTCATTTGCATGTTTTCCATACGCGTACCTGGAGCCTCGAGTACTTTGGCGTCGTCGCCTCAGTCGCTCTCGGCGACGGCGAGACGGTCAAGGCATTCTTGTTCAAGAAGGTCAATCGAGGGCCGTATTGGCAGTCAAAATTGCCGTCGATGCAGCGCTGACAGCGCGGTTTGCCTTCATCGCCTGTGGTTTTGGATCAGCTTCTTGTTTTTCGTTATTTCATTTTTTGGCACAGGAGTATAACCGAGGGAAAGGCGAAAAGGAACAATAGCAACACCAGCGCAACAGTGGAGATCAGACCAACTACGCTGCTGAGATTACGAAACCAAACACAAGGAATAGAGCTCACATTTGCGCCGTCGGATCCGACATTTTAGACACCCGGTGCGCGTTCTCTTGTGTCGGGTTTTGGAAGCATTCGTTTGACTTCCGCCAGCTCCTCCCGTCTCAGCGGCTCCCGCTGCTGATTCTGTGTCGTCTGTCATCGTTTTGGGAGGCCCAGCTTGTGACATCCAGCCGCTGGCTATGCTGTGCCATTGCGGGAGGGATATTTTTGTCCGATTGGGAAGGCAGAAGACGTCCCCAACAAATAGTGGAGGACGCGGAGGGACGCGGGCGAGGAGAGTACAATACGGGGGGTGGGCGAGGAGAAGCAGGGAAGCCCGGGTTTGGCTGAGAAGGGAAGATGGTGTGGTGGAGAATGAGACTTTGGGGTTTGGCTTTAGGCGATTTTAACTTGAGATAGCTCCAAGCGGTCTTGTTGTTGACTTGTTGGCCATGAATGAAGGCATGGATAAGTATGAGTGAGTGTTGTGAGTGAGTATGAGTTAATGTGGACAAATCCTTGATTGCGCCGTTGACTTGACCGAGTCTCTCTCTCACATAACCAAATCTCATCTCATCTTCTGTTCTGCAGACTTGATTGACTGAGATGAAGAGTTATGATGCAACACAACGGAGCCATAGCCGTCAACGGCGAACGTCCGGCGCTAGAGTCTCCAGCCAAGCCTGTCAATGGCACTTGTTCACGGTTACTGACTGCTTATTTGCAGGTAATGCAGAATTTCGCCGCGGACATTGGGAACCCCATCATGTGAGCGGTCTGTATCTTTCACTACCCCTCGTGGAACCTAGTCGAACACGAGTCAAACAGGGGGCCACTAAGCGCGGGGATGCTAGTCCTTTTCCGACGCAGACGCTTAGGAATACCGGATATGGAAATGTTAACCACTTCCGAATTGCCCCTCCAACACAAAATGTGAGGGAAATGATCCGAAGCTGTGAAGCTGGCCTGAGGGCGGGGTTGATTAGATTGTAGAAGAAAAAAAATATTTACATCTAGGACCAGAACAAATACTCTCGTCATTTTTGATCTTACTTTCTCTCCTAGATACCTCTCAAACTCTGTAAACACTTCTCAACCTAATATCACATTACCACCTTTTTTACATCTCATCATTCACAATGGGCAAGGACACCATCACCCTCGCTTCCGGCCGCGAGATGCCTCTCGTTGGTTTCGGTCTCTGGAAGGTCCCCCGCGAGACCTGCGCTGATACTGTCTACAACGTGAGTCTTTAATCGCCGGTGATGATAATAATGAGGTAGCGTTCTAACTCGAAATTACAAACAGGCCATCAAGACCGGTTACCGCCTCTTTGACGGTGCTTACGACTATCAGAATGAGAAGGAGGCCGGTGAGGGTATTCGCCGCGCCATCGACGAGGGTCTTGTCAAGCGTGAGGACATCTTCATCACCACCAAGCTGTGGAACAACTACCACCGCAAGGAGCACGCCTACGACATGGCCAAGAAGCAGAACGAGAGCTGGGGCCTGGGCTACATTGACCTCTTCCTCATTCACTTCCCCGTCGCCCTGAAGTACATTGAGCCCTCCAAGATTCCCTACCCCGTAAGTTTCTCTCAAGAACAATCCCATGTCACCAAATCAGCCACCTCATTAACACGTAAATCCAGGCCTGGTGGCAAGACGAGGCCCAGACCATCGTCGAGACCGACAACGTCCCCATCCGCGAGACCTGGGAGGTTCTGGAAAGACTCGTTGACGAGGGCGTCGCCAAGTCCATCGGTGTCTCCAACTTCCAGGCCCAGTCCCTCTACGACATCCAGTCCTACGCCCGCCACCCCATCTCCTCTCTCCAGATCGAGCACCACCCCTACCTCGTCCAGCCCGACCTGATCGCCATGGCTCAGGAGAACAAGATCGCCGTCACCGCCTACTCCTCCTTCGGACCCCAGTCCTTCCTCGAGATCTCCAACAAGCGCGCCATCGGCGCCCAGGGTCTCTTCGAGGTCGACGCCGTCAAGAAGGCCGCCGCCGCTCACAACGCCACCCCCGCCCAGGTCCTCCTCAGATGGGCCACCCAGCGCGGCATCGCCGTCATCCCCAAGAGCAACAGCCAGGGCCGCCTGCAGCAGAACCTCGAGGTCAACGGCTTCGACCTGTCCGCCGAGGAGATTGAGGCCATTTCCGACCTCGACCGTGGTCTGCGCTTCAACGACCCTGGTTTCTACCTGCCCCAGCACCCTCTCCGCATCTTTGCTTAAGCGGTTGAAAAAAACTGTTTTTATAATGACATTAGGATGAAAATAACTGAAGGGTTTTGGGAGGTTTAATGGCGGTCGGTGTTTTAGAAGGATCTGGATAGGATCAATGGTCATCATAGAAGCGGGCTACAGAAGTAGCCATGAATTGAAAAGTTACTGCTACAATTTAACTGTCTTCGTCCCTGTGAATAGTCTCCATGATGCTTTTGCCATTTGAGCTACCTGATGGCAACATGGCTACCATAACTGTAGAGTTACTGATACGGGTTGATCTCTCAAGCTCTACAGAGCTCAACAAAACTTCACATAATTTTTCTTAACACTTTTCGCATGCCAATGATGTCCACTTCACTCATGCGCTCCAATCAAGCCGGAACTCGGTGACCTTCGGGACATGGAGGGGGAGGGGCATCGGGCAGAGGCCGGAACACGGACCCAATATGGTGTGGGTGGACAAACTAAACAAAGCCACAACCTTCAACAGCCGACATTTTCCCGATGAATCCATCAAGAAAAACTGCCGAGTGCTAAACACTTCCCAATACGGTAATCCTAAGCCATAGAGCATCGACGAAGTGGAAGTGTTACTCGCTCGGTCAGATCCCCGCTCTTTTGCTTCTCCCACTTTTGGATTGTCCAGGCGTTTGCCCGATTGCCCGATGTCCTATTGTCGACAGTATTACCGACCGGATGATAGATCACACGACGAGTAGCAATTTGTTTTGGGGGCGGGACGGGACGCTTGCGAATCTAGAACTGCGAGCTCTCCCTTTTTTTCTTATTACCCTTTCGTAAACATTCTCAACGAATTAGGACGAAGGAGATTATCCGATTGACCTCTTCTTTAAGGCCGTTTCTCCGATTCAATAAATCTAGCTTGTGTTATTTCTTTTTCCTTCTCCTTCTGCGACGACCATAGAACGTAGCTTTTGACGACCTTCAGCTTACCACATTTCGGTATTGACTGACTGAACTCGGCTCTATTGTCGTCCAATTGTCAACTTACATTCGCTTGCAAACTCTAGAGTTCCATCTCACAACACAGGCAATCGCAAAGATGGTTGCCGCAACGACATCCCCCGAGACGCCGGTTAACGGCGTCGCGCACACCAAGAACGGCATCGTCGTCGTTAAGGAGGTAGAGACCAAATCCGCGCCCGCCGAGACCCTCGCGGCGCCGCACCCGAACCCCTCGCTGGTCGTCACCGCCGACCACCGTCTCAAGGCGGAAGAGGCGCCCGTTTTGGCGCCCAAGAAGGGCGAGGTTCTGGTCCACGTCAAGGCGACTGGTGTTTGCGGGTGAGTTTAGCAAAAAAAAGAAGAAGCGGCAGGCGGATGCGCCATCAAAGATTACCGAGCTGACGACTTCTTCACTCCAGATCCGACATCCACTTCTGGAAGACCGGCAAGATCGGTACTCTTGTTTTCGAGGGCGACTGCATCATCGGCCACGAGGCCGCTGGTATCGTCATCCGCTGCGGCGAGGGTGTCAAGAACCTCAAGCCCGGCGACCGCGTTGCCATCGAGCCCGGCGTGCCATGCGGCGAGTGCTTCCTCTGCACCGAGGGCCGTTACAACCTCTGCGAAGATGTTCAGTTTGCGGGCGTCTACCCTTACCACGGCACCATCCAGCGGTACAAGTGCCACCCCGCCAAGTGGCTTCACAAGTGAGCTCTCCATAATTTCCCTTACTTCTCCTCACGACGGCCATACTTACAAGCGAAAAGGCTCCCAGACAACATGTCCTATGCCGAAGGCGCCCTTCTCGAGCCTCTCAGCGTTGCGATGCACGGTATCCGCACCGCCGGCCTGGCCCTCGGCGTCGGCGCCGTCATCTGCGGTGCTGGTCCCATCGGTCTGATCACACTCGCAGCCGCCCGCGCCTCGGGCGCCCACCCGCTCGTCATCACCGATATTGAGCCCTCGCGTCTCGAGTTCGCCAAGAGGCTGGTGCCCAGCGCCATCACCTACCGCGTCGACCCATCTCTCGGCAACGAGGGCAACGGAAAGGCCATCCGCAAGCTGTTCGGCGATGACGAATACAGCGCCCCCAGAACGGTTCTCGAGTGCACGGGTGTAGAGAGCAGTATTTGCACTGCGGCGTTCACTGCCCGTCGCGGTGGCACTGTCATGGTCATTGGTGTCGGAAGGGAGATCATGAACAACCTCCCCTTCATGCACCTTTCTCTTGCCGAGGTACGTTCCAATCCTTGTCTTCCTACAAACATGTTGGCGTAATTCTGGTTGAAATGCTGACGATGAATGACTACAGATCAAGCTCGAGTTCATCAACCGATACCGCGACACATGGCCCGCCGGCATCGCCTGCATCAGCAGCGGCATCCTCGACCTCAAGAGCCTCATCTCCCACACCTTCCCTCTCGAGCAGGCCGTCGACGCGCTCACGCTCGCCTCCGACTACAGGAACGGCAGCATCAAGGTGCAGATTGTGGACGAGATCGACTCGGAGGTCTTTTAGGGTGCATGGGTCTAACTGTGGTTGAGGATCGGTGTTGGGGGGCTGGGGTTTCGTGCTACTTTGGATACTCGGGCGATGAGGTTGAGCATGGCATACTTAGCGTCTTTGGCGTTTCGGTTAATGACTATAATCATAAAAGCTGAATTTGTTTTTGATTGACGTTCAATTCGCTATTTGCATCGTGAGAGTCAACCGTTTGTGTTGGTTGTGGATGTACGGTCTCACTGCACATCACTACGAAGCTTCAAAAGACGACGCAAATGTTGCATAGACTCAACTGATATATTTGGCATGCCCTCTTATGTAGATTTGAGTCTACTGTTGGAACCAAGACTACTCTTTTTCAAGGCACCGTCACTTGGGCTACCTACGATTACACACCACCACTTACCAAAAGCCTCTTCCTGGCCCGTCCTTCAAGTACCTGAGGCTGAATCCGTTCGCAGTGAAAACCAGCTCCGCAAGAGCCTCATGTATACGATGGTCTGACCAAATACTCATATCCCAGGGAATCAGAGTATTGCTCTGGATGGGCGAGACGGGCTCGATCAACTGCAACCGATACGTCTGTGCCTTGCCCCTGGCAATAAACGGGTTGATCCAAAGCTTGCAAGAAGCAATTACCATTTGACTCAAGTCTTTAAGGTGGTTGCGGAACTTTTCATCTTCGGCAGCGTTGGTGACCGTTTTAAGAAGCTGTTCCATGGGGTTCAGCGCGTTCGTGGCCATGTAACAGCCCCTGCCGTCTTGGCGACGGTTTGGCTCGAAGCATGAAATCAGAAGCTCGTAAGTCGCTATGCCGTATTTGACGGTGAATAGCGCCTCTAGCCGTTTTTCGAGATAGTGGTCGGGAACCGGGATGTTTTGGGCCCGCCAGGTATTGGTCATCATGGTGTCGGCCGGCGGGGTTGACATGCTGAACAGGATGGACTTGATGGTTGGCGTGTGGACTTGGCCATCGTTGGTGTTTGTGTGATTTACCGTGTTGTTGGTATCTTGAGCAAGCTGGTAACCGGTGCCTTGCTGTGGCATGTCAAGGTCAAGGTTTCTGGGGTGCCCCTCGTAGTTGGGAAGGTATCTCTCCATGGTGAGTCAGTAAAGGCTTGTAGTGTTGAAGATGTCGGCAGATGATGTGGGCGGCCTTCATGTTCTTGATTTTACGACTGGTTTGGTTTTATACCTTTCGAGAGGTGTTCTGTGTCGGTGAATGGTAGTTATGGGTAAATCACCCTCTGAAAGTCTGATCAAGGTGGGCAATTTGGTGGTGCACTGCGGACATGGCAAACCAAACTATCGTCCGAGTCCTTTGCCACATTCAATACAGAGCCTAGCAGTGAATTTGCTCACACAAACCTATCGTAGTTACGTTTTCCCCAAACAAAGTACTTTTCTTGGACCCACAACGATTCAAGTTATGGTGAAAAGGTGAGGTCATCGATGAGCTGCCCCTCAATTTGTCAACTCGTTTGGATTGAGCTTTAATGTCGGAAACACTGGGAAACTACACCGTCAACCTCCAACACCTCATCTTCACTTATAGGTCGTTTTCTTATGGCTTTGACAGCAATAGTATCAAGCTAACCCGCCTGGGAGCTGAATTGTACCTGGAATGGCGAACTATAGCAATTTCAGTGGATCGAAGAAAGAGATGGTCTCCCAAAAAGCTTATAAGGTGCAAACGATGAGGGCCAAACGTATTCTTGTCCAACACGTTCAGTCTTATCAAATAGCCTGATAAAACACTTCCTTTGGTGGACGATTTTCTAACCTCACTGACCTCATTTTCCTCAAGTGTCATTGTCCAATAAAACTGACAACCGATCTAGAACGGCAACCAAGCCCAAGATCAGTAAATACAAAGGATTTAATCATGGAATTTCTCAAAGTCTAAATCGTACAGTTGTAACATTAGTGGGGTTCATGTTCTTTGACGGATCGGTTGGATGATAGCGACTTGTTAGTAGACTTGGTACATGTCTGCGGCTCGACGGAGATGACAGGAGCATATCCTATTTATTCCAAGCACAATTTGCAGCCGGCGTCCTTAGAAGTAGACTTGAGAAGAACCCTAAGGGCCACAAGCTAAGGATAGTGGCAGTCAACTACCAATGACATGACCTGCGAGTATCCCAAAGCAGCAGGAGGCCTCGAATAAAAGCCACCAGAATAGGAATACTGTATTCCATGAAAAGTGCTCTGTACTATGAGGATTGAATGAGCATGTTGCTATATAGCAACTGAATGAAACCGCCGGTGTTTCATATCAAAGAAATTAAACAATATGAATATAGTAGACGTTGTTTTCAGAAATATCTGCTTTCGAGATATCATGATTTTTGGTGAATTCGTCGTAGGTCGCGTGTCGAGGTAGCTTGTTGGTACTACAATGTCAGAGCACCTCACTGAAATGCTGGTATGAACCAGATATAAACATTTTTATCCTTTCCTCAGTCCAAGGCCCGATTTAGTATTCATGTAGCACTGAATAAAGCCAAGCAACGATCGACACGCCAGATGTCTGAATCGAAATCAAATCGATACGATCTGGACGAGTGGGTTTGTTCCTGCAGAATCACAGATGCTCGAGCCTCATGGCGGTCACCTATAGGGGTAGGGCAAGATCGGTGGTAGCACTCGTTTGCGAACAACGGATCTTTGGATCCCCGTCTCCTCGGCAGTTTTGCGGCAACGGCGTGTGTACATCCAAAGCGAATGAAATATGCGCCTTATTATTGCAGAAAAGACATGCTTTCGGACCGTCAATTAAAAAAAGCGGGCGGTATAATATGTTTTCGCAAACGTAATGGTTCGGCAACCGCGAACTGTTGATCCGGCCAGTGAGCTCCATTTCCAGATAGTTCAGTTGGTCTGAAGAGAGTTCAGATTAGTTTACCAATTGCTCCATACCACACACAGCCTTCTGACCCTAGCTGCATAACTTCTAAATACCCTGGCCACCCAAAATAGAGTGCAATCGCTGAATTAAGTTTTCTAGGGTCCTCCCAATGCCACTCTGAGCGGGGCCGTGTCCTTGGTTGCGGTGAGCGCTGTCATTGCCTGTCAAAATTGGCTAATTCCTTCGCCCCAACTTTCACAGGAACCTTGCTCCCTGTCAAACGTTAATCACTTCCTCAAGGAGTCCTTCTTGCGGATTCTTCCATACGCCCATGATGAACTCTTTTTCAGCTGGAGGCCAAAAATCTGCACTAGACTGACGTGGAGTGCCCTTTTTTCCATGGACAACTTTTTGTTCATCCAAAGTTGCCGAAGCAAAGATCTTCATCCTTGACGTGACACACCGGAGCTGCCAACTCATTCTATTTTCCTAGGTCCTCTTTCAGATATCGACTGTATGACTACACACATGTCGCGTGCGCCTTTGGAGAAGTCGGCCTTGACCAAAGATTACGCGTCGACCCTGCTATGGCATCCACTGCGCGCCGGGGTTCAAAAGTTGACGCTAACAGGCACATCGCATCATAGTAAGGTTTCGAACAAATAAATAGCAAGGCCGAGTACAGGGGCTTTCAGCTAATAGGCACTATGAGGATTGATTAAAGTTAACTTCTGAACATCATGGAGTTGGTCCCGTTTTTGAAACAGGGCTTACGGGACCACTTATGGGGCATGTCCAGGAACACATAATGCTTTTACTCAACTGCCAGTCCGTTTAAAAGTCAAGATTCGTCAACGTATAAGGCAAAAGATGTAGCATCCGATCTAACTTTCGAAATAGAAAATATAGTTCATATTGTAAAGTGCTCGTCGCAGCTCATATTAAGGCGCAGAAACCCGCATGATAAATCATAATAATGGTGCCACTGACGAACATGCAAGCCTTGAATCCCGAAGATAACGCCCCACTCCTTTTGTGTTCCAGACTCCCCTTTTTGGCAGTATCTGCTTGAGAACCACTAAGCTCTGAAGGAAGCTGTTGTCCTAAAGAACAGTCTCTTTGGTTGGTGAATGAGAATTCTTGAAGTCGCTTGATGACCGGGATTCAGAAACGCTGGCATTTGATTCGTATTGAACTTTGACATTCGTCGTCCGCACGATACCGTTATATGTCATGATCTCTTCTTCCGAGCCTGTGGGAGAGAAACTTCGGATTTCTGTTCGGTGGGCTCGTGATCTCATGTCTTTGAGAGTTATGTCGTCGGCTCCTCGAGCATCTGTGTGGTCTCTCAAGCTGCTTGAACCGTACGTTGCGTAATAACCCGTCCCGGTCGTCTTCTTTGTCGTGCCACCGAACAACTTCGGCATCCAGCGGCGGAATAGCGGACGCAGTGCTGGGATACAAGCGGAGAAAATCGCCAAGTTTACTTCGACAGAAGAATACACAAGACCAATGTCGTGAGTAGTGTCCGTGCCAGGAGGAGGTGGATCAAAAAAGAGCTTATAAATGGAGATGACACGAATAACCGCGATGATTGTAACACTGTGTTCATGAATTGCATGAGCCTCGTTCAGAGCCGTTGAAAAGGGGGAAGATTGGGCTAAACTCACACTGCACCCATAAGAAAAACTCCTATCACGGCTGCTTTCGCCGCCCGAGGCATTTGGAGACCGAGGAAGATCCAGAACGGCAGGGCAAGTACGAGAATATCGGATAGAATGGTCAAGCATGAAGCAATGACGTGGAAGGAGTTATCGATACATTTCGTGTTAGGAAGGGCCCTCAGAGAAAAGTCCCAGTTGGCCTTTATAGGAATGCATTGAAACAGAGCCGTAAAAAAGATGGCAACGGCGTGACAAGCATTGAAGAGGTTCAACGCGTGAATCGACAGCCGCACCCCTCGCTTCTGGCCGCCTAGCCGCAGGAGGAACACCAAAACCGAAGCCTTGACGAGTGCCAGCACAGGGTTGTAGAACATCTGTACCAAGAAGTTCCACCATAGCGCTGCCACCATGGTGTGGCCCTTGGGCACATCAACGGCGTGCCATCCGAAATATCCTAGTTTGATGACTACATTCAAGTCAGTTGTAGTTGACACAGACGCGAGATACTGTGGACATAGACATACACATGTACAGTGGCGGAGTCATCAAGATTGCAAAAAGCTGTCGTCTGTTAGTAACAATGCCGCAACCATACCATATTGGCCCATGACGGGGACAGATCTTACCAAGCCCAACCCGCAAAGCCAGTCATCTGATGAGATCGAGATAAGCTTATGATCGACTTCATGGGAACTGACCAGAACTTACCCAGGCCCCATTGATGGGTACTAAGGCGACTGTATGCCCGCAGTCCGAATGTGCAAAGAGCCAAGGCGGGAAAGAAGAAGATGATGAAGATCGCAGTCTGTTGCAACGGAGGAGTCGGAATAGTCAAGACATCAGGATGCGGTGGTGGACCTTCCCGCGCAAACAGTTGGAACGACATTTGGGGCAACCCAACCTCCTGTTTGTCTGTCTGAAACGAATGAAAGGAGGCAATCGCTTCCAAAAAAGAAGATCCGGCAAGGCCCGAGAGCTTCTTGGGACAACCAAACCTCGGGTTGCTTGTACCGGCCCTGGGATGAGAGCTCGAAGAACTAGAACCAAAAACAGACCAAGATCGCCGTAACTCTTCGGGCTGCCGTACTCTCTTATGCAAAAACCCGTCGGAAACTGGCCAAGTCGACCTTCTTCCGTGCGTTGTTTGGACGCAAGATAAATTCACATTTGGACTGAATGTAAGCCAGCTTGCAGCCCAGGGAGGGCTTGGTGTAAAGCACAACCAAATAAACTTTCAGGCAGGGGCACAAAAACGATCAATCAGAGTTTTTTGCTAGCCAAAGAAAAAAATCCCCCTTCTGCTTTAAATCAGCATCTTCATCCATACAAAGATCTTTTTCCTAATTTGTTTGCTCGCCAATACTCGAATTCCCCGGAATAATGTTGCATACCAAGGATATCCAAGTCAGTGGTCTGACTCGGGTTAAGTGATTAACGGGGTAGTGCTCACACAGAAAAGGTACGCAAAGTGGTCTAAGATGAGCAAGAAGGAACTTTGGAGACGAAAACAACCCAAAATACCAGAGATTCAAGGTTCGAGGTTCCTGCAAAAACAGAGACATCCCGGGTATGCCGAGGCCATATGCAAGGAAGCGTTGGGGTTTCTCTGTAGGAGTTGGCTGGCCTGGTGCAACGGCGTGGAATGTTCCGAAACTCCTCCCGGTCGATTGGAACACCTGGCAGTAGTAACCGGCCTCGAGTTTGAGACAGCGCCCGATGCATTCACGGCTTAGACTCAGTTGGTTCCGATGACAAAGGGTCGAATCCGAATTCCACACCTCGAGACCGAGGGCACAGATGTAGATGGGTTTTGGAGGGTTCCACTTTACTACATAGTAAGTGTCGATATAATACTGGGCCCTGGGCCCTGGGCCTTGGATACGTGAACTTTAACTTTGTGAGTGCATTTTAGAACGACAAGGCGCCCTAGTAAGCACCCCATTTTGCCTTTTCAAGGCCGCCAAATGTCCCTATGGCTGATGTATCTAGAGCCTGGATGTCGCCATAGTAAAAGGCTTGGCAATCGGCAAGGGAATAAATCGAGCCCCTGAGAAGATGCAGAACCAACGGGACAATAGGGTCCGACGAGAGATTTGAAGTTAAATAGGGGCATTGCTCTCGTGGCAGAGCGGGATATCTCATTCACGTTGCTGCTCCTGCGATAAGATCTGCATAGTAGATAACAGCAATTATTATCCAAAGATGTTAACACTCTTTTGTGTTCCAACCTGTTTACGCAAATCAAACATAGTGTTCGTGGACTATAGGGAAACAACTATTGAATTAGAGTGCATCCCATCTATCCGTAAGCCAAAACAAACATGCGGCACGGTCGGGGCCTCTGAAAGGAACCACCCGCAGTGAACTGCCGCCGTTACCGTGGTCTGCCGACAGAAATCGCGGGTTGCTAGGGGGTTTATGTTGGGGGCTAGATCAATTAAATCCCACCCGCACTCTGCGCTACCAAGGCTTCGTATATCATGCATCCCTGCTAGGCTAAAGTGCCCCCTCCCCTCATCCACGGTTGGGGAGCGGAAAAATCGTCTTTGGGATGATCACCCTGTCTCTGCCCTTTAGTTGGCCGCCTTTTGGTAACGTTCCTTTGAGATGGAGTCTCAATTTGGGCATGCGGACATCAACTGCAGCTTTGGGTAGCCAAGTCCATATTCCCTCGTGGCAAGAGCGTGGATCCTGGACTGTTAAGATAGCATCATGCGGCTGATGTCCAATGGCTTGCGAATAACCACGTGTGTGGGGAGGGGTCAGTAGGGATTGACCCGAGACATTGCTGATCTTTGATAGGTATATATCCAAGGATAAACAGCACATCGGAAGGTGATCGTCTCTCTTTTTACTCTTTCCTCATCCCCCCTCTGAGCCAAGTCGAAAAGCTCCGTCCATCCTTTGACAAGCAGACCATCCCCATCTTGTCAGGATGCCTTCACTCGGACGAGCTCTGCTGCTGGCTGCGGCTATGCCGTTAGCCAGCTTCGTCAGTGCCCAGAAAATCGTTGTTGACGGAAAGACCGTTGGTGAGTGTTTTTCTATTGACTAGGGATTATATCTACTGTCATCTTGGGATGAAGCTTGGCTAACTTTATTCGCAGAGGCCAATGAGGTTACGGTTTCCCCCGCCGCCGAGGAGGTCGCAGCGGCCGATATCCCGGAGCAGGCCGTCGAGTTGACCGACGCCGTGCTGGCCAACCTCACCCAGCTCGAGTTGACCAACGTTTCGCTTTTTGCATTCCCCGACACTGAGGGTATACAGAAGCGCACCTTTCCCTTTAGCAAGTGCAAGACTTTCCCTGGCGACTGGCTCTACCCTAATGAGGCCGTCTGGAGGGTCTTCAATCTCCTTACTGGTAATGCTCTTATTAAGACTGTCCCTCTGGGTGCCGCATGCTACCAGGGCGAGCACTACGATGCCGACAAGTGCAAATTTTTAATTGACAACTGGTCCAAGTCTGATACCCAGTAAGTAGCCCGCAACTCTAATTCATTACAGATGTTTCATGCTGACACTCAACTTAGCGACGAGGACCCTACCTCTGTTATGTCCCCTCTCTACCAGGGTGCGACTTGCCAGCCACAGAACGCTGCCAACAACGGTACCTGCGAACTCGGCGGTTTCCCTCTTTACTCCGTCAAGGCTACGAATGTTGCCCAGATCCAGCTTGCCATCAACTTCGCGCGCAACCTCAACCTCCGTCTTGTCGTTCGTAACACTGGCCACGACTTCTTGGGCAAGAATACCGGTGCTGGTTCTTTGTCCATCTGGACCCACAACCTGAAGGGTATCAAGTTCATCAAGAAGTACAAGTCTGCCGGCGGCTACAAGGGTCCTGCTTTCAAGCTCGGCGCTGGTATCCAAGTCTCTGACCTGTACGAGGCAGCTGATAAAGAAGGCTACACTGCTGTTGGTGGAGAGTGCCACGTAAGTTACGCAACCAACGACTGCATACTTAATGTTTCTAAGCCTTCTTGCAGGGTGTTGGCGTTACTGGTGGTTACATTGCCGGCGGTGGCCACTCTCCCATGAGCCCCATCGCCGGTCTTGGATCTGACCAGGTATTGAGCGTTGACATCGTCACTCCTGACGGTCGCCACATCACCGCCGACGACAAGAACCACAAGGATCTTTTCTGGGCTGTCCGTGGCGGCGGTGGTGCCACCTGGGGTGTCGTCACTGCCATGACCGTCCGCGTCTACCCCAAGATGAAGTTCTCCGGTCTAACTTGGAGCATCAACACTGCCGAGAAGAACATCTCCAGCAACACCTTCTGGGCCGCCATGGAAGCTTACTGGCGTCGATTCCCCGAATTCGCCGACAAGAACAGCTACGGCTACTCCACCGTCTTCCCGGCTGGCGAGGGTGCCTACCTCTGGAGCATGCGTCCCTGGCTCGTCCCCGACTTATCCCTGAAAAAGTTCAAGAAGATGGTTGCTCCTTTGTTTGAGGAGTGGGCAGCTATCGGCTTCAACGTTGAGCCCGAGTACTTCGAGCACAACAACTTCTACGCCACCTGGAAAAACCACTTCCCCACTGAGAACGTCGGCACCGCCACCGTCCGCACCGCCTCTCGTCTAATTCCCAAGGCCAACTGGAAGGACGCTGCTCTTCTCAACGAGACCATTTCGACCCTCAAGAACATTGTCCTCGAGGGATCCGCGCTGATTCAATACAACATGAACCCCTCCGTTCCCAAGCGCACTACCGACAGCGCCGCCAACCCCGCATGGCGGGAGACCCTCATGTTCGCCATCATCGGTGGCGGTTGGGCGGCTGACGCCTCTGAGGAGGACATCAAGGCCACCAACGTTCGCATCACCCACGACTGGATGGAGCGTCTCCGCCAGATCACCCCAGGCAGCGGTGGCTACGGCAACGAGGGCGATGTCATGGAACCCGACTTCGGCCAAGCCTTCTTCGGCTCCAACTACCCCCGCTTGTACCAGCTGAAGCAGCAAATCGACCCCTGGGGAGTCTTCTACGCCCCCACTGCCGTTGGTAGTGAGGACTGGTACATCGCCCGCCAGCCTGACTGGCTCACTCTTCAAACCGACCGCCTCTGCCACAAATAAAACGCTACTTGGTTTCTACTTGCTGGAAGCGTAGGGATGGAAGCGGTTTGGAAAGCGGTGTTTTATGTAAATATGAAAACCTCACAGTCTTCGGACGCATATACTTTCTTATGTCTATATTCTTCAGAGCTTGGCCACACATGTATAATGGTGCCAGGTTTCTGATATTCCATAGTCAAATCATAATCTTGGCGATTCGAATACTAGTTTCGACCTGTTGTTCCATGATATCTTGTAACTCTGCATCTGCTTCAATCTGCAACTCTCTAAAATGTAATGCTGCCTGAACAAATAAGAAAAAAGACGCGATCATCAAGATAAGAGTTCGGCTTGGTTATGTTCACTTTACAAACATTTTGACATTCCCGTACGGATCCTCGCCACCCGGAACAAAATGAACAGGGCAAATGGCCATGACCAGTCCCTTCGTAAGTTTCTTGATCAACGTGGGACAGCCTAGGTATTTAGGTGGTCCGGATTATAGCTATCCGGAAGACCGTGATCGGCCCGTGAGCGGGGCCGATAACAGCGCACCGCGAAACATTCACATCTTTCGATATTGTAGGCCGTCACTGGACTACATGTAAACCCAATAAAACTAGAGTTACTCGAGTATTCAACAACGCAAATGTGCCTTCAACACATGTATCCTCCCCTAGGTCACCCACCAACCGCAGCCACACATGCTACACATAAATGGAAGCCTTGTAGGTTTCATAGCTCAGCCGCTCTAGAGTTCGCCTCAAAACACAAGCTTTTGCATCTCGACCACGTTTCAAAATATTTCGCCCAGCAACTAAGTCAGCCTTGAATAAGTGTGGCGATAACTAATCCAGCCCGAAGATACCGAGACCGGTGATTCAGCCAAACCTATTGAGGAGACTGTAATGTGTGGATTCTCAATGAATGGCTGGAGTGCGCAGCTAGGCTAGGCCGGTCTTGCTATAGATCAACTCCGTGCGTGGGCACGTGGGAAGCTGCTTCGAGTCTCCTCCTCTCACGAGACCCCCATGTCACCCACCTCATTTTTTGTAATGCTATACTGCTACATAAATAGAGGACACAATCTATACTTTCGGACAAGAGAAGGCTACCTTCAGTGGTTATGACAGGCTGCCGCGAGGATCCAACGGCATGCCACCAGGTGAACTAGGAATGACCAGTGGAAGAGGTTGAAAGATTTATAATGGCACGAAGGCTTAAACTATAAACGAAGGAACATTCAGCCGAAGTCTACTGATCTCAAAGCAAGTTGGAAACGAAGAAGGAGGAGATTCCGACTTGGGTGGCAGAAGAACCCCATACTTGCGTACGTACGGTTTCTGCCTGCCTGACCAAAAGGATTTCGCTACAAGGTTGTTCTGTGATTTGGTCTTTGTCAAACGCTCGAGGGTCCAACATAATGGCTAGGCCGAATCAGATGTCCCAGTAAAAACCTCCCTAGGATCAGTATAACGGCCAGGGCACCCCTGAACTCTTTTCAAGCTTACCCGAAAGTCGATCGCTCTTGGAGCCAATCAGTTCAAGCGCGCTGACTTTCAAAGACTAGCTTATCTCTTGTGCTATGTAGGATTCTGACCCATGATTTACCTTCTGGAAAGTTCCGTTGTAGGTTGAAGGACCGAGTCAATTCAGCTTCGTCAAGTGAAACCATCTCGCATTTATTATGCATCTTCAAAGTTGTCATTTGGCATTTCCAAAGAGAAGTGCAGCAAGGTCATCTCGAGACCATCAGCCGATCTACCCTCATAGAACATGAATGCTTTTGTGATTGTGAGACAAGGGCAAAAGTCGTCTCATCATTCCATGCCTTGTGATGCTCAAGGCGATTTCACAATGAACTGGGCGGAAGACTCGGCCGAAACTATGTGGATAAGAAGCCCAAATTTGGCAGGTGGCTTTCATGTCTAGCTTATCCAGCCCATATATTGACTGAATAAGGTAGAATAGGCTTCCGCCAAGTTTGCAGGGAAAACTGTATCTGTACGGCACAGATCTTGGTACCTCTACATAGATGTTTATTGAAAGTCCAACCACCCCGCCCATCCACCCTACCCCACATGGGGAAAAGAAGTTAGTGCGAGGAAATACTACCAGTTGTGACGAAGAAGCTGAGGCAAGATGGTTACAGGCAGCGTTAGCAATTTAGGAGATACCAGTATTCTTCAAAGTGTTCAACCTCGATACAGAGGTTCAGTAGAGTAGATAAGAGAACAAACTACAAGTTCACGAGCTTCTTTTGACTTCTTTTGACTCGATCTTTCTCTGTACCATATTCCTCTAGGATTAGAAGGTGTTGAAGGACCCTGCAACTTGGCACTCTGTACTTACCCGGAAACGGTTACCAAGTTGCCTTGGCTTAAGCAAGCGATCTCGAAAGTCCTTTTCTTTAAATTAGGTCCTTGCCAAAGTTCCTATTTTTTTCTATAATTTGTAAAAGTCTTTCCAGAGTCCTGGAACTTTCCGCTTATATCGTAGATTTAGGTTAGTGATGCGCGAATATTCAACTTCATCAAATAGTTCCTATGAAAGTATAAATACACCTCTATTTCTGACCTCAAAAGAAAGGATCTCGTAGACCAGTATCGTATACTCTTCTAACTACTCCATATCCTTCTATCCTTTCCACCCGTCTCCCCTGTTGCCAACATGCGCTCCGCTACTGTCCTCGGGTTTGTCGCTTCTGCCGCGGCTGCTGCTCTGGCCACCCCTTCCGGACTGCCCCAGCCCCTTGGCGAACTTGGCTGGGAAGGTGTCATTACTCCTGGTGGTCCGAAGGTCGAGGTCTGGGGCTCCAGCTTTGAGGTGACTATCTTGAATACGCGAATATAGTTCAAGCGATGTTAACTTTCCTAGGATATCCAAGCCAAGATCCAAGTAGAGCACCCTAAGTTCTCGATTTACACACATGAAGAGCAGGCCGCCCCCGAGACCTCCGCGGATCCTGCCGTCGTTGCTCGCAGCAAGCTCGAGCGTCGTTGGGTTAGTAGACTCTCTGAAACAAGAAATAACGAGCCTAATACAAATTTCTCAGGGACGACGCGTTTGCGACAACCGATTCGGAGTTGTTATGCCCTACTTTGCTGAGCAGGCTGCTAACAACTTGAGGAGAATCAATGGAAACTCGTGTAAGGCGAGGGCCCGTACTTGCATCCGTACACAGTGTGTCGGCGGTGCAGCTATTGGTATCTGCAACGACAACCATCACCAAATCGATGTTCCTTGCACTGGTGTTGCCGACATGGCCCGACACATCTACCAGAACTGCTGGGAGCTGGATACCGATTGCAAAGCTGGCAGAGGCTGCGAAGGCTCGAACCACGTTACCTTTGGTCAGCTTTTCTCCGACCACCACACTTGGAATGTGATCGTTGGCCAGTGCGGTAAGTGACAAACGTGCTTGTAGTTCTTGCAACTATCTGCTCACTACTTCAATAGGATACTTCGGTAACGGAGAGCGCCCCGTCAAGGCTTAGGCGACCAGTCCACAAGTACCAGACCAACCCGCTGTATATCACATGGGACGCTGAGACAGAAAGTTCCTGGTTGTGGTTGTCGTTATTTGCTCGTGAGACGGCATCTGGCTATGTCTCTGACTCAGTACTTTAAAAGTCTTGTATCTCTGCAATATCGCCATAGTAAAGTTGAGAACCTGGATTTAAGCTGGCTTGCCTGTGACTGCTGTGAAAACCGAATTCGAAAGACATGGAGTTGGTTTCTTCTATGATTCATTGATCTTTGAGGCTTAAGGTATTCGGTAGTGACATAAGTTCCAATGATCTTCTAGAGTGATATTGAAAAAGTTGAATCGGAGCAATTCAAAATCAACAACACTATGCCAAGTTATTGCTCGATAAGATCATGTATACAGCAGTCCAGATTCCAAAAGTAGACTTGGTGCGCGCTTAGAAACTTGTATACTTTGGTGATTTTTAGTGATAGACGCTTATTGCTTTTACGCACACAGAAGTACAACCAAGTGCCTGAAACAACAAGACTAGCAACGGAGGGGCAAACTTTCCCGAATGTTCTGCGAATGCCACCACGTTAAACAGGCAATATATATTCACAAATGCTTTTGAAACTAGAACTGCCACATAGACTATCTACCAACCTGTTATACAACAACTTTGACTAGGCGTTAAGATTTGTTTTGCGATGATAACGAATCAATGTAATTTGCCAAAAATAATCAAGTTAATGTAACATAGGCTTCTAAAACTTTAAATGTTTAAAGTATGTTTAAACTTCAGCAAAGGTCACTCATTTACTGAGAGGCTTTTGGTAATACTGTGTCTGAGATAATGCAGGACGGCCTACTTTAGTTATCTGGGGGATAGCAAGTTGGAAGATAATCGAGATGTCTGCTGTTGTAGGTCGAGACAAGCGGGGCTGCTGATGAATATGCACGAAACATTCAGATCTCTTGATTTAATAGGCTACTACTACGATGGATGTAAGCCACGGTAAACCTAGAATTGCTCCGTGCTTAGCAATCAGTCGTCCGATCTCCGATAACGTAAAGAGGAATCCGGAATTCGTATTCCACCAGGGTTATCCATCAATCCTGCCAACATGAACCCCGTGGCGAAAAGGATGGTGCTGAATCAGTAATGGCCATTCAGTGCCTCCTGAAACGATTTACTTCCTGGTTGCATGAACCCATCCGCTGCAATGCGGCCCGAGCTGGTGGCTCAAGACGTCAACAATTGATTGTTCTCTTACTTGCGCTGTAAGGCAGACAGATACCAGCGATCCTTTGCTGCAAGATTACAAAAGACAACCAATCCTCCATAAAAACAGTGGGCAAATTATCTCGCCATTCCTGTCTACCCCACAGAGCCACCAAAGGATTCTACTGATGTAAGCAGTCAACGTTATCTGCATTACGATCCTTCAGTGTAACCCCCAGCAAAGCCAGAGACAAGGTATAAAAGTCGACACTGGAAGCACAAAAATGACCAAGAAAAAGCCCCACCAAACCCAGTGTCAATATTCGATGGCGCCCAAAACTGTTTTTGTCACCGGCGCAAACGGCTATATCGGCAATGCTGTTGCCCGCGCATTTGTGGCAGCCGGATGGACGACTTACGGGCTCGTACGATCGCTTTCTGCGGCAACAGCTCTCGCCCAGGAGGAAATAATCCCGGTAATTGGTGCTATTGACGATCTTTCTGCTCACGCCAACATCCAGAGCCATCTTCCATCAACTCTTGATGCGATTGTCTCAACTACGGAGTACGTTTTGGACTATGTCCCGCACTTCAACAATACGATCCAGCTCCTGCGTACTCTAGGAGAAGCCAGCTCGTCAGCCGGGTGTAGGCCTCGAGTAATATTCACCAGCGGATGCAAGGATTATGGTATCGGTCCTCACTACCATGGAGCTCCCGATCTTGCGCCGCACACGGAAGAGTCTCCAATCAACACCATTCCGTTACTCGCCAACCGTGCCAAATATGCCAAGACAATTTTTGACCACGCCGATGTCTTTTCTCCCGTCTTGGTCAGACCCACCAATGTATATGGTCGCAGCTCCAGTTTCTACAAAGCCTTCTTCGACGTCGCCGCCAAAACCGCCGCAGAAGGAAAGCCGCTATTGCTACCTACGTCCCCAAATACCATCATCCACGCACTTCATGTTGACGACTGTGGCGAAGCCTACGTCGCCATCGCATCCCATTCTGACAAAGAAGAAATTGAAGGACAAGTTTTCAACATCTCTGCTCAGAGATATGAGACCGTTGATGAAGTGGCGCATGCGCTTGTAAAGGAGTATGGAATCAAGGGCGGGTTGAAATATGTCGATGCGGCAGAGTTGAAAGACGGCGAGAATCCTTGGCCTGCGGGAATTGTTGATTTTCCGCAGTGGACGGATTCTACAAAACTTACTCGTGTGACAGGGTGGAAACACCATCGCCCTTTGTTCTCCGAGGCTCTGCATGTGTATCGCATTGCGTGTGATGCTGCCAAGGCCGCCGGGCATGAGAACATTAAGAGAATTGATGGGTATTTGCAGGCGTGGACGAAATCTGAAGCGAATTCTTCTTCTCGAAAGCAAGAAGTGTAGAAAATGATGGCTTATGTTTAGAGCCTGTTCCTGGACGAATAAAGAGAGCCTCTTTTGTCTATTTCTAGTTGCAATAGAACCATAATACAATGAACTGAATACCCAATTATACATTAGGGATCAAATAAGGTAAATATTGGTTTGTTTTCCGGATTGCATGATGAGGTGGACTGGTTGTTCGCTCCAGTTCGTCGTTCACATGATCAGCGAACCGGAAGTCCTGAATACGCTGTGAAAGAAATGCTTTACAGATTAACATCATACACAAGAACAATCGCAAAAAATAAACGCTTGAAAGCAAGTACTTAGGGATTTTTAGAATCAGGATTGCAGTCTTCGATATGAAGTATGCAAGCAAACTCATGGTGTGGGTGCAATATGGGTTGTTACTTGACAAAGCGATGCAATAACAAATCCGGAATGGTGTAATGGTCAACATTTGACGCTCTCATACGAGGGCTCCGTCAGGCTCGGGGTTCAATTCCCCGTTCCGGAATTTCCTTTTGCTAATTTTGCGCATGGATATTTGTTCAGCAGACACCCACAAAGAGTGGACAGCTTAGGAACGAGCTAGTCATGATTGAATCCACACGATACATATTTTGCATGTTAATATCAACTTATTGATGATTATATTTTTTTTTGTTAATACATTAGAACTAAACAACAGTATTTTGATAATAGTATCTTGAATCTTGGCCCAAAAACTATTCGCTAGAGCCTCTTTACTCAGAAACTTGTACCTAGTTTCCAATATCAAGCACCTTTAGGAAAGAGGTACAACATCATGACTCAAGAACAGCACATGCAATCAATGGGAGCTAAATTTTCACTCAATTGAAATCATGCCCAGGTTGACTTCAATCTATCAGATTGAAATTTCATCTGATACATAAACTGGCAAAACTACATTGACATCCTCCACGAAACAAATAAATCAACACCGCTTGCTGTGCGCTTATCTCGACATAGGATTGAACTCAACTTCAGCATTAATGAGAGCTATTTCCTATGATTCTAGGCTTTGCTACATGCGAAAGTTGTAACAAGTCTTCCAACAAAAGAACTTCAATTCTCTTGGGTCTGAAATTCTAGCTTCTTCGGCTCACCTTTGCAAGTATTAGGGTTTGTCACAGTCATAATTGTAAAGAGGACTTGTACACTCGCATAGAAAGTCAGGACAGCCCCAAGTAGATGCAAATATTTGCATCGTGGCTGCCCCTTATGCCATGCAAAGAATTGAGAATGGCCTTCAAGAGTCAGGACACGGACTTTCATAGACGCTACTTACATATCCCCAAGGCGAGGTAGTTTATCATACAACGTATACAGAGAGACCGTTCAACAAAACATTGAATGCGCCTACTGGCTTGTTAGGCAGCAAGTATCTTGGTTAGCATACCAGTTAATAGGCAACATGGTTATGCCGCAGGCGAAACCCACTCCCTCCAACGATGTCAAGTGTTAAGATTTCAATCAGTCTAAGCTGGCCTGAAAATATGAATCTTGATGACGATTTCTGGGAAAGCGAACATTCTAATCTTGTGCGCGCTACTTTTACAAGTTGCTGCCAACAGTCGTTGTGGTTGTTGCAATGGAGCAGGGTCCCCTTCAAACTTATCGATGCCGAAAAGAGATTAATTGTACAGGTGTAGGCGCAGGTAATACATGCGAACCTATGAGAATGTGTAGTCTCACTATCACATATGAAACTCAACGGGCGGAGCCAGCCGTTCTGTCCATCTGCAAGACAACTATCTTCACAGCACACTATTATCTAAATGATGCACTTATGGTATGGATAGTATACAAAATTGATATTAGATACAGATGGATTATTTTCAATCAGCTATGAATGCAGCCTAGCTGCAAACTGCCTCTGTTAACAAGCAAAGTCATGCAATCGCTGAGACGTACATGCACTTTGACTGAGCTTTCCAGCGCAACAAATCGTCAAAACACTCGTGTGGTTTAGGCCGCCGGAGCCGGCTCGGCGGGTTTACCTTCCGCGGGAGCTGCAGGAGCCGCAGGGGCCGCCGGAGCTTCGGCAGGAGGAGCAGCTGGGGCAGCAGGAGCGGCCGGAGCCGCTGCAGGAGGGGCTCCACCACCGCCGCCGCCGCCGCCGCCCTCCTTCGCCGGTGCAGGAACAAAGGCGGCATTCGCAAGAGGAATCTGACCAACAGCTCCACCCACAACCGTTTTTCCGTCGACGTTATCTTTGGCAGCCGCAGCGAGCTTCGAGTATTGAATGACCTGTTGCGCATTGGTACTAATCATATATTAGTTTGGTTCGGTGGCAGATAGCTTTTGGTTACTTACGGGTTGATGACCATCACCTGGCCCTCTTGGCAATGAGGTCCCGTGGCGCAGTACAAGAACATGGGCTCTGTACTTGTGATTGGCATGTTGAAAGTTCCGACCATCGCCTGTCCGTCCTGGAATGGGATATGTCCGCTGTGGATAGCCGTGGCGACAGTTCCTTGCAGTGGCTGGCATGCGGCGTTCTCGGCGCTCTGGGTGACGGTGTGGTTTCCATTGCTGAATTGAAATTGTACGACATCGCCGACCTGCGCCGTGATCAAGTTCGGTACGAAGGTATCCTGAGGTCCGCCAACCACCACGGGGATAAGCTGGTTGCCCTGGGGAGTGGCTGGAGGTGCCGCTGCTTGTCTTCTAACTATTTCATATTGTCAGTCGTCATTCCGGACTTGATACTTTTGCGAATCCTCACTCCTGAAGGGCCTATGCGGAACGCCTCCGACAACGGTTCCATCTGCTGGAAAAGGGTCTCTCTTGACAAGTGGTTGAGGCATTGCGCTGACAGTGGCTGCCGCCATCAAGGCCCAGGCGGAAAGAACCCTCATGTTGGAGATAGTAGCTGGTTTGATGGACTAAAGGGAAATTGAGTGAGTGACTAAAATGGACACTGCACAGCAGTGACTTTGCCTCTTGGAAAAAATTAAAAGGTAAATGACAGTAAATGCCGTTTAAGGAAGGATGACGGCTTGTCCTCACTAGGAGGTACGAAATTGAGAGAAAGAAGTGAAGATGAAGAGACAAGAGTGTCAAGACCCAGAGTCAAGTAACTCTAAATTTTGAATTATATTAGTTGCGGAGGAGGGCACATATTTGCATCCGAAAAATCTCGAAGCCAAGACCCAAGAAGCATTTTTTTTCACGGAGACGAGTTAGTAATGAATGATGAATTGCCGATACAGGGGAAAGAGGGGCTGTTCACTGCAGAGTCAAGACATCCCAAGTCGAACGAACTCTCTTGGCGGTTCAGGCTTGACATCACTGAGGCTCGTGTTGCCAAGATGTCTGATAATGTTCCGTGATGGTTTGAGGCTCCATTAAACGATTCCTCTTCGGGCAATCAGAGCCTCACAGGATGGGAGGCGATCTGGCGGGAGATCATGTCGATTGGATCGTCGCCCATCCCTTCTCCCCACTGGGCATCATGGGATGGCGTAAGTCGACGTTTCCGAGTTGAGATGTCAGTGGGGCCGATGTGGGCGGATGGATTCCGACAAGGAGAGCTCTCGCGCACTTTTGGCGTTTCAAGTCGACTTCAGAACATCCTTTTCGGCCTATGTTACGACCCCCTTCAACCCAAAAGACCCCCAGCAAGTCATAGCTTGGTGGTGTGGAGGAGTGTCCACCCTTGAGGCTGCGACGGCTTGTCAGTAGGTCATTGACAGGCTACTGACAGTTTCTTCTTCGGATTGTCCAGTCGGCAGTAGTGTTCGGCAGTGGGCCAAGGCTCGAGAATGTCCGCTTAGTCAGTTCGGTTGACGGGTGAAACAACGAGGGATGAGACGGGACATTTTCAAGATCCATGCTTCGGTAACATTCCGGAGCGCGCGGGCGCCTTTTTCACGTAATAAATGCTCCGCGGCCCTCGCCAATTGTTGAAGGCTCGTCAAAAGTTGAAAAACGTCGGCATGGCCCAGGAGGATTTTGTGAAAGATCGACGACTAACGCGTATCAACCACCTGGCTCCCAGTGTTGGTTCTCTCCAGATATACGAAGCCACTGCATCCACCATCCACACTTGCGACGAGGCAGTGCTCTTGTCGACTCAAAACGAGCTTCCTCCTAAAGTCTGGACGGCTTCTGTATGTCGCTTCTGCCCCACCCCTTCATCCGCCAAGGAACCCATTGCTCTTGGTAAAACCTCGGACTTTTTGCTCGGCATTAGCTCCAATGCCTTGGTGGCCATCTTTGGCTGGGCCAGGAATATCCTGCGACACGCAAAGCCCGGCAGAACTCAGGTAGGCAGAGCTTCATCGCATAAATCAATCTTTCGAAAACAAAATCCGCGACGGCAAGGTTTTGCACACGATGATAAGGTGTACCGTGGTACCGATTTTAGCCTACACCGCTCCGACAGCCAACATGGTTCGCTTCACCCGCATGTAGAGTTTTGCAGAATGGTGGAGTTGCTTTCTTGGTCTATAATGACCGAACTCATGGCATCGCAATAGACGATAACACCATCATCTCAAGCGAGCCACAGGTGCAGATAAGGCAATCGGTTTAACAAAGTTGGAAAGACGAAGTTGATATCCTGCTTAGTTCTTATCGCACATCCCTATAACTGCACTTATCTAACGGTGAATACTAAAGACACGAAGTCAAAGATTAATTGTCTCGACCTCTGCAACATCTTGACCTTGGATACTGGGGAGAAAGGCGAAGAGAACGCCCGTAAGCGAATACCGGACACAATTAGTGCATTCAAATACTGCAAGTTCCTTTGCCATTACTAAGGTTCATGAGTCCGTGTGCCAGACGGCACACCTGACGTAATCTTCTCTGTTGCATTAAGACCTACCTTGCGTAGAACTTTGGTTGCAGTCAGTATCTCCAGGACTTCTCCGGGGACGTCGCGTCACGTCAACCGATGAGAGGGGTTCAATGCCTTGTTTCTTTCGAACTCATTACCCAGCATGGCCTTTGTTAGTCGATGTGTTCAGGTGTTCACCCGTGCTATACCCATCCCATCCTAACCAAATGCTTCAACATCTACCTAGTGTCCGCCACATACTTCGGCATTGGGTAAAACAATGCGGGTGTAGTGTAGGGCACCTAAAACACCCACCGTTAGCTGCCACATGGTTTACAGCAATGAGCTTCCGACGAAGAACCGCGAGCCCACCTTTTGATGACAGGTTTCTACCAGGACCCTGCTGCGTCGGCATAATATTCAACCTCTACGTTGTACTATTATGTGTGAACAGACGTCAGCATGTCAATTTGGTGGGCGGCGTCAGCCGATAGCGCCCAATCACTTCATATCGCCAATGAAACACATTTCCTGGCACGTGGGGTTTCGATGAACTAGAGAATGGTACCTGTTACAGCCTAGTAACAAATGACGGGATGAAATGCGGCTCTTGACGAAGTAAGACAGAGACATGATCCACGTAGTCAATTAGGCACTTTCAATGCAACACTTCCTTGTACATAAAATTTGCCCAGCTTAACCTGTAAGCCCTGTGTCGGGCCCACGTGGAACATACGTAGATAGCGTCACAAAGTTAATGATTGTGGTCGCGTCCTGGGTGCCACTTTTGGGTAGCCTAGGCAGTCTGTTCTTATTACCCCAAGACATCTAGGCTAACTGCATCCACTAACAGATTATACTCGCGAGAGTATCATATGTCAAGCCAAAGTATTGTGGTTAGGCTGCAAAAATATAACAAAGCAGGTAAAGTAGTAGTATAGCATAGCAGTAACAATATTTACAGAGAAACCTAGCTATCTCTGGACCACTCTCGGCTACAGCCTTTCCTTTACCATACTCTGCAATGTGCCACCGGGTTATAAGATACCCCGAGTCCTAAAGAGAGCAAACGGCTAGAAGACGCGTCTGTGATTCATTCTTCTTCAATGCCAGGTTATCCTGCATCGGGTCGCAAAGCTTGGGACTGACAGCGGCTCTTGTGAGCTAAGAGGCCCTGGCGGCATTCTTGCAGCCGTACATTGACCCAAACCCACCTTATCGGAGAGTTCGTTCTTTAATAGCAGGATAGGAAAACGCTAGCCATCAATTACCCGACCTTCAGCCACATTCGTCAAGGGCGTGACGTGAGTATGTTTTGTTGCTCTAGAATTACCATGTCCCGAGCGGGTGGTTTGCCCTACGAAAAGGATCGCACCAGGCACTAGTAGATCGCTTCTCTACATTCTCTCCCAAGCACTTGATCAGGCGCATCAGGAGGGGGGGGGGGGGGTTCATGACATTAACAAGCAGTTAGAATGCTAATAAATAAGTGAGCATTTTGATGTCTTTCATTTTGTCTTATTTGCGTATTTCTAGGTGGTGGGTGGCGTCCACGCTTGAATCACGTTATTACATTGCTCCAAATAGCTTCAAACTCGAGCAATATGCGCCTGGAATGCGCCAAGTCAAGATTCTTGTTGTCATTTGTATACCTCCCCCACCAGTACAACAGGTCCAACGTTGTAAAAAAACTCCTCGTCGAAAACCTGCCGTTCAATTTCAGCGAGCTTGAGGTTCATCTATTCAACGTACATCGTTTGACTCTTGCGTTGTGCTCCCAGCTTCCTCTTTTAAATAATACACCACTTACCATCTCTTGAAAGGTCTTGAAACGATGATCACTAGGTCGATATCCCTCGTTCTAACCTGCACTGTTGGTCTATTTTCGACAATCGCCTGCGCAGCTCAGGTTGCACCGGGCCAGAACAAATATTTACACTATGCCCCATGATTCCCGTCAACTTTAACGAAGTCTTTTTTGTGCAGAACGAGCCTACAGCGAACGGCAACAACTTCAACTGCCAGGATCACTGCTATACCCTCAGTGCTGCCTTCGCCGTGATAGGGAACGACATCGGGCAGAGGTGCCATTGCTCTGCCCCTAGACCAATAGGTGATACCAGCGTCCCGAACGTAATCGTTCTAGATCCGCCGGCTTTTCCCGATTTAAGTATATGCAACGTGCCCTGCATTGCTCAACCGAGCTACTTTTGCGGCGGAAATTACGAAGGAGATGTCATGTATTATGTCTACGGCGAGGAACCCCTCGCATTCAATGTAGCGCCTCGCACTACTACCACAAGCACCTCTCAGTCGTCCACCACTGCCGTCACTACAACGTCTGTCACTACCACTAGCTCCACGAGCAGTTCGGTGGAGTCTAGTACTTCCACCTCTTCATCGACCTTGGCCAATGAGTCTACGACGTCAAGTAGCACGATAGGAACCACGACTTCGAGTACGTCGAGTTCGTCAAGTTCGTCGGGCACAGTCAGCAGCTCTAGCACTAGTTACAGCACTTCTACTATATTGGGAACAACAACTTTTACCGGCAGTACTAGCATTTCCATCACCAGCCAGATTTCCAGTTCAACTACTGGGACATCGTCCAGCGTATCTGCCTCGTCTGGAACAATAGTTTCAAGTTCGCCCAACACATCCAGTCCGGCTATTGGGGGCGGGGAAGTACCCTCGCCCAGTATCTTAGCGGGCTCCAGCTCCAGCCTTACACTATCCCCTACAGCAATCTCATCATCTATCGCCCCGATAAGCTCCATTTCCACCACAGTATTGAGCCCCAGTACATCTATCCTTGCATCGTCCACTTCTCTCACTTCTACAATTACTACTGAGAGCTTAGTTGGTATTCCGATCGTCTTTACCATTCTACCCGGTATTCCTCAACCACCAGCAGCGTCAACAAATATTTAACGAGAACATGTGGAGAGTTTAACATGAAAAGAGTTTTTGGAGCTAATCAACCCCAGAAAGTAGAAATGTATAATATAGAAAGAAAGAACACATGATAATTCTCCTTATCAGTTTAAGAAGCCGTATTCATATTTGCTTCCCCTCTGTAAGACATACAATTAAAGCTTAATTAACCGCATACTAGAGAGCAAATGGAGGTTCATTACAGCCAAGAACAAAGGCTTTTTAGGCCTACTTTGGTATTATAAATACGGTCTGAGATTATTTATATCATCCAGGGGCTCTTCTCACTAGTATTGCAGCGCCGGCAGAAGTAGCAGCCCTAGGCAGGTTTTCGCTACTCCAGCGGGATGAAATGTCATGGAACATCACGCCCACAACCTTCGCGTCACCATCTAATAACTTACATATAGTTAAGATTATACGATAAGGCCTTCAAACACAGTCGTAAATTCTGGGTCGACTTGTATCAAACTTCATTGGCCAGAGAAGACTGCAAGGATGATGGGGCTTAGTAATGTGACCTCGGTACGCATAAGAATGCACAGTGAGCCAACGTTTCATCATTCAGATGATTGATTGTTCTTCTATCACCAACTCACTCCTTGGACACGTTTTTACGCCTTCTCTTGACCCCCTCCACTATTGGAACTAAAGGATTTTCCCGCACTCCTTCGGGAGCCGCAGGTGGGACATCTGTGTCGTACGAAGTCCTGTCGCCCGACTCGCAGAGATACGACACGTACTCTGAAACCCTCATCGCGTCCCAAACTGTCCCCGCATCTTTGGCTGCAATGGCAAAAGCATCAAGATTCAAAACTGGCTTCTTTATCCTCGGATCAGCCCCGCGCTCCAGAAGAAATTCAGCGACGTCCCACATCTTCTGAGCCACTGCACTCGTCAGCGCTGTACCTCCTCCATACGTAACAGCGTTGATGTCCGTGCCGTAAAGGAGGAGCATGTCAATGAGCTGGCGCCATTGCGCATCGTCCTCTTTCGTGTGACCATCAGTATATGCTTGTTCAGTATCGGCAGCCAGGTGGTCTCGATGAAGGTGGATGACCCGTTGGAGCGGATGAGCATAGGCCGGATTAGCACCATGCTCAAGTAGCATCTTTACTACTCCAAAGCTCCTCTTATCTACGGCGCGGTCCAGCGCCAATCCCGATGTCCGGTCCATGGGAGGAGCCGCCCTATATCCCCAGTCCGCTGTCCTATTGTCCGCAAAGGGCGCAAGGTCCGGGTCAGCGCCATTCTCCAGGAGAAACCGCGTAACACTCTCGCTGCCAAGGCAATGGTTTAACGCTACTCTGAACCGGCCGTCGGGGCTGGGGACCTGTTGATTAGGATGGTATCCATATCGGGCACTGAGTTCGAAAAGAGGCAGTGAGAGCGCACGGCATGCAGCAACAATAACCGCAGCGTGGGGTCGCGCCCCCTCCTCGAGTAAATAACGCGCAACGTCGAGTTGGTTGCCCCTCGCGGCGCAGGCTAGGCCGTCCTGGAAACTGATATGTCGCAGCGAGCCTGCTGAGACCCCTTGCCTGACAACGTCGAGGGAGCCTTCTTCACATGCCACCAAGAATGGCCTCAGTTCAGAATTCTGATAGTCGCCTGGTCGTCGCGTGTCGAGCCAGTGGCTTGACTTTTCCAGAGGCGGCGGCAAGGGGTCAAGGCCGAGTTGCACGAAGCAGCCTTCGAGATCACGGCGTAGGGGTGCGCGCTTAGTCTCCGACCGGTCCTCTTTACGAGACATGATCTCCTCAAAAGACTCCTCATCATCTTGGGTCCAATCTTTGCCCAGTCTTCTTCGTTTGTTGAGAAGTTCCAAGCGGGCTTCGTCTTCCTCGTTGCGCTCTAGAGACGTTTTCGAGAACTCGGTCCATGCCTCGACTGAATACTTTGTACTGGGAGGACTGGAGCCGCGAAAGCGACCGTGACGGGAACGATAGATTGCCGGCATGCCGATTGTATCTTTTTCGTTCGTTTTCAACGTGACAATCGGTTGAAATGTGTATGTGCATGGTGATTGAATGAATCTTGATTATAGGGTCTCTTGTACTGGAGGTCTTCATTCCGACCCGCATGTGCAAAAGCCACGTTATGTATTTACTGAGACATAACTTGGCATTGTATGGCTGTTGCCTGATTGCTAAATTGTGTATAGGATCAACATTCACAACGGCCGATCAGGTTAGGTAGACACGAATAGAACAGTCACAATGTCTTGATTGGAACTTTGGCAACACCCGATGAATGCGGCGAAGTAAATGCAGGCAACTATGACCCAATGACGTCCTTGGTCTGGATAATATGTTACATTAGATCTCAATCAACGCCGTAAGCCTGCAGATACACTTACAACAAGCCTGCAGCTGAAGGATTGACCGCCGAGACCTCTTGCGGATGAATGCTGCACAATTTTGCCCTTTGGTCGACAGCCTGTATTTCGCCTAGCTTCTCCAGCTCATGTTACCCCATGTAGTAGCTGAAACTGAGCAGGCAGGCTAGCAATATAGTAATTGCGTGAAATTGTATGACTTTCTTTGAAAACTTGTTAACTTTGATCCTTCAAAGTCTCGGGCCCAGAACTTCGGAGCTATCGGTGTCTGCCTTTCAGACGATCTGCCGGGATACATGAGTCCTGCCAGTGCAAGGGATCCGCCATATCATGCCAGGACTACAGACGACTCCGGGACCAATTACGCCTGGACAATCATGTGGGACTTCGACTGTACTGCCGATGGTAACACTCAGAGCCTTGCACTGCCGTTGGGTGAGGGCAAGGCGAACTGCATCGATATTATGAGATGGAACTACGACAATTGTGAGTATCGCCTTCCAGAACTGCTTCCACGGAGTTGAAGACTGACTCGGTACTTTGCAGGCACGGGTAACGGCGGTGTAGGCGGCCGAACGAAGGTTGGCTGTCTCATGTACGACTTCACAGGCGGTAGAGGATAACAGGGAGTGTTGCTGAGACATTGCAACTTCTCTAAATGGCCGATTTTGAAGCTGTTATAACGGGTATATATGTACTGCATGTATTAAAAACACCCATGGTGCCTCCCCATTTCTCCGAACAACAACATTACTTCTTTGTATATTAACAGTAACAACTTATTCCGAATGCTCCAAGCGAATATCGTGAGGGTACAAGCTTAGCCGTGACAAGTCGACGTTATCGCTCTCCCTGGCCCAAGCAGGCTTACCAGAACGCTTTTTGAACATCATCTGCGGGAAGGCCTGGTTGATGCAAACATCAACCTTCATACAAGTTCCACCCACACAGCAACTTTGCTTAACGCACACCTCGCCGGTTCCACAGTCGGTTGTGCTGTCGCAGGTAGACTTGCAGTCACCGGGCACAGCGCAGACATCCCTTCCTTCAGCTGTGCGGAAACACGCGCATCCCTTCTCGCCCTCGGCGGAGCACCAGGGAACTGTCGTGTCGCCACAGGTCCAAGGCTTGTTGCAAGAGAGAGCACGAAGATCAGCGTCGACTAACAAGGTGGGTGTGGCGGGCGGCGTATGGAAAATGGTGGAGGTGATGGTCGGCGTCGGGGCTGTGATCGTTAAGGGACTAGCACCAAAACAGTAGCAAGCGCTGCTGAATGCGGCAGCATCAGGACAGGCGGTTGCGTAGGCTGGGATAGCCTTTGTAGGGGCAGGCGTCTCGATATCGCGTTGTTGAATTGTTTGGGTGTTGCTTTCCACAGCCGGTTCTGCCCCTGTCTCGGTCACATAAACGGTACTAGTGGTGCTGATTTAATGCTTGATTCAATACAATGATACGGCGAGAAGACTTACGAGGCAACAGGAGTATGTGTGACGGCCAAATATGAGCTGCACTCGGCCATGCGAATACTCATGGTGGCAGTTCCATAACGGTTTGCTCTAACGGCGCGAAGGCAGTTATCCGCGTTGCATCCGTTTGCTCGTCCCTCCACGTGGTCGACCACCGCGGCGGAGGCAGCAGCAGCAATTGGAACGAGGGCCAGTAATCTCATTTTGATTCCAAACAGATTAAATGTTGATAACTTAAATAAAATAATGAAAGATTAAAAAGAAATCTTTTGGGGTGATGGGAATTGGAGGAGGTAGAGATGAGATTGCTTGGTGGTTGCATTCATAAGGATTCGGGCAGGATGTCGTGACAGATATATCATACGTCCATCAGTCGCACTTCAAATCACATCACTTTGTGTTTTTCTAACGAACGGATCATGGTAGTCTAGAAGTTGAACGGCGCCTTGGCAACCGCGAGCAAGCCCAGTTGCTGCACCACGCGGGCCTAGGACATATCGTCATAGGAGCTTTGCATCGTAGCCTCACGGATGCTCGAGGACGAGAATCCCACTTCGTGAGGTATCCGAGGCCTTCTAAGTGTTGCTAGAAGCTATGCGAACGACTCCGGAGCTAAGATCAGAGGGTTCTTAGTATCAAGTCGGCAAGGGTTGCTGTAGCCGATCCTCGTATTGGGCGAGTGAATACCGTCCTGAATTGCCCTCCCTTGTGGTAGTAGCGCGGTTCTTTGATGTGGCGGCACTGCCCGAAGCCTCCCGCTAACGAACGATTTCCTTGTTTGGGCGGCGGCTTGGGGTTTTGGTGGTCGTGCGCCTGTGCTTAGGAGTCTGTGAGCGGACAAGCTCACTTTAACGCGGGACTGATTGTTTCCTAGCAACGGCTTCTTTAATCCGTCGGTTTAAGCCTGATGGACCAGCGCTCAGACTGATGGAAGTCAACTATCACTCACGAAGTTGGTCAAAAACATGGGAAACGTAGCTGACACTGACTCTTATAACCGCAATTCAATATTCAGCATGAATCATTATGTGGCTAAATCTTCGAGGTAGCAGTTACATCACCAAGTACCTAGGTCAGTTTCAAAAGGCCACCCAGCTGTGAGTCTCTTTTGGCTCTTTAGGAGATCCAGGTAGAGTCGTGAGTGCATACGTATGCGAAGGACAGCAGGATTTAACCCGTTTATCTTAGATATAGGCCACTTAACGACATTGATTCAGACTATTTGAAGTCTACAGCTGTTGTCTGTGGCTATTTTTGCACCGCTTCCACCCCTAAGATGCATTCGTTCACTGACTAGGATCGTCGCAGCCCCCGAGCTGGAAGTTGATGAAGTCAAGAGGACAGCCGGAATCTACAGAGTCTTTACAAGCCTGGCTCTGACACTTTTCGTTCTTGAATTTCTCTCGCGCATTGTTTCGTTGCTTCTCAATGTCAGCAATTTTGCCCTTCAACCCAAAGCGGAAACAATCATGGCGGGGTTCCAAAGGTACTTACAGGAATGGCGACAACTAATTGACTCATGGCAATTACGGAGACAAAGATGGACAAAGCGGAGAACTGCATTTTGATTTGACTGAAGGAAGAATAAAAGGTTGAGCGAATATATCGTTGGCCGGCAACAGTAGAATAGAATTGAAGAGCAGATGGAGAGAAGAATGTTAGGCGACAACTACTGCAATCATCAGAAACTTATATACTCGTATGCGCGTCCAAGAAAAAATGTGTAGAGACTTGAAGCGCTAGGGAATCAAAAAGGTGGTAGTCGCTTGTTGGTGAGAGCATTAGCTGAGTCGTGAAACGTTTCAGCTGTTTCCAGTGTCGAGGAGTATGATCGACATTAGTAGGCATCAAATGATGTTCAACGTTATTACAATGCTTAATTGCTATAGTAAGACAGCTATGTTATAGCAGATGCAAATTCTAAGCTCTGCACGGCTTTGGAGTCGGGGTTCGAGATCCTGAGTTATACAAAGTCATTTCTTTATGAGGTATCATCAGTGGCTTCATTCAAGTCATTTACGACTGGTGCCGACTCACACAACTGAACTCACTCGGTGTTTTTGTTTGGGCATTTCGCGGCATCAAGTATGAGGAAATTGTGCCTACCTATTAAGATCTCTTCAATGACAGCTGATAGTTGGGATGATGGCTGCCAAACGTAAAACTGGACAACTCTTCAGCTATGAGTGGATACCATAATTGGAGCAAGACCGCACCAAACCATCGGTATTCCATCAACACCTCGATTTCTGGCTTCTTAGAGGTTGCCTAAACCCTGGCTTGACGACGGTCCGCTGCCTTAATCCGCGTAAAGAAGCCTTTGGATCTTCCATAAAACCCCAGCTGATGAAATAGGAGTCTTCGGTGTTACCGGTCGATCAAGTTTCAGCGTACCGACAGCAAACTAGCTCAGTTGCTACCATCAATTGAACCAAGGTCAACCCTGCTTCAGGCTTGCCGTTACTGGCGTCATGAGCGCATTAAAAGCGTCAGTGCTCCTTATATCCATGTATTATATGATCTTCAGATTCGCTAGCTGATTTATGCCATCGTTACAAACAGTATTCTGCGACAATGATTACTTGATCACTCATTAGGTGCATCTTTCCAACCAATTTGCATACAGCGCGGTTGCTATCGATGTTTACATCATCTGCTCCTCGTTTTGAGAATGGGGCTTACTCTAGGTAGATAGGGAGAAGCCTCCGCATACTGTCAACCAGAACGCCCTGCAAAAGTTCCTCTCGGGTTGCACCAACACTCTTCCTTTTCGAGACACTAAACCTCGTAAATCGATTTCGCATCCATGGACCCCCAAATACGAGAGTCGTGGTGCCAAGTCGCCCAGTTCAACCTGTGCACGACTACAGAAACGCGACAGCTCGGCGAGGGTATCCCCTAGCTAACCTAGCCCGCTTCGAAGCGCCGAGGGACGAACGTACTACTCGGTAGTCTTGACTGATGTGAACTGCTAAAGCGACGAAAAATGTCGACGGTGAGCCGTTGTGGCTTGATTTAGCTCCTTTGGTCGAATCTAAAAACCTTATCTCTAGCGTTGCTCGTCCGAGCGGTTGGCCGTGGGAGAGCAGACTGATCGGGCTTTATAACATTTCCGAATTCCCGCGGAGAAGCTGAACTTGGCTAATGATCATAGGCATGAGGAGTGCGGACGCTATTTATATCGGTATGGGTATCATTTAGGCGGGACAGGATATATCAAGATCTGAATATGTAAACAAACCGTTCTTCAGTACACAAGAGAATTCACCGAGTTTGTAGATGAAGAAAAGCTAACCTCTGGTTAAGTCTGGTTAAGAGGAAAAGAATACCAGTAATTAACCCAGAAGATACAATAGCTCGAGTCAAACGTTATTATAATGTGTGGAATGATAATGACAAACAGTAAGGCCGCATTATGTTGCATTATATTCGATAGTATCTATAAGAGTCCGAAAACAAGAACATTTGGCTCAACATCGGCTACGAAAGGAGGACCAATCACAATAATATAGACTGGGAACGCCAAATACAGGCAAATGCATCTTACAAAATTCTGACGCTACTCGTCGAGTTTGGATGGCTTGCCTTCCCCATTCTTGATTTTCTCTTGTCGAAATGCCTTTCTTAACTCACATTTCCCGGTGTTTTTGCCACCTGCTTTACATTCACTGCAAACTTTGCCGTGCTTGACGAGAAGTATATGCAGGCCGTACTTGTCCTCGTCTGGTATCCTTACGTCTAAATGGGCATGTGTTTCGTCACGAGAGGCGCTCTTTGGGCGCCAGCCTAAGAGGCCTGTGATTCTCCACACGTGGGTGTCTACGGCAAAAGACTCTCTCTGAAGACAAAAGAGAAGCACGCAGCTGGCGGTCTTGGGGCCGACGCCCTGGAAGCTGATAAGCTCCTGCATGGCTTCCTCGTTGGTGGCGTTGAATAAGTGATCCAACGAGTAGGACCCGTACTTCTCCTTCACCTGGTTGAGGATGCCGATGATGACCTTGCTTTTTACGGCGCTCAGCCCACCACACTTGATGGCTTCCTGCAGTTTGGGAATGCCGCCTTCGACGATCTTCTCCCACTCATCGCTGCCGCCATACACAGCATCCATGCTTCGCTTGGCGCGAGTGGAGTTGGTGTCACTGGTGTTCTGGCTGAGGATGGTCCGTACTAGGGCATCAAGGACGGAAGGTGAGTCCCCGCAGCCGGCACGGGTTGTGGAGGCCTTGACCTCAGTGGGACGCTCCCTTTTGCCGTGCAGGTCTGCCAGGATGCGGTGGGCGAGCCGGCACTCATCTGGAGTTGGATGGAGAAAGTCGGGAAAGGGAGATTTGTCGGCATATTGGGTGTAGGCTTTGAGCTTCTTGGACTGCAAGCCGTTGGGAGACTTTGAAATCTTCGGCTCTTTCTCGGGGCTCTCAACCTTTGTGCTCTCCTTCTTGAGGGGTGTTGTCAGAGGTACGTCGGAGAGAGCCGACGCAGCCGCATCCTCGCCATCTTCTTCTGTCTTCACCTTTTTGGAAGGGGTCCCAGTTGCGGCCTTGGCTGGTGCGCGTTTCCTCTTTTCGGGATTCGAAGGCTTTACGTCCTTAACCAAATCTTTAGATGCGACCTTGCTGGTACGGGTCGGCTTGACATGGTTGACAACAGACTCGGGACTTCCGAGCGGCTTTGCAGATGCTGCCAGGCGAGCGCTGGATCGTGTTGCTCTTGTCATGGTGAATCTTGCGAATAACATATACAGATGTAAAGACAACGTGAATGAAATAAAGATGGACTTCTCAAAGCGGTGTTGAAAGCGAATGCGATGTTGATTTTCAAGTCTCAGGGGGCAAACAATCCAGGATCTCCCAAATGAAGCAAAAAAAAAAGTGTATCGTCAATTAGGTACCCAGAGAAGTAGCAGTCACAGTGGTGATGTCAACGAGTCAGACCCACCGTGTTGTATCCACTGACGCCTTCCTCCTCTAACAACCGAAATCCGAAATGGTCCGTGCCCCTCGCCTCGCACAGGCCAGATGCTGTTTTGTGCTGTTTCTTGAAGGAAAAAGGAAGGAAAGAATGACAGAAACGCCTCCTTCCATGGTAGGTGGTGGGTGGGGTTTGGGCGGGAAGGAACACGGGGGGCAACGGGGAGGTGCGTCGCGACCCCTTTCTTCCTTTTAGCAATATGAGTGATCATCTCAGGGTAAGTTCAATCGGGCCTGCTATGTGTACTTGCCTATTCTTGTAATTCTCGTAAGGGATGGGGGGGAGGAAAGAAAAGAAGAGATAAAAAAAAAAAAAAGAGTTGATCGACTCTCCTGTTTCCTACATCAACACAGTTCTCCTCTCCTTCAATCTGCTCACAAATTAATTCTTGCTTTTTCTTCTTCACTTGGCCAGCAACGTCGGTCTTGGCACATCGCTTCTCTCTACCAATTTCATCCAACAAATGACATCCGCCACCATTATGTACCTCAGCTGCTTGCTAGCAAGCCCTGCTTTCAGCCACTCACGAACAAAAAAACAAAAAAGGTGAATCATTCTCCTTTCCCCCCTTGGTAACCCATCTCGAACCGGGATCCGGGAGAAGAATGCTACTTTATCGCCGCCAGCAACAAATCCGCAAAATCTTCCGCCACCATTCATTACCAGGTAACTTTCGCACTCCACGTTTGCCAGCATCGCATCGCGCGCGCTGTTCACGCCGCAACCCGTTCCCCGCATCTCTGCGTACCGCACCATGGCCACGTGCATATTGCCCCATTGAAATGGATGCCGGTCGACTTACTGCGTCGGCCGTAAGGCAGGACAGCGGGTGTTACAGGGATCTTGAAGGGACCGATTCCTTACTAGACAGGGCAAGATATGCAACTTCACCTGCGGCTAGAGACGAACAGCGCCTATTTTGCTTGGTCAAGTTATATCGACAGAGTCGCAGCGATTTGATAATGAAGAGGAGGGCGCGCAAAAAGAGCTCAATCACTCCGGGCCCTACCTAGTAGTAGCATTGCCAAGTCTTGTTGCGAGAGTACAGAGTAGCACTCAATGGAACTGCTGGCCATTTGCTCGATACAACATGGAGGGGGGCTATCCGTCGCACTAGCACTGGTACATTGCAATAAGTAAGGTCTTCCCGAGACCAACAACTATTCAAGCCGGATATCTAAGCCTGCCTAAGGTAAAGAAAGAGAGAGAGAGAGAGAGAGAGAGAGACAGGCAGAGAAGGGTGCTGATTCACCGCTGGTATTACAGATTCAGGACCCTGGGATTGCTACTCTCTCCCGCCGTGTCTAACCAGGAGACATAAATCCCTACAAGCCACAAAAGTAAGCTTGGACGAAGTGGTTGTCTTGGCGTGAAGCTTCTCTGCTAGGATTCATATCGGGAACCTTGTTGGAGCATTTACCAAGCACAAATATGTGTTTCTTGAATCCAACGTTGACATGCAACTTGGTCCGCCTGTCTCTTGCCTCGAAATCTTCGCACATTTTGCCGTCATCCAGGGAACTCTTTCGGACTCTGCTGCAGTGGTATTCTATTTTCAAACGGTCGCCTCTGCATGTCGCAGGCGAGAGCTATAGCCTTTCTTTCGGCCGACATCCTGGGTAGTAACCCGTCTAAAGCTGAGTCAGTCTGCAATGATTGGACTGTCATCAGGGGCCATGAGGGGACTTGGCCAGCCACAAACTCACATTCACAAATACGTGCGCTTGGCGTCGATGCAGTGCAACCCCCCAAATTGTCCAAATTGTCTTGGGCTATATGGATTCCATCAAGGACCATCGCCAAGGTCTGGAAGCGGTTTAGTACGTCCAGCCAGGAGGTACTGAACCAGATTTTTTTCTGCCGCCAACCGCATGCCATTCTCTCGAGTCAAAATGCTGTCGCTCCCTCGCCGTTTTGGGCACGTTCTTCTTCAATCCGACACACCATACCCCCTCATCATCGGCTGCCTTGAGCCCAAGGAAAACGCGATCCCCGGCCCTTGAAGACCATTCGATTGACACCAAACGTTCATCTGACGATTCTTCTTCGCCCAAGAGATATGTCATGGCGGACCAAAGCAGCATGGGCGACAAGTCTGTGAGTCTTGGCGCGGTGAACAGCATTACTAGCACTGCCGAGCTGGACACGAACCAATATGGCCACCTCACGCTGTGGCAATCCATCAAAAAGTGGCGTCGCGTCGTTCTTTACTGTATTGGCATGACTTCCGCCATCTTGCTATACGGCTACGACTATGTCATTGTCGGTACCGTGTCGGCCATGCCTAGTTTTCAGTATGACTTCTTGCATCATGAGTGCCGCTGTAGAAGTATTAGGCTAACCAAAGCTATCAAGGCGAGATTTCGGCCAGAAGCTTAATGACAAGTGGATTCTACCATCTCTCTGGCTCGGTCTCTGGAACTTTGTTAGTCCTGGATGCTCCATGGTTGGGGCCCTGGTTGGAGGCATATTCCAGGACCGCTTCGGTCGCCGTGCCTCACTTGCTGTTGGCTCCTTCTTGTCAGCTGTGGGCGTCGCTGTTTGCTTCATTTCTAACCTGTCTCCCGATATCAACGAACGTCGCGGTATTTTCCTTGCTGGCAAGGGCTTTCAGGGAGGAGCTATTGGCATGGTCATGGCAACTAGCCAAACATACATGTCAGAGATCCTTCCACCAAATTTGAGAGGACCACTGCTTGCATTTTTCCCCATCTTCACCCTTTTGGGCCAACTCATTGGGGCCGCTGTTATTTTCGCCTGTCTCAATCTGACGAATGGATACACCATCTGCTTCGCATCACAGTGGCCCTTCTCAGCCATTCCTCTGCTGATGGCCTTCATCATACCCGAGAGCCCGACTTATCTCATCCGCAGAAATCAGGACGACAAAGCCTACAAGGCGCAGAAGAGATTGGCTGCCCCGGGAGTGGAGCCAGAGACGACGCTCGATATCATCCGGCAGAATATTGAGCATGAACGCCGGCAGACTAACGCGACATACATCGACTCCTTCCGTGGGGTGAACCTTCGGCGCACATTGATTGTTATGTTTGCGAATTCCCTGCCCAACTTTTTCGGCTTAACTCTGCTCTCAAAGTCCAGTTACTTTGTGCAAGTAGTTGGCATGAAGGCCAATCTAAGCGTGATCGTACTCATCTTGGGACTTGTCTGCGGTTTGATTGCCAATATCGCAAGTGTTTGGATCCTCTCCAAGATAGGTCGCAGAAAACTTATCACCAGCACTCTGGCAGTCTTGACCGTGATATGGACCGCCATGGGCATTGCCGGGTGCTTTTCGGGCCCTGTGACCGTTTGGTAAGCCCTCCCGAGCTTAAATTTGTTAGATACGGACGCTCACTTGTCTTCTTAGGTATACTGCCATGTCACTGATAGCCGTTGTTATCGTGGCAGGTCTGGGTGTCTGGCCTGCCTCGCACGTCGTCGGTGCCGAAACCTCAGCACTACACTTGCGTTCCAAAGCCCAAGGTATTGGCTGGTTCACGGCCGGTGCAAACAATTCCATCTTCGGGTTTGTACTGCCATACATTTTCAACCCCGATAAAGGCAACCTTAAAGCCAAGACCGGTTTCGTGTACGCGGGACTCTGTGCTCTCGGACTTGTCGTTTCTTTTCTTTGTATCCCTGAAATGAAGGGACGAACGCCAGCAGAGATCGATCGCATGTTTGAGTCAAAGCTTCCGGCACGGAAATTCCGCCACTGGGTCAACTCGGCAGCAGATGCCGAACAGAAGAGTGTGTCGAGAGTATAGAATGCCTTCATGTACAATCTTTACAAAGCGGTTCCGTCAATCAAGCATGCAAAGCCCAAAGTTTTGGGCGGAAAATCGGAAGCAGACTGCGCCTCAAGCGCGGTCGTTGATACTTACCTCAATGTGCACTGAAACCTACATGCGTGCACTGTCACGGATGTAGGCTTCGTCTGAAGATGTATTCGCCAAGTTTCTGTGACCGTTGCGCATTGATCATCAAACAAGTTTTCATCCGTGAACTCGGATTCCCATTCGACAGATTCTTTATGTTCCGTTGGTGCTGCCATCGTCGCCAGGCTTCAAGTTCTGAAGTCGATCAATTAACGCATCCGCAGCAAGGCTGGCAACGATCCTTCAATTTCCATGCTCCCAAATTTACAAAGAAACCCTTCCGCACAACGCTACAGGATCCTGCAGCCTTATTACATATCGATCATTGCCTCTTACGCCACCGAGTCTGCACTGGAGCCTTCGCTGGAGTCCGCGCGCCCGAAGATTGGATCAACGTCGTACGTGTCGCCATGATATTCCAAGTCATGTCGGCCTGCGGGCACGCCAGCTCTCCGTCTGTGACAGCAGATGTATGCAGGATCCCCTTGCTCGAACAGTCAGTGGCTGTGTATTGTTTCCAACAGCTATGACGTGAGATTCCATTATCGGGTGTCGCCTGTCAGCTTGACATGTACGTTTGGCCTAAAACGGTTGACTCTCATATCTGAATACCAAAAACAATTGGGCGACAGTATGGGTGTAGATGCTGACACGCCCACTCATTGGGTGCCGGCCCAAAGCTATCGTCGCGACAGCACCTCTCGCGAGAGAACCATTGGGTTCCAATGTCCAACTTTAGAAATCCTACAGGCTTCCCTAACAAGCTTTCTAGCTTTCAATTACGGCTCTTCGTACCTGTGAGTTCGGCCAGCTGTGACCCGAGTCTCTGGGCCAGAGCACAATCAACCTGCCATCGGACCTCGTTCGCCAGCGACCTGTCTCCCAACTGGGTTTGTCCCAAGACTGTGTGTTCGAGATCCCTGCCCGATCGTCTGATATCATGAAGGAGACAGAAGAGCGATCCAGCTTCGGTATTTCAACGAGCTCAAAGTAAACTTTGAGACTTGCCGCCACTCAACCTGCACAACTGAGGCACGCACAGGTCCCGTGGGCCGGGTTCGGGTACGATGCTACATACCCGGATTAGTCCCCCATAAGGTCGGAAGCGAGCGGCTACGACCTCTTGGTACACTGAGCCAAGAAGCTCATCAGGCTGCCTAACACGAGCCTGGTTAGACACATCCAAGTCAGCACTGAGCCTCATGATAACCATGTCTGTGTCAGCCCGTCAGCATTCAAAGTGCCAGCCAAGGGGGGTATGGCGCGTTTATGAGTGGTGCGCAAATTTCTTCAACGGTCCTTGTTTTCAACATCATCGGCTTAATTCTAACAACCTTACACAACTCCACCAACAGCCTACTTCGTGCGCGGCCATCCCGAAGAAAAGTATTCTATACCCGAGGTCCCGCTCTCTAGAGACTTCAATGTATACAGGAAATGAATACAATGAAGAAAGTAAAGGCTGAGAATGGATGCGCACCCATTGCGATAACATCCAAAACGAGTTTCGGCCCTGTTCTTCGCATGTGGCGTGTGTGGGAGCCACCACTCGCACTGATCTTCACGGCGATCGCCAATGAAACAGGCGAGAAACTGCACAGGAAGCCAGCGAAGCACATGTCGGGCCGCATACAAACGAGCGACCCCTCCAGAAAGGGATGTGGGTGGATGTCAGTTCGCCTCTCGCCTAATTGCTCAGGTATTTTTCTCCCTCATTCCTTTGGGACCGAACTATGATACCCTATGAGGCTCAAGATTGCTGCAGCCTGCATGAGAGATGTAAGCCATTATGTACCTCAGCTACCTTACGCTAGTCTCCTCCACTTTGTCACAGACGACAGCGCACGGCGATTCCAGACTGAAAGCTGTATTGCCGTGTCTGGCCCCCATGGGAAGCATGTGTGTGTCTGTATAGAGATACTAAAAGAAGGGGGTGGACACCTTGCAGCGTCTCTCCCCTCCGTTCCGGCTCGGTTTTCTCTTTCTTGTTCAACGCTCTCCAGTCATTTTTCTTTCAAGTTGTATAGGACAGTTTCTCGATAGCAACTGTCAAGATGGAGTACAGAGAGCACAGGGACCACCACGACAGCGTCGTGTCGTCGTCGACCTTCATTTCGACGTCGTATGACCCAGCGGCCTACTCTGCCATCAAGGAGCCGAAAGAACTTGACCAGCGCGGTGCCTCGGATCCTATGCTGGTTGACGAATCTATCAGCATCCCAGCATGGAAGGCCTCGAAGCACCAGATGGTCATCATCATCACGTTGTCGATCATGTCCTTTGTTATTGCCTTGGACGCTAATGTCATTGTTACATCCCTGACTGTATGTTGTCGTTGGTTTACTGCGTCACGGTTGTTGATGTTAACTGGATGAACTAGGCCATCGTGCAAGATATCGGCGGATCATCGACGCAAGCCTTCTGGATCGGCACATCGTATCTCATCTCCTGCGCGGTCGCCATGCCCTTCCTCGCGTCTGTCAGCGACATCTTCGGCCGACCGATCATTCTTATCGGCAGTGTCATGGCTTTCACAGTCGGAACAATCTTGTGTTGCGTATCAAGCAGTATCGCATTGATGATTGTAGGTCGTGTTATCCAGGGACTCGGTGCTGGCGGCATGTACGTTCTCAGCCTGGTCATCTTCACCGACATTGTACCTCTGCGCCATCGTCCTAAGCTCTGGGGTATCATGTAAGTTCCCTATTTTGAATAGCACAACATACACGCTGACAGTGTTTCTAGCCAAATGGCTTGGGCCATTGGTTCCCTTGTCGGACCCATCATCGGCGGTGCGATCGCTGAGCACACGACTTGGAGATGGATCTTTTACATCAACTTCCCCATTTGTGGCTATTCCCTCGTTTCCATCCCCGTTTTGCTGACACTCAAGCCACCCACGGCGACGTTTGGCGAGAAGCTGAAGCGCGTCGACTGGCTTGGCGGCTTCCTCTTCATCGCCTCCTTGGTTACCTTCCTCGTCGGCATCTCTTGGGGCGGCAACGATTTTCCCTGGAAGAGCGCACAGACTCTGGTGCCCGTGTTCATTGGCGCTGCGGGTGTGGCAGTGGCGCTGTTCTACGAGAACAAGGTCGCCAAGCTGCCATTCCTCAAGAGGATGCTTTTCACGGATGTCAGTGCCGTCACGGTCTACATCCTAGGTCTTCTGCAGGGTTTCATTGTAAGTCAAACTCGCGCACTGTACACGTAGATCACCCCACTGACATGATGCGTTCTCAGCTTTACGGTCAACTTTATTACATCCCGTTCTACTTCCTGTCCGTCACCCAGTACAGCCCCACGATGGCCGGCGTAGCCATGCTGCCCGTCACCCTTCTCCTTGTGCCAGGCTCCATCATCTCCGGCATCCTCGTTTCCCGCTTCAACGCCTACCGCTGGTCCATCTGGATCGGCTGGGCTCTCATGGCTCTCGCCTCTGGCCTCTTGATTTTCTGGGATGTCGACACGCCGGTTCCGGTGCGCGTCGTCACCCTGGCTATCGGCGGTGTCGGCCACGGCTTCGTCCTTAATGCCCAGACATTCATCACTGGTGCCATCGTCGACCCCCAGGACTCGAGCCACGCGGCAAGCATGTACCTGTTCCTCCGCATGCTGGGCTGTGCCATCGGTGTCAACGTGGGCTCCACCACGTTCCAGAACGTCATGGCGCTGAAGCTCGAGCGCAAGGGTATCGCCAGGGATATTGCGCTCCGCGCCGAAGAGTACCTCGCCGTCGTCAAGACGCTTCCCGAAGGCACCTTCAAGGAAGCCGTTCTCGAGTCGTACGCGTTTGGCTTTAAGGGTGTGCACGGTGTCTACGTCTCGCTGGCTGTCATCGCCTTCTTCGCGAGCTTCTTGATCCGTCACTATGACCTCAACAAGATGCATGAGACCAAGCACACGCTGCATCAGAACCGCGTTTCGCGGCTTTTTGACAGTCGCCAGAACCTGAGAAGGAGCGAGCAGATTCCTACCTCTGATGAGAGCTCTTAGAGGTACGGTACGTGCATGCGTCAGTATGAGTTTGCTACAACTGTCTATTGAGGCACAAGGGAAGTTGGAATAGAGCGGATACATGACAAACCACAATACCTTGGGCAGGGAAGCACGGAGTTCGCGGTATGGATAGACAACATGGGAGGACATGATGACGTTTTGGATTGTTGGTTGCTTTTTTATTCACTGGCTTGTGATGCATCATTCTTTTAAAGAGGACACTTTATGGCGTCGACTAGGGTAAAGTAGCGCAGAAATTAAGAAAAAGAGAAAACAGAGATGATTCCGCCAGTTTTGCTCGCCCTTCCGTATACGTTGTTTTATTTACATGCTCCTCCGGTCATCGTCGACATTCTTGCCTTCTTCACCAAGTCCTTCGGTGACGACCGAGTTCGCCCTGTACTCTTTGTAGTTTCTCATCTTCTGCCTCGCCAGGCCCGGCGTCTCGAACAGAACGTCCATATCCTCCAGCGGCACGCCCCTCGTCTCCGGGACAAACAGGTACACGTACACCCCGCCTAGGACCGTCATGGACCCGAAGAAGAGGAACGTGCCGTAGGTGATGGTTCGGAACATGTACGTGACTGCGTATGACACGTAGAACTCGCCAAGCCAGTGCGAACAGGTCGTCAAGACGAGGCAGAAGGACCGGATGCGCGTCGGGAAGATTTCTGAGGCGATGATCCAGGGCAGGTTCCAACCGATTGCCTGGTGCGGTGTGTGTCAGCCAAGTCAAAGCTCATGACCGTCAAAGTGGACTGTTTTTTGGCGCGTCGGAAGGGGATCATATTTGGACCATGACGTGTGATTGCATGAAGACTACAGCGTGGGTGCCAAACGGGCAAACATGCATAAAGAATAGCGTGTGGATGTGTTGCGAAAGAGATTTTAGAGGTTATGAAAGTTTGGACTTACGTAGCCTGCGCCGAATATGTAAATGAACGCCGCTGCCGAGTTGCTCCCCGCGTTGGGAGGCAGCGAGGTGTTGAAGGAGTTTGTGATGCCGGAGAAGGCGGCGACGTAGTACATTGAAAAGGCGCACATTATGGAGCCTACGAAGAGGAGGGCCCGGCGGCCGAAGCGGTCGACGAGGTAGAGGAACGTTACTGTCGCCGCGACTCCTTTTACGATGCCGTAGATGCCTGTTGAGAGCAGCTTTGCTTCCTTTTTGGTGATTGAGTTAGCGTGTGAAATATGACTTTCATCATGTCGTTTCGGAAATCCCCTGATGGAATTACAGGAGTCGGTTTATAGACATGAAAAGAAAAGTTGTCAACTCACAGCACCATGGAATCCCAGCACTCCAAAGAACGTCACGGCAAAGTTGTTCATCGCGTTGATGCCAGTGCTGTTTTGAAAAATCATCAGCAGACAACCGTGGAGCACCCGTGGCATCATCCGTTTGCTGAAGGTTTCCGAGATCACAGCCCGGAGCCCCGAGGCTGACGAGATTGATACTTCGTGTTCGGCTTGACGCTCGTAGCCGGCCAACTCGGCAGCGACGTACGGATGAGTGACCGGCAGGCGACGAAGACGGACCAGGGCGGCGCTGGCGTCTTCGCGGCGGTTTCGGAGGTAGTACCATCGCGGCGATTCGGAGAGGGGAATGAGGCCGATGATCATGAGGGTCGAGGGGATGAATTGGAAGGAGATGGGAATGTGCCATTGTCGGTCACCTATGGGTGAAACCTTGAGAATGTTAGATTATACATACGAGGAATTGGAAATATAACAGTCTGGGACTGTAGACAGGTTGGTTGAGGTACTTACGTTTTGCTGTACACCAAAGTTGATCCAGAATCCAATAATGGTTCCGATTTGGACACCAATTTCAAACTACCAAATGTCAGTTTGATTGGCCCACTTCAACGTGACCTGTGAGAGGCATCTTACGCATCCAACGATACCTCCACGTGCGGCAGGAGGAGCGCATTCAGCCAGATACTGCGGCACGGCAAAAGTAGTACCACCAACGCCAATACCGCTTATGATCCGTCCCACGTAAAACATGGGCAGGTTTCCGCCGCCCGCCATTTGCAGCACGACGCCGACGTTGAAGATGGCGGCTGCGGTGATGAGAGCGAGACGCCGGCCGTACCGCTCGTTGAAGTAGTAGATGATAGGGACGCCGAAGAAGGCTCCTCCTTGAACTGTTCTCAAGTCTGGTTAACACGATTTTCAAGTCATTTACTTGATAGCCATCTTTATAGAATTAGTTTGAAATGGTAAGGTTTGAAACTGACAAGTATTTATCATGTGCGCCTGAATAGCGCCCGCATCACGGCTGGCGAGGTCGAACCGATCAATGAAAGAGGGTAGAGCAAACACGCCGCTCATAAAAGCAAGATCGTACCCAAAGATGATTGAACCGCAACTTGCAACAAAGATTACCCAGAAGAGGTGCCGATTAAACACCTCGGGCGGAGTCGAGCCGTCTTTGGCGTTGAACGTGAACTTCATCGTAACGGTCCAAGCAGGCTAGGAAGACAAAGCAGAGAAACCGACTGTTAAGTCACAACTGACAGTAACTTTCAACAGTGTTAATAGAGAATAGGTCGACATATATATGAAAATAGTCATCAGATTCAAGATAACAGCTGTCGAGTAGTGTCAAGTCGGACTTGGCAAAGTCCTGCCACACCATAGTCTTATCTCCACTGGTCATCTCTGGCATGATTATCTGGGACTTAAACCACTTTTGATAACACCCTTGCAAGACAGGCCGTGGATGTCATATCCGTGCACCAAAATCCGGGGTAAGAACTCCCAATGGATGGGGACCGGGGAAGCGTCAAGACAAGGGAAACCATGGCCGGAACTAAAGGCCGGCACAATGGATCATCGAACGCGTTGCCAAGCTGAGGGGTATAGGCATGCCGATGACTAGATGGTAACATTGTGATCGATAACACTTTGGCTTGTAGTCGAGTGAGAAGTTGGCATTCACGTTGCTGGCTCCGGGAGTCGGCTCGGCAAATTACTAGATTGGGCAAGCCACCGAATTCATTCCGGGCTGTACTCCCGAAACTCGCCATTCGAACACTGGTTTTTTTTTTTTAGATAATCGACTTCATTATCCCTTCCTGGTTTCAGTTACAATCTATGAATGAAAGTACCATGTTTCATTTCATGAAAATAAATCAATGACGTGAAATCACAAAAATTACCAGTAAAGGTACTGATGTAAGCTCCCAATCTTTCTCCTTGGCAAATATTCATATGTATTTGTCCCATAGAACTGCACCTTACGATGTCACAATCGCCAAGTTTGACATCGAAAACGATCAACCATTTCTAACCTGATGCTTCGTTATCGGCTTAAATACCTGTTGTGGATGGCAGAGGCTAATGACGATGCAACTCCGCTCCGAGCTTCGGAGACCCGTTTCCCTATCTCGCGCTACCTCATCCTTGTTCTCCCCCCTCAATTAGTCAACTTCCGAGACTCCTCATCAACAAGCCGAACCACGATCAGAACCCGCAGAAACGTTCACGACCGCCACGAAAACACACCTGCCATTTCTCTCTTCAATGAATCCGGAGTCTCGTGCCTCGCCTAGACAGTCGCCGTTGGGTGGTAGGATAGGTGGGATCCGCGATGCCGCAAAAACTCTTTCGGCGTGAGTCTCCGAACCCCTCCCGAGAGTGTTCCCCATTGCAACCATCGCTTCGGCACGTCTGCAGCCCACCAACCCGCACTCACAAGTGAAACGTATGAAATGTTGTTTGCTAATATTTGGATTTTGTTGGTAGTTGCTTGACATGCAGGCGAAAAAAGGTGAAGTGCTCTGGTGACAAGCCCTGCACATACTGTAGCAAGCGCAATCTTGATTGCAAATTCCCAGAGTCGGGAAAGAAGCGAGTGTATTCAGTCACGTTAGTAACTAATAATCCCGCGGTACTGGTTAGCTGATGCTGACTCTCAGGTAGGAGAATCCAAGATCTTCAGGAGAGACTGGCTCGGTATGAGAGTCAGGGTTTGGATTTTGCCGTTCCAGATTGTAAGTATAACGAACTAAGGACCAGCCCGTTCTGCGTATACTAATAGGAGACACAGCAACAGACCGCGAAACAATTATTGTGGCTGATGGATCTCCCAAGCACCAGGGCCGCCCTCCGACAGGTGGCACGGCACAGACGCCCACGGATAATGCAACGCAAGTTAACGCCGCCTCAACCCTCCTGGGGTTGGCATTAGACCAACTTCAATCTCCCCTTTCAACAAATACTACATCAAGAGAGCGTGCAAGTATCATTACCGAATCTTCTCCCGGTTCAAGTAAGATTAGCTTGTCACTTGTTTTAATGTAATACGTCAAGATTTTAACATGTCAAATAGCAATCCCGGCTGATTCATCATTGAGCTCTAGCCATAACTTTGGTTCCAGGCTGCAGAACCTACTGCAGCACCCTCGTCTAAGCGGTCAAGGAAATGATCAGCCTCAGCATCCTCTACTATCGCAGCCAGCTGCCGCAAAGTCTAAAGATAAAGAGCTAACCCTACCCTCGGAGGAAGAGGGCCGTAAACTATTCGAGAGCATGTCCTTCTTTATTGGGTACACGCAGCACCATATAGACACGCGAGAGTTCTCTGACAGGCTTGCTTTCTTCTACGCCAACATAGATGACCCGTCGCAAACTCAAACTCCATGGTATTTGGAGATGCTACTCGTTTTCGCCGTAGGAAAACTCTTCTCCGGCTCATTTGACAGCGATGAGAGAACAGAGCTTCCAGGCTGGAGCATATTCACGTATGTTCAAACAAGGCTCCCAAGCCTAAGCGAGCTTTATAGTCTGGGGAAGCTGGGCATCGAGATACACGCTTTGGCAGCGGTGTATTTACAGAATGCTAACCGGAAAGAGGAGGCGTACTTATATGTAAGCTTCGTGACCGGCGAAGGTTTGTGTACCTCTTTTCTAATTGGGTAATGCAGATTAGCTCGGCACTTCGCTTGGCAACAACACACGGATATCACCGCAAGTTGGGAACGAAACATTTGTTACAGTCAGAGAAGGTACATTTGAATCGTCTTTGGTGGACAGTTTATATGCAAGAAAGGTACCTATTCCAGACTATCTCATTACAACTGACTGGATTACTGACTGCTTTTCCGAAATAGACGGCTCGCAGCCGCAACTGGAAATCCCTCCGGCATACTTGACGACGTGATTGAAATTGATATGCCGATTGACTCTCCAGGGTTTCCCCCGGCCCTACCTCTACGAACTAATATTAAAATTGCAAGGGTTACTGGAAGGATTCTCTCGAGTACGTATGTCTGGCATATATTCCTCCAATATCTTCCTCACACTGTGAACAGCAATCTACGGTCCTGGAAATCACCCCGAGGAAACATTTGTGCCGAATGTTCAAGATATTGTTCAGTCTCTTTACTGGATTGCGAAGGAAATTCCGGGAGACTTTTCAAGCAGGCTATTTGACCTGCCATCTATGGAAGGAGATGTCTCGCTGAGGACGTCGGCATATCTGCACATGATGCTATATCAAGTTGGTGGCCCCATCGTTTCGTAAATCCTTTTCTAACTGGTGCTTAAAGGCAATTCTCCTGACTATACGGCCTGTGATGCTGCATGTTTCAAAACTCATCTTTGATGACGAGAGCAGCGCCAAGTTGAGCATGCGAACTTCGCCACTAGGCAGGTTAAGTCGTACTTGCTCAGAGGCAGCAAGGAGGCTCCTGGAAGTACTGCTATCACTTCGGAAAGGAAACATGTTAAGTAAGTGGCGCGATTCTAGCCCAACAGAAACAAACATTGACGGTTGACATAGCGATATTTGGATTTTTTGACCTCGATGCAATCTTCTCGGCCGCATTTATTATGATATTGACGCTAGTGATTGACTCTACACGTAACGAAAACGAAAGACTTGCACCATGCCCGGGATTGTCCGAAGCACTAGAAACACTCGATTACCTCGTCGACCGAGGAAACGAATTTGCTCTTCAAAGAGCCCAGGAAGTTCGTCGTATGAGAGATCATTTATCAGCCTGGTTAAACATTCCCAAGAACAGCCCTAGCGATGTACGGTCTAGTCATGCAACCACCACCAGTGCAGATCGTGAGAGCCAAGGAAAGTCAAACAATAATACATCAAATAGCGAGAATCTCGAAAAGGATGCCGAAATGCAGCCATTTACCTTCCCAGCATCGACGCCAAGAAACATTGGCGAAAACAGTCTCTTGACTCCGTCTGGTCGGACAAGTCAATTGGGATCCAGAAGCCTCTTGGACTCAAGCTTATGGAACGATATCTCATATCTATGGCTGCAGCCCTCAAGTGCCGACGACAACCAGCCTTTTGTGCAGACGAACGGAATGGCAGACTTACTACCAGATGATGCGTACAATTGTTATTCCATCTATCACAACCAAAACCTCACTCTCACTGGTCAAGACCTGGGAGATTTTGAAGAGCTGGAGAGACACATTTATGGGTTCGGTAGTTGAATGCCGTTTTGGGAGAAAGTCGACGGCATTATAAACCTTCCCGAGGCCGGCAAGTCTCAGCGGAGTAGATTCATTTCCCAGGCCGCTTACCTGTCGGATTGTTTCAAAATTCCCCGTCTCCAACGGTAGGTCGGGTTAATTATTGAGCCAACCCTTTGATGCACTCTCCAATTCAGCTCTGAAGGCTTGATTCCAGCATAGATGGCCTGAGTTTGAACGCTGAAACTGGTGGCATGACGTCAGCATCTTTCGAGGTCATCGAACTTATCATAGACTAAAAGTCCAGTCGTTAATACGTTGACAGCGGAGAGTCGGCCCAACTTGTGAATTGACGCACTGGATTGTCTAACTGTATGATGTACGATAACTACCTGGCAATAAAATTTCGTGATAGAATAGATTGTACTCCGTGACATCTTCAAACATGAAGTTGACCTGAAGTAACCCACCAAGAATGCAACCGAATGTGACTAACGTTTACTAGGGTCTCTGACCAGGGCACCTAGTGGGGTTTTAAGCATTTTCCATAAGGGTATAATAAGTCTGCCATGGCTCTTGAAGGATTCTTTCCATGTAAGTACGCGCATCACTGAGCCTCGATGGACACGTCCGTGCCTCGTGACCACATGGAAAATGCATCTGACTCGGGCGGTCGGATACGGGCTGGTTCCCGCGGATCCCAAACGGAGGAGCAGTAGCCGCAATTGTGGAATCTTGATTCAAATACAGCCGTACAACCAATTGCCAAAAGGGGAATACGCGACAGTCCTCAAATCAGAGTGGTTTATTGGCTTGCACACGCAATCCCCAGGCAAGGATTGTGATCGTTGGTCCCGGCATTCCCCACTGATCCTAACGGTAGGCTTCGGGCACATAGCTAGTCCTTGCAAGATGATGTGGTACGTTTCGTCTGAGCCGTTGATGGAAGATAGCAGCGGGGTATAAAGACAGTCACAGAGAATGCTTCGAAAAAGGTTATTGCGAAAATACCCGAACCCGCGACGGTTGGAGCAAAAGCGCAACAGCCAGATCAACAAAAGCTACTGCGTGAACAACCCAATACATCTTTTCCGCGGACCAGCGTTGCCGACTGACACAAGGTTGTGTCTTGAGCTCAGTTCGTAATGGCGACTACTACAGTAACGTATGATCTTTCAAAATTTGATGCATCTTGTCAGGAATCTGTGTTGAGTCAATGCTGACAGTCGCGGTGAAGTACGAGCCAGTCGGCAGGTTTAAGCGAAAGACTTGAGCTACGTGGAGCGCCTCCTTTGAATCTTCCCACCAGTCTCGCCCCGGACTTTATCACTCGATTCCCCAAGCTTTCGCGCGAACAGGCCGGGCACCTCCGGCATTTCCATAACCTCGTAACACAGAAAGATGGCGAATGGCGGCACATGGGAAGCCAGGAGCCGGGCCAGGAATGGCTCGACGCCTATCGCTACCAGCTGGCTACTATGGCCTACGCTGCCGGTGCCACTCACTACCACCGCCTGCCAATATTGAGATCAACCTTTAAGGCATTGCTGGAGAAGATGATTCACAAGATGCTGCTGCGAGACGTCTGGGGCTACTGGTTTCTGACGAGCCACAGCGGCATTCTAGTTGACCCAGATATCAAAGAGCTCCGAAAACCCTGGGCAGACCCGGTCGTACGGGAGAATATCATGGTTTGTCGACCCACTTCCCCCGTGGTCTTTGTCACTCTAAACTGATGATACTGCAGTATTCCGGTCATCTTTTTCTGATGGTATCACTTTATACTATGCTGTTTAACGACGGGAAATTTGATCAAGAAGGCTCAATTACATTCAACTGGAATCCCATTTTCTGGGGAATGGGACCTGAAAAGTTCTGCTACACCAGAAAGTCGTTACAGACTGCCATTTTCAAAGAAATGGAACGTGAGAAATGGATAGGCGTTTGCTGTGAGCCCAACAGCATCTTTGTAGTTTGCAACCAGTTCCCGGTCAGTTGAGCTGTGCGAGGTGGTGCAGTGATGCTTGAGCTAATATGTTGCTTCAGCTGATTGCGCTGCGATACAACGACGTCAAAGACAAGGTTAACTTGTCTCCGGAGGTACTGGAGAAATACCAGGCAGCATGGAAAGCGAAGGGCATGATCCAAGAGAACGGGTTCTTCTACGAGTGGTATTCTCCTAAGCAGGACCGCAAGCAGCCCACTTTTGATTTGGCCAACACTTCTTGGTGAGTCGGAGTCATACCCCTCGCACAAGGCTTTTCGCATACCACGGCTAGGCTGACCTCTCGATAGGGCACTAGCATTCATGAATTCCTGGAACTCGTCATTTACGCGCGAAAAGAGCAACGACCTAGCCGTTGGGTTCCTTGCAAAGCCCTCCGATAATCATGTGTTCATCCCACATCCCAGGATCTCGTTCAAAATTCGGGAGCTTGTCGCCTCCGAACAATTGAAGCCAATGGACCCAGCCACTTATGCTAAAGCTGTCGATGCGGTTGCAGGAGAGGTATTGCCGAAATCCCCGATTCCGTATACGAAACCTCATTTCGCGTATGCCATGATGTGGGTGTCCGAGCTTGGTGACCGCGCCGACTTGGAAGGCCTGCTTTCATATGTCGATGCGACTTTTAACCCAACGTGGGAAAACGGCGGCCTATTCTACCCCTGTCGGAGCGAAGGGTCACCATTCGACTACGAATCGCCAAGTGTTGATGTAGTAGCTGGAAATGCTGCCATCGCCTACGGGCGACTCAACGTCTCCGACGGTCAGCGGAAGATGTACGAAAATCCGTGGGACGACGAGCATTTTGCGACCAGTCCGTATGTGAACAACGTGGATCTATCAAGCGGCGTGGACTTCCTGCGCGGAAATTGGGACAGCGAATTGGAGGCTTTGGCGGTCACCATGAGATCATGGGATGAGACCAGCAGACGGTAAGTAAACCATATTGAAGGAGATTAAATATCCAACTTCAGTTTGCTGACGTTTAACCATAGGGTTCAACCCAAATTTTCTGGACTCCAAGAGGGCACCTATGGCCTGTACCAGAATGGAAACCTTTACCGAACTTATGACGTGACGGGTAGAGATGCGATCATCACTGTGGATTTGGAGGTTTCCGGAAAGGAAGTGGATGTTGTTTTGCTGAAATCTCAATAAGCGCTCAAGCTACTGCGGAATAGGTACTAAATAGAAATGCCAGGGCAATATCTGCTTACTCAGAATCAGGTGAATGGGGGAGTTATGAAGATGTGGTCCGCGGCCTAGGTGTTGACATCAGAAAAGTCGAACTCATGATCAGTGGCTTCGGCCAATGGGAAGCAAGAATTGTATCATCAACTGCTTCATTTCTAATCAGAAAACGCCAGTTGCATCGGCCTTGATTTACCTAGTTGGAGATGTGAGTTACAGGATATGCTAGGCTCAGAGATGCATCAGCAATATTTTTGAAAGGGTGTGCAACGACATTGAAAATGGCTCGTGGAGGTCTGGATTGAGTTGAGTCTAACATTCAGACAAGACTTTTGGTTCCTGGAACTTCCAATCATAGGCAACTTAAAGGCTTGGCATGATGCTGGTCTACAGCGTTATTGGAAAGTTCAAGTTGAACAGGGGTGGACAGCACTGAGCTGTGAGTCACACATTGCATCAGTTGGTACGATCTTGACCACATTCAGATTTCAGGCAACCAATGCCCATAGTGGGAGATCAGAAGATTAAAGCCAACAGTAATGGATTTTTTGGGGGAAAATACCCAAAGCGAAAGAATTGATAGTGGAATCCCGCTACGTATTTCTAAGCGACCGGTGAGTGTGCTCCCTTGATTGATATGATTGGACCAAATCAACGAATCAACAGCACCAACAGCACCCATTGGAGGAATACGCCGCCGCGCAAAACGTTAGGCGGAATTAACCAGGCACCCAGATTGTGACCTTTTAGCCAATCACGTCAATCCTTGGCACCAATTCAGACCGCTGATTGGCTCCTTCGTGTAAGTCGACAGTTGCCTTCTTCTCCTGCTGTTGGCGGACAGTGGCTGAGGGCCGCCCTTTTATCAACGAGTACGGCCACCTAACACATATAAAAGTACCTGGTAACCACCACAGAGACTTCTTCATATCCCACTCTCACTACATCATCTGATCTTTATCCACATTACTGGAATCCCTAACAGCTGATTCCATATTCTGTCGACATCTTCTACCGTACGAAGGTATATCTTCCTTGGTCTTTATCTTTCCCAAGTGCACAGACCGAACGAAAACGGGCCAAAACGAGACAATACCTCCTCTTCGTACAAAATCGTTGAAAGCTTCCTTCCCCTTTTCTTCGTAAGTGTTCTGTCGTCAACATGGCTTTTGGTGCTTCATCTCACGTTACTGGAGGTCTGTTCGGCTCCGGAAACTCATCTTCCCTCTTTGGAGCCACTCTATTCGGAAACCCTCCTTCATCTGCTGGCGGCAGTATATTCGGCAAACCATTCCCCACTGGAGGCAGTATATTCAGCCAACCCGCTCAGAAGATGGCGCCATTCCATGTCTGTGGTTTGTACTTTGTAAACCCGAACACCCCGGTTTACCAACATCGTAGGGTGTATTTGCCTACTGTTTCGCAAACTGTTCACGCTCGCATCGTGGCATCAACCTCGCGAACAACTCTCACACAGACATACGTCAACACACACAACGAGGGCGATATCCCTGAGCTCCGCTATACCTTTCCTCTATACGACGGAGTCTCAGTGGTGGCTTTCACCTGCACGATAAACAACAGCCGTGTCATCCGCGGCGTCGTCCAGGAAAAAAACACAGCTCGCAAAACCTTTGATGCCGCCGCTGCCAAGGGTCAAACTGCAGGCCTCTTGGAGCAACTCCCGGATGCCAGTGATGTTTTTACCACTACCATAGCCAACGTGCCTGCCAGAGCCGAAGTCAAGGTAGAAATTGTCTATCTTGGTGAGCTCAAGCATGATGCAGAGGTAGATGGCACGAGATTTACCATTCCAACAACCATTGCGCCACGTTACGGCGGCTACCCCGGCACCCTGATGCAGAAGCCTACCAATGTCACGGCAAAGGATGGCATTCAGATCGTGGTCGATGCCGAGGTTCCGGCCGGCAGTGTGATCAAGTCCATTCAATCGCCTTCCCACCCCATCGCCGTATCAGTTGGCTCAACGTCAACCATGGCAGCCAACGCCACACCTTCCCTCCAACTGGCGTCTGCAACTCTTTCGCTTGGAACAGCAGAATTGGAGAAGGACTTCATCGTCCAAATTATTGCGACCAACACTTCAAACCCAATCGCTGTGCTCGAGACGCATCCCACCATTCCTCACCAACAAGCCATAATGGCAACACTAGTACCCAAGTTCAAGCTCGCCACTACCAAGCCAGAGGTCGTGTTCATCTGTGACCGTTCAGGCTCTATGGGGGATAAGATAGACGACTTGAAAAATGCCTTGAAGATTTACATGAAGTCCCTTCCTGTTGGCTGCATGTTCAACATATGCTCTTTCGGCTCGGGTCACACTTTCTTGTTTCCGAACTCCAAGACATATGACCAGGATACGCTGAACGCCGCAATCTCCCACATTGACACATTCCGGGCTGACTATGGTGGCACGGAGATGTACGGCCCCATTGAAGATACATTCAAGCGCCGGCACAAGGACTTGGACCTAGAGGTATTCGTACTCACCGATGGTGAAATATGGAACCAGGAGATCCTCTTCGACATGGTCAACGAGAAAGTTGCAGAGTCCAAGGGCGCCATCCGTATTTTTACCTTGGGCATAGGCTACAGCGTCAGTCACGCCTTGATCGAGGGTCTCGCTCGCGCCGGAAACGGATTTTCGCAGAGTGTTTCTGGGCAAGAGAAGATGTCCGGCAAGGTTGTACGGATGCTCAAAGGAGCTCTCACACCTCACGTCAAAGACTACACCTTGGAAGTCAACTACGCTGATGCCGAGTCAGAAACTGAGCCGGAAGACGATTTTGAGATTATCGAATCCGTGACCACGAAAGAAAAACAAGCCCCCGAACCGAAAAAGCCCATTTCCCTCTTCAACCCGAACGATGAAGATGTAGAAATGAAGGACGCCGAGGCAGAAGACGACGGCACCGGCACAGATCGATTCTCTCACGTCCCCACTGTCAAACCCCCTAAGATTTTACAAGCCCCTTTCCAAATCCCACCGCTTTTTCCTTACAGCCGGACGAGCGTCTACCTCCTCCTATCCCCAGACAGAGCAATGAGGGACAAAACCCCAGAGTCTGTGACCCTTCGCGGCACATCCACTCAGGGCCCGCTTGAGCTGGAGATCCCCATAACGATCCTCACTGAGAAGGCCGAGACGATCCACCAACTCGCCGCTCGGAAAGCCGTCAAGGAACTCGAAGAAGGCCGCGGCTGGATCTTCCATGCCAAGGATAAGAAGGGCGATTCGCTGCAGAAGAGGAACCCCGGTCGATTCCCCGCCATGGTCGAGCGCGAAGCAGTCCGACTCGGAGTCAAGTTTCAGGTCGGGGGTAATTGGTGCTCCTTTGTTGCGGTGGAAGATGACGGCGAGGACGCAGTCGACAGACCGCCTGTCGAGGTGGTGCAACATGCCGAAGAACCTGCTCGAGAACGTGCTGGAAGACAGAAAGCAACTGAGCGAAAATCCACCGGGCCAAGAAGCCCAAGACGCCAGTTGGCGTCCAAGGCATGTCGAAAGTCGGCACCGGCCGCGCCAGCTCCTGTCGTGGCAAGGTTTGGTTCAGGAGGGCTGTTTGGAGCCCCCAGTGGATCAGTAAATTCTACATCTGGAAGCAGTAGTGGTCTGTTTGCTTCTTCTTCTTCTTCCTCTGTACCACCACAGGCACCACAGGTGGGAGGAGGATTGTTTGGCGGCGGCGGATTGGCGCAGTATCAACAGAACGTGATGGTGCTGCAACAACAACCATCCAAACACCGACGGCAACTACAACAACAACAGCAGCAGCAGCAGCAGCAGCAGCAGCAGCATCCATCTGGATATGACATCAGTTCTTCAGACGGTTTTGGTATGGACTGTACAATGATGTCAGCTGACTTTGGGCACAACTCAGTTTTGAATGATTTTGATTTCGACTCATTCCTGGGGGAAGACAAAGATATGTCGGCTTTTGGATTTAATACACCGGATGATGTCTCCGGCTTCGGAAATCCTAACCATTTTCTAGACCAAGCAAGTAAGAAGGCTAAGAAAGCAAAGGCTTCGGTGGCCGACAATCTGAAGGAGGCGGAGGAAGAAGCAGAAGTCCCCGGCGACAAGTTGTCCACTCTTGTTTCCCTGCAGGATTTCAGTGGCTTCTGGGGTTGGTCACAAAAGCTGCTCAAGGTACTGGGTATTACCGAGGAGATTGTCAACAAGGCGCTGTCCAGCTTTTCAGAGGGACAGAATATCAAGGCAACTGTCATGGCGGTCGCTTTCATGCGGAAGAAACTCGCGGGTGATCGTGACAGCTGGGAAATGATTGAAGAGAAGGCTGTGGTCTGGCTTGAGGGAGAAGTGGGAGCAGACGCTGCTCAGAAACTGCTCGCTGCTGCCGAAACCTTGTTCTAGGGGCTCTTGCGACATGAGAATCTGTAATTTCATCATTGGAGTGTGGTTTGCTTTTTATTATCTACAGTACACTTAGTCTTCCATGCCAATGAACAACCGCTATTGAACAGAACTACGTAGAAAAACAACATGATTGACATAGTTTATCAATTGCCTTCCATAAAACGCGTGATGAAACACATGAATCTTTGAAAACAACTAGCCCGAGAACTAACCGTACCAGAAAACTTCTCTCTTTCTCGAGTTTCACAAGTCTGCTGTCCCCTCCACGTTGTCGACAACAAAGTCAAGCACCATGACCGCCGCCTCAGTCCGCGCACCCCGCCCTGCTCTATAGTCGTCAAACCAGTACCGATGCACCACCTTGAAGCCACACATCTCGTATGTTTTCCTCGCCGGGGAGTTGTCGTAGTCCACACTAAGCGATAGCCGTACGTTCTCTTTAGACGCTGTCATCTGCTCTGCCACGTACCGCTTCGCATGCTCAACCAGTTGGGCCCCAAGTCGCTTGCCTCTGAAAGAGGGTATGACGTACATTCCATTAAGGACGTACTGCAAAACTGGTCTACCAGACTCGTTTGCCACTGCAGAATCCACAAAGGACTCCTCAAAGTACCGATGGGTTGCAACAGTTTCGGCATCAAGGGGCCCACTGATCACCAACGATGCGAGCCATTCTGCGTCTAATGCCAATTCAAAGTCATCCACCGTTGGAAGACTATTGATATCTGAAGAGTCCGAGGGTACGTCAACCACTATAAGCGTGGTTGCCTGTGGATTTGAGAGACGGCCTGTCCATTTATCTGGCAGAAAGGCGACTTCACGGGCGTATGTCGAGCCGAAGCTCTCCGGCGAGAGGCGGAGCGAAAGTAGGCGGAATGCTTTGTAACGATCTGCTAGCTGAAGCCATTTCGAGGGGGAAGGGTGTGACTTGGGAAGCACGATGAATTTGAATGTCATCTTGGCTCACTCTCCTGCGGTGTCGAGACCGAAGTGGTCTTCGAAATGCGTTTAATTCGGTGACTCTGAAGATATGCAGTACGGTGAACTAATTAGTGTTTGAAAATGGGGTGGTAAGCCGTGACTCATCTAATTATATGCCGTAAGAATATTATTGCTGCTTTTTTTCTAACTTAGCACCTGCATTGCATTCAACCAATCATCGACTGTAAGGAAAGGAAGCATCTCGACCAGCTTGCAGCAATAGTGTCTGGTTGTAGTAGTTAGTAACATTCAATCTTATATTTGTCTCACTACGTACTACCTTAAATATGCTTCCAGTTCGTGACGTTTATTCGTTAACGTTATGTACAGTACCCCGGTCCTGGTCTCCGACGGTTTGCTTCGGCCCAATTCCACTTCGGCTCCGAATATCTCCCGCAGTCCCGGTCTTGACCCATCTCTCCTTGACACATTGCTTACCTCCACTCATCAACCCGACAATCTAGCCAGCTCCATGGGGTGTTAGCCGTTTCCCCGCTTTCCATTGCATTGCATTGCATCGGTTATACGTTCGGAATCTGTAGTATCGTCAAGCCTGAGCATTTATTAGCGCCCCATTGCTTTGGAACTTAGCCACGTCGCGGCCCCGCCGATCGGAACGTGAACCGCGACGCGAGATCACGAAATCACCAAATCTCATCGACTTCGCTCCATTAGCTATCATATGCTGTTGCCAGTTACTCAAACTTTTGATCTTGCATCATGGCTTTTCGTGCCGTCACGCGTCAAGGCTCAAGAGGACTCTGGAGCCCCGGTTCTTCCTTCGGAACCCCAGGCCGTCCTCAATATAGACTATTGAAACCAAGGTCGACTTCATTACGTCCGATGCTCTACCGCTCCACCATCCATACGGAAACTTCTAAACAGGGTAGCCGATTCATTCCGCTTCAACTTCTAATCCTAGGCGCCATCCCTCTTTTCGCGGGGTACCTGATCGGTCGATCAAGCTCCTCGGGTCAAGATAGCGCTAGCCAGATAAAGCTATCCCAGGTCAAGTTCGCCGACAGAAAGCACATGTTACAGGTATGGACCATGCATGCTCTACTCAGCGTAGCCACCACATCTAACTCAACACAGGCCGCCAATGAAATATCAATTATTCTGGGCAATGATGCAGTTAGCTTTGATGAAGATGAAATTGAACATCATGGCCATTCTGATTGGTCAACATCAAATTCCAGTGGACGTCCCGTGGCTATTGTCTATCCTAAAACAACCAAAGAGGTCTCACAAATAGCCAAGATTTGCAACAAGCATGGCGTTCCTATAGGTAGGTCGCCTTCTACGACGTCTAGCCATGATCCATGATGCCTGCACGTTGTTGACAAGAACTAAATCGCAATAGTCCCTTTTGGCGCCGGCTCCTCCGTAGAGGGAAGCTTCTCGTCTCCATACAGTGGTATATGCGTCGACTTTGTGCACATGGACAAGGTCATTGCCTTTCATCCTGATGAGTAACGCTGCCTTTCAAAAATCATATTACAAGCAGTCGCTAATGATACTTGCTCAGCATGGACGTGGTCGTTCAACCTGGAGTCAACTGGGTAAAACTCAACAAAACCATTGAGGATTCGGGTCTCTTTCTACCCCTCGACCCATCACCCACGGCTTTTATTGGAGGCATGGTCTCTACGAACTGCAGTGGTACAAACGCCTTTCGCTACGGTACCATGAAAGACTGGGTCATCAATCTTACCGTGGTCCTGCCTGACGGGCGCGTGATCAAGACTAGAAGACGACCGCGGAAGAATTCTGCCGGATATAACCTAACGTCTCTCTTCGTCGGGGCCGAAGGAACTCTGGGGCTCATCACTGAAATTACGCTTAAACTTGCAGTCGTGCCGCAAGACACGAGCGTGGCTGTCGTCTCATTCCCAACGATTGACGAGGCTGCAAAGGCGGCTACAAAGCTCATCCGATCCGGGATTCAGCTGGGTGCGCTGGAGTTTATGGATGACGTCCAGATGCAAGTCCTCAATCGCCATGGGAGTGAGGCCGTTAGAAGAACAGCGTGGGATGAGAGGCCGACGTTATTTCTAAAGTCAGTTTTGACATTTCCTAAGTCACATTCGGTCAACTAACAGTCAGTTATCTAGGTTCTCCGGAACGACTGATGGTATCAAAGGCGATGTTTCCAGAGTCAAAACCATAGTGCAACCTTTCAACCCACGCAAAATCATCTTTGCCCGAGACAAACAGGAAGAAGCAGATTTGTGGGCTGCAAGAAAGGAATGTCTTTGGACCATGACCTCGATCAAGCCAGAAGGCCATTCGTTGTGGTCTACGGACGTGGCGGTGCCAATTTCTCGGTTGGCAGAAATCATCAGTAAGTTGACCAGAGCTATGATCCCGCAGAACCAAGTAATCGTGAGTAGCTGACAATGATGTTTTCGATAGCTCTATCCAAAGAGGATTCGGGAAAGCTTGGCTTGTTTGCGAGTGTCATCGGCCATGTAGGTGATGGCAATTTTCACCAGGCTGTCATGTACAACCCAGAGAATGAGGAGCAAAAGAAGTCGGTGTCAAAGTGCGTTCACGACATGATGAGCCGGGCTTTAGAGATGGAGGGGACGGTATCGGTTAGTATACCTCTGTTTCTGAGGCATTCCTATGCTAACCAAGAGATTCAGGGTGAACATGCAATTGGCATAGGAAAGAAGGTATGCAGAACCAGCATCTACAAAATCATTCACGAAATGATCTAATACCACTGACTAGGACTGCCTCGTCGACGAACTCGGAGTCGATGCGATTGACTTGATGAAAACAATAAAGCAGGCGGTAGATCCAAAGTAGGTTTGGTGCACATGCAGGATTCAGCCAGTTCTAATTTCTTCTCAGATGGATCATGAACCCAGGGAAGGTCTTCGATCTTCCGACCGGTTCAAAAGCCGTGGCGGCTAGATAACGCCATACTCTCATTTGATGCCATCCGTTTGCTTCGTATTCTAACAAGCTTCAAATAGACGAGACAAACAGGCCTGAAACACAATTGCATGCAGCAGCATGATTCGGGGCTGCTTTTGCGGGGGCCATGTTGCAAGTGGTAGCAATCAACACTACGTGGGGGCCAGCGAAAACCCCCCCAAGTTTACCCTTATTTAGATAAATGCGTCCAACATGCAGATAAGAACAGGTTGGCCCGATAGATGAACAGTAATTGTGCGCAAAATTAGGCGGTCGCAGAAAGTTGACTTGACCAACAAAGTTTCAGCTATGCCGGCTGCAGCTAGGGGGAGCATTTTGCTGTGTCGCATCATGCACCCCTTACCAACAGCCAAGACTTTAAAATTTATCCTAACCCGAAGATGTTGCTGCAAATTGGAGGATTGCGTTCATTTCAATCATTTCAACTGGGAATTGAGCTTGTTCATCAGTCGTTTTTAGCACTAGCACTAGCCCGTCAAATTTGTCAATAATGAGATCGAATTTGGTGGGCGCAGAGGATATCATGTCAATGTTGCAGTACCTGAAATCCCTGCTTACAACCACTGCTCTGGATTGCCTACATTGAATCGTGATCTCCCAAGGTAGGCTTCTACCAGTAGGTCATAGTCCCTTCAGACCATGTAGGTCCTTGGCCGCTCCAACTCCTAAGCCCGGACGTCTTGTTCCCTTGTCTCTGCTTCGAGCCAAGACCGCAGCCTGCTTCGTTGGCAACAGTGACATACATGGCCTGTCGTTTGTTGCAGGAACTAGACTTGGATCCATGACAGATCTCTATCCCTTCCGCCCATCAAACAGTCACAAAGCCTCCTTCGTGATATGGGGGCTTTAAAAGCTGGGGAGCTGCCATGTGTTCTTGGAAGCAAGACAGTGGGGATCTGAATAATTGAAATCTTTTTGTTCTCTTGACGAGATTCACTTCGATTCGTGATGTTTTCGAGACCCCTTTTGTTTTTTCTTCTGACGTTGACGCTCAGCTGTGCTGCTGCCTCAACTCTGTCACCGTCTGATCTTGTCGTAAGAAATAGCCCTGGCAAGACAGCTTCGGAAACCCTACGAGCACTCAGACGATACCTTACAAACGCACGGATCGAGGGTAGACAAAAGAAGTTCAGTAACAGCACCTCATTAGACAAGAGCTTCGACAATGCCGTGCTATTCAAGTAGTACGTTACACTATCCGAGTGTATCTTGGCCCGTCAAGTACTAACCACAAGCTACCTGAAGTGTGCAAGAAGTAGACGTCGGAAATGAGAATGTCACCGCGACAGCTGGCATCAATATCGTCTGCACAAAGTGCTACATCAAGGGAAACGCTAGCGCACATCTCACAATTGACGGCCCTTTCAACGCGACGAAAGTGGCCAAGGACATTGGGAACGAGTTTGAGGAAACATTTGACAACCTGACGACTTACGCAAAGGATTATGTCTCCGGAGTGGCAAAGAAGTTGTCTGACGGCTTCGATACTGATGATTTCGACTTCCCTCCTCTTAACATAACATTTGACATAGATGTTCCCCAGTTTCCAGAATGCCAACTTGGATTCGGGTTTGACGGGTTCGAGATGTACATGCAGCTTGACACAACCCTTTCCGCTGGTCTAACGTACACGCTGAATTTGTACACCTCGCAAACTCCTCTCGGCTCAAGAATCGGCGACGATTTGTTGCTTGGAGTTGTTTTCAGCATCGACTTGATCCTGAGCGTCGAGGCAGAGATTCAGATGACGAGTGGCTTTCACATCAAGATGGACGATCAAGTTGCCTTTGACATTGCCCTTTTCTCGAGAAACGTCTCAAGCATTGCTTTGTAAGCTCTTTCGTCACTCAAACTTCATTGATTGTAAAAAGGCTCTTGCGCTGATCATTCGTGTAGTAACGGTGGAAAATTTGAGTTTCTTCCTGTTGTCATTGAAAGCGCAGGAGCAGCGCTGAAGGCCGTGCTTCGCGTGGGGATTAACGCGGGTATCGAAATATCATCGCCCGTTGACAGCAAGGAAGTTGTGCTCTTCGATCAAACTCTCAAAATCCCAGGCGCCTCTGCCGGAATCGAGGTCTCGGTATTTGCCAACATTGCGGAGCTTAGCACCAACGTCACAGTCCTCCCGGAAGCTGACGAAGACGGATGTGTTCTTCGCGCCGTGAATGCTTACCAGTTCGCTCTTGGTGCTGCAGCGGGTGCATCTGTGGAGATTGGAGATCGCATCTGGGGCCCAACGCCCAACACACAAATTCCCATCTTCTTTACAACGCTTGAGAATGGCTGTGCTAGCCGAAGAGTCCCCACTGCTTCAACGGTCGCCACGATGTCTGCTACTCTAGCGAAAGCGAGAAGAGACGAAGACCTGACCACTAGTACGCTGACCAAGAAGTTTACTTATACTGGGGTTGAGTGTTTGGCTACTGGTGTTATCAATTGCCCTCCCGCTTCGCAAACACTCAGGAAGTTCGTTGCCACTGAGACCATTGTTTCTATTTTTGGTTCCGGCACCACTGCGGTGTTTCCGCAGGTCACTCAAGCATCCATTCGGAGCCTTGAACCCTTCGGGTCTGAAATGAAACCAATGATTTCAACGAGTGGTACTCCGCAGGTTTATACGCCACCCGTGTCTTCCACCAGCACGAGCCCATCGCCTTCCGCCACAGACACTAGTCCACCTGATATCTTTGAGGATCAGATTAAAGGAATCGACAAGAAGGTCATCATTGGCGTCAGTGTTGGTGCTAGTGTTCTGGTCTTAGCCGCGCTTATTGGAGGTTTTCTGTACGTCTCCCCATTTTACTTTGCGACCTTTTTATGTTTTGCCACCAAAGAGAAAAACTTTTAAAGCATCGAAGCCTCTGCTAATACTCATAACTCCAGACTCTACCGACGAAGAAGAAAATATTCACCAATTGTCAAGTCAGAAAGCCGTGTTGCGTATGCGCAAGGCTCTGGCCACTTCGATTCATACGATGAGATGAAGAGCAAGCCTCAAGCCAAAGTTTACATCCGCCCAGTCATACGAAATTGACGGGAACAATACTCATAAGGGCACTTAGGCGTTTTGGGAGCAGTCACAGCTCGAAGTTACTGGGTTGATCGAGCTGGGGTTGGGATATGAGAACATGACAACCGGCTTTTGGCACATGCGTATTTTGGTTCATTTTTAGTCGTGTACTGCAAGTAAGTCACTTAGTTCAGCGACATCGCTTTCTCGCCGAAGACGTTTTTGAATCCATTTTTGATAAGTTCATCTGCTTGAATGTGAAAACCCTTATTTGACAATTTGATGTTCTTCCGCAAAATAACTGCATATCCTCCAAGCAGTGCCTGACGTCTGTAACGCAAACAGTATGAAATAAGGTGCCCATTTCGACTTTCCGAAGGTCTGTTAGTTAAATCTTTGAAGTGGTCTTCACGGTCTTTAAGAAATCTTCAACGTCTTGCAGAAAGATTTCAGGTTGTTCAAGAGCAGCGAAGTGACCGCCCTAATCAAATTAGCAAATGCTTGTGTTGTGGCCTCGACATTCTCTTACCTTATCGTGTGTCCGGTAGAATTTGAGATTCGGATAAGCTTTCTCCGCCCATGCTTTCGGCATGAAGCTCACCTCACCTGGAAAGAATGAGTAGCCTAGCGGGATCTCTTTGGATGTAGGGACCGGAATTTGCCCTCCCGAGGTAATAGCCTGTGCCAAGGGCCGATACGGGTAAAGACTTCTTGGAAACGTAGAGGTAAGCCAGTAAAGGCTCACTAGATCCAGAATAGTTTCCAGCTTCAGAGGGTGGCGGTCGTCGGCCCATTCTAAATATTTTTCTCCGATCCTACGCAAACAGTTAGTCCTGACATCTAGGTCTCGTGTCTCGTCTATTTCGAAACTCACCATGCCAACAGGGAGATGGGGCTTGCAGAGAGTACCAGCCCAATGGTTGCAGGCCTCAGACCATGTTCTAAGGCGTAAGACATTCCTGTTGTACGCCATTGCTGCATGTGCTGCAAATACTGTTGCTCTTGGGGAGAAACAGAATCTATGCTACCAGCATCATCAGAATCAGGATACAGCATGTTTACTTGGTTTCGTTAGTATAGAACGCCGACCTCAGACTGTCTAGAAACTCACAATGAATTGCCTTGCATTCCTTATAGCTGACAGATATGAATCTCGCGAGGAAACTACCAACATCCCCTCCCTGGGCCGCATAGCCTCCCCCGAACCCGAGATCGAGCATCAACTGGTTCATGATGCCCGCAACGTGTTCTAGAGTGAGTTCCTGGTCCAGAGGGACTGATGACGCGGACAGTCCGTACCCAGGCAATGACGGGACAATAACATGGTACGGCAGGGTGCTTGGGTTGTATTTGTTGCGCAGTAAGTCGAGCATAGGCAAGAACTCGAGGAAAGATCCCGGCCATCCGTGCATGAAAATTACCGGAGTTGCATCTTTCTTAGCCGAGAAGAGTGCGGTGAAATGAACCTCCGTGGTTCCAATTTCCTTGTGGTCAACATGGGCCTTGAAATTCGGGAAGGAATTGATGCGATCCTCATGCTTTTTCCAGTCGTACTTGAGCCAGGTTGCTTTGGCGTCCGTAAGCCATTTTCGAGTGACTCCGAATCGGCGGTCTTCCTGTTTGTTGTAAAATGTTTCAGGGCCGATTTTAGACAGTTCTATTAACTTTTTGAAGTCGTCGACATCCTGATTGGGAATGCTCAATGTGTAACTTTCCGGTGTCTTTAATACACCAGCTGGCAGATTTCCAAAAGATTGAGTCATGATAACTAAACTAAAGCTCTCTGAAGCTTTGCAGGAGTTAATTGAACAAATATTGTTAGGTTGCAATTTCGTGAGAATACGGTTTATCCCACATCAGTGGACTCGTCAAGCTCTCGAGAATGGGGGACTCTTAAGTATATCGAGCGGCCCATGCAGAGCGGAGTTTCGGCATAGTATTAAATCCATGCCTAGAAAATGGACAGTTTAGACTTTATGTTAATGCCCGAGCCGATGGTCCCCGTTCTTGGTGTTACGCTACCGCTTTTGATTCGATGTTTCATCCAGTGATCTGTATAATTAAATGGATCAGCCTCGGCAGGCGGAGAGGGGCCAAGCACAAAGTCCGCTCGGGTTAGCATAATGACGACATAGTTTAACTGGTCCCTTATTTCCTTCGTCGGACAACTTCAAATTGTATGGACGTGGGCCACGTCGGCAAGTGTAAGGACTCCGTCATCACTCTAAGTGACACTCACGATTACTAATCCGGAGTGCACAACATATTGGCCTGAAAACTTCCAAAGCCATGTTGTGATAGTGAGTGTTGATCCAAAGGAGGTCTAGGCTTGAGTCTCAATCAACTAACTAAGTAAATCCACAGGTAGAACTAAGCGTTCTACTTGGCGTAAGTAACTATTGGTTAGATGTCGTAGCTAGTGTTCGTTCCAATGCGTTCTTGTCGGCTGTTAAAGCTTCTATGGTACATCTACCAGCATAGGGCATTGCACAACCAGGCTCTATCGTTGTTTCCCATTAGAACAGCATCTATCAACACTAGGTTGTGTCTTTGTACCATTGCACATTCAGTCATTCATGGTTTCAAATACAGCCCAAACGAAAGACACCATGCAATATAGCCTCACAGCTCAACATGTCTCAGCATACCATCGCTCACATAAATGGGATGTCGTATTACAGTCTTCTGACATTTGAAACAATAATGTCTCCAATCCTTAAAGCATATCATGATTTGTGTGTGTCTACTATTTCGTGCAACGAAAAGGTCTCAGACATGGATGGAGAGCAATGAATGGTTCAAAAGTTTTGACATGAAGGCGATTCTAAGCCACAAGACGGGCTAAATGAGGGGTCGAGGAAACTAAGCGGCTGTTGAGCACCTGCAGGGTCCAGACAAGCTGTTGTAACGTAAGTCGGCTGGCACTAATGTATGGTTCGGATGGGCGGACGGGGATCCCGTTCCTGTGATGCAGCAGCTTTCTTCTTAAAGGCGGGATGAAGCGTCTTGGCAAGCAATCACAGAGAACCGGTGTACACTAGGTTCACTGGAGATTGACAGGCTTAAAAAGCGATACCAGGCTACCCGGTCGATCACATTTTCGCCTCCAAGGCCCACTCAGGACATCAACACAGCTACACTAGGATTCGTAAACTTTAATTTGCATGTTTTGAAAACACAGGATCAGGGATTAGGTCTTTCGTATATGTACTCGGTTGATGGTTAGCAAGTAGAAAACCTGAATTTTCAATGCAGTTATGAGGCGAAGTAAAGACAGTGAGCTCATTCTACACCAGTCGGCGACCAACAAGACAGCCTGAAGAAAATCAACAGTTCGGAGTTACGTAAATATCTGTTCAAGAAGCTGACCCCCCACAATCTCAATCTCGTCTCATCACGGAACAGATCCAAGAGCCCCCAGAAGAAACAGCGACAATTCGCCCCCCGCTAGCCCTCCAAGTCCCAAGGCCAAGTAGCTTCCCATTCGCAACATGGTAAGTACCAACAAGAGGATATCGAACCCTCCCCTCCAGTCCCTTCAAGACAAGGTCGTATTCACGCGGGATGATACGTCGCTGTACTACGCAAGTAACCCCTGGCACTATCTTGGGTAAGACATGCTCCTGCAGAATTGACATCCATCTATCCTCCCCAACATCCTCACCAAAGACTATTCCGTCACCTTTACCGCTTCGGATCGGCTTTAAAATGTAACCATATCTCAGCTGGGGAGATGTGATCGACGCCTGAATAAGGTCTTGTAGCTCTCCCGAGCCCGGGAGGATCGTATCCACAACACCATTACCTAAAACATGTGCTTGCATTGGTGTCAGCACCCTGCGGGCCACCAAATCTGGGATCTCTTGCTTGATAATGCCCAGCATTCGCTTGTCATGGACTAGCAAGATTGTGCGCATGTCATTGAAGCAACGTAGGCTGATCTGACGCAGGATCTCAGGCTCCAGAGCCGACAGCTCTCGTTGATGCAGCTCCAGACCGATCTGGTGGATTTCCTCCCACACTTCGCCCTCCTTTGTCGTATATGTCCAAACATTGGTCGGGGACACCGCGTGCTCCACGACACAGCATAAGCGATATCCGCTCTTGCTGCGAGGATCCGATAACAGTCTCAGCTCAGCTGGCGTGACCAAGCGGGGGTTGATTCCGAAGCGACGTCTGACTGCGTCAACAAACATGTGAATGTCAATTCCGTGTTCAGCACCTTTCAGAAGGTGCAGGACATGGTCTGGTTGAAACAGGCCGAAGAGACCATCCACTATCTAGTTATATTTGTCAGAGTTTATCGGTACCGATCGTCAGGGAACTCCGGTTCTCACCATATTCGGATCGGTGGCACCGATCAGTTCGCTTGCGTCTCCTTCTACGGAGTTGTTCAGGGCTCGTTGGCCATAAGACTCATGCATAAATCCATTAAAGGAAAAGCGCGCGTTGATTTCCGTAATACGATAGTTTTCCGTCTGGTGCTCATCCTCTTCAACCAAGAAGTCTGGTCGCCACGAACCTAGGCACTTTGAAAATTCAGGAAGGTTGCCGGCCAAAACCTGGCTCTCTATCCACTGGAAGACAATGTCGTCAGTGATTGGTTATTCCCATGGTGAGTTTCGAGACCCTACCTTTAACAACTCCTCCTCCTCAGCCTCCAAGGGCATCCGTTCCGGAAACCGTGCACTCTTATCTGTCCACCAACGCTGGACGATGTCGACGATGGCAATGGTTAGAGCCTCGTGCAATTCTTCCAGATGTTTCTGATGGTATTTGTTCAGAAGAATCGGTCTTGGACAGCCAGCGGAGTATGATCCATCATGCCACAAGTCTGCTGGGCAGAATTTCAGCAATTCCTCCTGCAGTTTGACCTCTTCTTGGCGATACGCGGCTTTGTCGACGCTTCGGCCCGCCACCGGCCCATATTGGTGCGGCTGAGGCCCAAGGCATATTTGCATAAGTTGATGAGTGTGCATGACTGAATTAAGATGTCGAATAAAACTGACTGACTGGCTCGAACTTGGAACTTGATGAACGTGTTGGGAGGGCTATTTATGTTGCTAATCATGCTTTGGAGTAGTGGTGTTTGCCAAGCTCTGGTCTTTGCTGTACCATAGATGAGTTTCGGCTAGGGGCGTGCCAATAGAGAAGAAGAAAGGTATAGTTGCGGTGGTAGATGGAGAGTTCTTTGAGGACTTGTGATGGTGCGTTTCTATAAATTAACAGAGCTGTTGACGGGGTGGAATTCAAGTTCTGTCATCCATCACTTTCTCGACAGCTATTACAGGAAGTTTGCCCTGTAGGCGAACTTTGTTGATCGCTTATCTTACATTGAGAATATATTTTTCTGGCTATCCTTAAGGCTCGGACCTCGGACTGTCCTCGATATCCTATCCTTATCTTGATCTTACAATGCGCAGCATCACCCGCTGTAGGCATCTTGCCTCCGCTCTGCAGCATCCGATAGCCAACGCATCGAAATTTTCAGTTCTCATCTACCAAAAACGGCTTCATGCTAGTGCAAATACCCATTTGTATCCATCGTACACCCTGAAATGCCTGGATGCACCTCATCTAAGTCTAGCTCAAGAACTAGAGCATGTCCGTCAGGTGTCGCAACAACTAGAGCAAACCGGCATGTTAAAAATCAAGCTGGGATTTCCGGACGATGACAGCAACTACCTCAAACATCTGCTTCAAAATCTCAACAAGCATCATCATCATCAGTTGCCCATTACCCACAGCGCAACCCGCGGCTGGTTCTGGGATGTCCGCCCCAACAAGACAAATTTCCAAGCTGGCGACCACCAAGCGAGATCGGAAACAATGAACGACTTCCCTTGGCACACCGACTGCAGCTATGAAGATCCACCGCCGAGGTATTTTGCCCTGCAGGTCCTTCAGCACGATCGGTATGGCGGTGGTACCTTGTCTGTCATGAATGTCGAGAGACTGTGCGAGTTCCTCTCCCCCACAACCCAGGCTGCGTTGAAAGCACCTGAATACTGCATCTCAACCCCGGCCGAGTTTATAAAAGACCCGACACGAAAAGGCATCATTGGCCCTGTATTTTCCACGAATTCAGAGGGCCAGTCAACCATGATTCGTTTTAGAGAAGACATATTATCGCCCCTGACAGATCGAGCGGCTAGAGCGCTGGAGAAGCTGAAGGAAGCCCTGGCGGGCGAAGAGGTCCAGATGCAATCGACTGTGCATCTCAAATCGACCGACCTTCCCAAAGGGTCTATAATTCTCATGGATAACCGCCGCTGGCTTCATGCTCGCAATCACATCAATGATCCTGAACGCCACCTTCGTCGAGTTCGTTGGGATGCATGCCCCTTCGGCGACGTCTCCGCAAGGAATGTCTGAATTCGGTATGGTCCATATGCAGTAAATAGCGGATAGGCTCAAAACTCGCAGCAATTGCATCTCCTTGCCAACTGAGACATGCGTCCTGCCGTGATGTGTCATAATGCATAATGTCTTTGATTTCTTTTTGGAGGTGGTGAAGTGAATGCATCTCGTATTACGGTTTATCCGAGAGTGCAACAAGGCAATATCTAAGTCCCTCGGATTCCACTTATTTTGCTTCGAGAGTGTCTTGCCGTCGACCTATCCGCTGTCATATGTCCGGCTTGGCACAGCTTTTGCTTAGACTGTTTTGCCATCTAAGTACTGTTGATGTACACTCATGATCTGTTAAGATTTGTGATCAATTCTAGTCATTCATACATGTATAAGAGCTGCAAATGGTCTCGTGGAGGGCTATCATTACATTTGTTCACTGCAAATCGATTGAATAAATTTGTCCAGGTTTAAGGTTTCCAAATGGCACCGTGGACAATACTCACATCTATTGCCAGATGGCTTCCTTCGCCTGCGTTTCTTCCCAACCCTCCTCTAGGTTCGGATTCATACTCCACAAGCACTCCTGTTAATAAGGACAATGATCCAAAGAACACATCAAGCAGCCGGCGTCGAACTCCATTTTCCTCTAGCAAAGCTTACTCTGTAGCTGAAGTGCTTTCAGTTGCTAAGATACACCCCTTTTATTCTGAAGCTCAGTATCCACCTGATAAAGATGACATTCAAGCTGCAAGGGAGAGATTGAAACTTTCTCCCACAGAAGTGGAACTCAAAGAGCAGCCGCTTCTTAGGAAAAAGGACCTGTAAGTAGTTGATCAAAGACAACTATGGACTCTCCCTTACCGTTGCCTAGGTATGCCGTTATTGAGAGGCTGGTGAATGATACCAGCCCTGAGAATACGTATCGTCATAGTGTCTACACCAGCGTCACTGGTGGTGGGAGTACCAATTCCAAACCATTGTTTTTCGCCACAGATGCGTTCGAGAACCGTCGGCACAGGGCCTATTTCGGCCAAATGCTCCAGAACCTAGGTTTGGTCAAAGTTGGCGACTGGGCTCTGACCACCCATTGTGCTGGTGATCTTTACCGGTAAGTAATATCCAAGCATAATAACACGAAAAATTGGAGGTGATATTAATGAAAAAAACATTCAAGATCGCTAGACCTGACTTGCGAAATCATGGAAAACGCCGGCGCTTCAGTCTTGGCTGCTGGAAATCATGTCGCCCCATCCAGAACGGTCCAGCTCCTACAAGATTTTAACGTTAATGTTTTGATGGGTGATGGAAGTCAAGTTCTCTCAGTCGTTCACCACATTTCGACTATGACTACAGGAAGGGAGAAGATTAAGCTTGACAAGATCATTTACACTTCCGAAGGACTCAGCGCGGGCCAAAAGTCTCATATTCATCGTGTTCTTGGTCCTGTGGAGATCTGCTCCATATTAGGCAGCGCAGAGGCTGGCCCATATGGAGTGAGCAGTCCCAATCTTACCCCCAGCGACTCTACTTCAGACTACTCCGACTTCATCATCGACACTCGCATGACGTTGGTTGAGATTCTTCCGCTTTCGTTTCCTGACGGAGACATCCCCAATCCTCTTCCTGAAGGAGAAACAGGTGTCATCGCACAGACTTCTCTGACACGTTTACGCAATCCCGTTGTTCGCTATCTTACTGGCGATATTGGTTCTCTGCAACCGCTTCCTGAACAAGCCCTATCCCTGATCCCAGAAGCACATCAACCCTACATGCGTGTTCTTCGGCTGCAAGGGCGCGATCAGCGGTTCAGTTTCATGTGGGATGGGTATGACATTGAATTTAAGAAGTTGAGCACTGTCATGGCCGACCCTGTTCTAGAAATTCTGCAATGGCAGGTCATACTAGACAAAATGGAGCCGTCAACAGAGACATCAATTGAACTCCGTGTACTCAGCTCCCGTTCAGAAGGGAAAGAGATTGTCGTCAACCGGCTCGAAGAATTCTTTTGGATCTACTCTTCAAACAAGCACAAGTTTCGTGTTACATTTGTAAATGATGTCACTGAGTTTGAGTTGAGCAAAACAGGACGGAAAGTTACCAAGTTTGTAGATCGACGCAATTGAGACAGATATTACGTTTTGATTTGTGGATATGTAAGCCTTGTTTGATGCTTTACTGTGGTAATAGTCATTTTGTTTGCAGTTCAAAGATATATAAAAAAGCAACCAGTACATGGATTGAAACCACGAGAACAGCTGAGCATAGACAGAACAGATTCAAGGTAGTATTCCGTGCTATCCGTCTCCCCCATTATCTTCGTAGACACTTCGTGTAATGCGTGATTGTTTCGTCAGGCCTGACCCTTTTCGTTAGATAGCTGTCGTCGGAAAAATCAAGACGCACCGACTTAACTTACTTGTTGTTGTTTAACATCTGCAGAAAGGTGCGGCCACGCCGGCAGGCCAGACACAAGCGCCACCGCAGCTTCCACATTTGGCAGCAAGTTGCCAGGTAGCTCCGTTGCAGACGGCAATTCCGGTCTGGCCGGTGATGCAATCATAGCCGGAGCCGCTGCATCGACCTCCGACATTAACGTAGGCTGAAGCAGAAGACGCCATAATGGCCAGGATGGAGGTAACTTGAAGGAGCTGCATGATGTAAATTCGTGAAAAAATGCAAGGAGTTGTGATGGTGAGTGTAAGTAAAAGTAAGTTGATTGTGAATCAGCGGAAGACAGTCTATGGCGTCGGAATACGAAGATATTTATAGCTAGAGCCTGACATGGCTATAAGGTTTAGAGACAACCAAATTTCAACTCTGCCTTCTGCAAAAGTCAGTCCATTAGAGGATCTGAAGGATGAGGCTATGGACATCTAGTGGATGCCCTAGGCGCAGTGGAGTGGGTAGCTTTGAAAACCCCTATCTACTCATCTATGTACGGCCGCGAGTCCTTTAGTTGTCTAAGAATTTCCAATTGGTAGGTTACCAATGTGTGCCGCTTTCGAATGTTACTATTGCTCCACTTTCCTAGATTGGCTATTGAAGGTATATCCAAGCCTAGCGCAACTGTCGGTGAAAGGAACCACCTCTGGCAGGGATCTAAGGCTGGTTTGATATAGGCCCAGGTAAAAGTTTCAAGTAAGACATGGGCTTTTGCTCTCATTATGGATAAATAATCCCATATGCTGGTACTGTACGCAGAGACTTGCAATGGCCAAGGGCTTCATGAACTGCGTTCTGTCACCAAGTTCGGATGTCAAGAAAACCCTCTTTTTTCTGGCTGGCTGGGATCTTCAACCGGTCGGCTATGTGAAGTCCAGCGGAGTTGATCCCCGACGGAGGTGAACCCCGGCGGGATGTAAGGCGGTGTTTACCCTAATCCTGCCCATAAACTCCACCGCCACCGCAACTTTATTTGGAGATTGCTGGGAATGTTTGCCTTGGGTCTCACCACTGCGCAAAGGTATAAACAACTTTGTATCCTGATCGTATGTGCCGATCATTGGAACTACGTAATGCCAGCGCATTCCCCACGTTCTGACATGACAGAAATAGTTCTTTTCCTGCGCATAGGCAGCGATTATGAACATTTTTGATGGCCCACATCAAGACGAAGGGCATTAGATGCAATTTCCAAAATAGGCAAATGCACATAGATATTAAGGCCCGCAAATCCTTCCGTTACAAAACGTCATCTTCAACTGGTATATGAGCTAGAAGAAAAGCTCATCTTTCTTCGTTCAAAGTATCTATTCTGGGGTTTGAGCGATTACTTTTGGTAAGAAATGGAAGAAAAGTAGTTCATGCTGATTAGGCAGAAGCGTTTGTAACTACAACCCTTTCGTCACTGTCCGCCAGCCTTGCTACCAAAGCCTGGCCTTGGGGGCAAAAGTCGTGTCACTAGTTTATAGAGACCTGCTGAAGGTCGATAAACTGTTAGCAAGTAGTCTGATATCTCTACTCAAAACTCTTAGTATTTCAAGATTTCTTTTGCTTTCATAGCGATGTCAACAACGCTCTAGCTTTTCATTCAATCTCGCAACTTGTGGTTCAAAGGAAAGGTAAATGCTCAGAGCTATTGAGTTGAAGGTCTACGAACAGACCTGCTATCTGAAATGTAACTTGGATTTTGGAAGGGCAATATGGGCTACACATACTTGAGATATATAATTACCTAAGTCGATTCTTGATAATTCCAGCGGCCTTTATTCCGTCTCATTATCGAATTGGAGGCACATCATTATCGACCATCTAACCATATAGCCAGTCCATTGAAGGTTGTGATCAGAACACTTACCTCAGATATTCTTTTCAACTAACGTTTGATTCCACTAAAGCCTGGGAGCATTCGGGTTGAATTATTTTCTCCAGGTGAAACGCTGCCGCTACCAGGCTCAAGAAAGATGTTTTTAAGGCTGATAAAGTTCACATCCACCTCGTATTTGTTTCCAGGGTCTCGGTATGGCCCCCCATGGTTGGCGTACCAATTCTCGTCTCAGTTGTATAGACATTTCGCTTACTCTTTCAATGCTAGGTTTACTGTAAAGGTTAAGGTACGGTTCTCTAACAAAGATCATTACTTCAATGTTTACAATTCTGAAAGCAACAACCATCTCTAAATGCATCTGCAATAGATCACTATGCTTCAAGAACCTTTCGTCTCGCACTATTTCAAGTATGTTTGCCCCCAAGGCTAGATTACCCCATTGATAATGCTTTTGTAATCATCAGCGGTCTTTAAGCTTACAAGGAACTAATCCAGGTGCATGCAGCTTCAGCATTACGACGTAGTGCCAAGCTAGCGGCTTTGATTTCACGCTGTTCAATACAATTCAGAAGAACAGAAGAATTGGCAGGGGAAGTTGAGAAACGAGTTAGTATCCAGGAAGCGATTTGTCCCCGGACAGCGGAAACTGGTTCATTACACAGATCATTCCTTTTGCCACTTGGGAACAGATATAGCCAAATCCATTCCGACCGCCAAATCTCTCAATTCTAGGAAGTATACTGCAGCATAAAGTATAGCGCTAAACCCATTTTTCTTTACCAGCATGAAGAGAAATCAGCTTGCTTTATATCACAGAATGCATGTACCTATCCGGGGAATTTCTCGGGAGTGGCTCCGGTTCCTGTGGGACTGAAATGCGGAGGACCGCGGGATCGGCAACTAGACGCGTCTAACCGGCACATCACCCTAGCCAGTACCCTGAACAATACCATCGATTGACACACCCCTTAAATTTCGGATGTGATAGACTTTAGGAGACACTAGTCGATGGACCCATACCAGTACTCCTGTTGCTCTGTCCGGAGAAATGAGAACACAACCCTTTAATGTCCCTAACATGGAATTTAACTGTCGACTAGCCACACCGGAGTAGGTCTCGGACAGAAATAAATCTACGTAGCCACGGTACCGCACTTTTCAATCTTGTACGAACCACTATCTAACATGAATCAATATCCGATAAATAATGGCCGTCCTCTGTTTGTTCTTCATAGGGAAAGAGTCCGCTATCTTTCCAGGTTGAAACGTAGACGCAGCCCTTGAGTAGGATGCTTATATCTACAGTATAATATACACAATGAAGTTCTGCACTGTTTCCTTTCCCTTGACTGTTCTTACGTGGGCGCTTCTCCTCCTCGCCCCGTTCGCAACCGCATGCACAACTCGACCAACCACCCCTCGACGGGCTTTTGCACACCCAGGTCTTTTGCATACCACAAAGGACTTTGAGCGAATAAAAGACTTCCTTGGGGCCAACCGCCAGCCATGGAAGACAGGTTGGGACAAGCTCGCTACGCGCGCCAGCGCCGATCATACTCCTCGGCCGGTAGAGACGGTCTGCCGCGGAGCAGGTACCGAGTGCGCCTCGGAGAACTACGCTCTGCTCTTCCGCGACGCAGCTGCCGCTTATACTAACGCCGTCCACTGGAAGATCACAGGAAACGAGTCGCACGCTGAAGCCGCAGGCCGCATTCTCGACGCCTGGAGCAGCACTCTCGTACGTGTCTGGGGGTCCTCCGACAAATTCCTTGCAAGCGGTATCTACGGCTATCAGCTCGCCAATGCCGGCGAGCTTCTGCGCGACTGGAGCGGTTGGAAAGGCTTTCCAGCCCTTGTCAATATGTTGAAGAACATATTCTATCCGATGAATCACGATTTCCTTGTCAATCACAACGGCGCCGTGATTGACCACTACTGGGCGAATTGGGACCTGGCAAACATGTGCGCCATGCAAGCGATCGGAGTCCTCTCGGACAACGCGACGATGTATGAAGAAGCAGTCAACTACTTCAAAAACGGAGCAGGAAACGGACAGATTGAAAATGCAATTTGGAAGCTACACAAGGAACCGGGTTCAGACAAAAACCTCGGCCAGGGACAGGAGGCCGGCCGAGACCAGGGACATGCGCTCCTCGACTTTGCCTTCCTTGGCGTCTTCGCTCAGCAGTCTTACAGCCAAGGAGATGATTTATTTGGATATCTAGACAACAGAATCCTCGCTGGGTGAGCTTGATATCAATGAGCGAAGTCAAACGACATTTTACTAACTGTGAAAAGCGCGGAGTACGTAGCCAAGTACAACCTCGGCCACGATGTCCCTTTCGAGACTTTTACAAACAGTCACGGCACCGCTGAGGTTATCAGTGAAGTCGCTCGCGGGCAGCTTCGTCCCATCTGGGAGCTTTTGTATAGTCACTACGACTCCATCAAAGGCTTGAATGCCTCATGGACTGGGCAGATGCGCGACCATGTAAATGAGGAGGCCGGGGGCGCTGAAGGTGGAGGTGGCGACTATGGTCCGAACAGTGGCGGTTACGATCAGTTGGGCTTTGGAACACTCTTGTACAGAATTGAATAGTGTCGAAAACAACAGTTTGGGATGGTTCTGCTTCACTTCAATGGTTCGCTTTCATTTGTCACTTGTTCATAGCCATGGTGCTCTCTTTGCTCCCTTCAATATGCCTATCACAATATTACCTTTGATTCGGATCCTAAGCGCTTTGGTGATCTCTTTTCTTATATCTAAACAACTGATGCGATTCGCACTTGTCTCTCCGTGTTGGTGAATGTTCGGGCTTAGAGAAACCTGCCTAGAAAAGAGTTCGACCAGTCCAAATTTCTCTCTACACCCCCAGATTCGGAAACTTCCCCTTGGGTAAAGTTCTCACCTTAAATATTGCTTGCATTAGATTGCGGGGTACTATTGAAGGCATGCATGCATGTACTCTCCCTATTATGGCAACGAGTCCAACCACGACGGCAGCTCCGGCTTGGAAGTGGACAACAGACTTGGCGAATGTCATAGCAACGGTATTATTCCGCATTTTAATAGAAAGCATAAGACAATGGCATATTACATGTTTAGAGCCAGTTTGTATGTACTGAGCATGGCATGCTCTTCCTTATCTACAAGGCTCTTGACCGAGGCTGTTCAATAAGCCCAGATTAAACCACCCCAACTAGGATGATCAGCCCCCGTTAGCCGACCCTCCTTCCCAACCGTCTTCTTTGCCTTTGTTGTCCATGGTGCCTCTAGTCCTCGGTTGACAACGTACTGGTAGTAAACAATGTCCCACATTGGATTAGACGCAGTGACGCCTCGTTTGTTCTGCGAAATAGTAGCCCAGGGACCGTTGACAAGGATCGCCTCACACCGGAACCACTTGGGATCATACTCAACCGTCTCATTCAGGTTGTATTTCGCCGTATACTCGGCTCCTTTGAGGAGCAAATCATTGCCCTGGCTGTACAAGTCAGATCCTTGGCTTTGGGCAACTCGAGCAGCAAGAGCAGCCCAGCCGATACCCGTCATGGTGTGGCCTATAAATATCAGTCTGTAGGTTCTTATTGGTTATGATGTGCTCTGGAACCTACTCTGATCGCGGCCGGACTCGGAAGATTGGCCGGTCTTTGGCTCAAACATGGAATAAAGCCCGGCGCAGGGGTTGTTCAGATACTCATTGATGGCATAGTTGTACAGTGTCACATCGTCCAAGTAGACCGCAAAGCTCAGGAGTGCCTTAATACTAGCCATGCCGTAGTTAGCCTGGCCAATGGCGACGGACTGACGCGAAAAGAGCCAGTAGAGTTGGATGCTGAAACCCGAGCCACCTTGCCATCGAGCACCGGACTCGGTCCAGTTCCCCTCCCAACGCATGATTTCTGCCGCATTAACAAAGAGGTCGCCTTCGAGTCCCACAAGGAGTGAGCGATCTGTGCCAATGATGTCGACAAGGGTAGTGCCCCAACTGTCAAGGATCGTGGTGCTGCGGTTCCAGTGCGCATCGTCCTTTGTAATGTACCACATCAGGGCGTTCTGCCACGCCGCACGGGAGTCAGAAGTAAAGGTGGTGTAGTTGCTGATGCTTCCGCGAGAAAGGACCGTTTTCGGTCCTTTCATTTCATAGGTGGACTGGCTATAGCTATCTTTACTGAAGGCGTCGTAGGCGGATTTCCAAGGGTCTTTGCCCTCCAAAACGCCATTGCGGATGCGCTCGAGATCCTCATGGGTGTGCCAGATACCAGGATGCACGAATTCGCTAGGCCGGCTCTTGAGAAATTTGTTTATGTCACCCGCTGGCGATGGCGTGAGCGGATAAATTGGGCCAAAGGCTCCTGGTATGTCGGCTACAGTCGCAAAGCATGGCTGAATCACAAGGTTCACCAGAGGCAGAATGCAAAGCAAGAACTGCAAAGTCGCGATTTTAGCATCTTTTGGATGCCCACATCATGATGGAGGTAGACTCACCTTCATCTTCGCAATACACGATGCAGCAATGTTAAAACAGAGCACTATGGCTGGCGGAAATTGAATCGCGATCTTTGCAAAGAAAGCTGCGCCACGCCATATGAGAAATGACTGTAAATCAGGTGCCAGATGAGCCCTCAAAATAGGTGTTTAATTCGACTTGCCCAGTATGGCCACGACCGGGGACGGGGTAGATTGCGGGCCGGGCGAGCGTGGCGCCCAGGATGTAGCTTCGACGACCAGCATCAGCATCGGCATCTGTGCAGAGAGTACACATAGCGTTGGAGAAATTGCGGGGAAGCTTGTTCATTTCTTTGCAACCATCAGCAAAAGGCGTTGTTCACAAAGCGCATGGCACATGAGGCCATAGAATTTGATCAACGGGCGATCTCTCGGAGCTGGCTTTAAGGAGTGGCTAATCTTCGTTTATCATTATCACACAGCTTCACGTTGGTTTCTACAGAATCTTCTAATACGATAAATAATACTTTTAAGACTCTCTAAATGGGTGTAGGTGAGATGAGAATACAATCTGACATTCCCTACGGCGGGATGCGGGAAGCGGCTTAATGAGCAGAGGCGATGTCCGGGTACCAAAGAGTGCTGTGGGGTAGCAAAAGATACATGACTCAGAATCCCCACTTTCGAAGCGGATTCTCCAGGTTTTCCCATCATAAGCGTTCCAATGAACAGTGTCGTCAACAACAAGCATCGGTTGTGTAGTGTAGTGGTTATCACTCCGGATTTTGATCGCATCAAAACTTCCGGCAACCCCGGTTCGAACCCGGGCACGACCTCATCTTTTTGATTTTTTGACGTCTTGTGCCTCAAATCTTTTAACTAATCAAACCATTGGCTGCTGGCCCGTTGTGCCTTTTTCTTTTATTTTTTTACTATCGACTACTACCAAAACTGTTACGTAAGAGATGCTATCGTAACTGAAACTGCCATGGCTGAGTACAGCTTCTGCTCCTATATCTTTCGATTCTTCGAGTAATTATTCCTTTTATAAGAAGTTGCTAAACCAGGTATGATGCAAGCATATACTGAGCATTATAACGCCTAGTAGCACCAGTATTTCATGAGGCCCCACCACTATCGCCCAAGTACTGTTTTCTTTGAACCCAGGAGGCCAGTCATTGCCTGGCTTGAATCCCATGCCTTCGTTCTCATCGTCATTCCCAGGTTCCGAATCAGGGTCAGAGCCATCTAAGTCAGCTGCTCCGGGACCGGTTTCGCAATCTCCGGTCGGCGGCACAGCACCAGGGTTGTTGAGGTCGACATTGGGTCCAGGATTTGGAAACATGAGATCCTTTGACTCGACCGTCCTGCACTGGTTAATGTTTGCCCGGAAAATGTTGGGCCTTCTTTTGAAACCGGAGCCTGCGCCCCCGTGGGCAATTCTAATAACAGCGCAATTCATGTACATCTCCCTGTTTCCCAAGTTGTTGAACCATGACCACGCTAGAACCGCTTGTTCCGTTGGTGGTGTTTCGGCGGGGACGGTGAACTTGAGCATGGCCCCTTCTCCTGCGGGACAGCCGCCAATGTAGCTGTGAATGACTTTGAATGTTCTGCCTTTGTCGACCGAAAGGCTGATCTGACAGGATCCTCCGCCATGAACTGCACCCCCCGAGATGGTGACAGAGCGTGGCTCTCCAGCGTCCCACGTGTCGACAGGCGTTCCCTCTGAAGTGCCTAGCAGGCTCAAGTAACCCTTGCAAGGGTAGTCGGATCCGCTGCCAGACAGGGGATTTGTATAGCTGTAGTCAGCGGTTCCGAGGGGTGTATTTGGGTTAACGTTCGATTTGAGAGGGGGCGGGTTAACCATTGCCATGTGTGCGTCGCATGTCACTGTGGCTGCGAAGAGATGGAGCCATGATTGAAGACGCATGGTTTTCTCAGGGTAATTTCGAGAGATGTGTTGTAAGAGTGTCTGAAATAGGATACTCTCAATAGAGGTCCAATGTAAGTGGTAAGATAGCTATGTCTTCCTCGAAAGTGTGCTGGTTTTCTCAATCGTCAAGTACAAGCCAGGTAGGAAGAATAGTACTAAGCATAAAACCCAATGTTTATATACTGAATTACATTCCCAAGAGTGAATCGCAACACTCTTCCTCTTAGCAACTGCCGCCCGTCTCCTTTCCTCTCAAAGTGAATGCAATGGCCTTTCCTCTGCTAGGTCGTTCGTGCGCAAGACATGGAAATTGCTTAAACTCGGTATACAGCATAGCCAATCTATCGGTCAATATGATTTCTTTTTAAAACGGTACATTAGTTTTTTTTTTTAATTCGCCTACAATGGATTACGCCCTTGCCGCCCATGCAATTAGAGCAGCGCCAACACCACTGCCATCAGTCGCCATGCCGATTTTGATGCGGTTTTCTCCAGCTACCCCAATCTGCGGTATCTTCCTTAGAGCTTCCCGAATGTTGTTCTCGAAGTTGGGGAAATGCTCAATCAACGAGCCGTCAACGCCGATGTCAATGTCTCCTTCGGACCCGTTCACCGGGCTTGCACCGTGTATCGCCAGATTTGGAAACGCCCCAGATATCCCCTTGCTGGGTATCTTGATTCGTATTTTGACATGTAGCCATCCAGTCAAAGTGTTCCACAAACCTCGCATGCTACAAAGAAACAGCGTCAGGACGTTGAAACCAAGGCCCCACGGTGCAGCTAGGGGCTTTGCAATATCTGTTGAAGCGAGTCTGCCGGACTGAATCGCAACTCCCGCAATCGCGACTGAAGAAAGCCTAGCAGCCCTACGGCCAATAGCCTCGGAAAGAATTTGGATGGCCTGGGCATCAGAGACCGATACCCCCGTCGCCCCAAACGCCCTTGAGATTCTGTCGCGGGCAACTGCTAGGCTTTCAGAAGAGTCTTGCAGCACCGAGGACAGCAACGAGCTGTCGATGCTTTCGGGTTCATGAAGCTTTGATTTTGCAGAGACTCTCATGTCGAAGGTGTCATGTTTCGAATCCATCATGTGGAGGACCACCCTTCTCAGAAGTTCTCCGAGGTACATACCAGATATGCGCTTCTCGAAATGTTGGTCGTCTGGGTTGACCGAGTCCCTATCCAGATCTCGATCAAATTTTGTTGTGGGCAGAACCTCCAACTTGTTGTCGAATCCACCCCACTCCGTGTTCAGAGCCATCAGTGCGCCGGGTTCGTAAGTGGACGCCCCTTGAAGGGAATGGAGCTTGGTGATCCGGGAAATGCGCTCCATGTACGCACCATTGGTTCCTGTACCGAAGATGGCGCCAACCACTGTGGTGGACCGCCCTGGAGAGGTGTAAGCTCGCGCAGCCAGTGTCCCTACAGTGTCGTTGGCCAAAGCGGTTACAGACAAGGGCAGATTCTGCTCATCAAGTGCTTCTTGGAGCATGGCGCAAGGGTCGCGACCGACGGCATCGGGGATGTCAAACGACTTTGTCCAGTATAATAGTGTTCCTTTGTTTAATGCGTGCTGATCAAAGGTAAAACTGAAGGTGAAGCCCAAGCTCTTGGTGTGCTTAAGCCGGATTTCTTCGGTGATGGCCCCTTCCTTCAACAGCGCCGCCCACTTATCAAGGTCTGGCTTGTGATGTTTCTCCATGAAAGTCTTCGTTTGCACGGCTATGAAATTGAACAGGTCCTTGTAGGTTTTTGCCACCATGAGGTGCCGTGGAATGGTAACTTTAGATTGGGTTAGAGAGTACGTTGAGTCTCCGTGTAAGTCAACCGAGCATACTCTCAAATTCGTCCCTCCCAAATCGATGGCTAAACAGACACCCTTTTCAGATCCATTTGGCAGCTTTGTCACGTATGACGGGATCTGGCACATTGACGTGCCATCTTTCTGAAGGCCCTCATCTGTAAGACGTCAGAACATTGCACTGGCTTTTGTTGGAGATGCACTCACTAAGCTGCTTCAAGAAATGAGTTGTTGCCCGACAGACATCATTGTCCAAAAACTCGAATTCTTTTGCGATTGTCCGAGCCTGAGATAGCATTGATGACGGGTTCCTTTTCCCGTCGTCGAGAGTAGCCATTGAAACTTCGATGTCTTCCAAAGGGTTGCTGTGGTGGGCAGTATTGGAATGGAAGCCAGGTTCATGGGTGCGAGCGCCACGTAATCTAGCACACTACCCGATCAAGAATCCGAGAATAAAATACCGAAATGGACGTAGTACAAGTTGCCCGTAACGAATGAGCGATTTCGCGTTCTGCCATACTCACAATACCGCAATTCAGCTTGCCCGTCTTCTGCTTGATCAGGGATCACCGCCCGGCAAACCTGGGCCGGGTGGACCGGGTGGACCGGTCAAATCTTATGCGAAATCCCTCCAATAGCAGTTCTATCGCCTATCCAGGCCCGATTCTAGGCTCTCTGGAGCTCGCTAGCGGTCAGATTCTTCATAAAGGCCGGTGCCCCCGGCTTAACCGGCGAAGCCAAGTCAACCCTGAACCAACCTGTTTCACCGGGCCTCCGCCGAAAGCAGCATCACTAGCTCAGCCAGCGAGTGCTCTCGGCAATCGCAGGTAACATTACGAAGTCCCAAAGTGGATCTTGCAGAATACTCCTGCAAAAAGCTTGTTACCATGTCGCTTCAAAATACGAAAGACAGTGCAGCTGTTGCCGGTCCGGACGACGTGGGCCCCTCAAAAGCCCGGAAGGCATGCGGTAAGCCCAGATCGACCCATGTCTTGTGGCTGTCGAGGCTGACTCTTGCCTGTCCAGTCAACTGCAGAAAGCAGAAGATGAAATGCAGGCTCGATAACGGGTCAACGTGTCGAAGATGTTTGCGGGCCGGCGTTCCATGTGTGTTTGTACCCAGAGCCAACGTATGTTTCTTCCTCCTGATGGATCTGTACTTGATTTGACAAGACGGTTCCAAAGTCCGCATCGCATCGTGATAGTATCTCGTTGGCGTCTATTCTTCACGCCAACGAGCAGAGCTCTACGTTCAACAAGTCCGTAATCCTACGCCTAAAGCGTCTAGAGGAGCACCTTGGGTTGCCCACGTTAGGTAGTCCAGATGAAGCCGAGTCACCCACTTCACCAAACGTGCCAGATCTTGGGCCTGAGAGTCCGGGGGATGACTCGTTAGGTCCCCTATGGGGTGCTGTCGCAATTCTCCGAAGGACTTGCTCCTCTCGTGTTGGCATGAATATTTGGGAAAAGGCCATGGTCAAAAGACTATGGCTTTCGTACGCGCGCTTTCCTTAACAAGTCAAATTCATACTGACCACTTATAGATTCCACGAAACCATGCCTGGGCTACACTTCCTCCCAACAAAGCAAACCTTTTCGTCGCCAAGACCCCTTATGCTTGCCTCAATGCTGTACTGCTCGAGTATACGGGGACCACCTGAAGTTGCTGTCCTAGCACCTGATTACTTCGCCGTCTTGTGTAGTGCTATTTCTCAGTTGTGCATCCCCGAGAATGAGATTGGCCAGGTTCCAGATGACCCAGCATCGGCGGAAGAGTGGGCTTTTCAGACAGTGCTGGGCATAATACTAGCCGGGCTACTGCGGGAAGGTGTCGTAAAAGAGACGGGCTTATGGATCTCAGTCGCTTACAGACTCATCCTGGAACACTGCCCGTCAAATGTCGAAGAAAGGTCACGCGAATGGCGTCGTCTCTTCTCTGGCCTTCAGGTACGCTCGATTTTAAATGCACATTGCTATTCCTGCTGATCCCTTTTTAGATCGTCGACCTTGAGCACGCCTCTATCCATCTTTCATGTCCTATCATCCCCATTGAAGCCCCATTACCTCGGCTCAAAATCCCAATGCAAGACCAACTCTATCGGTTATCGAGGATGATGCACACAGGGTTAACACACTTCACGGGTAGAAGTCTACCTACAATCTGGTCCTACTTTGCAAATGAACCTAGCATATCCCCAGACTCGACTGTCACATTCAGCGGCGTCGATGGGGCTGTCATTCGCGACTGGGCGCGTCAGTTAGATGACTGGCTTGTGGAATTCAGTGACAAGGACTTTGACTCGGAACATGAGAAGAAACTCGTGTTTAGGCAGTACATACTTCACCGTCTTCTGGTGCTGTCCATCTACCACCCGGCGAGAGGCTGCGACTTGTTCTCCAATACGACACCCAAGGAACAGCACGAGCTTCTTGTTTCAGCCAGAGCTGCTGTCAAGCTTCAAATTCTAGACTCTACAATATGGTCTAACTGGGATCTTGTGATGATCACCTGGGCCGCCCTCATTGTGCTACAGGGGGTGGATGGCGGGGTGGGAGAACCAGACGGTAAGCTTCACGTCGCCAGCGACTGTATATACAAACGCTAACAGTTATATGCAGATCTTGAGAATGCTAGAGTTCACTTACAGAAGTTAAGAGAAATGCATGAGCCAAAACCAAGTCTCAGAGGCATCTTGGCAAGCCGACTTGAACAGAAGCTGCAAGGGCTTCATACTCCTGGATCAGGAGACGCCGAAATCTATGAGCAACAGATGGGTAACTTGGACAATTCCTGGTACATCTTTGACCAAACCAGCTTACAGGCCGGCTATGAGCTCTGGTCTTATGAGCATCAAGGGGGATAGTTCATGTGGGTATTTCTGTTCAAATGGAAAACGCAAAATCATTGTATCATTCATTCTAAAACTCAAATGTATAACATGAAATCTGAGCCTGATTTATAACCTTTACCTTCCCTAATCCATATACCCCAAGGTCCGTATCTCACTAGATTATCGCCATGGCGAAATGCGAGAGGACATACTATCTGGCGTCAATTCTACCAAGTGGTCGTCATCCAGAATAGCACTTTGCTTTGAGTCTGCTGGCGTCTGAGGAGGACTGACGATGGACAAGGTCCTCAGTCTCAGAGGCAGCTTCTGTTCGAAACCCTTGCCGAGTCCGACCTTTTCGATACTCTTGAAGTACTTGGTGAAGGTTAGTCAATGTTTAGTTGTATATCTTTAGTACACCCTTACCTTGACCGTCTTGACTTGCAACTCGAGTGTAGCATCTTCATCTGCTACAATCATAGAGTAAGGGTGCAGCTGCAGACACGACAGCGTCCACATGTGGTTGACCCCGCCTTCGATTGCCTTCTGAAGAGCAATAGCCTTGGTTGCGCCGCTAACGATGATGACGACCTCTCTTGCCTATGCAGATACAGTTAGCTCTGTTCGCGCCGCGAATACACATTCGTAAGCCAACTAACCTCCATGATGGTTTGAACTCCCACCGTCAGCGCCATCTGTGGTACCTTGTTCAGGTCTCCTCCGAAGAATCGAGCATTGGCACGGATTGTATCCATAGCCAACGTCTTTACCCTCGTCCTGGAGGCGAGACTTGAACCAGCTTCGTTGAATGCAATATGACCATCCGGACCGACACCGCCCAGGAACAGGTCAATGCCACCAACAGCCTTGATCTTTTCTTCATACGCAGAGCACTCCGCATCCAAGTCTGGAGCGTTGCCGTTAAGAATGTGGACGTTCTCTGGCTTAATGTCTATGTGAGAAAAGAAATGACGGAACATGAAGCTGTGGTACGACTCTGGATGCGCTTGGGGCAGTCCGACGTATTCGTCCTGGAGGCTTGGTATCAGTTGGTGTTCCTGGCGGAGAGTCACGGATGGTTCCTTTGTCTTACCATGTTAAAGGTGATGACATTTTCAAAAGAGATACGGCCGGCCTTGTACTCGGTGACCAGAGTCTCGTAAATCTGAATGGGGCTACTGCCTGTTGGGAGCCCAAGAACAAAAGGCTTCTCTGGTGTAGGTTGGAACGTCCTGATGCGGTCTGTCTGGTGTTAGCCCGGTTCAAGATTCGCCTGTCTCATGGCCTACAGCCCGTCCAAGGTCGTACCTAAGATGTAATGGGCAACATGGGCAGATGCTGATCTGCCGTCAGGCCTAACGATAAGTCTCATTGTAACTGCCCGAAGTGGTATAAGTGGTATATTCTAGGGTGTGTAGAGACGAAGTGGGGATCAATGGAGGCAGAAGAAGATGGTTTATTTTGCGCTGGTGCTGTGGAAATTAAGAAGGACAAAGCTGTTAACTGAATCATCCGATTCCCAAATACTCAAGGGACTTCAAATGTTCTTGAACGTCCATCGATAACTATCTCTGTGCAAACATTTCGGCGATTTCTCCGGGGACCGGTCTCTTCTTCCCGGTATCACCGGTAGCTCATTTCAAACTGAATCATCGGGGACCCATCTTAGCCCCCACGTGGCGACGACCCAAATATTTGGATGAAAGGCAAATATGTCCGGGAAAGGGACCGGAGATCTGGGACCATCGGGGGCCACTCGACAACGTAACGTGTCTGGCGTGGAGTCGATGTCGTGCGGGACAGTGGAGGAGTGGGATGGTTACATGCATCACGGGGGGCACGTCACCTTGGCGAGCTCAACTGATTGGGACATTAAAATTTGTCTAATTCGACTACGTTACTCCACTGCGAGTTCGGCATTATCTTGCCGTGGTATCGATAATACGTCTCAGTCTGCCTCGGCGATTCTGCCAGGCTTTACTCCCCCCCTGAAATCCGTCATCTTATCATCCGGATATTTCGCTAGCTTCAGCATCCTAATTTCCTAATTGTAGCAATGGCCACTCCGCTGGAGAGATCAGAAGCGCGCTATCTATTCTTCCTTGGCCTGGAGCATCTTCTCGCTGTACTTGGAACCAGCCTTGAACCACCACCCACCAACCAGCACAGCTAATCCACCGACAACAACACACGTGTAGTTCATGTTGGCAGGCTCAACAGGCATGACGTATGGGAATGAGAAGAAGACGATGGCGAAGGTCAACCAGCACACGGTGATGCCGTTGATTATGGGTCCCCAGGTAGATCCCATGTGGAAAACACCGCGATGCATGTTTTTACGTCCCGTAAGCAGGTTGGTAAGGATAGGGAACATGTAAGACATGTTGTTAATGGTGACGGCGGTGCCTAGGAGGGAGTTGAAGGCAGTCGAGGATCCGAGGTAGAGGCAACCCAGTGCCGCAACGATTGCAGTTACTGCAATCTGTGAGTTTAGGGGAGTCTGCCACTTGTGGTGGACTCTCGACCAGCTGTTATTCGCATTAGTCCAATTCTTGCGCATGTTGCAAAAGGCGAAACTCACATTCTCGAAAACGGCATTGCACCATCTCTGGAAAAAGCCCAGAAGACACGACCAGTGCTCAGCTGAGAGCTAACAACACAGGGTCCGAGAGCGATGAAGAGAATGAAGGTAAGACCAAACGCTCCACCGGCACGCTGGGTAACCTGACGAAACAGCTCCGCAAGGGGAAGACCGGTGTTGGTAGTTGAGAGAGCGTCGAAATCTTGCACGGAGAACATGAGGGTAATAAGATATGTGATACCCGTCACGAAAGCGATGCAGAGCGTAATAGCAATAGCCAGCGGCGCGTTTCTGGAGGGCTGCGGCATGTCAGTAATTGAACACGGCACATCTGAGCACTAGGAAACTCACGTTCGGCATCTCTTCAGTAATGTGCGTAACTCCGTCAAGTCCACCAAGACTGTAAAGAGGGTTGACCAGGCCGGTGATGAAGCAAATGACCTGGTTTTCCCAGCCCGTGTTGTTGATCCAGGTCTTGAACACGAAGTCGGCGTTGCGGTGAGTAGGCGCACACGCGACAACGGTGACCATAACCACGAACCAGCCTATTTGCAGGTAAAAGAGCGAGAACTTGTTCAGACCGGGAATGATCTTGTTGCCGAACATGACAATACCGGCAGTGATGAGGTTCAACCCCTGGTAAACGATGAAAGTCTGCCACGTCTGAATCTCGAGGTCTTCATGGTAAATTACGACCAGAGCCATGAGAACCTGGGAATAGATCAAGTTCGTTGAGGCAGTTGTAAAAATCCCTGATACACCTGTCAGAACCCATCCAAAGGTAAGGTCGGGATCTGCAACTTACATCCAAGCACGCTGAACCAGCCGGTGAAGAAACTCAACACACCCGTCAACCTCCTGGGCGCCACGGCAGCGATCCAGTGGTACATGCCGCCCTCGGTCGGATACGACGAGACGAATTCGGCGAGCGATGCACCCAAGAAGCATTGAAGCAGCGTCACGAGGATGAAGCCATAGATAACCGCGCCAGGTCCACCGGCGTTGATCTCAGTGATGAGGCCAAGACCTAGACCCGTCCATGAGATGGTAGTCGTCGACGCAAGGCCGATGAGACTGAGGGTACTGAAATGACGCTGCAACTCCTGAGTATGTCCTGTATGAACATTTGTTAGACATGGGTGTCATTGACTCGGCGATTGTTCAACTAACCCATCTGCGCCAGACGAATCTCGTCGGCATCGAGGTTCTTCTCAGGGGCGCCATCGACGCTCCTCTTGGGGCTCGACGAAATATCAATTGGTGCTTTCACGTCGGCCATTGTAAGTAGAGATGCAGTTTATCCACTCAATTGACTTTTCACTACGATCGTGGTCGCGTGCCATCTTTAACCCTCTCACGCGTGTGGGCGTTGCTACAAACATATACCCCCCGCAACACATCGTGCGCAGAAAAACCCATACGGCGTTCTGGCCCTTAGTATCCCGTAAGTCCACAATTGATAGGGGTCATATGGACGGACATAAGTTTTTACCAGCTATCCCAGCTGATGGCGAAAAAAGGCGACTTTTGCCGTGTTCCGGGTTCTACGGGGCTGATAGAAAACATAACCTGGGGAAACGGGGGAAAATCACATACCCAACCACGATAGATACGACAAAAGCCGCGGTTGATTGAGGAGATAGAACCGGTCAAGTCCGGGCCGGACATTCTATCTGTCTATCGGACCCTTGACCGCACCACCTTTGCAGACAAACTGCGGAGAAGAACAGACGACGCCAGGGGTATCGAGTCATCAGTTCACGATGTACATGGGATACCCCTGTTCCCTCGCCTCCCCCAACTTTTCATCCACCCCCCAGCCCTTAGCACGGCATCGCTATCGCAGTTTTTATCTCCTTTCGCTCGGGGATGTCCCGAGTTGCTTCTTTATTCTCCTCATCCCGATAGTGACAGGCGTCCCACTGGTCAATCAAGCCAGCTGGTTTAATTCCATCGTGCCCACCCATGTTGAAGGGTTCCCTCGTCTCTCCTCCATCACCTCCGCATTCTTACCTAACCTGGTCAACAACGCCGACCTGGCCGGACCCAGCCACCGTCACTAGGGCTACTACCGGTTCGCGGAAAGGCTTGGTAGTCTCCCACTGCCGTTGAGTGAGGTCACACGAGTGTCTGTGTTCCTGGCTTTGCTTTAATGTGTAATGACGACGATCTTGGGTTCTTGGCCCGGGGGGGGACAAGCCCTTGGCCGCGGAAAAGTGACATGACGGCACAAATTGTATATAAATATTAAGCAGACAGGATCGCCGGTCTAATAGTGAAGCATTGCCCGTGGATCTCTTCCTCAGCAGGACTTCAAGGTCGTACCAATTTGCTTCCCGTCCAGAAGTCTCGGCGTCTGTTTGTCAAGATGTTCTCCAGCGTGTCCAAGGCTGCGGCTGTCCTCGCCCTCGCCGGCTCGGTGACTGCGTCCCCTTACGTCGCGTCGCTCTCGACCAATGCGCAGGGTCTCCTCAATGAGTCCATGGCGTGGATGGATCAGTATTACGACCGCTCGGCCGGCTACCTGTACGACTTCAGCGCGGCGGCCGCTCTCCGGCACGAAACGCGCAGTTCGGTGTGGTACGCCCTAGGCCTCCTCGCCCGTAACGACGGCGACGACGCCGCGCAGGCGGAGCGAATCATCACCAACACCATCGAGGCGCAATTCAAGGTTGTCCCGGAGCAATGGTACCTCCCCCATGCGTAACAAATTTGCGAGAGTATGATGCTGACCATTTGCCCAAGGTACGGTGGCTATCAAATGTACCCCGAAGAACCGTACGTTGGAACAGAAGATTACCCGGGCAAGATCTACAACTCTTGGGACCCCAACTGGCGTGGTTTCGTGGGCACGACGCTCGTGATGGCTCTTGAGGAGTTCCCGCACCTGCTGAGCAACGACACGCAGGACCTCATCCTCGAGTCGCTGCACAACACCACCAAGGGCGACGAATACCGCGTCGGCGGCGTCGACGACGATAACCTCTACCCCGCGTACAGCAACCCCGCCATCATGCGCGCCTTTGTCTCGGGCTACACGGGCCGTCGTCTGCAGGACGCCAATATGACCAAGTCGGGCGAGAACTACGCCCAGGAGATCATTGACCTGTTCGACCGCGCCAACACGCTCTCCGAGTTCAACTCCGGCACCTACACGGGCGTTTCTCTCTTCGGCTTGATCCTCTGGTGCAAGTACCTCCCGGAGGACTCCGTCATGACGAAGAAGGGCCCGCAGATGCTCATCGATACGTGGAAGTCGGTTGCGCAGCTCTGGCACCCAGGAATGAAGAACATGGCCGGCCCCTGGGACCGTGCTTACGGATACGACATGAACCGCTACGTCAGCTTGATGGCGCTGTGGTTCTGGACGTTGATCGGAAAGGAGAACTCGTCCATGATTGCTGCGGTAAGTCTGCCATTTTCTCGTGCATGATGCCAAGTTTGCTGACTGTGAAAAATATAGCCTCAAGTCATGTCCCACGCAGCGGACTACGCCTGGGCACCCCTTTTTGCCGTTCTCGCTGATTACCACGAGAGCCTTCTGCCCGAGGGTCTCGTTGAGAACCTGACGACTTTCAGCGGCGAGCATGTCTTCACCGCGTCGACATACTACCCGCCGTTCGACAAAGTCCCGCGCAACATCACCAGCTGGCTTTCGGAGAACCTCACCATCGGCGCCGAGTCCTTTGACGAGAACGTCGTTGGCGGACCGTCCGAGAACCAGAACTCCTTCAACCCGGCCGTGATTCAGTGGAACACCGGCGACGAGATCGCCTTCATCTCGGTATGTTGGAAACCCATCGTTGAATAAAAGTAACTAGGACTGACTGAACGCAGCTGTACCCGACCGAGATGGCCCTCGACGTTGAGGTCTCTCCCAACAGGCTGAGCCTCACGTACCCCAACGGCACCGCCGACTCCATCTTCACCTTTGTCGTCGGCACATTCCTCAAGAAGCGCACCGTCACCGGCTGGGGCGACGTCCAGGGCTTGAACGTGAGCATCTCCGGCAACGTCAACGAGACGTACGCCTTATCGTTCGCGGGAGCCTACGGCGGCGCCAACTCGCCCATCCGCGATTTTGAATTCTGGAACTTTACCTATTCCCTGCCTGCGGGCTTCGAGGGCAAGCCCAATGTCGTTCTCGACGTCAACCTTTTGTAAAAGGTTTGTGTCGAAAGACGCAAGAATGTATAGTTATAATTCTCCGCCATTATGGCGTAGATAGAATAATGAATAATGACACACGTTCAATGTCCAGAATATCTTTATTTAATTGCATGTAAAAGTGCGCAGTGTGATCCCAAAGCCGGCCCCTCTCATCCACCTCGCGCCATGCGCTACAGCGATAAAATGATGCGTCAAAGGATCAAAGACCGCAGAACCATTGCCAAGAGAGGAAGGTCGTGGATGGATGGCCGGCAGATGGCGCTTCTCATTGATCGACGCGGCCCACCTTGCATATCGGCTCGGATCCTACGACGTTCTCGACTGCATACATGAGTGCGAGCCTCGCCACGAAAGGTTCCCCTCTAGATATTTCCTGTTTTTGAGGGGGAAATATCAGGAAAACTGACTGTTAGGAACCCCTAAGAGATTCAAAATGAAGCAATTGCAAGGGGGACCGCCGCCGGACTGGGAGAGAAAACACTCATCCGATGAAGATTCTCTATCCGACTTACACCTCGAATCCGGAGCCGTAAGCACGAGCATCCCGGACGAAGATGCCTCAAAATCCCTTCTAAATCCATACAACCAAGAACCGCAGCAAACTCATAAGAAACCAAACACCAAGTTCACAACCTCCTGGCCAATCTTACTCATATAGCCATCGTCGTCTCTTTGGCTCTAGGAGCAGTATCCTCACTCGCCGTCTCAAAACTCCTCTCCTCCTCACGAACCTCGTCCCACCGCAACGAAAACACCCTTGCCTCACCTTCTCACGACCCATCCCAGCACGCAACTTTCCTTCAATCCGCTCCCTGCGGCAACACGCCCGCCGAAGCGCGCGCAGCAGGCTGCATCTTTGACCTCATAAGCTTCAACTGGCTGCCCCCAGCCTGTCACGATGAGACCCTCGCGCGGGATTTCGAAGAGGAGCTGCGGACCGCGGGGATGCTCTCGTGGTACGAGGACATGGAGCGCACGCGGCCGCTCACGAGAGAGCAGATCATGACGGGCGAGTACACGGGGATATACGTGTCGCTGGGATACCACCTGCGGCACTGCACGGCCATGTGGCGGCGCATGCACCGCGCGCTGCTGGAGGGTGGAGGAGGTTTGTCGAGGGTGGACAGCTACATCTGGAGCTACCATCACACGCGGCACTGCGAGGATATGCTATTGACGCGGTACAACGAGAGCGAGTTTGGGGACGTATTCACGACGGAGGTTAGGATAAAGTATCCCGACTGCGGCGTCGTATTCTAGATAGACATAAAAACGGTCTTGGGGTATCGTACCTCCATAAAAGGAACACAAAATGAAACCCCCCTTTTGCCATCTTTATTCCAGTGCGTCCGGGTTCTGCCCCTTTGCGTCAGAAATCCAGCTCTCCAGAGACTTTTCCTTCTCGACCTTCCTTTCCTGCCTGCTCTTCAGCCGTCCGCTGGGTGCACTAGGGGCCTTTGGCTTCGCGAGCAGCTTCCTCGAAAACGGTATCCGCCAGATATGCGGCCCGACCTCGTCGCCCGTGATCCTGTTCGTCTCGATGGCCGTCCTCAGCCTCTTGGCGGCATCCCAGTTGGACGTGATGGTCGTGTATCCCGCTTTCCACCCGTACAAGAAGGAAGATACGTTCATGGCGTTCAGGCCGGAACCCTTCTGGCCGACGGCGAGCGCGACCCTGGGCAGCTCGCCCCGTTCAACCATGCGCTGCGCGTCGTCCCACGATACGCTGCCGACAATATCGATAGGCAGCTGGAGGTCCTCTGGTACGGCGTGCGTGGACAGTTTCTGCAACTCTGCGATGCGTCTCCGGCGGTCCTCGTCGGGATCCGCAGCGGCGTCGACGTCGTCGAACATGATTCGCGTCCTCGCCTGCTCCGTGTCCGTGCCAATCTCATACACAATTTTCAAAAACGTGTCCGCCGCCTCTTTCGTGCACACAAGCTTGCGGCCCGTCATGGCGGGGTAAAGCGTGTTCACCAGCCTCGGCCCGTTCTCAAACTCGTCTGTGGCGTCGATCCGGTGCTGTTTCGACCTCAGGAGTTCCGAATCCGGGCCGATGTCCATGTGACTGAAATCCGAAGACAAAGCCATGAAGACGGAACAGTCCACGTTCAACGTGTCCGTGAAATCCTTGTAGTAGTCCGTGTTGATGAGGTTCGAGACCGCCTGGTCGAAAGAGGGCGTCGTTTCCGTAAGGATGCCCGGCCCGTTGGCCGTCTCCACGACGAGTTCCACATCGTCGCCGCCCATCTTCCTCACCAGACGCAGCAGATGGTCAACGTGCTCGTTCTTCCCCTCCTCGATCCGCGACATGAGAATGCGCACCCTCGGGCGGCGGTAATCCTGATACGACGTCCTCGCGGCGGCGACCATGTGCCTCGCGACCTTGGCCACTTCGATGCTATCCTCCGTTTCGTCCCGCAGCACGCTCAACATCGCCTCGTCGGCCTCGTCGTCCTCGAAATCCTCCTCCCAGTCCCACCCCGCATCGGCCATTTCGTAAAACAACCTCCGCTCCGTCGTGGTGACGACTTTGATCCAGTCCGCGCCGCCGTTGACCACGAGATCGATGACCGCGCTGACGCTCTTACCCTTCTTCGTCTTGTACGCCAGCTCCCTTCGCATGCCCGTCAAATCGCAGCACCGCTTCGTGACCTCCCACACCGTCTCGTAGAATTTGTAGTTACACGCGTCCAGCCGCAGACGCACTTTGCTATCCAGCTCTTCAATGTCGACGGCGTCGTTGAGATCAGTGTCGTACGATTGCACCATCTTTTCCATGTGCTTCTTTTCCGAGACGATGAGCCGTTCAAAGAAGCCCAGCCCGGGAACCGCTTGGTTCCATTGCAGCGGCTTGTGGCCGGATGCCGGGCGACGTTCGATGGCGGCTTTGAGCTGGTCAAGCTCGGAGAGGAGGATGGTGATGCGCTGGACTATGAACTGGCATTGCGCGAGGAGCGGCGTGGAGGGGTCAGGGCTGAAGTGAGGGAAGACGGCCATCGTGGGGTGTTGATGAAGCAAGACTGAGGGAGAGCCGAGGTCTTATAAGCTGTCATATATCTGCCGTTGAGATTTTCGACATGTAACAGCGAGTCGTCTGGGAGGTTGGGAGTCCGTCAACGCTAGTTTCGCCGTCCGAGCGAGGTGAGCAATGAGTCGTGAAGAGGGGTAATGCCGTGAGGCCCGCCAACGAAGTCTGAACAGGTATCGACAGAATATGAGATTGAATGAATGGAATACCCCCCATCCATGGAAACCTCCCAGTGTTTTCTCGTAGCGCAGCAAGTTACGACGACAACGCGATCGGATGTGACGTCTCAAATGAGTCAGGTTACCTCACTTCTAAAAGTCAAACAAGTAGGCTGCTCATCGATAAGAGACAAAAGCACAATTCAACTTGGAAATGTAAGAAATAAGCTGTTATGCAACCTTGGCTTCAGATCAAATTCTGACGGTACGATGAAATGGTCATCGATTGAGCCATGATGCACGTGAGCAAAAAAGACCATTGGGCTCCATCAAGTGGAGATACCCGACGCGGGGCCGCACCAACCGGTCCGTGGCCGCGATCGGGACGACCACCTCTCTTTGAATCGGCATCATGAGTCCGGTGGCTGGGTTTCCGTCTTTCTGTTCTTTCATAGTCTTCAATTATTATGGTGGGTTCATCTAATGTAGGAGATCGACTCGATTTAGAGACGACTTCTCCAATGTGGCTCTATAATATTGTCGCTTCTAAACAAGCACCACTCGCTTCACTCGGTCGATATCTTCCTGACAGAAGGAAAACACACATCCCTCAACTCATGCTCCTATATCTTCCCTCTTGACATCTTCGCCCACATCCATCCGCTACGAAGCCGTAGCAACCTCACCAACAGTCCCCCAAAACCTCTCAACATCAAGTCCAAACCTCGCCAAGAACAGCCCATCAACGCCCTCCTTAACACCCTCAAACAGCCCCGGCCCAGCACTGCCACCGTAAACAATCCTGACGGATCCCTTTCTCGACACGACACACTCCAACTTCCTAATCCCCGCGGCGACCTCAACGACATACTCCTTCCCAGCCGGCTCCTGCGCACCGATAGCCCAGACAGGCTCATAAGCAAGAATCACCTCGCTCGTATCCGCCACAGACGCGAGCACGGCTTCGACTTGCGTCCTGCAAAATTCCACGGCGTCCGAGACCTGTCCTCCTCGCGTGCGTTCCCCGACACACACCAACGGAATCATCCCGTTCCTGGCGGCGGCAGCAGCCTTTCGCGCAACGAGCTCATCCGTCTCGCCAAACATCCTCCTCCTCTCCGCGTGCCCCACCATGACCATCTTGCATCCGGCCTCTGCCAGGACCTTGGGGGACACCTGGCCCGTGAAAGCACCTTCGTCCTCCGCCGCGCAGTCCTGAGCACCCACCAGCAGCGAGCCGACGGGATCGCGTTCTACTTGTGAGATGGCTGGAATGAGACTGACGTAGTCGAGGAGGACAAATACATCGACTTGATTTGCCGCCGACGGATCGCGCCGTATAGACTCAAGTAGGGCAGTGATGTATGACTGCGTGTTGGCGAACGAGAGATACATCTTAGTTGAGACGCCAATTAGGCGGCGGGGGCGCAGACTGGCCATGGTTGAGGCTAATGGTACAAAGTGAAGGTTCAATATAAGACTGGAAACATGAAAGCTGGATTTGAAGTTGCGGTGAAAGGGTACTTTGGGTGCGGGAAGAAAGAGTTTTGGCTATGATTGATATTGACAAGTCAAAATTGCTTTATAAAAAAAAACAATTGCCCTCAAAAAATCGGGACATTGGGACTATATATGCGTCAGGCATACGACACCATAAAATTACATATCTACATGAAGTCATATTCATTTTGAGCACAAACTCAATACCTACAGGCCTTTTCGACATAAAAAATATTAATGAAGCTTTAGCATCGTAGTTCTGTGCTTGTGTACGCCGAGGAAGCCAACCCCGCTTGAGCCCGGGCCCGCCGCTTCGGAGATAGTCCCCACAGGGGTCCCCGCCTTGGCCCGTGCAAAATCTGCCCAAACACACATAGGCGTCAAATCGATCTCAACTCTCAACAATTCAAGTGGTTTCGTGGTGTAGTTGGTTATCACGTCAGTCTAACACACTGAAGGTCTCCGGTTCAAGTCCGGGCGAAATCATCCTATTGGGCGAATGGTTTAGTGGTATAATACTCGCTTAGCATGTGAGTGGTCCAGGGTTCGATTCCCTGTTCGTCCAATTCTTTTGCTTCCGCTTTTGCCATTTGTGAATGAAAGCTTCTTAGTAGTCGAAGAATAAACCTTCTTTCCCCTGGGAGATGCCCTGAAGCTGGAGTGCTAAGCAAGTTCAATGTGAGTCGCTGCCATACTAGACTTCCTATGCACGGCAGTGGCTTATGAGAACACGCCAGTGGCAACCACTTTGCGCTGCTAATCGCAAAATGGCCACGCTGTGAAATGGCAGCTCACTACTTAAGAGATGGGCGTTGTATGGACGACAACTCATGCCGGACGCGAAGATTGCCGAACATAGTGAGACATGCCGATTTCTCGTGACATTATCTGGTACCGTGATGTTATGCCCCAAGTTAGGTGTCGGCCCGTTGTCAAGTCACGCTTGAGCTTGTGCGGTAATATCTAGGCACGCGATAGAACGAGGTAACGACGGCAGATCTTCTGCCCTCCCAAGATCATCTGCCTTATATCGACAGGCACCTTTGGAACTATCTACTGGATCTGGCAGCGTAGAAGCCAGTCGTGAATTACCGGCATGGGGCCAGCGATGGTTTGGCGCCCGTCTGCGGTTGCCTTCTGGTGACCCAGGAGGTCGGCGCTCAGCATGGCCACCTCGTGGCAGCACCACGCAAGAAGGCATGGTCCCCGGAATCGTACTGGGAGGGGAGTGCGGTTGTCCAACCTAAGCACGCCTCGTCGCTTCCTCGAGCATGGAGACGAAAAAGGGGCTGTCCAGTTAGGGTGCCCGAAAGCAGCACTTCTTGTCAGCGGAAAAGAACGCCGGGAGCGGAGACGAGTAAAGCAGATCAAGGGACAAAGGAACATGACAAGCCCAACCCAACGGGAGAGTTAAAGTGATAGAGTATTCCGAGGAGCTTCCGTATGCAGTTAGTCGACTTGATGCCCTGGATGCTTTTGAAATTCGAGAAGACCAGGTTTTGCCTGGGCGTGAGCGACACAGGACACCCCTGGGTCTGAGCTCGGCGGCCGGGGTCTCGAGGGGAGGGTCTAGATAGCCCCGGTTCGGTGAAGAAAGTGGCACGAGCCGACGGGTGACCCTGAGTTTGATGTCGAAGGACCTGACCGGCGCGCCCCGCAGTCCCAGTGGATAGTTGACCATCGAAAATCGAGCATCGGTGCGCTTCGAAGCCATAGTGCACCGCACTATTTGGTAAGAGGAGCACTTGTCGGATTGGGGATCAACACAACGTGCTGTCAGTCTGCTGCCAAGACCTGCCAATCGGCGCGTTCCCACCAGGGTTGGATCTGTGTTTGTGTGTTCAGATAGTGTCTACGAGTATTCAGGGCCATGGGCAAGGTTCCGGCTCAAGTAGTTTACGTAGAGCAGTGAGCACAAAAGCTCCTGACCCTTTCACTCCGCAACAATAAGCTGGCCTTTGATTCAAATGTCAGGTGTCCGTGCTTCGATCTGGACGACACGAGGCAAACTGTGTCCGAGGTTCCTTTCATCCCAGTCACTCCACACTATTTTGCGCTTTCAGTTCCGCCCACTAAAGCAGGCCCGTGGCGCATCACCCCTCCCGAGTGGCTGCGGTAAGTTGATTTTTATCCTCGCTCGCACACACAGACATTCCATCGATCGATGAACAGAGCGCAGCGCGAACCAAAGTATTGGCTTGGCCATTTGAAGAGGGGGAAGCTAGAATTTCACAATCGCATGTTTGCCAGCGATCATTTTGGGATATTTTCCAAGAGTCGTTGTCGTCCAAACCGAGGGTGATTGTTGTTGGTGGCTGCATGTGTGTATGCCTTTGCCTCAAACCCACAGGCTAGGCAAGATGGGGTGGGTAGGGCCACTGTAGGCGTTCATCCGATTTGGTTGCACACATTTTCGGGCACATCTTGCAGCGTCGCATAGTCCAATGCAGAGACGATGCAAGGCACCATCATCTAGCTTGGTGGTTGCGAATTATGGGCCACGCGAAGTCAACGAGCTCAGCGGAAGGAATCGCACATCACGACAGACGGACCCAAGCCCGGGCCATTCCAGAAACGTGCACTGTCCCCCGTGCCTTGCAGGCGCCGGCTGCACTACAACACGCATGCTGGAGGATATGCTACCAAAAATCCCTAGAGAGCCCAGGTCCCTGGTACCGTGGGTTTGACGAGCAGTTGAGAATTTTTCGTGTGGTAGGGGGTTCTTTGGGCCTGGAAGGGGACCCTTGCCAGGGCCATTTGCTTGCCTCCTGTTGGCGTGCGTATGCGTTCTTTTGTACAATGTATTCTGTATCCCCCGTTGTGTGACGGGCTGCAGGACCAAGCAGCCAAAGTAAGGCGCTTTCTGGATTCGCGCGTGTGTTGCGGCCGACGTTGCATCTAGGGGAGCAAACAAATTTCTCGGTCTTCCCACGAACCAGGACTGCAGACCAGTCTACTACGTAGCTTGGGACCAACAACAGGCAACCAGTTGAACCATTGTTGTCATCTTAGGATCATGTCGGTTAGTAATTCGTACCTTGAATTTGGTCTGCATGGAGGCGAGCTAAGACAGAATAAAACGAGACCAGACGCGACAAGATTGCTGGGACTCACGGAGCAAAGTGAGCGAGCTGATTGACGGAGCCGAGTAAGCAGAGGCGGCGAAGCGAGGGAGGTCGTTCCAAGATCCTGGCGTCTTCTCATAAACGACGGCGATAGGAGACCCGAGAAAAAACCGGTGGTGCTGAAGAGGAATGGACGTGGCGCATTCTCTGGTTTGCAAGGTTCCGTCGGTGTCTGTGGTGACGGGGGCTCCTCTGGACCCGAAATGCCGTCTAAATTCTAACGTTGCTGCGGTAGGGAGATGAGCTCTTCTCCAGGGACAATCGACGATGGGGTCGAGGTTCCATATCGACAGGGTCCAATGAGACGCGCCAATTGCTGGGGACGGCACCGGAAAGACTGAGGTCGAAGAAATCCTCGTCCCTGGCGGCTGCACGTAATGGCTAACTTTTTCGAGTAAAGCTTGAGCGCTCAGTCTTGAGGCGGCAACCTTTCTTTTTTTTTTTTCCGCTCTACTTTCATCATTTTTCTTTCCTGCTCACTTTTTTTTTTCGGTTCCAATGGTTATCGACTGACGTCCATCTCCTCCACCGGTTGACTGGGCGGGCCACTGGTCCCTGGCAATCACGATGGGACGATCGTACCATGATTACAGCTTGACTGGAGTCCTGCCCGTAAAAAAAAAAAATCTTTGACGGGGCGGAACAACGCGAGTCGACCTGTCAGCCGTGGACACTGTATGGGGGCCAACTCCGGACAGCATCATGGATTCAAGAACCATGGATTATGTCGGGTGGTTTAGCACTGTAATATCGACTGAGAGATGAGGCACCCAGAGGTGTGGACGAAGGGACCGTCTCAGCCCGCCGGGACTGGTTCCGGAGGGGGCCAGTGCAACCTGAGGCGTGGTCCGGGTCAGGGCAAGGGGCCTAATGTTAATGGTGGTGGAACACAATGGTACAATAGAAGGTGATTGGGAACAGACGGAACTGAATCATTTGGCTGATTTGCGACTGTGGGCCGGATCGGCGAGCAATCAGTGGTGGTGGTGGTGGTGGTGTTGAGCTTTGGTAAGTAGTCACATAGTGTTGGAGTCGGGCCTCGGCGGCGAAGGAGCAGGAGGAAAGTGTGTTGATGATGATCTGGGGAAAGCAATGTGACCAAGGATTGGACCCAGGGTCTTGCCGTCCGCGTATGCAGTGCTTGCCACCTTTCACGCTATGTGTCGTTGTTGTAGGGCACCTGCCACCCTGAAGCGGCCATTGTGCTGTGCCTCAAGAAAATCAGGAAGCTTCGATCGAGAGGTAGCACCTGCACCACTTGCCATGTACACTATGTGATGCGATAACTACCTGGGTGCCAGGTGGTGGTGCCTTCCAAGATATTCCGCCCATACATGGTAGTAGCCGCCTTGCCACGCCTGTGCTCCGTAGTCCATAGGCCGGCCATTGAGTACTATGTAAATTGAAGCTCAGACCTGACGGGCCGGACCCACACGAGGAAAGGGAAAAAAAAAGGGAAGGACTTGAAGGGGCGGCCAGAACCTCAGGGTCATCCAGATGGTCCAATATCCAGCGACTGATGACCATCGTTGTCACCTTGTATATTGTATGTTCGCCTCACTACAGCGTAGTGCAAATTACCACACTAGATGCCACTTTTGTATATACTCTCCGCACAAATACGAATACACACACCACAAATGCGCTAAAATCTAGGCCGCCTTTCAACATCCGAGGTTCCCTTAGTAAAGCGGTGCATACAGAGTACAGGCCGATAGGCAGACAGTCAGAAAAGAGACAGACTTGGAGTTGGGTGGGTTCGCTAAATCCAGTCCAGCGGGTTTCCCCTCTCCACTTTTCCCAGACCAGGCACTGTGAAGTTTTCATGTACAGTGCTGAAAAATGGGGATGTTTCCTAACTGGGGCAGAGCCATATCCGAGCAGCCTCGTACCTCGAGATTCCGGCCCTCAGCACCGATGGTATTTGTTGGTCCGGGGTGCCTTGCCGCTCCTCCCCCACTGGTCCCAATTGCTCTCTGGCTCGTCCCTTCCTTCCCGTGCCGTCGTGTCCAGGATGGAAGGATGGTGGATGGTGGAATGAGATGGTACATGGCCATGCCACGCCGTATCATGAAATGGGAAGGGATGCCAAGGAGATGGAAGGAGAGAGCCCGCTGCCTCCCTGCCTACCCTTCCGTTCGCTTGGATAATGACGACTGATTGGTGTTGTTGACGAGGAACCTACCCTACCTACCTTCCATGACTTGAGATGGATGGATACAAGGTAGGGAAGGGAACTGGCTACGTAGTAGATGCTCTGTTGGAACTTCCTCTGTATGTATCGAACTGTGTCTATCTCCTCCGTACTCCGTGCCTACCTTACCTTATGATTATGACGATACTCCCTCACCCCTTCCTTCCTTGTGCCCATCCATCCATTCATCCATCCATCCATCCACACGGGGTAGGAGCCTGGAATGCTGGGAGTGCAGCCCACCTACCTCATCTCGGTGGTCACTGCTTGGCCGTTCCTGTCACTCTTCCCGTTCCGTCACTCCTTGCCTCTGTATTAACATTTACCAAAGCCTCACCAGTCTTGGTATTGGTCATCCTCGCTGCTGGATACTGGGTTCTAGTCACTTGTTTTAACTCTTCGCTTCTTTTCTACCCTTGCTGTCTGCTGGGTTCGGCTTTTCTCAGTCCGTGTCTTTCCCCCTTCTTCATCTGATTTTGGGTCCTCTTTCTCCCCACGTTCCCGGCATTGACACGTCTCGAGCCCGGGTGCAACGAAGCTTTTGTAATTCCTTTTCCCTGTTATTTTAATTTTCCTTTTTTTTTCTTTTCTTTTTTTCCCTTCTTACCTGTCTACCTGCCGAATCTGCTTTCAGCCAAACCGTTGCTCATTGCTTTTCTTCGTCAAGGGTACGTATGCCAACCCTCTCCTAGCTCCTGGGACCTCGATAATTATTTGCCTTCTCTTTTGCCTCCTCCTCTATTCTCCCTCTAAACATATCCCGCCAGTGTCCATTATTCCCACGTATCAGCTCGTCACATAAACTCAATTTTCTATTTTGTTTTATTTTATTTTTGACTCACTGGTTTTATAAAGCGCCTCTCTGCTGTTTTAGTATCAGGCTCTTTGATATACCTGCATTGCGACGTTCAGATACGCAGTGCACTCAGCGGTTAAGCCGTCCGAGAGCCAAGCTCAGAAAAAGACTGCCGCCTCCAGTCCAAACTCCCCATTGGCCATTGCTGGCTTGCAGCTGGTTTGGTGTTGCTTTTTGCAGCTTTCTTGTGTTCCCCAGTCGAGGGCCGCATACTTGATCGTCATTTCCACTACTGCAAACATTGGACGCCTCTTAGATCCCGCCCTACTAGTCCTGATCAGATCCGGTCGACGGACGGCCGCATTTTTTACCACCGTCATTCCCGCCGCCTTCCAACCCAGTCTAGATCAACTCTTGCTGCTGCACCACGGCCTTTCTCTTCCTGTCATTCCTCTCTCTTTTCTTTCTCCCTTCTTCTCTCTCTCTCCCTCTATATTTGGTTACCCGAAGCAACGATTCCTCATGCACTGGACTTTGCAGCCAAGGCTCTCGAATTTGATCATCATCATCGTTGGTACTGCAGCTTTGGATTAGCTGAGCGATTGGCTTAAATTTTACATCGTCTAGGTACGTGGGCAATTTTTCTTTAACTCTTTCCTTGACCCTAGTCTCTCAAATCGCACAGTGATATCACCGCTTTGCTTTCTTCACATATTCCTCTTCCTTAAAAAAAGAAGACACCTGCATGGGTGGTTGTAACCTTTGGCCACAAGGTTTGCTAGCCCCAGTCCCAGCCCTATGATGCGAAGCCTATGCGGACCAGTGCACAGAAAGAGGGAGACAAGACGAACGGACCTGGGCTACATCGTCTTATCTTGGTCACCTACCCAAGAAAAACGCCCCCATTATTTTCGTTTAGTTATTTCTGTGTATCCTTCCCACCTTGTTACCCACGTTGCGTGTCCTTTTTTGCCCTTCCAAACCCCATTGTCCATGTCCGGCGTGGGTGCAGTGGGAACTGCTCAAAGTGGCTCGACATTTTTCGCAGCTAACCAGGCCAGAAGCAGTTCGTCGCCCTCCAGCGTTCATCCCTGATCCAGATCGACGTCGGCCAGAACTCTAACACCAACAAGGGAACCGGTTCCTGATCCTGAACAGGCCTTCAGCACCACTCCCAGCACACCCCTGGTACACACCCCCCGACAGCCCACAAGCCCAGGCCACAGGCGGCAGGCGCCCACCTAAGCCCACCCCCAGTGGCCCCAGTGAGAGAGGGTCTGGACATTTGCGCGCTCACAGCGGGCTGCTGGTGACCCCCCTTACCCTGCCCTGTCCGCCCAGCTGCATCCTGCAAAGCACTTAGTGCGGTGCTGCTGCTGCTGCTACCGCTGTTGTTTGCTGCTGCTGCTTCGCTCCAGTCGGCCTTCAGGCATTGTTGTTTTTCCCCCGCAAGCCCAGCCAACCGCTCGCCGTTCTTATTAAACTAAGGCGGGAGAACCTCCAGCTTCCTATCTTTGGTCCTCCTCTCCCCCCTCCCTCTCCGTCCCTGCTGCTCGCCTGCATTGCTGTCGACCTCCAGACCATCACTCCTCAAACGTTGTCTCCTTCGGCCTCTTGAAGCTAGGAAGCCGCCTGTGTCTTCCCCTAAGTAGCTCGAAGAACCCCCCCGATCTCGGTGACCATTGCTGCACTCGTCAGTGTAACTCTCTGCTGAACCTTCGAGGCCGTCGCATCGATTTCGACTCGGCACTACCACACACTTGAACCCCTCCAGCGAACCCCACTATACCGCTGTCTTTCGAAGGCCCCTCTCCCCGAGTCGACCCCCCCCCCCCCCCCCCCCCCCCAATACAGCCAAGATGGGCCTCTTCTCCCGCAAGGAAAAGGCCCCCAAGGCCTCGGGCAAGCCTTCTATCAATACCTCGAGCGTTAGCATCAACTCGGGTACTTCTAGTATCAAATCGCCACCACCACGCAGTATCACCATGAACAGAACTTCGGGGGCAAGCACCATGCCCGGAACCCCCTTGACGCCCTTTTCTCCTGCTCCTATACCCAAGGTCGACCTACCGCGCCCTCCTGACCCGCAACTCGACCCTGCGGGTTATCTCCGCAGCCTGGGCGCCGTTAGAGAGAGGAGCAAGATTGTGACTGAGAAGGCCCTCCGCAACGAGCTCAAGCACTTTGATGTGGATATGCGAAAGTTCCCCGATGTTGTCTCGTTTGTTTCTCAAATTATCAAGGTAGGAGAATTTGTCCCTCACAGCCTCCCCTTTCGCAGCCGCTCGCGTGACCAAGCGGCTCGCCGACTTGCCACACAGCATCCCCTGTCACCGACAGCGAATCGCAGTATACTGACCCGATTATCCACAGAGAGATTACGATGCACCTTTCAACACGATTCCTGGCCATGGAAGACATCAGCACTTTTGCGTCGGCGGCCGGGATCGCATTGCCCAGCTACTTTCTACTTTCCCCGAAGATGTTGACAACAGCGAGAAATGTCGTCGCATGATTGATCTTTTCGTCGTCAGTGTCCTGCTAGATGCTGGTGCAGGCACGAAGTGGAGCTATAAGAGTACAGAAAATGGTCGCATATATCGCCGCTCAGAGGGAATTGCTGTGGCCAGTTTGGAGATATTTAAAACGGTGGGTTTACTGAGTTCCGCATGCCAACGCTGCAGATACTAATCGTGCTGCAGGGTCTGTTCTCCAGCGACCCCAAGAACAAGTTCCAGGTCGACAAGGAAGGGCTGCGCAACCTGACGGTTGAGAAGATGGCCGCAGGACTGCAGTCCAAGCCAGGCAACGACATGGCGGGCATTGAAGGGAGGACACATCTTCTTTTGCGACTGGCGAATGCTCTCGCTGAAAAGAGGGAGTACTTTGGAGAAAATGGCCGGCCAGGCAACATGGTTGGTATGTTGAAGAGCCTACACCTGCCAACACAAAAAGCTTCAAAAGTAGCCAAGACTGACATGTAACAGACTACCTGCTGGCACACCCTTCAACACAGGCGTCGTCCACACCGATTGTCATCCTCCCGACCTTGTGGAGCGTTCTCATGAACGGTCTTGCACCTATCTGGCCCGCGTCAAGAACAGCCATAAATGGCATGTCTTTGGGCGACGCCTGGCCTTGCCAGTCCATGCCGCAACCCCCGCAGAGCCCGACGACCTCACAATTCTCGCCCTTCCCCCCATCAGCTCAAAATTCAACAGCCGCATGGGAGTCTATCCTTCCTTTCCACAAGCTCACGCAGTGGCTTTGCTACAGTCTGATGCAGCCCATGCAAAGTCTACTCCGAATCCAATTTGCCGGCGTCGAACTGCTTACTGGTCTGCCCGAGTACCGCAACGGTGGCTTGTTCATCGACCTGGGCGTTTTGACGCTGAGGCCTGACGATACTGAAAGGGGTCTCCAGCACTACGATGAATATTGCCGCAGAACAGGTGTGAAGCCCGTGGAAGTCGCACCCATGTTTGAGCCTGGTGACGACGTCGTCGTGGAGTGGCGCGGTGTGACTGTGGGCTTCTTGGACCGGCTTTGCGTCGAGGTCAACAAGTATCTCAAAAACGACCTGAACGGACACGAGTTGACATTGGCTCAATTACTCGAAGCCGGAAGCTGGAAGGTGAGTCTACATTTAAGCACCAATCACTTTTGACTATAAAACTAACATGACGCAGGGTGGTCGCGAAATGGCCGAGTTTAGTAGACCCAATACGAAAGAGCCACCCATTCTCATTGATAGCGATGGAACCGTTTTCTAAGCCGGCTATGCTTTTTATTTGGGAGGGCAGCATTGGATTGAGGCATTATACCTTTTCTTGCCATTGGTTAGACGGCAAAAAAAACTTTGACGGCATTGTTTCCCGGGGACGGGGCGACCATTTTGCGCATGGCAGTGGATGAAGGACATTTTATGGATGACGGGCGGGTTTGGGTGGCGGCTTATGCGCCTTAATGAACATGAATTGGGCCAACGTCAACGAGGAGGAGGATTAATGGAATGCAAGAGGTTGAGGCTCAGCCTCGTTCACCACTCGATTCTTGTCTGATTTTTTTATTCCCGAAGTGACCTTTGAGAGGACTCTGTTGAGATACACCTGTAATGTCGGGTTGCTCTGAGAAGGGCCGTTCAGCAACCAACCTCCAGAGCTCAAGATCCATGATCCGAAGCCATCCACGAAACCTTTGTGGCCCACGTGTGTTTGTGTGTGTATAGCTTGGCTCTTGACAGCACTCACTTGTTGACTTTTCACATGGTTGCTGTTCTTGGGCGGGATCAGCTACCTATGCAAACTATGATGCCTATACTTACATAATCCAACACAGAGAATCTGCCGTTTCCGTCATCGCGAGCCAAGACGGGGAGGGGGGGAGGGGGTGTTCGACACCGATTTCGTAGTACGTTGCGTCATTGAGGTGGCTGGGGGGTTATGGGCTATGAAGAAAAGATGAAAACCGGACGTGTTCCGGTTACGAGGGCCGGTTAGAGGGCGATGTATTGTCTTGGGGGGATTCAATCGGTGGGGATTGACGGGCATTGAAAGGTGGTGTAAGTCTACGAGGGAACGACAGGGCTCCGTTTCGTATAGGTGTGTGAATTGGAGGGTGTTGGAATGGTTTTGTTTTTTTCGGGGAGGTTTAAGTGGGAGGAGGGTAAGAGGTACTTAAGAAAAAAAAAAAAAAAAGTTGACGTTGGAGGGTGTTTTTCTCTATTATTCCCGTGATGTGCAGGTTATACAGTATCCAGACGATACATGAGCCATTTGTTTTTTTAGTCGTTGTTCTTGCTTCTTCATCTCCTGGTCCCATATGGTACAGTATCTTACTCACTCCCCCTCCCTCCCTCCCACACCCTTCCTCTCCTCCCCCACCCCTTCTGCTGACACTCGGGAGGTTTTCCCGGTGGATTTAAATGTACATATTTGTGTGGTCGTGCTTATCACGGATAGAGAATAACATGAAAAAGAAGAAGAAAAAAAAAAAAAGAGGGACGAGATGTTTTCCCTCTCATTTTTCTTACTTTCGAATGTTGCCCCAGTTCCTCTGTCTGTGCTGCTCCAACTTCTTCTCCTGGAACTTCTCCGCCGTCTTGGCCTCCTCGCGCTTGCGGGCCTCCTCTACGTAGTTGCCCGCGCCGCCCTTGGCCTTGTGGATCGTCTGCTGGACGTTGGCGAAGACGCCCTTGATGCTGCCGTCGTCGTTAGAGCCGGCGCGCGGGGCCTGGTATGTGCCCGTGGCGGGGATGGTGTTGAAGGCCGGGGTCTGCGGGGCCGGGGCGATGATGGGGAGGCCCATGCTGCGGCGGAAGGAGGGGAGGGTGAGGAGGTAGTTCTGGACGACACCGATGGCGCCAGAGACGAAGAAGTACCACTGCACCGCACCGGGGAGGTACAGCGTGACGCCGACTGAGATGGGACCGAGGATCCACATCATGAGTTTCTGCTGGGCCTTTTGCTGAGCAGTGGCATTTGCGCCTGCAGTCTGTTGTGTTGCGTCCTGTTAGTTATTGTACAGTGTAGATTGCGTCAAGAAAGAAGGAGGGAAAGAGAGAGGGGACATACGCGCATCATGGCGAACATGGTCAAGGGACCAAGGATGGGGAGGATGTAGAGCGGGTCGGGGACGGAAAGGTCAGTGACCCAGAGGAAACCACCGTTCTCCAGACCAGGGACGGGGATGCTGCAGGCGCCGTTGAGGACACGGAACATGCCGTATCCGAAGGGAATCTGGAGGAATCCCCAGAGGGCGTTAAGAGGGTTGACGCCGGCGGCACGGTTCATCATGGCCAGGTCGCGGCGGTACTCCATCATGGCCTTGCTGTCGCCCCTTGTTGTCGCCTCGAGGGAGGCGTTCTTGAGCTCTTCGTACTTGGGATCGCGCTGGAGGATTTGCAGGCGAGCGGTAGTCTCCTGGGACTTGAGGAGGGGCTTCAGGAGGGCCAGACGCAGGAGGATGGCGGTCGCGGCGATGGAACCCCACCAGGGGAGGCCGGAGTAGACGTGGACGTGCTCGAGGGCCCATTGCATGACGCTGGAAGGTCCCCAGCCGAAGTCAAGGCCGAGGGTCTTGAGGTAGCCGATCTGCTCGGGAAGGTCGAGGAGGGAGGCGGCGTCGATTTCGGGAATGGAGGAGGCCGAAGGGGCTGCGTCGGCGACGGCCGCGATGGGCTCGGCGGGAGGAGGGACGGAAGAGGGAGCGGCAGCGGCAGCGGCAGAGTCGAAAGCAGCGGGCTCGACTTGTTGTGAGAGTACTGGAGATTGGGGCGGCGCCGAGGCTGATGCTGTCGACTCGGGGTTGGGGTTTTTGTTCCAGAGGGAGATGGCTCGTCTTGTCTCGAGGGAGCCACCGATGGCCATGCTGCCGGCCAGTCTAGAGTTTGCGGTCCTCAGAGCGGTCCACGGGGCGGCGCCGCTGCGCAGGGAGGTGCTGAATTGCCGTCCATTGCCGAGTCGTCTGGGTGCTCTGGAGATCTGGCCATTGAGTTAGCTTTCACATTCGATCCAATTGTAACTTTGTATTATTGAGTAATCAACAAAGATTGGACATACGGCCTGGCTGGATATGCTGCTGGTCGCCCTCGCAGAGGGAAGGGAGCGGAGGACACCTCTGCTGGGCAGCATGGTGGGCTGGATTTTGCGGTAGAGAGGGTGGGTGGTGGGAATTGAAGAATGCCTCTATCGACAGATGCGCGGTTGCTGGAAATTTTTGGGGACCTGCACCAGGGGACCACCACGGACGCGCCGGGAAAATGTCGGGTGGAACGGCTAGCGGGCCCAAGCTTCCGGCTCCGTACCCGTGCCCGACCATGGGCAGGCATGGGCATGGGGGAGGTCAGGTCAGCATTGGATATCAGTAAAGCCGTCAGGCTGATTCACAGGCGGTTTATCATGTTCCATAATCAATAACCAATACCTGCATGACCAAGGATACAAGTTCAAAAAGAAAATGGCTTGATTTTGTTTGTTTTTGTTTCTACCCTTATATGTACGATTCAGTAATCCTAGGCTCGTCCTAATCACCCGGTCCATGCCGCTCGTCTAAGGGCCTTGTTTGTACACCCTCGATCTTCCGTACGCCGATGCATGAGTTTGTGTCTATATTTCAGACACAATTCCTGTCAAGTCTTGGACCTTTTCTTTTTTTCACATGCTGCCCAACACACGTTGGGCAGCCTCGTCTCTGGAGGGAAGAGACGGATTCGCAAACCTCACGGCTCTCTTAGGCCAATGGGATGTCTTTCGATGCATTCAGGCCCTCATTCCCATCCACCTAGTCACTCCAAGCTCGTAAGGTCATCAAGACCGGGAGAAGGGTTGCGATGCTTGTCGCGAACCTCCAGGCCCGGGCCGATGGGGTGTGCTCTTCTTCTGGAGAGGGGGAAAACCTATCAAACGTCAGATCCAATAATCATCGATCGGAGCGCACCATTTCCAAATGGAAGAAAGCGCTGCCCGCCAACAAATATCTCTGAATACGGCGCATCATCCTGTTCGTACCTTGGTGCCACCCCATCCTAACCGGAACGCCGCCTCGTGGGCGAATAATTCTCCAAATCCAAGCATCATGCCGTTGATGAACGGCAGAAAGAGGTTGATGGCAGCGCCGCGAAGCAGACCCCAGAACGTGGGCGGCTTGTAGAGGATGATTGGCGAGTTTGACGAGGGGGGTGACTCGGTGAGGTCTTCGCCCTGCGAATACTGCTCGCTGTCGGACCGGATCGTGACGCCGGACTCGGCCAAGGGGTGGAGGGAGTCGTCGAGGGAAGCCATCGTCGAAAGATGGATTTGGGAGGAAGGAGAAGAAGGAGTAGTTGAAGCGGTTGGTTGAGGGAGCTACTTTCGACCAAAGAGAGTAGATCCAACGACGGGCGGCGAACAAGCAGGTTTACCGAAACTCGGCGATGAGAGAGGTGCTGGAAGCTCCGGCTTCACCTCGGAAAATCATCACAGCCAGCTGCAGGCCCCGATGATTGCGTAGGGTCTGTGCGTCAACAGCAGCCTTCTCCCTCCAAGCTAAGCTTCAGCCATTCAGATGGACGATAGAGATTAGATAAGCTGGGGGGCCGGCCAGCGGCGTATGTCTGATCCGGGAGGCTGCTACTCACTATGGTGGCAATGGTGGCTTTGGCAGTGGTGGGGTAGTATAGGTACTGTACTAGTAGGGTGGCCTACCAGGTGGCTCCTCACGTCACAGGGAACGTGCTAGAGAAAGTACGAATGCAGCAAGCTCTAACTAAGGCAGTTACGACCACTAAAGCTGCCTGTTTGGATACCTCCGGCCCATTCACTACGTCTACCTATACCTCTTAACCTTTAAACCCTTACTGGTCTTTCAACATCACTATAATCAAAGACGGCAATTTTTCCCTACAAAGGTATTGATCGCAGTGAGCTTTGCGATTTTCAGTCACACCATTCTGTTAAAGACGTTAACGCTCTTTCTTTCTCCCTCTGCACAGTCATTACTCCATATTCCCCGCCATCCCACCTCAAGTGCCGCCATCATGTCCGGTAGCAACAGCGCCTCGCGCAACAACATCCTGCGCGACTTCACCAGCCTGACTGGTCTCCCTGAGGCTCGGGTATGTGTTGTTTTATTTTGTCTCCTACCCTAGTTCCGTCATTCAGGCGCTTCGTGAATCCGTCATCCAAGCTAACCCTTCCACTAGTGTACAGAGTACCTCGAGGCCGCGAACTGGGACATCGGCCTTGCCGCCCAAGCTTACTATGCCGACCATGATTCCGAGGGCGAGATCGAGCCTGTAGCTCAGGCACCTGCTCAGCCCGCCGCCGCTCCTGCTGAAGAATATACTGGTCCCCGAACCCTCGATGGCCGACCTGCGCCCCAGGCAGCTCAAGCTTCTACTTCGAGGAAGGCACCACCCAAGAAGAAGGGTCTTGCTACACTGAGCTCCCTTGGCGGAGGTGGCCATGCCCACGATGACGATGACGATGAAGACGACGATGATTATGATGACAGAGGTCGCGGCGATCTGTTTGCTGGAGGCGAGAAATCTGGATTGGCTGTGCAGGATCCCTCTCAAGAAGGCGGTGGCACGAAGAAGATCATCAACGATATCCTTGCCAAGGCTAAGGCGTAAGTTGTGAACTCTGACCGATTCCTCATCACTGCTAACACACTTAGCAACGCCTCTCGTCCCGAGACTGCGTCGCCTGCTGGACCCTCGCGATCCAACATCTTCAGAGGCACCGGCCAGACTCTGGGCGGTGAAGGCGTCGAGAGCCGCAGCATCCCTGATCCCAACACTTTCCAGGAGGGCTCCGGTGGTCCGCCTGGCCAGACCGGAGAGCCCCAGGAGCGCACCCTGCACCTTTGGCAGGACGGCTTCAGCATCGACGATGGCGAGCTTCACCGATTCGACGACCCGGAGAACGCTATGGACCTTAACATGATTCGCGCCGGTAGAGCGCCGCTGCACCTTATGAACGTCCGCTACGATCAGCCTGTCGACGTCAAGCTCCATCAGCACCAGGAGAACTACCGGCCTCTGCCCAAGAAGTACAAGCCCTTTGGCGGAGAGGGACGCCGTCTCGGCAGCCCTGTTCCCGGCGAGGGCAGCTCTTCTGCGTCCACCACGGCGGCCTCGACCACCACTGCGTCCGCTCCCACCGGCTCTTCGGCTACCCAGCACACTGTCGACGAGTCACAGCCTACTCTGACTTTGCGCATTCAGCTCCCCAACGGCACGAGACTGCCCGCGCGCTTCAACACCACCAACACCGTCGATGACGTCTACGAATTCGTCCAGCGTGCGTCCCCCGACACGCGTACTAGATCATGGGTGCTGGCCACGACGTTCCCCAACAAGGACCACACTGATCGCAGTCTGGTTCTCGGTGAGATGCTCGAATTCAAGAAGGGCGGAACTGCCGTTGTCAAGTGGGCTTAAGCGGGGGTTATCAAAAAATGGTGGGAAACGGTGGCGTTTGGAACTATCTGGCCCGTGTTTATCAAACGGGTGGTCTCTGGTCTTTGGCTTTAGGCATCTGAGGCCGTGCCTCTGAATGGAATGTAGACTTTGCTCGAGAAATAGACGACATAAGCTATGAGCGTCATTTAACACACAATTGGCAAGTGACGTGCAAAAAGGGTTCAGCCGCAGTACGATATGTATGCTTGTGCTACAAAAAGTTTGTCTTCCTTTCAACGCCCGTCCAAATGGTATCATCAATCATTCCTGACATGCGCCACCGCGGCTAGCTGCTGGTCACGCGTATTTCGACATGAAAACAAAAATCTACAAAGTTGCTCCCCCACCCCGCGCGACGGCCACCCCCCCTCCCCTCCTTCTCACCTGCCCAGCCACTCCTCAGCATCCATCCTCTCTATGCGGGTCCCGCGCCGCCCTGGGGTATCATGGTGGTCGGGCCGTCGAGGAATTTGAAGTGCTCAATGGCGATCTGGCAGTTGAGCATGGCAGCGTTGAATCGGGCCTCGCCGGGCGGGAGAATGACCATGAGGTACGTATTCGTCGTGAACTTGAGAATGAACAAATTGAAGCGCGTGCCGGCCTTGTGCTCCATGCGCACGAACTGCTCGGCGTTGCGCGGCGTGCCGGTGAAGCGGCTGATGGTCTGCTTGAAATGCTTCATGATGTTGGACATGCGCTCCAGCCTGTCTTCCGTGGGGTTGCGCTGGCCCTCTTCCGAGGTCCACGACGAGACGGCCAGGAAGGACGTGCGTTCGAAGAGGAGCAGCTCTTCCGCCTCGATGGCCACGCCCAGGTTCGCCAGGTTGCGTTCTATGGTCGCCAGGTTCGGGACCAGGTCGTGGATGATGCTCGCCCAGGCCTTGTACAAGCTCTGGTCCCAGATGCTGGTCGCGAAGGGCGTGATGTCGAAGCCGCCCGGCTGGGCCACGGGGCTCGTGGGGTCGTCGTCGGGGTGCTGCTGCTGGAGGTACCCGATGCTGTTGGCGTACTCGGCCGTCTTCTGGCGGACGACGCGAACACGGTCGTCGTACACTGACTCGCGGTGCGCGGGGACGACGAGGTCCATCTTGTGGATGAGGACGTAGATCTTGGCTCCCGGCGAGAATTGCAGCAGGGCCGAGATGATGGATACGTAGGTGGCGAGGTCGCGATCGATGTCGCGTGACTCGATGTCGAAGACGTAAATCAGGACACCAACGTTCGAGAAGACATGAACACGCTGCTGGGAGAGGTAGTTCTCCATAAAGGCCTCCTGGCCACCGCAGTCCCAGAGGTTGAGGGTCAGGTTGCCGAGGAACTTTACGTGGGAGAGGTCGATGTCGATTGTTGCGCCGCTAGAGGGAGACCTCGGGTTAGTGCCTGATACTTCGTAAAATATGTGCCGGCGGGAAAGAGTACGTACAGTCGCCGTGTATCACGAGCAATGTAGTTACTGAAGATGATGCTTCGCATGCTCGACTTTCCCGAGCCACTCTTGCCCATGAGCAAGACCTTCTTCTTCTTGGGCTTCTTGACCTCGGCTAGAGGCGCGCTGGCCGGGCCACCGGTGTAGTTTACATCAGCCATCGTGGGCTGGCTAGCAGTGCACCTGCGGGATCTGTATGTTGTGGAAGAAGCGTGCTTAAGGAGATCTCAAGACCTAGGGCATGGAGGGGAAGCTTTGAGCTGTCGTGTGCCTGAGGGGCTCTGTCGGTCGCAAGAGTCGGTAGGATGTTGCCAGCTGTGGCTAGTGAGGCTGGTTACTCGGAGCGGATGTCGGTAGGGAACAGCTTGGCTGGCGGTGTGAGAGTATGTCTGGTATAATTGGTCGTCTTGGAGTTTTCGTGCGAAGTCGGGAGCAGCTGAGTGTTGATCTTCTTTTGGTCATGCTGCGACCTGATTCCGAGAAGATGCGGTACGTACCAGGGGTCCAAAGGACGTGCTCAAGCGATAAGATAAGAACTAATAATTATCAATTATCAATTTGACCCACCCACAATGTCAGACCGAATTCTAGCAGCCCCATCTCAAATCCCATTGTCTCCTTCCATGCCAGGTTTATCTCACTTTCTTACTGGGTTCTTGGCTCAGTAATGACGCAGTTTAAAGGCCAGAATGCGGCTTAAAGACATATTCAAGCAACAAGTGAAATTCTCCAAAATGACATCACTTGAATGTCTGTGAAGAGTTCTCAGAAGAGGTTGGGAGAAGCCAAGCTTAAATCTCATACATCGTCCATTCTACTTGGTAAGATGTGACTGGGAAAGATGAGACGACGATGCAGCGGATTTGGCAAAGTGATTCGACTTGGCAGAACTTTGCAACGCTGCACTTGGGCTTTCAGAGTTAGAAACACTTACCAAGTCCTTAGATAAATCATAAACATCGTTCAAGTCAATGGTCCAGTCAGAAGGGAATCGGTGTCGGGTTCCCTGCCTCAGGGGCCGTGTTTGGTTGAGGCGGGTGGGCAATAAATCGATGCGATATGCTGCTAAGCCGCCGATATATACTGCAGAGTCAGACCTCCAACTTCTGGATCAGGCTGGTCACGGTGTTTGAGAGTGGCCGGTTCGATTCACCGGCTCCCTCTGTGCCCTGCACACACCAAAAGTAGTCAGAAAGCCAGCCATCTAGGGAGTCCAACCCTCCAGTATCGTGCCATCTCTGTTAAAGGGAGACAAATGCGCAGCCAATCATGGCTGGAGGGCTCTTCACAACGGTCAACGCTCTTTTCCCCGCCGCTTGTTGGAGTGTGAGAACCTTGTCTCAGTGTTGACGACCCTTGGTAATTGTGTCGCCTCCAGCTTCTTCTCTCCCTTTGGCTCCGACCAATGAAGACAATGCTGTCATGAGGTTTCGGAATGCCGTCTCACGCACAAGGGACCAGACTGATACTGTCTAGCGAGGGACTAGTGACCACTCCCTCCACCAGCTGGATGTGGCCCCCTTCTTGAAGCTGCGTAGGCAGTTCATCCCTACCAACATAGATCCCGCGAGGGGGACATCAAGTGGTCACATATCATTGATCAGGACCCCCCCGCGGGTAGGCTTGTTTGGATTTCACGGATATCTTTCGTTCCGCTGTTGCAGCGAGCACTCGGAGTTCATTTGGTTCTCTCGCTGGTGCCGTTGACGGCTCTTCATACATCGACATTGAGACTTTACATTCCGCCTGTGCAAGTTTGTAATACAGGTCTCAGCGTATTGGGCCAAGGTCAAGATGACTTCACCATTCTGGCATACACAGCACGGCGTGAACTCGCCAATATGGCAGACTGAACCGACACGTCGTCGTGATTCCCCGACGGGCAGCTCTCAGCTTCGACGTACAAACACGCCCAGTCGTCGTCGCACAAGAGTTGAGACTCAGTGCCGCCCTCCAGTTTCCAGTAGCAGCAGGCCTTCCTTAAACTCAAGATACACCTCGCCAGAAGATGAGTCGAAAACAACTGCATCTTCTACGCTGCCTTCGCGCTCTAGTAGATCGCCAAGGCGCGTCTACAGCTCATCATCGCAGCCCTATGACCAGTGCCGCAGTCCCGTCATGACCCTCAGGATATTGTCGCCAAGCCGACATAGCGCACGGGACGAAAAGAGCCAGAGTGACCATAAGGCTCGCCCTGTCCAGCAATCCCCGGAATCGCCTCCTGGTGCGTCTCATGCTACGGGACGAATGGCGGATAACAAGTTGACGTCCCCCAAACGGCGACGGCATCAGCTGAGAGATTCTATCCTGTTGAAACGCAGGGACTCACCCGACTCCTCAAAGCCGCCTGTTGCGGCATCAGCAAACACATCCAAAAGACTCCCGGAAACGCCTGAAGAGCGGACTGAGTCCTCTTGGCTTGGAAGCTTGCCTGCCGCACCAGTAACTCCTTCAAAGTCGAGGTTGAGGGGTTTCCCCAAGTAGGTTCTCCAGAGAAAAAAAGAAGCACGATTGGATTCCATGACATGCTAATGCTCTGCAAGGCTTGCAGCTTTCTCTCGAGACCCAAAGCCAGCTAGGTTACCCGATAATGAAACTGGACCGTCGCCTCACAGAGATGAACCAGAAGCCGTCAAGAAGCAAGCTGGCTCCTCGGTCGATATTCCTCACAATCCTAGCGGCCACCTGGTTTCTCGGATTTGCACTATGATCCTGGATGAAGACGTCAGTATCGGTGGCGCCAACGTCGACAGATCGTCCCTTGCGCTCAAGGTCTGGGACGCGGTAGTGAAGTGCTTAGACGACATATCCCAGGCTCCTCCTCACGAACCTGCCGGCAAACCTCAATTTGATAGTCCGACTACTGGTAAGGATTCTCCTGCGTCGACGTTTACAGCTTCGAGTACTAGGAATCCATGGCCATTGGAAGCATGGGGATATAGGCATGGCTATAGGACCGGAAGCGATGGCGAAGGTCGGCGCGCTGGTGAAGTTCGGAAAGAGAAGGGAGGAGAGAAGAAGCCCGAGCTCTTGCCTCTGTCCACACCAGCTGAACAATGGAGTGACGGTAATAGTCATACTCCAGCGCCGCCTCTACCTCTGCCTTGTCCATTTAGGACTCGCAATCCCGCACGTTTTAATGTGAACGACAGTTGGCATTGTGCTCAAGGACAATGGACTAATCTCTCCGAACTGCAGTAAGACCTTGTCCCTCCATCAAACGTATTCCAAGCTCATCCGTCACAGGCAACATATTGCAAAACACCACCGACATCCTAACGAGGCTTACTTGTTCCAGTGCCCCCGTTGCGACAAAGGGTTCTCGGAGCCTAAAGCCTTTAAAGACCACCTCATGCTTCCAAGAGAGCAAATGTGCGATCCTAGGTCTGAGGGTACTGCTACCAGCAATGACCCAGAAGACGGCATTACCGCTGGAAGGGCGAGAGCCCTTTCTGAAGGTGTAGAGCGTGGCAAGATTGGCTCATGGGACGACTTATGGAAATGCCTTTTTCCTACAGACAGGATGGTCCCTCGGCCAGGTATGCCACACGTTAAGTCCGGTAAAATCTTGACATACTAACAGTCCTCCAGCTATTCTACCCGCCATTGAACTGGCTCAGGTTGAGCAAGAGGTGTTTGCCAGCAACAACATGTCAAGCCTCAAGGCTAATCTTGAGGAGCGCCTGAAGTTTCTTGCCTCGCAATCCTCCAACAGTGAAATGTTCATGGCACAGATGCCAGTAATCACCGGGTCTATATCACTCGTCGTCGAGGCTCACCTTAGGAGCGTCTTCATCAATTGCCGTAGTCAAACCCCTGCGCGCATACCCCGATTGCGGTCGACTTCCCTTCAGGCGCAACGTCCGGTGAATAATCGGCCGAGAAACCTCTCATGGGCGTCCTCGGCGGGAATTAGGAACATTGAGAAATCAGACCATCCTCGGCCAGCTACCGCTGCGAACGACACCAAAGCTCTCGCACGAGGAACACCTCGCCCTTACATGCACAACAGACGAAGCCACAGCGATGGCGCGTCACAAGTGAAGGCCCTCCGAGCTGCGACCCTGCCTGCTCCCTCGACGCTCACCATCCCCTTCCCCCGAATATCAGTCTTGACCGAGCAATCAGACTTGCCTCCCTCCAATACCTCAGAGAAAAGCAACACATCACCAAAGCATCACTCATCGGATGCAGAGTATTCTTCTGGAGTTGAATCCAACCCGACTAGCGCAGGCGGGCTTCGTGACTCGAATAATACCGATATCCGTTGCAGCAAATGCAACATAAGGCCGAGCCTGCGCCCGGATGAAGAGGTCTTTCACGGACCCCACACCAGTGTGTCCTCGACCCAAGGGACACAAGGCTCGAGCTGCAGGTTTTCAGACTCGGGGATTGGTATCCTGTGCCGCAATTGCAGGATGCTCGAGGAGTTGATCAACTCGTACTCGCGGACTTCATCACAGTCGGCGAAATCTGACCAACGGGCCCCTGGGGGCCCGGGACCGCCAGAGGTAAGAGCAAAGAAGATGGTACTACCCTTCTCACCGAATCCTTCGGACTCTCTGGACGAGAATGATGAGGAGACGCTGTTTGATTTGATTCTCGACTCTGCGACGTATGTTGACGATGATGGGCAGCGGAAGACGCACCCTGTTTCGCCCATGTTTCCTCCGCCAAGGCAAGATTTACCGCAGTCCCCTCTTGGGAAGTATGATCGGTATAGAAATGATGGGAATTTCTTTTAATCTGGTTGGAGTTTACGGTGTTTTTTTAAGTGAGCGTTATGTTACCTCGGTTTTAGCTGAGATGGACGCTTTTTGTTTATTCATTTGTGACGTTCTGGTTTCCATTACGTGAAGATTGGATAAAAGAGAGTTATTTTAGGTGAGATTGAAGATGCGAATCTGTCTACATGTCGTTAGAAATGAAATCAATCTCTTTCTGAAAAAAAAATCCGATGAACTAACACTACGACATAATAAGCTGTAGCCCAGCACCGTTGTGAGTCTAGGTTATACTTTTACTGAACCCACGCAATGATCCCTCAGAGACCGTATACCGCCCGAGCCAATGTGATCGATCATCCGATGGCATCCGCATCGAGAAATGCAAAAGTTGTCTGACTGTTGCTAGGCCAAGATGCATGCGTTCCGGGCTCCCCCCCGCCTTTGAGATCTGCACCCGTCAGCCCCGCATTAATAGTTTACTGGTGCCCCTGAAGCCGCTATAGTCGAATGCAAGGATTGTCATCGTTTGATGATGTCTACCCAAGTCGCAAGCCGATATGGACATGGAGAACCCAATTCGAGCCAGAAATTCGATATACAACTCCAGGATTTCATTCTAAAACGGACCGTTGTGTTACATCTTTACTACGCTCGACTGGATACATCACAGCCCCCAGAATCGAACACTAACAGAATCACCTCAATGTACCTAGTACCCGCCTGAGCCAGCCTGTGACGTCGAGCTACAAGGGTACGGTGGATCGCCGCGAACGCCCTACCGGGAATGTACGTCATTCTTACAGCGTCTAGCTCCAGAAGCTTGTAGCTGTGCTCGGACGAGCAACATGCCAGTAGAAGAGAGCTCCCGTTAGCTATCCGAAAACCCCGTGGTTCTCCCTCCCTCTAATAAATACATGTGAACACCCCCTCCTTCATGAATTTTCATTCCTTGAACTTGCACGACCTTTGAAAATCTTGCACATTGAGCCCTCGGCGGAAGCACAATGGCTGAACAAGACCGCTACAACTCCCATCTGGGGGTAAACACAGACAAGATACCTACACCAAGCATGCCCGCGACTTCGGGCGCGGAACAGGACCGCTTCGGTGGCTGGTTCTCCGGAAAGGGAGACAAGGCCACTGAAGCCGTCAAGGAGAACTTCCCTCGCGGCCCTGGAGCCGAGCAGGAGCGTTACGGCGGCTGGTTCGGCGGCGACAAGCTGCCCTCTTCCGAGAAGCTCGGCGAGCGGTTGCCTCACGTCTCCGGTGCCGAACAGGACCGTTACAACTCCCACTTTGGCGGCGACAGGCTCCCTTCTCTTGATAAGTTGGGCGATCGGTTACCGCATGTCTCTGGAGCAGAGCAAGACAGGTACAACCGCTGGTTTGGCGGCGACAAGGGCCCGAGCGGTTCTTCCCTCAAGGACCACCTCCCTAACACTTCTGGTGCCGAGCAGGACCGGTATGGAAGATGGTTGGGAGGAAAGGGTGAGGAGGTTGCGGAGAAGATAGAACACAGCCTTCCCAAGACCTCTGGTGCTGAACAGGACCGATATGGCGGGTGGTTTGGAGGTGACAAGTTGCCTTCTGCCTCTCAGGTGAAGAACGCCGTCCCCAATGCATCCGGAGCTGAGCAAGATCGATACGGAGCTCGGTTCGGAGGCAAGGCTCCCTCTGCTGAGGGCATCTCCAGGAGGTTGCCGAGGACGTCGGGTGCCGAGCAGGACCGCTATGGCACTCACTTCAGCCTGCACCCAACCAACCCCGTCAACAGTGCTACCACCACAACGGTCGGTCTGTTGCAGAACGCCCTCCTTCCCTCCTTTACACTCCATGCTGGTCTCAGCACCGTCGCCTACGCCGTCGGCCGCTACACCAACCGAGCCGAGGCCAAGGATTGGCTTTGGCCTTCTGGCCAAGTTGCCAACGCCTGGTGGACGGCCATTGGAACTCGTGTAGTTTACGATGGTCTTTCCGTCCCTTCTGCATGGAACTCTCTCGGATACTCTCAGAAGCTTCTTCTCACTGGTGTCAGCGCCTGGGGCCTGCGTCTCTTCTACCGCGTTGCGACCCGCAGCGTCAAGCGCGGCAAGGATGACGCTCGGTACGTGGAGGCCAAGAAGAAGGACCCCAAGTTCTGGGACAAGGCCTTCTTCACCATGTTCCTGCCCGAGGCTGCCTTCCAGGCCATCATTGCCCTGCCGTTCACGCTCCCCTTCCAGGCTCCTCTGACCAGCGCGCGCGCATCGCCGTTCACCGAGTACCCCGAGATCTTCCACAGCTTGGCTGTCTTCCTCTTCAGCTCCGGCCTCGCCCTCGAGACTTTGGCTGACAGCCAGCTCGAGTCCCACACTCGCAAGAGCAAGGACCTGAACCGCGAGGGAGTCTGGAGCATCGTCCGCCACCCCAAGTAAGTACCCCAACTCACAGTGTCACGAAAGGCGTCATCACTAACAAAAGCCAAGCTACCTGGGAGACGCCCTCTGCCACCTCTCTTTCCCCGTCCTCCTTTACAGCGCCGGTATGCTGCACCCCCTCGCCGCCCTTGGTCCCATCTTCAACTACATCCTCCTCCGTTACCTCGGTGGCGACAAGGAGAACGAGGCTAGCCAGGAAGAGCGTTACGCCAAGGAGAACCCGCTCAAGTTCCAGCAGTTGCAGGAGTACAAGCGTACCAAGAACAGCTTCTGGCCGAGCTTCAGCGAGTACAACAACAAGTGGGTGTGGACTGTTGCCGCGGCTGGTGCCGTTGGCGTTGCCGTCGAGAGGGGTTTGCTCGCGTTGTTCAACAACTAAGACGAGAGTAATGTTCGACGGTTTATGATTGTGTGATTAGTGTAATGAAATCTTATTTGTAGCAAGCTTAAACCAATTTGAATAAATTGATGTAATGAACTCGGTTCGTATACTATCTTCACTGGGATGCACGACTTGTCCTACTAGAAAAGTAGCCTTTGATTGCTGGAATAGATCGACTGACCCCATGGTGGGTATATTAAGCTCAGAGAGGCCAATGGCTGATACATTCTTATCCTCGGTATAAAGGGGCTTTGTTTGGCACCAGTGCAAATCATTGAGTTTCTTGTTTGAGAAACCCAGATGACAATTGTTAGACCGTAGCTGCTTGGTTAAGTTTTCCCCCTTTTCAGCGAGGAGTGAATCATCGATGACATCGCAGGGTGGGCCGTATACGGCACTCTTCCGGATAAACAAGGACCGATCAAGTTCCTCATCGGTAGGAGCATCAATCAAGCCGAGGAAGAGCCATTCTTTGAGCCAGTGCGGCAACCTGGCGAACTGGTTTGCCGATAAGCAAGCAGGACGTGGCCGGTTCTAACCCCCCATCCAGGTTTCGAGGAGGTCATAATCGCCGTCATCAAGCTTGAAGCCTGGGAGGTGTGGAACAGTGATGGATGGCACACCCAAACAAGCCGGGTAAGGTAAATAATCCATTTAGGTCCCGGGGCATCGAAAATGCCTGTAAGGTGTATTGTCAGAGAAAGAGACTAACGAACCCTGGCGTATGAGCGTTAAGGAAGGGTAGCAAAGAGGAAGAAATGCCGCATTTCTGCAGTGGGAATAGTAACTTACCACAATGCAATGACTGCGCCTTCTTATGCCTGCGTTCCAATCAAGCATCAGCCAAAGTCGGAGTTGCCCAGTTTTAACATCCAATAGGAAAAAGCAGAATTAATTGGACGTTTTTGGCAGTTTGCATATGTATTTAGAGATTCACCAAAAGTATTTGTTTGGTTTCTGTTCGAGGATCAAGTAATACAAGCAATGATCCCATGAAAAACTTGTTGGATGAAACGAGTCTTCCTTGACCTTTTGACCTTGTCTATTACCAAAAGAAATATCATCTCTTTTTCAGAACAACAGAAGGGCGTTGACGGGTGTCACGCAGGATTGTAAACTCAGGCAAAATGGCTGCAAATATCTGTGACCTGAGATGAGAAACAACTCGAAGTAAAAGAGAATCTACATGTATATTGATTAAAGGCGAAAGTCGGTATCATGTATGCTATGTAAAATCTAAGATGTAGTCTTAAGAGTAACCCATCCAGCATTTATGAAGCTAAGGTAGTCAACACTTATGTATGCTACTCGGAACCTCGCGCTTTTCAAGGAGTTAGGGGCCGTCTTTTCCTAGCACTCCTACTCAAGCCTAGAATTCTCAGCCACCAGAAGATTGGGATTGTCGCAACCCCTCCTTCCTAGGAAGTTCAAATGTAGGGCCTTGTGCAGTGCCGTACGCTTGCATTGGTAACATGAACTCTTCGATGCGCAGCCCGCTCTCCCGCTCCGTTAAACCGCCGTATATGGAACACGGAGGTTTTCAGGATTTGAAACACTAGGTGTGTGTTCTATCTAAATGCTACTTTGACTTCAGAAACTCTCTCTAGCGACTCAACATGATGACCTTCGCACTTGGTTGAAATACGACCGGACTCGTGTGAGCCTGCCGAACCGAGCTTATAGAGAGGGGCAAACTAGCACATGCGCTTACGATCTTCCCAATTCACGTAACTAGAAAATCTATCTGCTTACTACCCTGTCAAGGAACTTAGTATGCAAGCAGTTACGAGTTCCCAAAAAGGCAAAAGTTACGGTTCGCCGGACCGGTGGATACTGCGACATATTGGAGAGATTGTCAATAAATTTGTCAGTTTGGGTATGCCTTTCGACACTCCAAATCTGTTTTGGGTATTCTTTCCTAACAGCGCCTCAGTGTTTCTAGGCGTGCCGCACAAGTCGATAGGCCGGGGAATTCGCTTGTGGAAGCTCGCGCTACTATTGGTGCGAGAGGTGCAAGTCGGAGACGCTGCCCGGGCTTAGGAATGAAGGCATAATCCTTCGAAAGGTATTCATTGGCTATGGTTCAACAGCGCACAAGAAATGGTGCGGCTGCCTATGTTTGAATTGAGGGATCAACAGTAGATGTATAAAACTGTTTGCATTTAGCCTATTTGTCTACTGTGTAATTACTACATGAATAAGAAATGTCTCAAGCACCACATTTGTAGGATTCAACTACTGTTGATGTGGGACCACAGCGGGATTGAAAGGCATCTGAGCTATGCCGTAAACAATTCATCGGAACCCATACTCCATCTCAGAAATGGAACCAGGCATCCAGAGATGAATCGTATCTTTAGAAGGGTGAGAGGCTTGACACCAGAACCATTAACTATAAATACTGCCCGATATCTCGAAGTACTTGGATCAGAAAGCCGGAAACCAGTCACTCAAGTTCCTCAAATCGAGCCCCAGCACCGATATACACCAAGTTTTCAGGACATTTCTTGCCACTATGTTTGTCAAATCCATCAGTATCACGGCCATTGCCGCCGCCATCTTCGCCGCTCAAGCCGCCCAAGCCACGGCCGGAATTTGGGATTCCCTCAGCTGCACTGAAGTCTCCTTTGAGACCCTGTTTGCCGTCAAGAACGCAGACAACACCGTTGTTGGCCCCAAGGGTCTCTACGCCACTACTACCGACAACCAATGCGTCTATGTGGATGGCTCTGCTGGAGGCGCCTTTGCGACTGATCACCCTTCTGACCATGCGTGGTTCATTAGCGTCGCTAAGGCCTCTGGTGCCGGTGGTATCGACTTTCTGTCTCCCAATCTCCCTCGAGGGCTGGAGACGCGCCAAGCCAGCTGCGGCCAGATTTGTGATTCCAGTCTGGGATCGCCAAGGACTTGCAACTCCTGCAGCTGCCGATACGATTACACCACTTGCGGCACCGGTGGCTTCTGCACTTCCTTCTACAGATGCAAGTAAAATGGCCAGCCAACCAACTCATATTTGAAAGTATGGGAATTGTCTATTGTGACGATAGTGTCAACGCTCACCGAACACACCGAGCTAGGTGTGTTTTACGTAAGCCATATGAAACGCACACCGTAGGCGTATAAGTACGCGCTTCCTCACGACTCATACCCTCTTTCTAAATCAAGTCACTCTTTTACACCTTTTCTAGCCTGATTGCTATGTGCCTAGTTCGTCACATCTATAAAGTCATGAGATCTATCCAGGCTGCCGTCGGCATAATTTGTGCTGATTCTATCATTAGCCATAGCTTTCCAGTCTTGATATAAATTTACAGTCGTTACTTTGCTTATACAGTGTTTCAGCTTCATTCCTAAGCCAGGGCTATTGAATGGGCCTTTTTGCGATTATATGTGGCATTGCAAACCGGGAAACAAGGTTGGATGTATGGCAGCAAGTAAAAAACCATTCGAAGCATAGCCGGACTTGATACCAATAAGGCTTTATTAAATGCTCCGAAATTGAAACAGAAAGGAAACTTTAAGCATGACAAAGTTGATGTCCAAGAAAAGACACCGAAATAGGTTGGCTGGCTTCGGAAACCAGTTCCCTCCCCCACAAATGTTCAGTAATCGCCGTCATAGCTGCTGGTTTATTCTGTTGTAAAAAATTGGATATCCTTATCTAAACTTTTGAGCTAGGCGCATTCGTGATTTACCCGTTGCTTTCCTCCATGCTGAAGCCGGCATGTCACCGGGTCAAGTGATTTATGTCGAACTTGCTAATTTGTTTTGCCAAGAAAGAAAGTAATCTTTGCGACTGGGGCAAACTTAAGCACCAGCTTATGGCCTCCAAAGCTAGCTCTCGGGGCAATCCAGACTTTAATCACAGAAGAAAAACATACAACCGAGAATGAGCAAGCATAGTTATCTCAAGTACCCGGTAGCTCCTCTTGAAAGAAGTCTACTCGATAAATCTCCGATAAAGCAACATACCTGGGAAGCAAGGTAGTGCCTAACTTGGCCTGAATCGTCACTATGTTATTGAACATATTGACTTTATGCAACAATGAGATAAAGGAGTCACAGGTCATCTTAGCGAGTCAGGTATCTCTTTTGCGGAGAGAGTAATTGGCTAGACGGGCAACAAGTCGCTAGAAGCTTTCGGACAATCAAAGGTAGATATATTAAAGCTAACTTAAACAGCGGCTACTAATGTGCTCACCACCGAAGAACCTGAGAAAGTTAAGGTATGACTAGCAAGTCTCTAGCTGAAAGCACGCATCCCTAAAATTACGACAAGTGATAGTTTTCGTTGTGGGCAAAAGAGAGCCGTCGGATAATAGAGACGAAAGGAGTTCTTACGGCGCGCGATCCGATCATAATTTGTGGCAGCTTGATATGAATAGCATTTTCTTTTTTTTACAATCAAGAAAGAACAGCGAAGTTACATAGAGTGCTTGATTAGGTTTAATTTCCCATTGAAACTATATGTCTTTACAATGACTGGCAAGTAAGGGCATGGCATACTACTTTGCTGTGCTGACAGTTGAGTCCGACAACGCCGACACTAACCTTTCTGTCTCGATTTAACCGTAACTTTACAAAAGTAAGTAATGCCATTCTAGCCGGTGTAAAACCTAAGGGGGACTAGCCAATGATTAGCTATTAACATGCTATGTTCGTGTTGGTGCCGATCTGCCTACAAGTATAAAAACAGGAGACGTGCTGTCTACTGACCACCTTCCGGGACTGTTTCCTGTTTACGAATGGTCTGAACAGAAAGACGCTTGATCCAACCAATTGAACGAAGAAATATTTGTCACTTCATTGTTCCAGAATGGCACGGCTTTTTGCGGTGGTTGTTTTCTTTTTCACTGTCGGATCCCTCGCAAATCCCATTGCAGGTCCTGATTTTGGCGGCCTTAGTCTACCTGACCCGAACATTCTCCTGGACAAGAGAAGTTGCACCAACCCACCAAAGGACTGCACATGCTGCACCCAATGTGCATATTGTACCGATCATCTAAAGCTGTGTGCTTGCAAAATCGGTTGCGTAAGTCTCTCAGACGATCTCTCACAGTGTGGGCCTGAAGCTTTCAGACTAATTCGTTGGCCGTTCTATCAGGGTTACACTTGTTAAGCTACTGCAGGGCTCTCCAGGGCGTGGCGGATACACAGAAACTTACGATGACTTGGAAAAAATGATGAAAAAACAAAGGCACAATACTCTGCCATTCTTGATTGGGAAGTTGTCTGGGTTAGAATCTAGATGCTAGCTCGTGAATTAAAGTAAGAGTGACACAAGCAACATAGGCGGTGCCTACATAGCTTCCTTGAACAGACAGGAATGCGTTGCGTAGTTGAATGTCAAAAAATACAGACCCTGAGCAAGCATACCACCTTTACCCGAACTAAGCAGCGACATCTGGCACCCTAAAGTAGGCCCGTTCTCAGCAGTCCTAATCAGAATGCCCGGCACATATTCCATTGTTGCACCGCATCGTGGAAGCGACATAGCCTCAGTTTGAAGCATTGTCTAAGAGGGAATCGTAACATGCCAGAACGATATCAAGCAGAACAGGAAAATCCGGTTCAGAAAGGTCTTGTACTCGAGTCTTCCAGATGGCCAAGTGCCCACGCGGCGTTTTCGGAGACTTGTATTGGTTGAGCAAGATTTGACTGTGTAGTCTTTTCATGAGGCGCAATGTTTGGTGTTGACAAATCGAACTCGGCATACTAAAAAAAACTGCCGCCTTGCGAACCAATGATAGGTCTCGTCCACTAGATCAACACTAAACAAGCGTCTGCTGGCTGTTGATTAAAGTAGGCAGCGGGAACGATGCGAACTCTAATTCCACTAGTCTGAAATAATCTAGATCAGTTCTTCGTGCGCCTCCAAGATCTATTGTTGAAGGATATCTACGATTCGATCTTTGTACGCCACATTTGGAGCTTAGATCCGTTCTTTGTGTGTGTTTTTGCCCAGCCACTCCGCCACGACCTTTGCGTTATTCCTTGGGCACTTTCTACAAGAAGCGGACTTCCCGATAAGATGACGTTAGTTTTCAAGCCTATTTCTTAGAATCGTAGTTCCTAGCCTAAGTTTTCGGTGACACTCGTTGGTTTGTCCTTCCGGGCCTTACGCCGCTTAATGTGAACCTCAATCTTGTTGCCGCAAGAAGCTAGATCATATGAGCAACTTGAACAAGGCATTCATGTATTCATCAAGGCATTTCCAACGTATATATTCCTGTTGTTATCCTGTCAGTCAATCTCATCCTGCCAAGTCAATCAATCAACCAGTCTCTCATCACTCATAGATTAAAAAAACCAACAACTCAACGAAATATCATCCAAGTCATCATTCTTTAATCTTTAAGTCAATTGAAACTATTCAAGATGAAGGTACTTCTTCTTTCAGTCTGTTGACGCGAATAGCATCTGACATAGCAAGCAGTTCTCAGCTACCATCTTCCTTCTCTCCACTGTCGCCTCCGCCCTTACCATTCAGCAACGCGCCCCCTCTGATGCCGGTGCAATTGTCTCACCTTTCCTGGCTCCCGCCTGTCAACTGACCGACATCGCCACCGAGGCTCTCTGCAAATTTCCAAACATTGCCCTCACACCCGGCCAATGCCAGGATGTTCAGCACCCATGCGCCATCCACCCACCTACTTCATTCGTCGCCCAGCTCACCCCGAACAACTCCAAGAAATGCTATGTTGCGGTGTTCCCCAACTTTGGCTGCACGGGCGACGAGGTTGATACTGGAGCATTGGAGGCTTCCAGGCAGAGCAAATGCATCGAAGCCCCTTACTTTGGGAAGCTTCTCTCCGGCGGTCTCCTTTCCAGCAGCATATTGCCGTTTGGCTTCAAGAGTGCCAAGCTAGTTTGTGCTTAGGGCGATGATCTGTTGTTTTTGGCCGAGCTACTTGTAGTTGCAAGTTTTGCTGTATTCTATTTCAAATGCAAGTTATAAATTACAAAGTTGGTAGACTGAATTCTACTCATTGGATTGTTTCAAACAAATCTACCATGCAATACAGATGTCCGCTCTGATCTCAGCTGGCCAATGAATTAGCAATTTAATAATTTTGTAGTTCTAATGATAAGTAATAGAGTCAGCTCATCATCAGTGCCTAACTTCAGCAGTAGAATTTTAAAAACTAGTCAGTCGTCAAACCTGGAAGAATATCCACAGCCAAAGCGAGACAGAAACAAACCTCGACATCATGTACTTCTTGCTGGTTGATCCGTTCCACAATGTAAAGCGAAATGGCTGCCGCGGATGTGCTTTATGGCCATGAGATAATTTAATTTCAATGTATTGATCGGTTCTTGCATTCTTAGGAAAGGTAAGGGCGGCGACTGAGCCACAGTGACAGTCCGTTGTGGAGTGCAGATACTCCGATCTCTTACGCCGCCATCTCGATTCGGCACGGCAATGGATGGGTTAGCTGTCACCGGCTACGATTTTCTTATTCCCGCCGTCACTCTGAGGAGCACATCTACCTACGCGCACTACTGAGGAGACTAATACCTACCAGGTTAGTGATAAACTAAGACAGGTACCTTCCACTAGCATCACAAAGCGCTAGTGCACTGCCAACGAAAGGCAAGCAAGATTATCCTTTCTACATAGTCCTGGAACTACAGGCCCGCTAAGCCGGCTAAGTCGTCCTGTTACCTGATTTCCCCTCGGGCCGACCTGACTACCCAGAAAGTCCTTATGAGAGGAGTTGTTCATCAGCAAGTCCCGACTTTATTCATACCTCAGGACTGTGGAGCTGGAGAACGGACGATGCAGCTGATGTACAACGTGAGGCTGTTACATCTAATGGTGTAGGCTTGTTGTAGAGAAACGCTATTTTCTGAAAAGGATATTTGCTTATCATAGCCCTGGCTGTATGAAGGCTGACATGACATCAGATGAAAATCGAGAGGAGCAACCAAATTGCACGACGAATGCATCAGGTAAAATTAGTTTGCCAAGAATATGCAAAGATGAAGCCTCTTTCTTCCTATTCAACGCCTGCAGCATTCATTACAGAAGCGAGTGCTCCAGGGTAATACTCATGAGCAACCTATTAAGAGTGTTGCGGGAATAGATACTGTGAAAGAAAAGTCATGCTATATAATTGGTTACTGTAAGAACCCTAAGCTTGGTAGAAGACGGGTATTTCACAGCATTGCGGGAAAATTGTCCTGGCCTAAAAAATGCCCCTTCGTCCTTGAGAAACAACCCCAAACCGCTTCATACAATTCCAAGCGTTTCCTGGCTCCGTCCACAAAACAGGCTTATGTGCTTATAACTGGTGGCATCTACAGAAACCAGCCTGTCAGTAGCCAATTTGAACGGACTTTAAACATCAACTTTTCAAACTGACACGAAGTTTGAAAGCTCGAATCATAGGCAATTATCGACCGGATAATCATTTATATGGCCCGTGACGAGTTTTCACCACTTCCTTTAATATCAGCCCGAGTTCCGTGGCGCCTGAGATATCACGGGGTGTTGTGAATGGCGAACATAGCTAGTTAATAGGGTCTTTATGCTGGTATCCATCTGCTCCCTGGGGACACCATACTCCTCCTTTATAGTCGTTGAATTTGAAGCCACAACAAGCTCCGTAACCACCGTAGGGGGGTTCCTGGACAAGCAAAACAGGTAGATGGTTAGCCAATGAGTGGTAAGGGAGGGAAGTGGAGATGGTGAACCAACGTACACAATTTCCGTGGTCGCATGGGTGTCCATATATATAGGTAGGTCCATCGCGGACATGACCCATGTAACAGATACCATTCATGCATATCTAGAAATCGTTAACTACGCATGAGTCAACTTGCTCCCAATCTTTGGTAATCTCAGCTTCATATATGTGAGAGATCCTGGACTGGCAGGCTAAGTTGGGGCGAGGGCTTTGAGCACTTAGTTGGACATACCCCTCTATTCTCTTCATAAAATGTGTGGGGGCAGTTTTTTTGTGTGCTTGTGGGACTTGGCCTCGGAGGCGTCACATGGGCGAAGGCGGGGATAGCTGAGGCAAAAATGAAGGATAGGACCACAAGCCTCATGGTCGACACTGACAAATTTCAACGCTCGGTTTGAGTTGGCGACTGAGAAACCATTTATGTTTTCCTGTCATTTAATTTGGCTGATGGACTGGAAGGATGTCTGTGTCTTTTATGGATTGTGGATTTCCAAGAGGTTCTCAAGGTACCCTTCAGAGTTTTGAGAGCTTTTGGAGGAGACACTCCATGACTACAAATTGCAAGATAGTATCAAAAGGCAGACAAATAATGCGCAGTACCAAATTAAAACTGAAAAAGCACAAAAATATGCACAAAAATATGGGGTCTGAGAACTAACCAAAATGATTTGGAGGCTGCCTTTCATCATCATGCATATTGAACTAGCAAGCACAGCTATGAAATTGCCACCATGTGACACTTCTAACTTTCCTATTTCTGCGAATCTAGATACGCCACATTGAAAACTTGAAAACCATCTTTAAACCTTTAGTGACCTGTCTTCTTTTCAACTTTCTTGTTTATCGGAAATGAAGGCCCTCCGGGACCACCCCAGTTCCCGTTAGGACACCTTGCGTGGATACCTCGCGTTATCCTTCCGCAGCAAGCTCCGTCACCGCCTCCGGGGCCGGTCTGTGAAGTACAAGATAGATTAGCATGGCCCTCATGTCCACCTTCCCGACCACCTCCTTTTATGCCCCGATGAACCTGGTGATCTTGGATCAGGATGGGATAATTAGTGAATATGCAACTTACACAAGAGCCGAGTACGCATGGATAGTTTGCAGTGACTCCCAATACGCCTTTCATTCTACACGACGATCCGTTGCAAACCTTTGTTGCCCCAGGCAAGTTAGTCAGTCTTATGAGCTCAATATATAGACATCCACGTCGAATAAAGAAAATGCGGTTTATCACATACGCCTGTTCTCGTAATGAACTTAGGGCATTTTTGTTCTTGTCTCTTGAAAATTTGTTCTGCGTGCTCGGGCGGCGATACGTCCGTCATTGGGGCGGCCTTGGCGACTGAGAGGACTGACACAGTCGCAAGAAAAACGGCCTTGAATTGCATACTGGGCTGGAATTCAACTTGCGCTAGTTGGCTGATTTTCTTTCCACACAATGTAAAATACAATTTTGGAAATTATTTTCTCTGACAGGCTGCGTTTCTATTCGGTCTGCCAATATATATATGCCCTTTCATTATCCACATGCTAAATTGATCAACGTCCTACAAGGTTTATACCTTGACGACCAGGACCGGCCGAGCCGTTTTTAACTTGGCGCAAATTCTTACCTCCATGTCCACCAGGCTCACCAAGGTCTTTCAGTCATTGCATGATGGACCGGTTGTTGCGGTGTTGAAAGATACTCGTCATTTCGGTCCGTTTCCGACTCCGCGAAAAATAACATACCTGGGCAATCCATTTTTAGGAAGCCTCGACGAAGGTATGCACCAACAAGGTAATTGAAGTTTATTGCCTTCTTTCAATATATCGCATAACTCTCGCATACTTCAGAATTTCCTTTCTATCTAGCACATCTATCTAGCACATTTTCTTTTCCAATGCGTCTCACTTATCATGACGTGGGCGGAACCCTGATAACTTACAGCCATACCAGGACCCCATGGATTAGTAAGTATACCACAAGCTGGGCTAAAACGCTGCAGTTTTATCTGAAATTTTGACTCGGAAACGAAGAGACGAATTAAAGGTTTTTCATCACAGGAAGAAGTTAGAACTCGTGTACATGTTCTCTGACAGTTCCCATTGCTACTTTACTTCAAAAATTGGAACTATCATGCTGGAGATGATTGGCGGTAAGTTTCTGCTCTTTGAATAATAGATGAAACTATGAACAAAGCTACAGACAGTATTATTGGCCTGTGCTGGCTTAGAGGGAACAATGGAGAGGTCGATGTGTATTTCTCCAACCATGCGTCAACCTTTATTTCCCTTTTGACTGGGAAGACAGGCAGAGCCGTGACTCGATAGACTTGGCTGATCGCTTAGGCCATTTATTTTAGTGGCTCTTATCTCGTGCGTCCACCTATCACCTTCAACCGGTTCGCGTTGTTCGCCACAAAGCTCACCAATCTCTACGTCCCCAGACTTGCAACATCAATGTAAAAATTAACAACTTGAAACCATGTTGATTTGCGGAGAGTCGGTAACCATAAAGGTAGGACTGGAGGCTTGAGTGCAAGGGAGACAATGGCCCATCGGCCAGCACTTGGGGAGACGGACGTTATCACGCCTCAGCTGACAATAAGAGACATAGAATCATATTGCTAGTGCCTCACTAGTCAGAGTCCAATTTCAGCAAAGGATCACAGAGTGTGTGCGTCATAACAAGAACGTTGCTTTTGCTTGATTGTATAAAGTTTTCAGCTATTCGACATGGAATACGCGGTTTGTAAACGAGGTAAATTGAGGGGCCGATACGAAAACGCGGAAGCTAAACCTGACTTGGTCAAAGATGTGGCAGTGCGCCCAACTCCAGGGAAAATATCCTACTCTGTTAGCAACTCGGGTCATTGAACTCCATTAAAAACTGAGAAATTAATGTAGCCAATGGGAGATGACCGTGGGAGTGCCCAAGCAATAGAGTAAAGCTCTGCTATAATGAGTCTTGTAACTACTTCACAGTGGAGCTGCGCGTGTTCGTATACTGCTAAAGTGAATTCCGAGGAACTGTACGGCGTTGAAGAAGTTGGACAGTATGCGTAAAGCAGAATGAGATCTGTCGTAATATAAAAAGGAATATAACTAGTTTTTGTTGTTGAATAATCAAGCGCCATCGTACAGCTTCGTTCATTCTACGCATACACACACTCTTTGTTCAAGTTTGCCAAACCTAACATCTTCACAATGAAAACCGTCGCAGCCATAGCGCTGTCGCTGTTTCTTACCCATGCGAGGGCATGCACGGTCGAGCTTCCCCCTGTTATGCACAATGGCAGCGTTGTAATCGAAGAGCTTTCTACTCCTGGTAACCTGGACGGCTTCAAGATGAAAACTTCTGCCAATTCCTCTTCCTACGACTATTGGTGGTTTGACGCGGTTTCCAACTCGAACGATGCAGCTCTCAACATCGTCTTTTACAACGCAGGTGATATCGGCAACCCACAACCATTGGCGGTTGAGATTTCTGGAACCTTCGGCAACGGCACTCGTTTCTTCAAACAAGTTTTGGCCCCGGGCGGCGCTGTTATTAGTAACGGGCCGGAAGGGGTTTCTGGACAGTGGAAAGGCACTGGCGCTAGTTTCCGCGGGACAAACTTGGAGAAACCCAATGTTGAATATGAGGTCATTTTCGATTCGCCAGAGCTTGGCGTACATGGATCTCTTAAACTGAAGTCGGTAAGTAAACACGACATGACCACAGTACAGGGACAACTGCTGAACCTTTGATTCCAGCGCGCACCAGCCCACTACCCCTGCGACCCGAACGTTCCCGGCGTCACCCAACTCCATTTGCCACGGTTCTTCTGGTCGAACGCCGTTCCCGACGCCGATGTCATCGCCGATCTTAACATTAATGGCACGGATGTTAGCTTTGAGGGTATCGGATACCACGACAAGAACTGGGGCGACCAAACAATCCTCAAAAGTCCCAAGTTTTGGGACTGGGGCCACACAAGATTCGGACCGTACTCTGTCGTCTGGTACGATCTACTTGACCGCAACAACACCGAATACCACCGCAGCTATATCGCCAAAGACGGAGAGATTGTCAAGGTCAGCTGCGACGAGGGCTCAGTCATCACACGTCCCTGGGGTTTTAACGCGACGTGGCCGCCAGCTGGAGGTCTCAACTCTGTTGAAGGAGTCGTCTCCAGATTTGAACTTGGCAACGAGACTCTGGTTGTCAATGTCACAAAAGAGCGGATTACATATGATGCTCTTGTCTACACACGAGCTACCGGTTCAGTCGTAGGAGGAATTGAGGGCAGCAACGTCACGTGGGAAGGGAGAGCTTTCTTTGATGAGTTCACGTATGGGCTCATGTTCGGCTAAGATTTGGACAGCTGTCAGTCATGCATTGTACAAACTGTCCATCCTGTTGCCAAGCAGGACTCTTTGTCACATAATTCTAGATTCATCAAGCAGGGAAACCTCATTTTCCTGGTCTGCATGCATCAGCCCAATCAGCTGTTACACCTTACTCTATTGCATAAACCAATGGCCGAGAACGATGAGATTGACGGACGAAAAACTTCCCCGGGAACTTCCCATAGTACCCCCACTCCCTCTGACAACACCTACAAGACGAGGCAAACTATTCGGATACTTATCTAAGACAAAAACCGAAATAGTTACGAGCGATAAAGCTTAGACTACTTTGATCCGGTGTTTCCATCAACGCAAATCTTAGATGGAGTCGAAATGGGTGGCAGTAAGCTCAGCACTGCCAACGCGAGTATGGGTGAATCTCGGAGAGGGGCTTGCCATCATTCCAGGAAATCAAAGAAGCATGTCCTTGTAATGCCAACATCAGATCACAAGACTAGTGATTAACTTTTGACATCGACTTTGAATTACCGCGGATAGGTCACCTATCAAGCATTAAATAGACGCATTCATGGCCTTTAAAGCTCACTCCCCTAAGGAATTTCTTGATTTGTCACTCGAACCACGGCTGTGGGATGGCAGCGCCAATCTGAACCCTAAGCAGGCGAAGTAAGAGCGGCGCCGGTCGGGCGCAGACAAAGTGTGGCCGGAGCGGAGGTGGGGGCTACAGGGGTATGTGAATTGTTTTAAGCTATGAGCTAGGGAAATCTAAATGGATTGGCTCGCAGGTATTGGATGAGCTTATTCGAATAACATGGAGTAGTAGGCTCGTATATTGTCCGAAGCGTACGTAGGCTTTGAAATATTTTTCTCGTTTACGGGAGTTAAATGACCTAATGTCATACCATGGGACGTATATTTAGTAAGATTCTGAGCGAGCAATAGTAATCTAGACTTCCTCCTCGGTGTCGCATTGTGATGAGATTCCAAATGTCATTCTCGGATTCATGGGGAATCGCCACAGATGATGATCCTGACCCCGACTGCACAGCAAATGACAGGCCATCGTACCCTTGGCGAACTAGGAACTCTGGTGGCTACTTTCAACCGACCAGACATAGGATAGTTGGAAAGAAAGCTAAGGACAAAAATGAGTCGGCAGAAGACGGAGCATAACGGGGCGAAGCCTCCAGCAGAGGCAAACTGCGAGAGCAGGGTGAGGCTGCAGGTTGGGCTCCAAGGCGGACCGCGCGCAATGATCGACGGCTTCCCGTTCTTTGTACCATTCCACCGGAGCGACCGGTAGGCAACTACGATGTTTGTCTGTTGTCTAGAAAGTTAGTTCCAACTGTCGATCCGCAAGCAAACACTCAGTCTTCCTGGGCCAGCAATCGGCCGATCGGGACACAGGCGGGCGAGCAAAGCCCCTCCGTTAGGCTGTGCAAAACACCTTGGTAACAATCAACTTAAAGAATACTAGCGCGTGTTTCTGTAAACGTTGACCACGTAGACGTAGGCGCCCTGGAAGGAGGCGTATGGTGGGCTCATGAGCCCAATGTTCTCGCCTCGTTTTTCCTCATCCCCTCCTGATGGGTGCTGGTGCGGCAGTTTTTCTTCTAGAGAAGGTAAGCTAAACACAAGTTTCGTTTCACTTGAGTCGGCGGCAGCTATGCACGTCTGCCCACCGGCATAGTGCCTGAGTCGTGGAGCCGAAGTGGTAGTCGTCACCTCCCACCCCATTTTGGTCGAGGCTCTTGCAGACTAAAAGCTTAATTGCCTCGGAGGAGTCCGCGGGTGGGTAACGAAAAGAGCCTCATCTGAAGTTGCATATGGCATGCCAGCGTTGAAATGAACGACAAGAGTCCGCGCAGAGGGGGCTGATGGCCGAGCGTCCCGCGCCAACGAGCAAACTGCAGGGAACCCTTGAAACTTTCGCTATCGCAATCGGGCTTTCTCTCGCAGCGGGCGGAACGATTTGGTCACCGTCGATGGACACGCGGCCGACTTAAGAGATAGTGCACCATTTCAAGGGGCCAAACTTTGTTTTCCTCACTGCCAGCTAGGCATCATGGCGGAAACATTCGTTGGAGACTCGAAAGACTAATGGGGAAGCATGAGATATGGAGGTTCGGTAGGTAGGTCTAGAACCGATCTCGTGAATTATATAAAGGGTTGAATGCCACCGATTACCACGATCTTTTGAGGCAGATCAACACACCAGCTCCAATCATCTAAATACCATTTCTCTAAAACTCCTCAGCAAAGCTCTGAACAGCTTCTGTCTGACTCAAACCTCCTCATATCGAATCACAAGCCAGCAACTTCTACAATTTTTAAAATGCCCTCATTCAAGACAGTCATTCTCGCCACACTCCTCTCGGCCGTCATTGCGACGCCTCTCCAGGAGCGCGCTCTCGACAACGTGAGCTTTGATATTGCACCTTCAATTGAAAGCAGAGGAGAAGCCTCAACTTCTGGCAACGGAGGAAACGGAGGAAATTGCGACTACAATGAAAAAAACAGACTCGATGTTGAGATCAACAACAGATACCGCCTGAAAGCACAGCTGGACACTGAGATCGACCGTCGGCAAGATATCAAGGCTCAGCTGGAACGAGATATCTCAAAAATGAAGAACTGTCGCGCGTAATCCGCATGCAGAAAGGGTTATGGGGACTCTCCCCTTGTCTGAATTATTGGGGACGCATGGTTCAAGATTGATGTAGCTGGAGTAGCGGCGAAGACTGACGAGTTATGAAATGACACCGCCAAATGGATTTACTAGTCACGGGGGATTCAGAGAATGAAGACTCTAAAATTTAGTTTTAAACTATAAAATTTTATCATTGATTCTATTCTCACGACTCTAATACCGTTCAAGGGCTCTGTCAGGCCTCATGTCCTCGCCTGCTAAGCAAAATGTTGCAATGTGCGTACCGTTGACAGCTCAGTTTCTAAGCACCGAAGGTCAGAATTTGCTTGACATAAAACAGATCTATAGAGATCACTGCAAATTTAGTTAAACTCGGATGGAAATTAAGATATTTGATGTCCTTGATTGTTCTTTTTTTCATTGACCATGTCTATCAGGTTAGGGGGGCGAGGCTTATTAATTTCCAAATGCCTTGGCCGGCATGCATGATCCCTCTTGCGTCTAGATGGAAGTCACTGAAGTTCAATGAAAACATAAAAGAAGGTTTTCTCAATCAACGGCCAATGTTTTGTTTGATCATTTGCAGATGGATAACGGGACAGCGAAGCAGTAGAGAATGTTGAAAAACTTGTGAGAGCCCGTGATAGAAGCCAGAGTTGGTCTTAGCGAGTGTCATCCCATACGTTCGTGACGCTGGCCGGTTATGATTGATGCTATGTTCTCGAAGTTCTTGCTCCGTTTCGCTGGGGTTTTATTAAAGATGATATTAATCACAATTGCAAATCTCTGTATCATTAATTTACGTGTATTTGAAAGTAAAAAGAACTGTCTAGAGGCAGATCTTATCAATCTCAAGTTCTCTATATCATCCCCCCCGATCGTTGACATGGTACTGAGCCAAAACCCCTTGTCATTGTTAGACAGCCGCCAGCTTGATGTTTACTCAATATGAGACCAGTGAGCCTTCACCGGTCCGCAAATTTCGGAGCTGAACCTTTGCTCACGTTACCCTCTTCAGGAAACAACGGCTGCGCGCCTTCCTTCCTTCTGAACCTTGAAAAAAAGAAAGAGACGGTGCTTAGCCTCAACACTCAAAGTGACTTTTTGTTCTCAGTCATTTTCACAAAAACATCTTTTCACCTCATGAAATTCTCTCTCTATTCAACTGCTCGACCTCGCAGCCTGCCACCTGTTCACCGCACCAGCTGCCATCATGACTACGATGCTTCCCGACGACCCTAACAATGTTGTTCCGTATGCTCACAAAGTATACAAGCAATCAACACACTATTTCTTGCAGTGGCTGTGGTGCCAGTTTCAACTCAAGGCGTCCCCAAAACCTGGACAACGGTATTTCAGGGATTCAGAGGAGATTTTGTTTGCTACAAGACTTGTCAAAAGGAGCAGAACGACTGTTCCGAGCTCCATCATTTCTTCGCTACATACTGCCATCCACAAGAGACAGGCTGTGCTTGTTATTTACCAGGAATCCAACGCGGATAACAAGAGCCATAAGAACTTTCTGCTCTTGTACGCGAATTCTCACTTCTATTGATGACCGAATCTTAACTTGGTGTGCTACAGACTGAAGAAAATCCTGAGAAAGCTCACGCCTTTGGCGGGAGAGCTGGATACAAAGCAAAACGATGAAAGCCCACAAGTCCCTTGTGTGACAGCAAACCGGTTCTCTGTCCTTGCCACGCCGGATGAAGACAATGCGTCAGATGAAGACTCCGCGGCAGAGGCAGACATCGTGTCAGAGACGGATGCCGTTGCAGATAAAGACATTCCTGCAATTGAAGACACCGATGCAGATAAAGACGCCGTTGCAAATGAAGACTCCGTGGCAGAGACAGACGTCGTGGCAGAGACGGATGCCGATACAGATAAAGACGTCTCTGGAGATGAAAACGTCGTTGTAGCGACAGACGCCGTTCCTGATAAGGACGTTGTTGCAGATGAAGAGGCCGTTGCAGATAAAGAGGTCGTGACAGATGGAGACACTGTGACAGACGAGCCTCCTGTGAAGAAAGACACCCCACCGGATAACCTTCCTGCAGCAGATGAAGATTCCCTCAACAAAACCACTCCATCCGACACTCGCAACGAGGCTCCGTCTCCCACACCAGAACTTCACCAGACGGAGTTACCTGAGGTGGATCCCGAAGAGCGCTGGTATTGGATGCGGGCATACCACCTCCTGATGCTGAAAGAAGCTGCATCACGAAATGTGGTATGACACCATTTTCCGATCCTTTTGTCTTACACGTTGAGGTGCTGACTGGTGGATTTGATAGGACACTACCGATTTGCCCAAGTTCCTGCCCCTGCTCTGGGATAACATGTACAAGATAAAGCATGGTTCTTTGTTGATGACATTTCTCACAAACGAGCAGTTTCCTTTATTCAACTGGGTTTTCCCTGCCTCCGAGGCCGTCACGGCCTACACCCTCTATCAACGTGAGGAAGCATGTCGGAAGGCTGCCGCCGATAAACGCAACTTGAGAGTTTAAGCCATGCTCGGAAATCATCGTTTTTGTATATTCCTGGGCTCGCGAGGACAGAGCATCTGCTGCCTCTGCAACTATGTTTGGATTTTGAGGACATGGAACAGGCCGAAGATAATGAAACCAGGGCAAGGAATCGCAGTGAGCTCAACGCAGGATACGGGCACAGCATTGTATCGAGCCACAAAAAGAAAACCTCACATCGTATAGAAACTGTTGAGAAAAGGGTTATTGTACAAATATTACAATTGAGAACTCATACTGATACAGTTATTGGAAAAAGTGATGCAAATCTAAGCACGACGGACGTCCCTGTCATCGTTGTCCTCCCTCTTGCTAGCGGCTCCCTCCTTCTTCATACCATCGCATCCCAAGACCTTGCCTGCAGTCTCTTCGACCTTTCCGTACCCTTGTGATGTGGCGTCCCGCTGCTGGCCAGCAGCCTTCATCGTCGACGTAGCGTGCGCCTTGTCCTGCTCTCCTGATGATGTCCAGGCATGAGATCCCGTGACACCGCCGATGACAGCCTAAGTTCGTCAGAATTCTGGAGAAGCTTGAATGTGGTGATGAGTAGTGAGTCGTAAGAGGGACACATACCTCGGCGGCACCCTTGATGTACTCAGCATGGCCGGCAACGAGGCCAGGCTGTTGGTTGTTGTTGTTCTGGGAAGACATTTTGTTTGTTGTTTGTTGATTGACTTATGATAAGATTGACTTTGGATTTGACAGTGTTTTTTATGTGTGATAGTCCAGTGTGATCGAAGCTGAACATTTAAAGGTGTTGATGGTGATGATACATGGGTACAAAAGTACGCCCCAATGACGTCAAGACACCGACGTCATTACTCTGTGGCTACATCACATGACGTTTTCGGGAAGCGCAAGGCTTCTGAATTAATGAAAGCCGCAGTACCTTAAGTAAAACATTGAAATACACAGCCTGCTTAGTTTGTATAATCGTATTGGTTGTGGTTGTGTTCATCCGTTCCTCTCACGGATTTGTGCATTAACGTTAGGACGAAGGAAATTTAGAAACTCAAAATTATTGTCATTAAATCATCTAGATATGCTACACTGGAATAGCATCAAGTATTACACTTGATGCATATTGACCAAGAATGTCCGGCCTCTCTTCTTTAAACCTTCTCAGCGTGGCTAGCCCTGAGAGTGTCATTCTTGTCCTCAACAGCTGCGACTCGGTCCTCAAAGCGGACGCCGGCGCTGGCGCTGCGCCATGCAGGAATGTTGGAATCGAAAAGTGCGTCAATCTCCTCCAGGGTCTTTCCGGAAGTCTCGGGGTAGGTAAAGAAGATGTGGAAGGTCATGGCAGCGCAGAAGGTGCCGAAGATCATGTACGTCTTCCACTGAATGTTGGTGAAGGCCGGAGGCACAAAGAAGGCAAGAGCAAGGTTGAAAGCCCAGTTGGAGGCGGCAGCAAAACCGACACCGGTGGCGCGGTACTTCAGGGGGAAGACCTCGGAAGCGTAAATCCAGCCGATAGGGGCCCAGGTAAGGCCATAAACACCAACAAAGATGTAGCACAGAGCGATGACGGCTTTGGCAGGTGGGCCCTGGATGGACCACTTGAGAATCTCGTTGCCGTCAACGGAGTCGACAGGATAGCCATGGACGGCCATGACGGCGCCGGTAGTAAAGTGGATGATACAGCAGATGATGGCACCTCCAATCAAGAGAGGGCGGCGGCCGAGGCGATCGATAATGGGCAGAATGGCACCAGTCGTAACGAGGAAAATAACGTATTGAATAATGGAAGAGGTGAGGGCAGTGTTGCCAGACTATTAGAGTTAGCAGCTTTTTTTTAGAATAGAGAGCGTAGAGAACTTACCATTCCGGCCATGTTAAAGATATAGACGAGGTAGTAAAGCATGACATTGCCTCCTAGCAGCTGTTGCCATACCTGCACACTACAGCCAGCGAGAGTGCGCTTCCAGATCTTGGGTCCAAAAAGCCCAAGGACACCAATGTGCTTGGACTCGGCAGCAACACGAGCAGCCTCCTTGACCTCCTCAAGTTCGGCAATAACCACAGGAGACTCGCGGTCACCACCAGCGTGAAGGTGGGCAAGGACCTCGTGGCACTCCTCCCATCGGTCTTTCTGGCCCAACCAACGAGGAGACTCGGGAAAGAAAAACAGGGCAATTCCGAGAATGAGACCGGGGATACCCTGGACACCCCAGGCGATGCGGAAGGAGCTGGTGTCTTTGATTGTAACGACACAGCCATAGGAGATGAGATACATGATGAGAATACCCCATTCAATCGACCATTGTTGGATTCCGACGATTCGGCCACCTTGAATGAAGTTAGCAGCAGGTTTTGTACTATTTGGGTAGAGTGGACCTACGGATGCGGGATGGTGCAAGCTCGGCGAGGTAGACGCAGCATTGCGAACTCGTTATACCGATGGCAAGACCGCTGATAACACGGCCGACAATAAGGTGGGCGACGTTTTGGGCCGAGCACTGCACAACGGCACCAATGATCCAGATGACGGAGGCGAGCATCAAGGCACCGCGTCGGCCCCAGTGGTCGGCGAGGAAACCAGCGATAAGGGCACCAACCAGGGAGCCGCCAGACATGGAGGCAGTAATGCCACCTTGAAGAGTAGAAGATGGGTGGTTGAAGTAGTCCATATACTGGTCGGCACCGATCCAAGCACTCATGGAGCTGATATCAAAGCCGAAGAGCATACCGCCAATAGTGCCAAAGGCGGCGAGGGCTGATGATCACTGATCAGCATCCAAACAGCGTGGTAATGGAGCCTAAGGGGAGCAAGCCAAGGCTGGGGTGCATACCGTAGATGTTCCATATGCGATACATGATGGGCGTAAAAGGTGCCTCTACGGGCCGTATTTGGGTCAGGTGTGGATTCTCGTGGGTAAAGAGGGAGTGAACAGGGAACAGAGCACAGAGAAAACAAAATAAAACGCTGCGATATTGCAGTGGATTTGAGACCCTGAGTCGGTGACACGGAGAAGGAGGCGATAGAAGCAGACGAAAGGGATGGGAGGTTGGAAGAATATATACCAATTCCTGACCGATTAATATCACCGAGGTGCGCGCGAAAGGAATCCAAGACAAACACTAATTGGAGGTGCCCTTTTTCTCAGTCGGCGCCTGCCCCTGTTCGCCAGCATGTCGTTGGTTTTTGGCCGGGGGTAGCACCAGGTTGGGTGGGTGGTGGAGCAATCCTCACGCCTTTCGGTGCTCAGGTAGGCACAGAGAGTTTTCTTTACTGCGGATAAGGCGTGGCCCGTCGCGTGAGAAGCGTCAGGAGCAAGGCCACTTACAGCCGGCGTGAAGCCGTCTTAGGAGGGCCAAACGCAAAGAGTCCGGCCTTAATCATCAAGTCGTGTTAAGCGCACGTATGAGAGGGCGAGGATGGCAACGGTGCTGGGGCGTGTCGACGTCATGTCGAGGTGAGGGCCAAGGACATGGTCTTGTCGACTTGTCGGACCAGGGGGGATGGAAGACTAGTAAAGCGTGGAGTATTGTTAGTGTCGGTCATTGCTCATTGGGAGTGTAATGTAAGGAGGGCAAAGGAACCTGACAACTCACCGGGGTAAAGAGGAAATCACGAGCCAACCGCCGAATAGAGTGGTCGAGGAGCATGAAGCGTGGAGCGTAGTGCGTAGTGTAAAGTTGGAGCAAGAGGCGTGGAGCATGAGGGGAAAAGCAGGGTCAACGAGGGGATGCTTGGGGAGGGGGGATTGGGGGATGATTGGGGAAATTTTGGAGGCAGGAGACGGAGGGCGGTCTTTGCGCGTCGCGCCATACCCGTACCAGTCATGGACTCCGGGGGAAAATTGGATTCAAAAAGAGTAAAACAAAAAGATGGACTGAACTTGTTTCGATCTAGCGCTGCTGGTCATCACCAAAGTACTTGGAGGAAGCTTGGTGTTGTGCTTTGTCAAGAAGTCGTATCAAATCAGACCAGTGACGGCATCAATTCTTGATGGCCACTACCAACGGGCAACTACGTACTACGTTCCTTCTGTAGTTCTTGGTGAATTGGTGAAAAAGCGAGGACGTTAGTGTCAATTAATTGTGGGACGAACCTGGTGGATGTGTCACACGGACCACTGCATATATCGGGGCATGCATTCAACCCATGCACCCGGCTATTGTTTCCCATATAAAACTAACGGGGATGTCATTTTGCCTTCAAATCGGTAATTACCGAATAGACGGTTATATAATCAACCCAATAACCCCTAGACAGTCTCTAATGAATGGAAGCATCTTTTTTTACCCCATAAGTGGTGGGCAAATTGACTGCGTGACAGTTATGAGCCCAGTACCTCATGGTGACAATTACCAATTGAAAAACCGACTTCCAGAAGGGAGCAGTTCAGACTTATGCCATAGACAAGGGCACTCAATTGACGAAGTTACCGACCCATGAGACTTTGGCAGTCAAGTCCACCAAACAAAACATCAATTCCAATCACACAAGGCTGAACGTTGAAGTGTTGAAACATTCAATCACAAAAGAACTTCTGGTCATCAATTCATATCATCAACACTTATCAAAAAATCACAAAAAGTTCATCTCAACTCAGGGGGACTTACCACATCTGAGGAGTTGAACCCAGGACTCTTAACTTGAACCTTATATAAGTTCATGCTCGACCATACCACTGATACGCAGCCAGGAGGGTTGGAATTACGAAACGGAAGAGACACCTAGTTGCTCATTTTATGCCTCTGAAAGCTTCGGGCAGATAAGACGAACAGGTGGTTCACTTTATAGTCTTCGTGTAACGGAACCGATAAGACTTTTTACAAATTGCGAAAACTCCACAACCCTGAATTGAACCCACGAAGGGGAGCTTGCCAGTCTTACGGTCCTTGCGAATAGCTACAAGTTGGGTGGCTAGACCAACTACACTAAACGGCAGGTTCATTAGACAGGGGGGGCGTCTTGCGTTTTGTTGAGAATTGAGGCGTTGAGATTGGCTATATACCCTCAAACCTCTAGGCAACAATCGACAAAATCACCAACTTGAAACAAGAAGTGTCTAGTCACGAACTCAATCTTGGCCACGGCGAAAAATCAACTGCACAACGATCAGAAGAGAGAGACCAGTTCTCTTTTCAAGAGAGATCATGAATTCAACTACGGAAACTGCAAAATACACACAGCGGCTACAGACTGACAGCGACTGGAACCACTGGTTCAACAACTTACAGATGCTGGCAAACGTTCATGAAGTCTGGGACTATGTGAATCCAAAAGGAACCAAGATTAATACTAAGCCAAGATTGGAATTCCCAGACCCAAAAGACCTCAGACAAGAAGAACGAGCAAACTATAGCAACGTTATCAGCTATGGAAAAGCTATCTATCAAGAAGAAAAAGACCAATACAACCAGGTTCGGCGAAGTCTTCTAGAAATTCACAGTTGGATCATGAACACTGTAGCAGCCACTTATATCAGCCAAGTCAGCAAGGAGCAAACAGTCAGGGATATCATAAAAGCTCTTGAAAAACAGCTAGCGCCAGACAACTTTGGGAGACAACAAATGGTATTGGAAAGATATAACAAGCATATGCTATCAATCAAAAGAGCAAAACTTGGAGGATGGCTCATAATCTATCGAGAAATCATGGATGAAGCCCAAACAATCGGAATCCCTGCTCTCAGCGATCCAGTTACTCAAGTCTCTGAGTTCTTGAAAGCAGTCAAGCAAATTGCACCAGATTACTACACATCTGCCTCTTACGACTTCACAAAGCGATACAAGGATGACCCAACCTACAGTTCGATCAGCAAGACTGCTGGAATTGAGCAAGCTAACGATTTCCGCAGTTGGGTGAGAACTTTCCACCCAGACTGGCTGAATGCTGCTCCATTAAAAGACACGAGTTTCGCTACTTGGCAAGGAGAAAACGAACAAGGAATAAAACAGGGGGCAAAACGAGAGCAAAAGTGTGCAGCTTGCCCAAACGAAAGTCACCGATTTGTTGATTGCAAACATGCCAACCCTAAGAAGCGAGGCCCAAACTATCATGAAGATAATCCAGAAAATAAGAAAGCACTGGAAAGATTGAATGAGTATCTCCAGAAGAAACCACACTTAAAGAGAATAGTTGAAAAACTACGAAAAGGGGCAAGCGATCAGCAGTCTCAAAAGTCCCCAGATCGAGCAACATCTTCCTCAAACTGGAGAAACACTACACAATCATCATCCCACTATACTCAAGAAGTGTCTGATGGAGAAGGATCACTCTCATCTTTCGTCACTATCGTCAATCAAGGAGAAGCAAGTCTCTATTCAGGATTCCCACTGTCAGACAGTGTGATAGTAGACTCAGGAACAGGATTCCACATCTGCAACGACTCCTCAAGACTTCATGATCTCGACTACACAGTCACAAAAGACTTCATCACTGGAGGAGGAGATGTACATGCAATTGCGAAAGGCACAATGATCATCAAACCAAACCAAGGCGGCAAATCCAACAACAAGGAGATCAAAGTCAGAAATGTATGGCTTGTGCCTGGATACCCAACATCGCTCCTTGGGACAGAACCGCTGAAGCAAAAAGGGATCATCTTTACAACAGGAATACCGGGTCTTATCGACTCAAAAGGCAGACTTCTATTCAAAACACCAAACCGATATGGTCAATACATTATTGAAGCTGGCCCAGCTCTGCTGAACAATACCTCGTTCAGCAATACCGAGAAGACTGTGAGATTCAGCCCAACCGTAGAAAGGAAACCAACCAAAGGTTTTCAGTCAACAAGACAACCACTCCCAACATCATCAGCAGAAGCCAAGTTGTGGCATGAGAGACTTGGTCATCCAGGCGCTGAGGGACTGGAACAGCTACTTAAAACAGCTCTTGGGATACAGATAAAAGGAATCACAAAAGTGGAATGTGATGCCTGTGCTGTTGGGAAGGCAACTCGCCAAATTTCCCGCAGAAACCCAGACCATTGGCCAACTGCTGTAGGAGATTATCTATCTCTCGACTTCTTTACACTTAGCAAAGCATACAATGGGGAGAAGGTAATCCTGCTGGTCAGCGATGGCTGGTCAGGGTTCTTCTGGATAAGAACTCTTCGTACTCGAAAGGAGGGACTACAAGCTATGACAGAATTAGCAGCATACCTCGAGAGACAGTGCTTTATCAAAATCTCTATTCTACGCCTAGATTGGGAGGTTGCTTTACGCAATGCGTTTGAACTATGGGCAGCTGTGAATGGATATATGATTGAAAGATCAGCTGAGTACACTGGTGCTCAAAACCCAGCAGAAAGAGCTGGAGGTGCTGTGTTTATGATCATGAGAGCACTTCGATTTCAATCTCGCTTTCCTGAATTGATGGCACCAGAGCTGGCAAAAGCAGCAGTTTATCTGTCAAACAGATTGCCTCGAAGACGCCACAAGTGGCAGACACCATTGGGGTTGGTCAACACTTGGCTGAACTCTCATCAACAGTCTACCCACAAGAGGGCTGAAAAGCCACAACTAGCACACTTGAGGCGATATGGCTGCAGAGCTTACCCCTTGACACAAAACTACAAGAGAGGAATAGAAAAGTCAAACAAAACTGCGCCAAGAGCTCATATTGGCTATCTATGTGGTTATGACAGCACAAATATCTACAGAATCTGGATCCCAGCAATAGGAAAAGTCATGAGAACTAGAGACGTTACTTTCGACGAAAACACGCTGTATGATCCAAGGATTGAGGATACCAGCAAGTTAAGCCAAATGGAACTTGAATTCCAGTTCACAGAAATGGATATCCCATTCACAAATCCAATTGAACAAGACCTAGACACAGCTGGCTGGGATGGAGAAGA